CAAAGGCGACTTCCCACGCCCTCACCACGAAGCCGATGCGGACGAGCTTTTCAAGATCGCACAAAAGATTGCGGGTGAAGGCGAGGAGAAGGTTGAGCTGGACGAGAAGCTCATCAAGGAACTCAGTTACCAAGCACGCGGTGATCTCAGCCCTGTCGCTGCGTTCTTCGGTGGAATGGCTGCTCAAGAAGTCCTGAAGGCAGTGTCTGGAAAGTTCCATCCCATCGTTCAGTTCCTCTACTTTGATTCGCTAGAGTCGATCCCTACGTCTACAACCCGTTCGGAAGAGCAGTGCGCTCCGATCGGCTCACGCTACGATGGACAGATTGCTGTTCTCGGTCAGGAATACCAGAAGAAGCTCAGCAACGTCAAGCAATTCCTCGTTGGTGCTGGAGCCATTGGCTGCGAGATGCTCAAGAACTGGGCTATGATGGGTCTCGGTACTGGCCCTGAGGGCAAGATCACCGTAACCGACAACGATCAGATCGAAAAGAGCAACCTGAACCGACAGTTCTTGTTCCGGCCAGCTGATGTTGGCAAGCTAAAGAGCGATGCTGCAGCAAAGGCAGTTCAGGTCATGAACCCGGATCTCAGTGGAAAGATCGTGACACTACAAGACAAGGTTGGCCCGGAGACCGAGCACATCTTCAACGAAGAGTTCTGGAATTCTCTGGACGGTGTGACAAACGCGCTGGACAATGTAGAAGCGCGCACATATGTTGACCGACGATGTGTGTTCTTCCGCAAGCCTCTGCTTGATAGTGGTACTCTCGGCACCAAGGGCAACACCCAGGTTGTCCTACCATTCATCACAGAGTCTTACTCTTCATCGCAAGATCCTCCAGAGAAATCCTTCCCCATGTGCACACTCAGGAGTTTCCCCAACCGAATCGAGCACACTATCGCCTGGGCGCGAGAGTCGTTTGATTCACTATTCGTCAAGGGTCCGGAGATTGTCAACTTGTACTTGACGCAACCCGACTACCTTGGCGCATCACTGAAGCAGTCTGGTAATGAGAAGCAGACTCTGGAGACCCTACGAGAATTCTTGGTCACCGAGAAGCCGTTGTCCTTTGACGACTGCATCATCTGGGCCCGTCATCAATTTGAGAAGAACTACAACCACGCGATAGCGCAGTTGCTCTACAATTTCCCGAAGGACTCCAAGACTGGTTCCGGTCAGCCATTCTGGTCAGGACCCAAGCGCGCGCCGGACCCATCGAAGTTTGACTCTTCAAACCCAACACACTTCACCTACGTGGAAGCTGCTGCCACCCTACACGCGTTCAACTACGGTATCAAGCCAAATGCGTCCAAGGAGCACTACATCGAAGTTCTCAACGATATGATCGTTCCCGATTTCCAGCCTGACCCTACAGTGAAGATCCAGGCTGATGAGAAGGAGCCGGATCCGAACGCCAACCAGGCTGGTGGGGACGATAACGAGTCGCTCGACAGCATTATCAAGCAACTGCCGGCACCAAAATCTCTTGCTGGATTCAAGCTTGAGCCTGTCGAGTTTGAGAAGGATGATGACTCCAACCACCACATCGACTTTATCACTGCTGCCAGCAACCTCCGTGCTGAGAACTACAAGATCGAGCAAGCGGATCGACACAAGACCAAGTTCATTGCTGGTAAAATTATTCCCGCCATCGCCACCACTACGGCCTTGGTCACCGGTCTCGTCAACCTTGAGCTGTACAAGATCATTGACGGCAAGACGGATATCGAGCAGTACAAGAACGGCTTCATTAACTTGGCGCTGCCGTTCTTCGGCTTCAGTGAGCCGATTGCCAGCCCGAAGGGTACATACCAAGGGCATGATGGTGAAGTCACGATCGACAAGCTGTGGGATCGTTTTGAGGTGGATGATATCCCTCTCAAGGACTTTGTGGACCACTTTGAGAAGAAGGGTCTATCGATTCAGATGATCAGCTCTGGTGTTAGTTTACTCTACGCGTCATTCTATCCCCCCTCCAAGTTGAAGGATAGGATGCCTCTCACGTAAGTGTTCCTAACTCTCTTGTTATACGCAGATACTAACAGAAGACAGCATGAGCAAGCTTGTCGAGCACGTCAGCAAGAAGCCCGTACCCGAACACCAGAAGAACGTCATCTTCGAGATTACGGCTGAGGACCAGAAGGAGGAAGATGTTGAGATACCATACGTGATGGTCAAGTTGAAGTAGATATCTCGCTGCTTTGATTGAAGATAGCGATGGACTGGATGGTGAATTGGTTCCCGACAAACAGGGATGATATGACATGACTTAGACGAGCACAGCTTGCATGAATAGACACTTCATTTCAACGTCAAAATGTCCCTCCAGAATTCGATTTATAACGGTTTCCTGTTATTTCAAACAAAAAGCTGCCAAACTGACCATTGTAAGCAGTGCGCGCAGACGCAACTAACTGATGAAAGGAAATACCACCTTGTGTTCATTCGTTGGGCCAAGAGCTATGGGAGACTCAATTGTGCCGGTAAAGATCGGTCTGGCCGGTGGAGCCGCATGGAATGCACGCTTCTGGTTGTGGATGCCGAAAGTCGGACGAGATGGCGTGGGGCGAAATGCCAAGCATTACAGCCCTATCACGAATGTTGATTATCAAGCCTCTGGGACTTTCCCTCAGCACGCAACAATGTAGTCTTTACATCCACCCCTACAATCACAGTTACACATACCATGGCACCCTCACTAGAAGAGCCAGTGCAGGTCGATTTCGAAGCGCCCCTCAAGGCTGCGCCGAAACTTGTTGCGCCTGAGCCAGGTACGTTTGCCCCGCCACCCCTCCGCCGCTCAATCTACAACTCTAGGAAGGCAGAAGACTAACGCAATTGCGACAGAACACTGTCCTGGTCCCGAATCTCTCACAGCTGGTCAAGCGGACTCCTGCGCAGGATGTCCCAACCAGTCGATATGCGCCTCCGCACCCAAGGGCCCCGATCCTGACATACCCATCATAACCGCACGCCTCTCCTCTGTAAAGCACAAGATTCTCGTCCTCTCCGGTAAAGGTGGCGTCGGAAAGTCGACCTTCAGCACAATGCTTTCACATGGCTTCGCATCAAATCCCTCATCGACCGTCGGGCTCATGGACACAGACATCTGCGGGCCCAGCATACCGAAGATGATGGGTGTGGAGGAGGAGACGATACATGTCAGCGGAGAAGGATGGGAGCCTGTATGGGTCAGCGAGAACCTCGGAGTCATGAGCGTCCAATTCATGTTACCAAACCGCGACGACGCAGTAATTTGGCGCGGCGCAAAGAAGAACGGCCTGATCAAGAAATTCCTGATGGACGTAACATGGGGCGAACTAGACTTCCTCGTTGTCGACACACCACCGGGTACATCCGACGAGCATCTCTCGGTAAACTCCTTCCTCAAAGCCAGCGGCGTCGACGGCGCAGTCCTCGTTTCCACTCCCCAAGAAGTCTCGCTCCTTGACGTCAGGAAGGAAATTGACTTTTGCAGGAAAGCTGGCATACCTATACTAGGCATTGTGGAGAACATGAGTGGCTTTGTGTGCCCGGGCTGCAAACACGAGTCTCAGATTTTCAGAGCAAGCACGGGTGGTGCAGCGAGGTTGGCCAAGGATGAGAATATACCTTTCTTGGGCAAAGTGCCACTGGATCCGAGGATAGGCATGGCTTGTGATTTTGGAGAGAGCTTCTTGACAGCATATCCAGACAGTCCGGCGTGTGCTGCTATCAAGGAAGTTGTCAGGAGAGTTGGGGAAGAGATTGGATTGAGTAGGGAAGAGGTGTTGCCTGTGGATGAGGATGAAGTCTGATGTTACCATATATTGTCGGTATGTTAAGACTCAGGGTTATCGGTGATTTCTATTAAGCGGCACAAATGGCGTTAAATATGAGCATATGCTCATGGACGAATGTACATGTTGCCAACAACACACATTATCCAGAGCTCTGCGAGTCGGCCCGTAGCAGCAACGTAAAAACTTACGAACACGGTTGACGCAAGCATCGCAGATCACTGCAAACGAACTCATTGAAACATGATCTTCAAAAGAACGCAAAAGATGGAGTGATATGGATAAGGGTCGTCCGCTCAGGCTGTGTTTTTCCTAATGCGATGCAAAATATGTTGTTTGTGGTACTACAACAGTATGTAATGAACAGTATACTGGCAAACATGCGCCCCTCGACTGGCACAACACCAAGTCACTTCGCCCCTCTTGTCACCATCATCCACTGCCACAATGGCGCCGCCCCGTTGGATCTTCGTGTGGCAGATTACCGTGTGGAAATTATGAGTGGACTGGCAGCCACACCACAGCCATTGATCATCGTCATCGTATCACGCTACGTGATGCTTGGCAAACATAGCGGGTGCTTGGCGCATGTTTCGAAAGCTTGGTCGGGTGGCCTGTGGCGCGGGAGGAAGATAATGAGCTCATAGATCTTGCGAGTTCCGATGCAAGAGTCTGAGAACAGTCATCGTAGGAAAACTGACATACGGGCTGGTTTGGATTGGAGACAGCGTGTCAGACCATGCAGAAGATCGCGATAGGTCCCGTGTGTGTGAGATCCACTGCAGCGCGGAAAGGGCTCGAGGATGTCATGGCCCACCCGGCTAGCGGCAACTATCCCTGCTGTTCCCTGAGCCATCAATCACAGGCACAACAACTTTCAAGACTTTGAGGCTAGAGGCGCTTTCATTTTGGCCCCAGCCTTTCCTGAAATTCTTACTCTCCCCCGCCTTCTATCGTTTCCATATTACACGCGCTTTGAATAGGCGTGCAATTGCTTCCATCGCGACAAGAACGCGGGATATACTAGCGGCGCGCATCGTATCTGCGCCTGAGCTCAACTTTTGGACCCTGAGCGCATCGCCATTGTAGGTCGCTACTTGGCTTAATTGACTCGGTAAGCTGACTGGAGCGTAGACTTGTAGACATCTTCGACGCGTCTGCGCATATACTTCGTCCACTCTCTCGCTATCGAACATCGCTCGCGACCCATTACCATCATGGCCGCCGAATACCAACCACATGAGGACCCCAGTGGCGTGATAGGCATTGGGACAGGTCCTCAAGTCATTAGCACCTCGGGTGTATTGGATGTCATCATGGGACCACTCCTCAACTACAGACGCACCAGCAACGAGCAGTCCGGGCAGCCCGTCTGGCATGGCAGTGTCCTAATCGTTACCACGCCTGGACAGCAGAACCCGAACGAGGCACAGCCGAACCCTCAGCTTGTACTCTCACCAGCTGGCGCAGTCGACAGGAATATCAGTGACGCAAGGTTTAGCGTAGATGCGCGCACCTTTCACGGGGAGAAGCTTTACGAAGACGGCAAGAGGGCCTTCTGGCGCTTCCGGATCAATGCACCCATGCAGCCATTCGAGTCAAGATGGCGTTACGATATCCAGAACCTCAAGTACACCGACATTCAGAAGCAGGAGAAGCCGCAGAATTTCGTCATACCTTCAATCACCCAGTCGATGCGCATCATGTTCCACTCTTGTAACGGCTTCAGTGTCGGTACTGACATGGACGTCTGGTCTGGTCCCGTACTGTGGAACGACGTCCTACGCATGCACGAACAGCGACCCTTCCACGTCATGATTGGAGGAGGCGACCAGATCTACAATGACGGAGTGCGAGTAGACGGCCCGCTCAAGCCCTGGACCGACATCCACAGTCCTCATAAGCGACGGGAATTCCCATTCGGCCAGCAAATGCGTGCCGACTGCGACGAATACTACTACAACAACTACGTCAAGTGGTATGGCCACGCGCCCTTCTCCACTGCTAACAGCCAGATCCCCCAAGTCAACATCTGGGACGACCACGACATCATTGATGGCTTTGGTTCATACACCGATCACTTCATGAACTGCGCTGTCTTTAGGGGTATCGGCGGTGTTGCGCACAAGTACTACCTTCTCTTCCAGCACCATCTTGCTCCTCCAAAGAGTACTTTTACGACCGATGCGCCACAGACAACCGATGTAACCGGTCAGGGACAAAGAACAACGCCTGCCGACCCTGCGCAGGTAGAAAACACTTTCGTTATGACCAACGATGAGGGCGACCCATCATACCTCATTGGTTCAAAGCCTGGCCCATATGTTGAGGAACGCAGCCGCAGTATCTTCTGTCAGCTAGGTGCGCGCATTGCCTTTGCTGGTATTGATGCGCGAACAGAGCGTACCAGACATCAGGTCAACTACCCCGAGACCTACAAGATGCTCTTTGATCGTCTGGATGCTGAGTTCACCGCGAACCCAGAGCTCAAGCACATGATCTTGCTGCTTGGTGTCCCCATCGCCTACCCCCGCTTGATCTGGCTCGAGAACATCTTGCAGTCACCCCTGATCGCACCCATCAAGTTCCTGAACAAGCGCTTCGGCTTCGCTGGAGGCTTCTTCAATCAGTTTGACGGCAAGGTCGATTTGCTCGATGACTTGGACGATCACTACACTGCGCGTCAACACAAGGAGGAGCGTCGTAACCTCATGCACAGCCTCCAGGCATTCTCCAAGAAGTTTTCCGTACGCGTCACCATCCTCGGTGGAGACGTACATTTAGGAGCCATTGGTCGTTTCTACACCAACCCCAAGACACACCAGATCCCCGCAGAAGCTGACCACCGCTACATGCCCAACATCATCAGCTCCGCCATCACCAACAAGCCCCCACCCCAAGCTGTCGCAAACTTGCTCGCCCGTCGAAACAAGATCCACCATCTTGACAAGGAAACCGACGAGACCCTTCTCGAGATCTTCGACCGCGACCCAGCTCTACCTGACGGTGTGAACGCAACGAACGGCACATCCACCGCTCAAATCAACGGCGACAGCAAAGATGGAAAGATTGAACCCAAAACCTCTGCCGCAAACCACGCCACAATGCCCTCCCGTAATTACGCCATCATCTGCGAATCCGCCATTCCTACCCCCTCAACTCTCGGCGTACCTCCCGGCTCCGCCCCCTCCATTCACACCAATAACACCGCCGCATCCAAGATTTCTGCTGCGCCTGGCAAGAAAGACAACATGCGTCTGGGCTTCCATCTCGGTGAAGAGAAGGCTGGCACTCAGCATCCGGCTGCGGGTGGTATCAACCCCTCGGGTCTTTGTGGACCATATGGGTTGGATGTTACGCTCAGGGTGGAGATAAGCAATCAGGATAGGGAGGGCAGGACCGACGGGTATGGGTTTAGCATTCCGGCGCTGGATTGCTCGGCTTATGCTGATCGGGATGCTAAGTGGTAGAGCGGGTGGGAGGTGGAAGTTGAATAGAGAGAATCTCAAAGGCCACGTGAAGAGATATATCATGGCGGAGGTTACTGGATGATTTGTTTGCTCTCTTGTTCTGGTTTATACCCTCTCGAAAACTGCTTGGCTTAGAGCTGTAATGATTTATAGTAATTAATACGTGTTTGGTCTGTAATGGTATTTAACTCTCATCCTTTCTTCGTCCAAGACGCAGGAGATGCTGTGAGAGGCTTATCGGTGTTATTGCGGCGCCGTTGATTGACAGGACATGCATGTACACTCATTGCAATCGAATGATTAAAGCAGTAAAACGATAACAGCGGATGATTCGTCGACGCGGATAGAGGAAACGGCTGGCATGGTATCTATTGTGCTCGCGAGGAAATTGCTATTCGTGAACGTTTGCTATGTACACAAGAACTTGGGGGTAATTGGGACTTTTCGTCAAGATCAAGGAAGAACGCAGAAGGAAGGAAAAGACATACAGTCATAAAACAGAAGAGAAGACCAATAAAAAAGGAAATCATTGTTACCAGGAGAAGGAATGCTGGAGACCGCGCGGCTCCTCGCTTGCTGGCTTACGGAGCGAAGCAAAGAGAGCCAGGAGTTGCGCCGCTTCCATCCCACCCGTCTCTTGCCAAAATGTCGAAGAAGAAGCTTGCTGCATGGCAAGCTCATAGCAGGTATCAAGGAGCGCGTTTGTGTTTTCTGGCGCATCCTTGATTCTCACTTTCATCGCAATGGCCATTGCAAGGAAGACGTGGAAGCGTGCCATAGACATAGATGCGGAGATTTCGACTGCAGGTCGCTGCGAATTGGGGTATACAGACTCGCAGAACCGAGAGAAAAGTGAAGGGGTAATGGAGTAAGCTCTATAGTCCAGAGATTCGAGATGCTGGACAAACTCCGTTGTTAGAGTCTCCGCTTCGAAGCGACTAGGAAGTGGAGTGGTTGCCAGAGCACGACTGCGATCGGTAAAACTTGATCGGGAAGAAGCCGGGCCAGGACTCTCCGTATGGCGAGCGGCGAATATGCCTTGGCGAGGTAATCGCGGGGCCGGAGCCAGAGGAAGTATGTCATCTTCGACTTCTGGGATTGGCGACATGGCCTGCTCGTTACTAGCCTGAGATAAAGAAGAGGTTGAAGTCTTTCGAGAATGGCCTCGACTGCTGGTACCCGGTTGTAACTGACTAGAGCTTGCTTGAGCCATGAACTCCCATGATGGCGCCGTGTGCGGTTCGATCGACGATGGTATGGGTTTACTCATAGCTGGGTATGCCGTTCCGAATTGCGGTAGCGCGGATCCAGGTGGCATCGAATCGGGTGACGAGGCACGTGTGGTACCTAACCATAATGAAGGTACTGGTGAAGACGGCGAGGAGAAGTTGGGGAAAGGCTCACATTCATCTATAGCGATGGAAGGCATGCTCCCACTTCTAGCAGAGAAAGCACCAAGGTCCAAATCATCGGCAGTAAATGTTGCGGGTATCGTAGTATCGAGGTTGAGGTGGGGAGGCGGCCCTTGCCAGTCGAATGATGTTGGTGTGTTGGCCATAAGGTTTTGGTCGATGGATTCCATACCATGCATGGGCGCATTGACATGTCTGGCTAGCTGTGCTTCGAGCTGGTGTATTCGTCCTTCTAGTGCTTCACGATGTTCACTTGAGCTTCATTAGGACACGACGTCATGTGACTACGCGTTGACGCGTCTCGGTGCTAGCACTCACGATGCAACAACTTCTTTTGGTTTCTGTGTTCTCACGCATTGTATTGCAAAACGTTTACACGTCGAGCAGGGCGTCTCGCCGTCGCATCGGATCTTCCTTCGTCGACATCGCTCGCAAGCGTTCGAGACGGACTTTCGCCTGGGCTGCCAGTCCTTGACGGCGCTGGGAGAGAAGCGAGCTGGACTTTCACCAGAAGGCAATGAAGCTTTTTTAATTAGCGATATCACAGAGCGATATAGTTGCCAAGCTTACTGAAGGGGCACATGCTGGAGACCGATGTTGAAGATTCCGCGTCGGATACTGAGCCTTCCGATGATTTGAGTGCAGATGTATAGAATAAGCAGGTGACGATCGCAAGACGGAGGCGTGAGAAAGGAAGCCATGGCGGAGGACGAGATCTCAGTTTGTTTTACGTCCCGTTGCCTGTCGTGGTGACAGACTGCTGAAGGTTGACTAATCGGGTGTACCTGCCCTGGTGTTCCGCGCTCGATACACTTCCCTGACAATCTGGCCCTCACCATGACTTGCGACACAATTGCCCCGTTCCTTGCACGTCTCGACTCCTCATAGGCGCGGACGTGCGACGAGACATGGTCATGCATGTCGCATCGACTTTCCCTCCGCTTTCAGATCTTCTAGAACAGCGTCTGCCAGATGACAGGGCTAGAGGACGGGGAGGCGGCCGCACTCCGCATCTGCAGCATAAGTGTCGCACTGCCCCCCAAAAAGTTCCCACCGGTAAATCCTTCGATGCGTTAAAGAGCGGAATCTACGGCAATTTTTCCGCTCTCCAGTCAAACCGCATTATGAAGCACCGGAAAATTATAGAAGAGCATGTATCGCTTCTGAGTCTGTGACAGAGAGATAATTGTGGGCCAACATGACCTCGTGGACTCCGCCCATTAATCGCTTCGAAGCCTGCCCATGCAGATTACAACTGCCGATATGTCAAAACAACGTTTCTATATCGTCGCATCAATTCCTTGGCAGACGGGACGTTCACTATCATACGCGTCCATGAGCACCGTAGGCGCCGTGCGGCCTGGGTGACGCGTGTCATTGTCTGGGAGTCCATCGAGAAAAATGCCATTGAGAATATCGCGTTTGCATTGAATTATTTACAGGAACGAGCGCGCATCGCTTTGGTACGACTACACGCGACACAATGGACCGTCCGTCGACTGAACACCGGCGCCGATGATGCCTTTATCGTCAATAGCCCAGCCCTCAGTGCCAACACCGTGGTGCACATAGAAGAGCATGCCAGGATCATATTTCTTCTTGATCTGCTGGAGCCTGGGGTAGTTGGAACCCCAGAAAGACTGCTGCCAGTCAGGCTCGGCGATGTCGGCCTCATTACCGTACGCGCCGCCAGCTGGTGATACCTCACGAAGAGGAGCCATGACCTGAGTGGTAATCTTTTCGACCGCAGCTTGCCACCCCGCAGCGGATTCTTCGAGGACACTGTTGATGATGACCATCTGGCTCTCTTCGTTACGGAAAGCAGGATTAACGGAGTTGATATCCTTCCGCACCGGGTCAACAGGGCGCTGGTGGTACATGTTAATCATGACGGCGTTCTCGACAACGTGCTGAATAGCGGCGACTGTTTGGTTACGTATCTCGGAGTTCACCCAGTTGTCGGATGTCAACAAACGATTCGACGCAATACCGGTGGCGGCACCAATATAATAGTTGAAGGTACCAAATGTTGCTTGGTAGGCTGGGTAGAAGCTGTCGTGGTGGGTTGTCTTGGGATTGAGCTCAATACCAAGCGAGGCGCACTTTTCGTAGAAGGGCTTGATGAGAGCCTCGTACTCCTCGACGGTCTTGTCCGTGGCAAAGAAAGGACCCATAGACCACATGTAAGTGCCTGGTGCGAGCTTCATGAGGGAGAAGTATGAGTAAGTCTTCGCTCGGTTGTATAAGGGCATGTTCTCGAAGAAGAATGTAAAAGCCTCCCAGAACTTTTCAACAGTAACGGTCTCGGAAGTCATGATGGTCCAGGAAGACTGAGTTACGGGAACCTTGCGGTGGACCTTGACTACAGCAGAGGTAATCACGCCAAAGGTACCTCCTCCACCGCCCAGCATAGCCCAGTACAGGTCACTGTTGACCTCTGGGGTAACAGTGACGAAGCGGCCACTGGCAAGGACAACTTCGAGAGCGACGATCTGATCGGAGCCGACACCGAACAACTGCATCAGGGGACTATGACCACCGCCTGTGGAGTAACCACCGAACACACCAACGGTCGGGCAGATACCGGCGATAGCGGAAACGCCATATTTGTCGGCGGCCTGGTAGAGCTCGAAACCTTGAACACCCGCACCGACTTTGAAGACTGGCCCATTGTACGTCGAACTCTTGTAGTCTTTGACGTACTTGATCTCCTTGAGACCATGAGTCCAGATGCTAAGCGCACCCTTTCCAACTGAACGACCATTGTAGTCGTGCCCGGTGTTACGAACAACCAAGCGGAGGTTCAGGGTACGGGCAAAGTTGACAGCCAATTGGATCTGTGCAACGTTGCTGACTTTCACAGCGTATTCTGAGTAGCCTCCTTGGGTACAAGTGCCATTGGCGAAGTCGCCTGAAGTGGGAATAGGGCAAGTCATTCCATACCACAGAGGGTTCATCAGCGCACCGTTGTCGACATAGCTACTCCTGTCAGTGTCTGTGCCTGTATGCTGTCGGTCATCGTTCACCTACTAAATCTCTTCCTGATCCCAGTTCTCGACCAGGTTCGCGCACTTTGCGGCGTCGTAGTTGTTGTACTCAGACTTCTTGTAACAGGACGAGCCTATAGGAACGATTTTCTCCAGCGCACCGCCTAGCAAGAGATCGAAAACACTCCACGTGAGCTTGCCTGGGTAGAGAAGATCGCCAGGCATGGTCTTGCATCGGAGTGATCGTCGCACACGGCGGGTTCGCGCTGATAGTGTGGAGTTTGAGCTGTCTTCAAACTCGAAGAGTGAAGCATACTCAGCGAGATCAGGGTTCTCTTGCATCGATGAGACAACATCGTCAGTCAGCTGTACAGCCTCGACACCGAAAAGAGGGAGGTTGGCAGGTGTGGCATCGATAGCAAGTGTCTCAGCAGCAGGTGGGACGGAGAAAGTGAGCGTAGCGCTCTGTGCCGCGGTGAAACCGGCACAGGCCAAGGAAAGAGTGAACGACTTCGCCAACATGTCGGACGATGCACTCCTGCAGTTGAGAGGGAAATCAAGGACGGCTGGTTGATGAGTCCCTGGCTGCCACGTTCTTGCGTTGTACGCAGGGTTTTATACGAGTTTGCTTGTAACGTGCAGGTGGCGGCGATTAACCCTATCTCGGTCGAGCCATCTACCAATCCTTCGGATGCCATCTGCTCATCCCGGCATCGGCAAACGGAAGTGGGATGAGCACCAGGCGTGGCCACCTTGTCTAGAGTCTAAAGACTGCAGGGGTATTCCTCTGTGGTCCCGTCCAAAGGACGCGAAGGCGCGAAGGATGATACCATAAAACTCGGCATTCACGCCGCATGCATGCACGACTGTGGGATTCTATTCGCTCTGAACATAGCAGTGGAGAGAACTCAGACTCCCTAAATGAAGATGGTGCCACTCGGGTTTAACAATATCACAGTGAGCCATCTTACCGCCATCGAGCCGACGGGTTTGACTGAGTATACTAGCTTACATATAGGTACGGACCGCGGGCAAGGCGTTCCGCACATCAGCCCCTGTGGAGTTTTAGTCCCACCGCGGATGCACGGTGCGCAGATTCCTGGAGAAGATACCGGATTCGACAGCTGGTGGGGCACTAGAGAAGACCCTGCTCATAGAGCGAATCCTATAACCGTGCCACACAACACCCAAAATAGCACTCTGAGAAGTTTTTGTAACTTCAAGTAGGTGTTACATTGCTCTACGATGTTGACATATCTTTTTAAAATGAACCACGCTTACCTATAGGTATCCTCAGGAACACATAGCCAAATGATGATATTGGAGGCGGTGGCAATAAGAACATTCCAAGCCAGGCCTTTGAATCCTTTGCTAAGATAAGCTCTTCCTAGAGAAGGATCGTTCAAATCCACGCTCCACTATGGTTTGCGAACCCGAGCCTGCCACCATGAATTAAGGGATGGCGAAGGAATAACGGCGACACAGACTATCCTAGTTCGAAAACGCTTTGGTGCATGAAGCATAATCCATCAGGGCTTGCTCTCTTGCACATGCTTTCATGTCGGCATCGTGGCCTCGAACTTTAATACAAGATGAAGTTACGACTATGCCGCTTCAGCTATGTGCATTTGATTAATCTCAATGGCGGCTCGGCGGATCCGGCAACACGGGTGTTTGACGGATGAGATCGCATCTCCGCTTCGACTTGAAAGTTACATTCCTCCAAACACCTCTCGGGTTCGTGGCGTTACCAACATCACGGGGGCGGAATTGGCGCTCTCGGCATGCTGCGAGGTGTGATGGACCCTGTCCGGGTATCGTTTTGAATTTCCCTGCCGTCAGACTGTGAGTTGTGCAAGTACTTCATGAGTGCCACTTCCCGTGTGACTTTCACTGAATTGGTTTTCGATCCGTACACAGGTCTGACTATTCGTCATGCCTGCACCCGGTATCCCGGCGCCAGATATGTCTGGTGTTGATTCTGGACTTCAACCCACGCTCATAGCAATGCTGTATCTTTTTCCTGGACTTGCACTCGTGGTGCTACTGGTTCGGTTCTGGAGGAAATGGGTAGATAACATTCTTGGCGGAGGTATGAACACACAATTGTGGTTGCTGAGCTACGCTAATTTCCTCATAGACGATGCACTGATCGCCATCGCCTGGGCTCTCGCCTTAGGCAACAGCGTCATTACGCATCAGTGTAAGGCCGTTGGTAGTATTTTAACATCGAAGAGTCTGACGAGTACAAAGTTTGTGTGGCGCTATATACTGGTTATCACGATAAGGATGTCCCGTATCCAACTATTGACTTCGTTCATGCATTCAAGGTAAATCAGAGTAAGCTACATGTCTCGACATATTACTGAAAAGCCCCCCTCTGTACAGCTCAAATATGGTCTCAGCGTTATATATTCACCATGCATCGGTTTCGTCAAAGCCTCCTTCCTATGGACGCTCTACAAGCTTCGTTCAAACAACCCTTGGATCAAGCGATCTATCATTAGCCTCCAGGCGATCAACACTGCATTCATCGTTGCATTCACCATACTCGCGGCGATACCCTGCCTACCAATCGCAAAGAACTGGCAACCAGATCTTCCTGGACGTTGCTACGATCCGCTAGATTATATTTTGGCCAACATCTCTATTGTACTCATCACCGACGTGTTGGTTCTCCTGTAAGAACCCCTTTTGCTAATATGATGATACCTACTGATAACGAATCAGCATTCCTACATGGATCATCTGGGACTTGCAAATGCCACTCAAGCGAAAAATTGTCACAGTATCGTTCCTCTCTCTCGGTTTCATCGTAATCGCAATCGGCGTCGTGCGTTTCATCTGGCTCATCAATTCGTTCCAAGGCAGAACCAAAAGCTACAGCGTCGAAGCATCTTACTCCGCGATAGAGTCTAGTGTCGCCATCATCGGAACCTCAGGGCCGACTATTAAATACATATTGTCGCGCTTCATACCCTGGCTCCGTCCTTCGTTCGAACGCTCTTCCGGGAACAAGAATTCATATAACAAATATGGCAACCATACTGATGTTGTTGCCCAACGAAGCAGGTCGCAGTACGGCGCACAAAGTGGATATGATGACTTGGACAGGATGAGTGTTCATCATCAGGAATTCGAGATGAAGAGTGGCTGGCAAAAGAAGAAGGGATGGGATGACGATGCAAGAAGTGATGAGCAGCACATCACAGGGGACGGCATCAACAAGACTGTGGAATGGACAATACACTCGAGAGAAGAAGTACGAATAGGCAAAGCGGTGTCAGTTGATCCAAATACCACGAACGGAAAGCCTGCTGCGAGTCCCACGCAGATCATCTAAGCTTGGTGTTATGAGTGGGACGTTGAGGACGCTACGATCATCGAGATGAGTCCAACTGGGATACAAAGACGCTCGTAGGCAGCTGTGCTGTGCTGCATACGTAGTGGGGCCGCGCCTCACAAAACCCTGATACATTCAAAGAATAGACTGTATGACACGTTTTCGAAAGATTGTGAGGGTTGACGCCAAATTCACACTACGGACTCGCTCCAAGACGTCAGCCATTCCCTTTTGGCCAACTCCAGATTCCCCTCGATGTCTTTGGTGCTATTTCCCACCATGCAGTTCGTTCATCTTATCTTCGAATTTCCATCTTCCCCCCTAAGGATGCATGGTTCCGCGCCCAGACAGGATGTGGGTCCTTTTGAGCTTCCGTACTCGATTGGAAGTAGACCATTTGTTCGTTGGCACCCTCGCATGCCATGTAATAGCGAAATCTTCGACGTTATTCCTCACGCAGTTCCATTGGATATGTAAATAAATATTGCGCGAGTCCACTCTTCAGCAGTCGTACTGGTAATCTCGCCTAGTATCGCATCCACTACAATACGACAGTAGGATCGAGGTACAGCGACTTTGCAGTGGAATCACGCAGCCGCCTATGTGCTTGCGATGGGGCTGCAGGAGGATGAATACGATGGCAAATAACGGAAGCTTTCCAGGGGCTAGCAAGCGAGAAAGCGGGAATTGTTGACCAGCCAAGGATTGGGTGCGCCCAAGCGACCTGATGAGAATAGTAAAGGCCTCCCTTTGGACGACTGGGGGAGAGAATCAGAACTCAGCTGCGAAGCTTCCATTTCTCCGACTTCTAACGAGAGTAAGAGTCGAAGAGGCAATCAGCAGGGCACTCGCTGTTGGTGACATTCGGTCGCAACTGTCCCGGTCACAGTGACGGCTTTATTTCCGAAAGATGGGGCACAGTATACCCGACTCGGCGACTTCCCCTCAAATACCTTACCGGCGGTTGGCCGAACCATAAGACGAGATCTCCACTGATCCTGGGCTTCGCAGAGAGCTTGAACGATGTCGCGAATTGACGGAGCTGAAGTAGCAAAGCACAATAGCAAAAACGATTGCTGGATAGTGCTAGATTCCAAGGCATATGATGTGACAAATTTCCTGTCAGATCACCCGGGTGGCGCACCGATTATCCTGAAAAACGCCGGGTCGGTGAGTGCAGTCTTAAGGTTAATAAGGTTCCATAACTGATATCGAATAGGATGCGACAGAAGAGTTCAAGAAATACCACCCGTTGAGCTATCTGGAAGATTACTTGTCCAAAGATGCGTTCCTCGGACCTGTCGACCCCAACACATTCGGCCAGCTACGCCAGATCAAGAGCGAAGAATCGACAAAGCCATCTAGAACCGACCCCAATTCCAACGAGATCCCACATGTGAGCTTGTGCGTCTCCACAACCGACTTTGAAGCAGCGGCCAAAGCAGTCCTACCTCACAAGTCGTATGTTTACGCTGCCGGGTCCGCCAACACTGGTGTATCGCTCAAAGGCAACCTCGATGACTGGAGTCGTATCAATTTCCGACCGCGTGTAATGCGCAACGTAGGCGATGTGGATACGCGTCGCAAGATCTTTGGGCATAGCTCACCGTACCCATTCTACATCTCTCCCATGGGAACCATGGGTGCCATTCATGAAGCTGCCGAGCCAGAGATGATTCGAGGAGCAGTACGGAAGGGAATTCACAAAGTCGTCAGTACTGCGAGCTCGAAGAGCAGCGAGCAGATTATGCAGAGCTATCACGATGAGCAAAAGCGACTTGGAGATGGCAGCCCGACGCAACTATTCTACCAATACTACATGCCTGTCGACCGCAACAAAGCTATCGAGCTCATGCGAATCGTCAAACGCTGCGGATACAGGGGCCTGTGGATCACAGTCGACACGCCTGTTCTTGGCAAGCGAACGGCGGATCGCTATCTCCAGGCCGAAGAGGCGCTAGCTGTCGGCCTTGCAGAGGAGAGTACTGCTGAATGGGAGACAGGCGGCGATAACGCTTTCGCGCCTGCCATGGGTGGACGGCCAGTACAAGGCCAGTTGAGTCCGCACACCACATGGGAGGATTTAGAGTGGATCCGCAAGGAATGGGATGGACCGATCGTGTTGAAAGGGGTGCAATGTGCGGATGACGCGAAGCTTGCGATGGAGTATGGTTGTGACGGAGTCTTGCTCAGTAATCACGGTGGCAGGCAAATGCACACTGCACCGAGTGCGCTCATGACGTTGTTGGAGATTCGAACGTACTGCCCAGAAGTGTTGAAAAAGTTGGAAGTCTTCCTTGATGGCGGTTTGAGAGATGGAAACGATGTGCTAAAGGCGTTATGTCTGGGCGCGACAGCGGTGGGCGTGGGAAGACCGTTTCTATATGCGCTTGGAGCTTATGGGTCGAAGGGTGTCGAGAGATGTGTTGATGGTAAAGTCTAACCGCGGCTTTGGAGTCAAGAAGACATACTAACATGCAATAGTTCTTGCGGATGAGCTGCAGACGGGCATGCGCTTGTTAGGCATCACATCGCTGGACCAGTGCAGACCTGAAATGGTCAATGCAACACGACTGCTGAACGAGATGTGGCGACCGGAGCAATTGAGCTTGAAGAGTAAGCTGTAAGGCCAATAATATTACCAGTTATTTCCGGATGTATGCTTGGAAAACTTTGAGTTTTGCGTGTGAATGTTATGGAAGTCTACTTCAGGCGCACATCGCAATACTCCTTCGCTCAACGCAGGAGATTCGTACTTGCAGAACTAATGGGTAACAAGCTCAGCCCGCACTAGAGTGATGCTGCTCCTGTCGCCGATGCCGCCAAAGGCCACATTGGTGAAAATTTCTTTACCCCTCTGCCCCTCACCCCACACCCCACCATGCCTCCGGCTATAAACCTTTAACAATATATTTGCATTTATTGTTCATTCTTTCATCAAAACATCCTCAGGTGAGATGGCCGAGGTTAGTAACTCCCATCAATCTTCTCATCAGATCTCCTTCTAACATCATTCAGTTGGTTATGGCGCCAGGTTAAGGTTATCTTAACACATATTCCTGGTCACGAAAGTGGCGTGGGTTCGAGTCCCACTCTCATCAGCATTCGTCTGCTTCAGCAGATATCCCAGGATACTTTTTTTGCGGTGTCGGGAGTTTCAGAGCAATGGTAAGCTAACCACGTTAGCACCATCGCTGCCTTGACACCTATAACCTTTTTTTGTCGGGCTAGTACGCAGCGTGCCACATGTCATCTGCTTACGACAAACTCTAGTAAAATTGCGTATCGTGATGTTTTTACACGTCTTCGTAAACCAGAGAGCAATTTGGGCAATAAGCACATGCTTAACGACAATGCTTCCAACTATGTAACATTTGTTTGAGGACTCAGAGCGCACTACCTTATTGTTGCTCACACACCGTTTTCTCTCACTTTTTAGCGATAGCGACATGCGCTACGCATGGAAACCCCTCTACTTCAACCACATCCGCGTCTTTTTTCCCGTTTAACGGCCTCTGAACCTTAACTGCCGCCTTCTTCCCAGCAATGTTCAATTGCTTCCTAAACTCTTCGTTCTCCTCGTCCGTCCACTTTGGTCCCATATGCTTCCACATGCCAAACAAATAACCGCAAGTCTCTTCCACACTCTTTGACGCATAGTACACTGTCTTTTCTTGCAACTCAACATCCTTGAATCCTGCACCTTCCAGCGTCTTCTTCAAGTGCGGACCTTCGTACCAATCGTCCGAGACAGGCCAGCGGAACAAGGGCGCATCTGGCTTGACGGCTTTTTGCGCTTCGTGTACAACAGACATGTGACCCACGGACTTCCAGCTAGTAACAATAGCAGTGCCGCCTGGTTTGAGCGTGCGATAGATCTGAGCTGCGCCCTTTGCTGCGTCGGGGAAGAAGAAGATGCCCATATTGGTGATGGAGTGTGTAAACATCTCATCGGGGTATGTCAGGTCGATGCCGTCGATCACGTCGAAGGATAGAGTTGCCGAGGATTTCGTAGCAGAAACGGTGTGGTGTGCTAGATCGACCATTGATTTTGCGTTGTCGACACAGGTAATCTTCAGCGGAGTGTCGGGGTGCTTGAACAGAATTTCTTGCGCGACAATACCAGTTCCGCATGCATTGTCTAGAACAACGGAGTCGGAGTCAATCGGAGGTAGTATGTCGACGAGATATATGGCAACCTCACGGGTGCAACCACCGGTAGAGGCCTCATAGGTTGACGCGAGCGTGTCGAACATTGCGCTAGCGGTTACACTGGGTTCACTCATGATGATCAAATGATCGTTGTTGTGTCTCGAGTGGTGCAATGTATATGCTGAAAGAAAACAAGCCGAAACTAGCAAGGTACTTATAGGCGGCTCAAGGCTTACGAGAGATCAACAGCTGACACGCGTGATGGCTGAAGTGGGGCAAGTCAACATGTGAGATACGCGAAAGACATCAATCAGATCTCGTATTCCATCGGAAGGAATCTATCTTTGATTACATCTTCAGAATCGATTGCTAAGTCTCCGGGTTTCTTCCAGCCAAGAGCTCGGATACTTTCACCCATCTAAAGTACCCGAGTTTAGAAATCGAGTACATCTCTTTCATGGCAATCGAGAGCCGGGCGTAATACGCCCCGTCGTTGATTCAATATAGTGTGAGCTAGTAAATCCTTCACCACTCGAATTCCGTGTCGCCGAAGGAATGTTTCACATATCTCATAGCGGAAGCACCCAACATCTACTTCATTATCTTGCCCTTTGATAGAAATGAACGCCTGTTTGGTGCTAATCTGCGCGGGCTCTGGAAAGATATCGTTCGCCTACACAGATCCTAAGTAGTCGGTGGGGACTCGGAGGTACGCATGGAGGACTGATCATTCAGAGCTTCGCATCATCCTTGAATCTGATTAATCCATCTTGAAAGGTCGTTGCAATGTGTACGCCACGTTCGTAGTCCCACATACGACTAGTATGCAGCGCCCTCCCGCCTGTAGCTCGAGTAAGCCAAGCCTCCTGCACAAACCACTTCCGTCCGTCTTTATCGCCACCCTTATGGCTCTCTAGGTTGCAAAGTGGTAGCGCGCCATCCTCCCATAATGTCGGATCGGCGTTTGGGTGGTCGATCCGCGGCTCAGATGGCATTATAAGATCTTTGATGCCAACGTGGAAGATGACGCTGTGAGATAGGGATGCCATGCGAGTGTAATCTCGAGGCCGATCGAGATGGTTTGGGACGATGAAGAGCGAGTTACGGTCCGATGCGTACAAGTGTGCACAAGCGTGCATGTTAGCCTCACGCGTCAAAGTCGGTTTCTTGATGGAATCTGACGGGGGCGGATATGGCGCGGTAGGCAACGGTAGTGAGCCGCGGAGTGTGTAGAAGGTTAATTGTTTTCGATCGAGCGGGTGCCGGCTGCGATTGTAGTTGGCCATGTCAACCTTGCGGATGTGTAAGCCAGCAATAGGATTGAAGTGATTTGGGTGAGCTGGGAGGTACGTTTCGCGGAAATACTCGGAGTCGTTACTCGGAGCCGCAGCATGTTCCATTGGCTCATCGTCTCTGACTTCTAGTGCGTCCCTGTACATCTCTTTCAGATCAACATGCTCCTGCATGTCGAGAAGTGAGCTCTCTTCTCGCTTGAACGAGCAGGTACATGTAAACATATCTCCATGAGCCGCGACTTGGCTCACGGTAACATTTCGGGTGCAATAGTTGTAGCCGTCTCGGATCTTTCTAACACGGTATGTGTAGTGTTCATTAGGCTTACCACCTAGGATGAACCATCCGGTGATGTTCTATCATATTGGTTAGCTGCCATGAGAGTATATTGCTAACAGCTTACGTGGATAAGGAACCCTTCCTTAACGGTTTGCGCCGCAGCCCATGCAGCTTGAGCAAACACGTGCCCTCCATACGTTCCGTTCTCGCCGCCAGTTGGTGAGTAAGCTTTGACGATCGAGCGAAACGTCCAATCATCGATACGTTCAAGTTCGATGACTTTGTCGAAAGGAAGTACGCGTCTATCGTCGGTGAAATAAGAACGTACAACCATGATAGCGATGAGATATTCTGAAATGATGTAGAGGTTTGAATGGTTAGTTTTCTTGCTTTGCCGAGTCGGTGTTGGTGTTTACAACTGGTGTTCAACGCGACGCTAAAAAGTTACCTCGGAACGCGCGGGGTTCGGTTGGATGACGGGATAAGCCAACAACCTCTACTAGTGTCACTCAAGCCGTGTAGATACTTTTGACGCGATAGAATGACTATGCGACGCTATGTGCTGCTATTATCAGTAAAGAAGCTACGACTATCCACATGCCTGGTTGTCTGCTTTAGTCTGATCTCCCGGACCTCGTCTCCAGAAACCATACCCTGACAAAGTAAAACACAAGACCACAAAGCCATATTCCTACGAGGACCGCTGCTTGTATGGGTGCAAAAACAGCACCTCTGATAACGACGAAGCCACTGATTAGGGCGAACAGTATGGGGATAACGATGAGCGGTTTCACTGGTCGGGGTAGATCGGGCTCTCGGAAACGCAAAATGATGGCGCCGAGCACGGTGAGGAAGAAGAAAGCATATTCAGCCAGGCCATTCAAAGTCAACAGAATGCGCATGTTTCCGAGCAGAATGTAGATGCCGGAGAGTATGGTGTTGAGAATCAAAGCATTACTAGCGTTTGTTAGGGAGTGGTTATCAAGTAAACTCGGATGTACATACATTGGAGACTCTCCATTATCCATGGTCATGTCCGCTGGTTCGCCCGAATCGGCAATCTTGCTCACTTTCAGTGTACCGACACAACCGACAGTGCCAAGAACTCGCGGAAACCAGTTGTTGTTCGCTGCTGCGACAGTCATCCTTCCAGCCACGAAAGAGTTACCAAGAGCGGAGCCCGCAATTACAAGGCAGATGAGCGCTGTAGCAAAGTAAGCTACACTCTTGCCAAGGAATTGGGTAACAGCCGTCTGATGCGTGTCAGTATGTGAAGTTGTGGCACGCAAGTCTGGAAAACTTACTACAGCAGCAGCATCTGTTGTTGATACAACCTCCCAAGGGAGTAGAATATAGTAGACGGCGTTGGCCGCGATATAACAAAGTATGATGGTAGGTATAGCGGTGTTGATGGAGAGTGGCAGTTGGCGGCTGGGATTTCGCAACTCAGCTGCAACATAGTTTGCCTTGTCCCAGCCAGAGTACGCCCATAAGGCTCCATAAAGAGCTGTACTGTAGAAGCCAAGTGACTGCCACGTAGTCACTTTTGTCCAGTCGAACCTCGATCCATCGGGTAGTACCGTGTCTCTTGGAGAAAACCAATTGTTTCGATGCCAATCATGACCTCCGAGGTCCTTGCTCTTTCCCACAAAAACGAAGACCACGACTAAACCAGCTACGATGAGGAGAAAGATGGTAAGCAATTTTATGGCAACGAAGAAGCTAGACAACCGGGTGCTCGTTTTGGTGCTGATGGAGTTTAGAGTCGTTACACACACTAGGACAAGCAGAGACAGCAATTTATGCGTGATGGGCGGATCTGGTTCGTTCACACCCAAGCTGGAGTAGATGGACTCCACAAATACGATGCTGAGAATCGCAAGTGTAGCTGGCATGGTTGCTACGACCCAAGACCAAGCGGCCATGTATCCAAAGACATCTCCGTAGATGTAAGTGAGATACGGTTGGATGCCGCCCTCGCCAGGGAACGCGGTACCTAGTTCCGCCATGGTCAGAGCACCAGTCCATGCTAGAATACCACCAACTAGCCATACAAGTAGCCCAGCGCCAGGTGATGGAACGTTCGCATCGATAGGTCCAGGCGATGAAAATACTCCTGAGCCGATGACGATGCTTATCAGGAGCGCAAATCCATCGAGCGCACCCAGATTGCGGGCAAATGTGCTTCTCGCGGCTGTAGTGTCATCGTGTTCCTCGTCCGGAGCGTATGATGTCGTCGATTCTTGGCGGAGCAGAGGCGCTGTCTCTGAGGGTGCCATTGTCGTGTTCTTGAGGTGTGAGGCTTGATAAGCTAATTGTCGTTCTTGCCGAGGTGATGGAGCGTCACACGTGTCCACGTGGTGTGACTTGGAGCTACGCGTCCTCTCTGAGCTTTTCAAATGTCGCAAGCATACGTTTTTTGATATTGCTAAGCCAAACGAACCAATGTCGAATGTGGTGGTGGTAGGAGATGACAGGAAGGCTGAATCGATTTGCCGCGCGACGCTATCGCGTCAGGATAGGCTCAAGTTACGTCATCCTGATCACCTACTAAACGCGACATCAGAACGCGAAACTTCGTTCGCTAGTACCTTTGCAGATCTACGTCCATACATTTTGAAGGCTCCGTTGAGGTTGGATTCTTTACACATTCATCGTTTATCCAGCGTAACGTCATCTTGCATACCACAACTTGACATCTTCCTTTTTCGCTCACTCGAAGCTTGCACCCCTGCAGCCAAGTGTTTGCTGTCGCCTAGGCACACATGTATCCATTAGAAAATATAGAGTACATGATCAACAATGTACTATCCAAGGGTCTGGAGCGACCAGTTGCGAAGAAATCGGTCGCTGGGATAGTCTTAGAACTCGATAGCACTGTCGCTCCGGGACGAGCTATTCGAGCTCAAACAAGGCAACGATTGTAATTGAGGATTGAGGAGTTCCTTATAGCTTCCTACAACTCTTTATAGCCAGAGAAGGAACAAAATGGTGCAGAGGATACATAAGAAATTGCAATACCAAACGTTGAAGGTTAAAGATAAACCTCCTGCAGTCAGAAAGAAGTTCTCGCGCATAAACAGCGGTGTCTGTTCGAATGCAGCGCTCTGTGCCATTCGGATCGCATGTGAATTGTCGTTTAGTTACAGCGCTGGGATGACCAGAAACCTGTTCGCTAGCGTGCCTTCACACGGGAAATGGTGGGGAGGTTAAGCTTAAATTCTTAGTGCAATGACAGGCCAATGACGTTAAGTGGAATTCTCGGCCCTTGCGGGCTTAGTGGACTGCACAGGGCTTAGTGACACGCATCATCATGGCGACGTCATTCCTGTGAGCTCACAGTTTGTTTGCAGCTGCTTAAAGCTCTGGATCCCTTGTCGACCTTTCATCATTCACACACTATCTTTTTGCAAGACACCCCAATATCTTCCAATTGTTTGCCAACCTCTTCATCCAATCAATTGAACGAAAAGAACACACACATACCAACACAATTATGTTCTCAAGACAAGCAACCCAGAATGCTCGCTTTGCAGCCCGCTGTGCCCGCCGTCCAGCTGGGCGGGTACCCAACCCCCAGTTCCGCGCTCAACAACCGCGCTTCCAGTCTACCGAGTCAGCAACCTCCGGCAACGCGGGCGCCGGCTCACATGCCGCCATCGGTGCCGCCTCCGGTGCTCTTGCAGCTGTTACAGTCGGCTACATCTTTTACAGACAATCAGGCGCTCGCGATGTTGTGTTAGCTTCCAAGACTGCTAAGAGCTATGTCAACACAGCCACACAGAAGATCAAGGAGCAGACACCAGAACCCAACGAGGCACTGCAATGGCTCCGAAACGCCGCGCAGAGCTACGCTGCTTTCATCCCCGGTGCCAAGGGCTACGTTGACTCGGCGTTTGACGACCTCGATGCCATTCGCGCAAAGCACGGCAAGGAGGTTGACCAGATCGTCTCCGAGGCATACGATGAGATGCGCCGGGTTCTCGGCAATGGCGACATGAGCCTCGTTACCGCACACAAGACTTGGGACGTCATCACCAAGCACATGAGCCGCATCGCAGACCTTGCCGGTGACGCGTCACAACAGATCATGGACAACCACCCTCAGCTCAGGGAGAAGGTCGGCGGTAACATCGACAAGCTCAAGGAGTACGGCGACAAGTACGGTCCCGAGGCCAAGAAGGAGGTCGACAGGACATGGAAGCAGATCAGCGACGTCGTCAAGACTGGTGTGAGTGCATCAAACATCGAGAAGATCAGGAGTATCGTACAAGAGAAGGTCGAGAAACTGAAGAAGATGGGCGATGAGGCGTGGGATAAGGGTATGGAGCAGGCAAAGCCCTACCTTGACAAGAACCCTCAAGTCAAGAAGATTGTGGAGGAGAACGCGGATGCGCTGAAGAGCGGAAACGTCCAAGAGCTATACGAGCGCGTCAAGTCTGCCGTCGAGAAGGGCGATACTGGTGACCTTGAGTCATACGTCAAGAGCGCCGCCAACAAGGCCAAGGAGTCGGGCTTCGGTGGTGACTTTGAGCAGTACTTCAAGCAGATCCCTGGCGGCGACCAAATCATGCCTAAGCTAAGCCAGCTCCAAGACGTTGCTCAGAAGCACGGTGACGAGGCACAGAAGCTCTTCAAGGACACCATCTCGGAGATCTCGAGCATTCTCCAGAAGAAGGGAGATGAGGCAGCGAAGTTGGCTGAGAAGGCCAAGGAGGACTCTAAGAAATAGGACACCGCAAACATGTTGTCCTAGCATGATGAAGTGTTTAACGATTACTTTACTTGTACCATAATGCATCATCGGCGTTGCCCATATTTAGCGAAAATATCTCAATCTTTATAAACAATCTTCAAATCGACTTTCCTGTTACTCATTTCTGCTATCGCCGTCTCAAGTCTCTTGGTAATGTCCGGCATGCATTCTTCCCACAGTTGGCTAGTTGCATATGTACAGGTATGCACCTACTGTTTTTCTTCCATCACAAGGTCGATGTCGAACTTCAACAGCTTTGGCATGTTCGTGATGGTATAAGCGCTCCAAAGACTCCTAGCTCCAAAAACACGTTCAGTGTACAAGGCTCACATGGTGCCTCTGCCGCTACTTTCCTCGAAAAGATAGGCATAGACGGTCGAGCGAACATGACTACCCTGGATCTTGCTGGGACCTGGCTCTGGATGTACAACAATCTGTTTCGCTCTTGTCGCAAGTTAACCAGCTTGCGCAATCTCTATATTTACATGAACGTTGGTCATGTCATTACGTTCAACTCGTACAAAGTCGTTCGTACGTGTGTTTTGCAGAACAATCCACAGTTCGAAGACATTCCGACGCTAGAACTACTTCAGACAACAAACACATCGACGAGAACAACTGTCGGAACTGGTGATGAATGCGTATTGTAACGTGTGCAGAATAGTTTGCAGGGCAGAGGTGTGGAGGTTATGGTCCCTGTTGTTAGCGCCGGGAGTAGGCGATTGAAGGATGACGACACAGACGAGTTCTTGTAAGGACAAGGGGCGTAGCATTGCTGCTTGGAAGAATTGGGGAGAAGCGTGCCTGGAAGATATTCATAGTCTGCTAAATTATTACCATGTTAACGCAGGATAGGGCGGATGCCTCTATGGTAGGCTTGTAGCCCCAGGAGTATTGCTTGACACACAAGCCCCTTAACATACGGCGTACCAGGGAATGTGGCATACAGTATGCGGTTGATAGATTCGACGAAGCAGTCTTGTCATTATATAAGCAGAACCTAATAAAACTTTCTTTTTGAAAATACATTTGCGTATGCCAATGGATGGCATTCCAAGTAATGATAGCTGCCTTGAGGAGTGTGCGGGGATGCATGCCCATCACTGCCTGTATGCAGGAACTACTCACTGTGCACACCGCAAAGCGTATTAGACTTTCGGGAATCCTCTATGCGGGGTGAGCTGATTGGCGTGAGGGGAGGTTGCACAAGGCGTGGGCGTGCAGTGGCATAACCATCAAATGCAGTGGCGCGCAGCGTCAGAGAAATGCACAGGCGGTGAGACGAGGGCGTAGAAGCAGTGATGGTTGTAGTGAAAGACGCTACAAAAGAGTGCAATGTTAGGTGAATGCGCATTTACCATCAGGCTGCAAAGGAGTTGTCGCCAAAGTAACCCCGCGATCGGCTAAGGAAGTGAGTGGGTCCGAGGTGAGAGAAAGTGGTGAGAGAAGCTGCAACCGCGACGTTCGTCCGCCCAATGGACTGGGCACGCTCCACTGGGGCAGCCAATGACGTAAACGCGCCTCCCTCCCCTGCTGCACCGCCCTTCCCTGACACCTGGCAAGCGCTGCTACTCTATTTACTTCTCCCTCAACAAAACCCCAGCCTTCTACATCTTCTCACTCAATTCCCCACTTCTCTCTACCAAACTCTTTCCTTGGACGTCGATCGACACTACTACTACTCCTGCTACTACTACTACCACTTACTCAACTCAAACAACCGCAACCATGGGCAAGGTAAATATTCGCGTGCTAAGATCTACCCCGCCGGTACCCCGCTAACACCTGCATAGGCGAAGTACATCATGCTCGACTGCGACAACACGCTCGTCCAGTCTGAGCGTTTCGCGTTCGAGGCCTGCGCCGACCTCACCAACCAGGTCATGGAGAAGCACAACATCGATGCCCGCTACACAGCCGAGTCATTGCTCGAGGACTTTGTCGGCCACAACTTCCGAGGCATGCTCAAGGGTCTGCAGAAGAAGCACAACTTCACCATGCCTGAGGACGAGATGGAGGACTTCGTCGCGCAGGAACTCGGTGCCGTCACTCTCAAGCTCAGCCAGAAGGCCGTCGAGTGCCCTGGCGTTACCGACCAGCTCAACAAGCTCAAGGAGCAGGGCTACCCCATGTCTGTTGTCTCTACTTCCGCCAAGAGCCGTGTCGTCGCTTCCATCGAGAAGGCAGGCATCGCCCACTTCTTCCCTCCCGAGCACGTCTACTCCGCAGCCACCTCACTCAACCCTCCTTCGTCCAAGCCCGACCCCGCCATCTACCTATACGCTGCTGAGCAGCTAGGTGTCAAGCCTTCCGAGGCCATCACCGTCGAGGACAGCAAGAGCGGTGCCACTGCTGCCATGCGTGCTGGTATTCCGTGCATCGGCTACGTTGGTATCTACGGCATCGAAGAGGGCAAACAGAAGATGGACGAGATGGCCAAGCTTCTCACTGAGGAGACCAAGTGCGCTGCCATCATGTACGACTGGAAGGAGTTCCCAGAGTGCTTGAAGAAGGTAGAGGCCAAGTTGTAAGTGCTTGGTCGGACACTGGGGAGCTGAGGAAGATGAACATTTGATCAACTCTACTTGCCATTGCAGGGGAGCTTACGATTACATTCACGACATCAATGACTAAATAGATTCAGTAATGAAGATTTAGTGGACATAGGTCCCATTCACATCTACAACAACCACCTTCAGTATTGCTCACTCTGCCATGTTTACTGTTTTGTTTGGTGACGCAATGGTGGGACCCGCGCCGTTCAGTGAAAAGGCGCGTTCCAGGCTCGGAGTGACGGCCCAACGCTGCCCCGCCATCCCCACTTGGTTCCTGCAAACTTCAACGCGAAACATCCCGAACATCGAACATTTGCCTTTACCATCCCAGATCTCTTAGTGCCGGCTTCTCGCGGCGTTGATTTCTGCTGCTCACGTGTACTAGAGTGCGCAGTTTGAGCCGCCGTACCTACGTCTACGGCCCGATCCATCCACGCACTAATCCTCCCACTCCGACTTCAGCACTAGCAGGCTTCCAATCGTACGACTGAGCAGCCCATAGCACCCGTTCAGTGATGGAACCTTATAAAAGCAACTTGCACGTGATTGTAAGCAGATCATACGATGAGGCCACACAGCAGCTATGCGCCCGCCAGGTTGCCAAGCAAAACATGCCTCGGTAAGGTGGGGCGTTAATATCACCCAAAGTCGTGCTCTCGTGCGTTCTTTGCGCAAGACCCAACAGCCCCTTGTCGGCTGGGTCATTCCACAAAGCAAAACCAGCCCACCACGCCCTTCGCAGAAAAAACTGGACTGGTGGTCTGCGCGCTCCCTTAATGTACAATTTCACTACCTTACAACAGCACAACAACAACGTTTCTAAGAATTTAAACCTTACGGAGATAACTCTCTATTCGTTAAAGTATAAGATAGAAGGTTCTTAAAAAAATTACCTCTTCTTGTTGCTATGTGCAGCAGGTGTAAGAGGTCTCCTATCTCCTAGCGTGCCTAGAGGTGTTTAGTTCTTTCTGCGAAGGGCGTGCCACTGAACAGCTGGATATCGTGTGCGCAAGTGCTAGCACAGAGTTCGACGACAGCACCTCATCCTGTCGTTATCTTCGCTCAACGGAGCTGCATCTTGGCACTCTGGGCGCTGTCCTCTTCCTCGGTGGCCAAGATATGCTTGATGAAGCCTCCTTCCTAACTCGTCCACAGCTCCTTGCTCGAAGCTTTTGCTTCATCTAACACCACCAATGCCATACCCTGCACGGCATTCGACGTCATATACACGTTGCTTATGATCTCTGTCGACTGCCAATCGTGGATCTCTACCACCTTTTGCGATGGGTCACTACATGAGTGGTAGCATCGAAAGGGGCAGGTATTGTGGCTACCTGCCGAGTTAGCCATAGGTGGTGCAGTATAGATACTGGCATGTCGAGCACCGCCATGTCGGAGAGCACGTATTTAAGAGTGCGTGAAGAGCCCGCTGTAATCATCCATCAGCATCTCGCGCATCGCCCAAGTCGCAGTCAAAATGTACCTTCGCACAGCCCTTCTCTCCTTGTCCGCCCTTGCGGCGGCAAAGGAAATGCCGAAAGACGAGTTCAGAGCCGCACAGCTATATGACTCTGGCATCAGGCACGAAAACAACGTGGCCCTCAAGAAGGTTACAAACACATCATAGCTTCCTTGGAGCCTGCATTAACCTTTACCAGGAGTCATGGGCACGTCAGGAAGCTGCGGGCATGTACAACTCTGCTCAGTACGCTGAGATCAAAGACAAGGTGGAGTGCCTAAACGGCACTGCTGTTACTGGAAATGATGTTTTCCGATGCAAGAATGTCAGTTCACCTATCGTAGTTCTGGATTCCCAACCGTTGACATACGCAATCAGATTGATCTGCTCCACTTCCTGTCACATGCCGAGCTGGGTAGCACTCGCGGTGTCGGGTCTTCGTCATGGGGCTGGACATCAGAGGATGGTCGTGAGTTCGTTGCTATCGGACAACAAGACGGTGCTGCATTCGCCGAGATAACTGCGGAGGGCAAGCTCTCATATTTGGGCCGCCTACCAGCCTACTCCACGCCTAGTACATGGCGCGAGATCCGTGGCCAGAACAACCTCATGATCATTGGCAGCGAGGCGGTCGGCCACGGAATCCAGATTTTCGATATGAAGAAGCTAATCGACATCGACCCTGCGTCTCCCGTGACGTTCAGCAACAATGGCGACCTTGTTGGTCATTTCAAAGGCCTCCCCAATGGCCGGACCCACAACGTTGTGACAAACCCGGAGACCAACTTCATCTATGCCGTTGGAGCACAGCCAAGGACTGACAAGTGCAAGTCGGGCATTATCTTCATCGACATAACCGACCCTTCTAAGCCAACAAGCCCAGGCTGGTAAGTGTGACTTCATGTTGGAGATGAGAATATTATTGACCAAGAATAGTGCATCAGAAGACGGCTACGTACACGACGCTCAATGTCTCATCTACCGCGGACCAGACGAGGAGTTTGAGGGCCATGAGATCTGCTACGGCTACAACGAGGATTCTCTTACAATCTACGACGTAACCGACAAGCAAGCCCCAGTCATCCTGTCCAACTCTTCTTACGAGGGTGCAGCATACACCCACCAGGGTAATGTTCTAGACCCTATGAACCAACAATTTCTTCTGCTCGACGATGAATATGATGAATACGACAAAGTTGGCCCTGCTATCCCTGGCCATCCCATCACGTACATTTGGGATATCTCATCTCTCCGTGCGCCCAAGCAGACTGGACTGTACAAGAGCGGAGCAAAGGGTATCGACCACAACCAGTATGTCGCGAATGGCTTTGCTTACCAATCAAACTATGGCACCGGATTCCGCGTTCTTGATGTTCGCAGCATCCCTGACGACCCGACCGGTGCTGGTGTGAGGGAAGTTGGTTTTTTCGGTATGTGAAACCAAACGTTACGCTCTCATCGTTTACTTGCTTACATTTGCCCAGACGTCTACCCAGAGGACGATAACACGCCTGGCGGTGGTACCGTCGACTTCGTCGGCACATGGTCGAGCTATGCATTGTTCAAGAGTGGTCACATCTTGATCAACACTATGGAACGCGGTGTCTTCATCGTCAAGATGCAGGAGGGATACGACAAATAGACGAAGAGCATCTTCATTCTGAAACTACTTGCGGCAGAAATAAGGTTAGAGTCTCTCATGAACGTCGATCCCGCCTGTATTCCATCGGTATCGGTGCGGCATCTGGTATGGTGATTGGTCTACCATAGAGCTTTGGCGCAATGACGCGCACGTTTTGGACCCGTAGATTGAAGCTATCAAAGTGAGTGTCAAGCAACCAATGTCCTGTCACGGCTGAGTCTTAGCATATAGCGGCGTCGGTGTCACCGTTGCTCATCGTTTTGCTTTTTTGATCATCTTCGCCTGCCACGAAACCGGGTTTAGCCGCCAAGCTTGCATTTCTCCGCGTAGGATTCAGTAGCGGAACAAAGCTATCACCTCTTCTTGTTTACTTCGTTCTGATTGTGGCGTTGGTGCGCCAAGAAGAAGCTGTGGGGATCTGGGCTTGGCTCCATATCTAAAGTCCCTTCCTTCCCAATCAAGTTGCGTCCGGCCGTGGGCTAGATGTCTCCGCCCAGCGAAGCGGCTATTCTCCTTCCTCATGCAAGACAGCATTGCGCAGCCAAGCACACCTTCATCCATCGCCTCGCCTTCGCCCCAGCTCTTCACCCGGCTACCCGTTTCCATGGGCCCACTGCATGCCCTGACTTACCAAATTGCAGTACCTGAACGACAATGGAGCGGCGATTGATACAGCAGCTGCCTGTATTGGTTAGTTCTGCAAGCACACAATGGCCCATGTCCGCTTCCTGGGCCTGCTATATGGATACGAGGTATAGTATATAGAGTCCGTCTGTACCTGTGACATATCCCAAGGCAGCTTCCTCCTCTCACGCTCATATCTTACTACTATCCTTCAAGATGAGGTTCGTTCCCTTCATTGCGCTTGCTGCGCCTGTCCTTGCACAGTACGATGCGAAGCCAAAGCCTTCTGCAAAGCCTGGAAAGCCCGGAAAGCCGCACCCATCTGGTCCTCCCAGGAAGCTCGTCTCCCCAAAAGCGCTGATCAAAGAGATCAAGCTTGAGGACTTGCTTGAGGGTTCCCAGCAGCTTCAGACCTTCGCCGACGAGGCTGGTGGCAACCGCGCTTTTGGTGGCACTGGACACAATGCCACGACCGAGTGGCTATACCAAACACTCAAGGCAACCGGGTACTACGATGTGTACAAGCAACCCTTCGTTGAGCTCTTTACTGCCGCCACCACCAAGTTCACCGTCGCTGGTGAGGAGATTCCTGTCTCATACATGACCTTCGGCCCTTCCGGTGACGTTACCGCCAACCTCGTCAAGGTCAACAACCTTGGATGCGCCGTTGAAGATTTCCCCGCCGAAGTTTCTGGTCAGATCGCGCTCATCTCACGAGGCACTTGTCCATTTGCTGACAAGGCTGCCAACGCCCTGTCCGCCGGTGCGGTAGGTGCTGCAATTTACAACAACGAACCCAACACACCTCTTTCTGGCACTCTTGGTGCCGAAGGCGACTACGCTCCCGTCGTTGGTATGACTAAGGAAGCTGGCGACAGCCTTTTAGCGAAGCTCGGCAATGGCACAGTTGAAGCAACTCTTTTCATTGATGCCATCCGCGAGAATCGCACCAACTACAATGTCATCGCCGAGACTAAGCAAGGTGACCACGACAATGTGCTCATGATCGGTGGCCACACCGACTCCGTGTTCGCTGGACCTGGTATCAATGACGACGGATCTGGTACCATCGGTACGCTTATGACTGGTCTTGCTTTGACCAAGTTCAAGCTCAAGAATGCCGTCCGTCTTGGTTTCTGGGGCGCAGAAGAGTTTGGCAAGCTTGGTTCCTTCTACTACATGAAGACCATCAACGGTACCTTCGGCGGTAACGCAACTGAGGTCAACAAGCTTCGTGCCTACCTCAACTTCGACATGATTGCTTCACCCAACTACGTTCTCGGCATCTACGACGGCGATGGCAGCGCATTCAACTTCTCTGGTGCTCCTGGATCCGACAAGATCGAGAAGGACTTTGAGGAGTTCTACGAGGAGCGCGGTCTTCCTCACGTCCCTGCTCTTTTCTCTCTTCGCTCCGACTACGCTGCTTTCCTCGAGAACGGTATTCCTTCCGGTGGTCTGTTCACAGGTGCCGAAGAGTTGAAGACAGAGGAGGAAGCACAGCTTTTTGGTGGTGAGGCCGGTCAACCGCTCGATGCATGCTACCACCAAGCTTGCGACGACATTGACAACCTTGCTCAAGATGCTTTCCTTCTTAACACTCAGAGTATCGCCAACTCAGTAGCCAAGTATGCGCTCAGCTTTGAGGGTATCCCAAGGGCCAACATGACGCTCCGCAAGCGTGGTGCCGAGAGAAGCAGACTCATGTCGAGATTTGATGGCGGTGGTCATGCGCACCATGGTCAGACTTGTGGTACCGGAAAGCATGCTATCTAATATTGTATTAGTATAGAACCGAGTGGGTAGTTGGACGAAGATGATGATACCATGATGTGACAATGTTGTAGAAGTAGAAAACTCAATGTAACAAAACATTACAAACCATGATCTTACCCTGCTTTCTTCTGTCGCATGTGCTTGGGTAAACAGTCTGTTTTCGTTCACAATTACGACTAAATGCCACATCTTCTTGTCGTGTTGGTTGAATAGGACGAACGTTTTTTTCATGCTTGGCTATCACGTGTGCCTCTTGTTTTGAAAGTCTTCACGCATACGCAACACCTACCACACCCAAACCACCGCAGACTGAACAAGCAGACCAAGCCTCTCGCTTATGCTAACATAATTCCCAAAAGACGGAAAGAGAATAGGTCAAAACAGGAGCGGAAAGCGTACACCATGATTGCGAGCGATAGCGAGCGCTATGTCACTTCTCCTTTCTCAAGGCATGGCGTAGACCTAGTGAGGGGATTTGAGAGGGGGTTCCGTGTGTAAACAGTCGGTGATCCAATAGGTATATGGCGGAGTTGGAATGTGAGTGCCCGTGTTCTGCATTCAGAGAATTCGGTTACGCGTGAGGTCCTTTGGTGGCTGATTGCGACGCTATATCTCTACACCGTCGAGATGTTTGGAATGATTTTTGATAGTCCCAAACGTTATTCACTCGAGGTTAAATGCAAGTGCACCGTAGACGAGAACGGTCGTATTCTCGGTGATTAAAATCGCATCGGAGGTGTCCATAGCCGGTGGAGAAAAATGCGGGGCGCACACCGTGTGGCAGGGGGCGTTTGTCGGGGACCTTAATAACGACCCTAGATCTTTAGCTGATTTTGCCACGCTCTTAGATGTGATCTTGGTCGATCTCAGGAAACTCTATGCCGTCACGATGCCAATCCATGGATTGTTTGGTCGGGTAGATCTGGATTGTAGCTGCGAGCCGGCCAGAATTGACCGTCTCGAAACGCCGAGCTGCCTAGATGGCGATGATCGCCCGGATCCGCGCACCTAACGCATGTCGCAAATCTTCCCAACTCCAAACGATCAGCGACAAGGCCTTCCACGATCCTACTGCGGTCTTATTAAAACATGATGTTGACTCCACAGATCTTGTCGCACGGTGATGAAGCATGCTGAGTTTTCGCTCGGAGAAACAGGTCCGACCTTGGTAATGTTGTCTAGATTACCCAGCACGCGTTTCATTCGTAGCCCTGTTCCTTGTGATGGGACCCGCTAATCCTCCGACGTTCATCCAGAACTAATGACACTGTTAGGAGGTGCTCAGACCTTTCAAGGCTGACGCCGCCTCGAGGCTGAAAGAACTTGGTATCATTTGTCCAATAGAAGGTACAAGATACGTGGTGCACGGTACGCCATTCCACGCCAAATGGCACGGCCGCACCGACGCTAACATGGAAAACCGCCGTGTGTTGAACCGAAATCTTGGAAACTGAGGAGAGAAGGATATCCGGGCTCCCGGGAAGCGCATTGATCATGACAGTTGTGGCTTCAACGATGCAATGTAGCCCCACAGCTGTTGAAGAAGTCAGAATGCGAAGCTTCAATCGCATCATCTGCTGAAGCAGAAGGTGCGCCGTCTGCGACATCTGGCAGCAAAAGAGCTGGGTATTACGTATCCTCGGTCATGAATTTTCATGCAATGCAGTTCACTGCAACTATACTTTGTAGTTATCCATGGTCGCCGTCTATAAGCAAATCACAACACGCGGAAGGGTCGCCACACCTACTTATAAGCCAGCGGCTAGTCCCTCAACACCGTCGTATACGCGGTAAGTTCCTCGAGCGCCACCAGAAGACTCGACAGGCACTACAGTTTGGAAGCAGCACCCAGTTGCGCCACGATGCGTATCAGAACAGTTCTTTGGTTTCCACCTAGGTACACCTCTCACCGCTGCCAACTATCAAGGGATTTGCAAACCTAGAATCTGCTGATGCCATGTCGCAATCAAGGCATCATGATTGGAGCGGTTCCTCAACCGCCCGAACACTTACATGCATCTACCCGAAGCGCGTGTAGTAATATTTGCACATCACCCCGCGAAAAGGATGCCCATCCTTGCCGAGCAAGCATTAGGGCTCCAAGGAAAGCGATCCCGTTCCGTACGCAGGTCAGGCCAGGTACCACTCTATTCTAGGTCAAGTAATACTGCTATTACAGGCTTAGTTGCAAGATGAACTAAAGGATCGGTCGTTTGGCCTCCCAGACATCCACATGAACTTGACGCCCAACGAATTGAAACAATCCTTCTCGAACATCGGGCCATTACGCTACTTTCTCCTGAACCTTATTACGACTCAAGGGTCTGTCAACTCTTCGCTTCATCTCCTGAAATCCCCTTAGCTGCCGTTATGGATCAGTTGGTTTGGCCAAAAGGTAAAGGAAGGGTCCTTACTTGTGTCATTCAGATCCACTCTCGACCCGTCACCTATCGCATACAACAGAACGTTCGCTAAGTTCTCGACAATCGTTGTCAGGCCTTCCTCGCACCACACACCACTCTTCTACGCCGACCCAACATGAGCGGCGAATATCATGACGACCCTTCCTTTCAACCATGGGGCCCGTTTATCTCGGATACCTACGTGAACGAGCCCATCACAAAAGCAGATATCATCATTGCCTCCGTCGTGTGGGCGTTGACACTAGTCAATGTCGTCGTAGCCATATGGCTTGGACAGAAGCAAACGAGGGGATCTCGGTCACCATTGAGGAGTGTGTATATTTGGATGATATGGCTGGAACTTATTGTTTCATTCGTGATGGGACTTGAGAGCTACTTGCATTTGTTGAAGTATATCAAACCGAGTAGGTGGCTGCAGCATATGTTACTTTGAGCTCATACTGACCAAATCTTAGGTTTTGCGTTCTACTTCACAATCTTGTTTTGGTGGTGTATTCAGGTTCAGCTTTTACTGCAGATCATCATCAACCGTATTCGTGTTATTGTACCTGATCGACGGCGATCGAAGTGGATCATGATTGGCACTGCGGTCTTCGTTACTGCTATCAACATCAGCGTATTCAACGTCTGGATACCAGCACGATTGCAGGTCAGCACCAAGTAAGCTGCCTTCTCCCCAAGCACATTGCATCAATGGTCGAAATGAGCTAGAGAATGGGCTGGACTCTCTTGACATGGCAGTGGTGGCAATGACACTCGTGCAGACCGCGCACTTGACCGTAACGAGCAGTGGACTGACGAAGCAATAGGTACCACCTCATCAACGAGTACTGGGATCGAATTGAAAAGGGTCTCTACCTCATCGCCGACGCGGCGCTGAACTGGTATTTCCTGAAAACTGTCAAGCAGAACCTTATCAACAACGGCCTCACCAAATACAACAAGCTCGTTCGCTTCAACCAGCAAATCGTCCTGGTATCACTCCTTATGGATGTCATGATCATCGCCGCTATGTCGATCCCAAACTCTTTTGTGTATGTGCCTGTCTCATAATGCGCCCATTTATCCCACGGTATTAACTCGGCGTCTACAGATATATCCAGTTTCACCCACTTGCCTACCTAGTCAAACTCAACATCGAAATGACAATGGCCAACCTCATCAAACGCATCGCAGTCTCCACGTCACGCAAGACAGGCATGGCATCCATTGCGCAAGAGTTCAGATCATCGTCCAATCAATCCACCTCCGGCCAGCGCACTGGCGGCACAGCCGGGCATCGCAAATCACGTGGCTCAGTCCACGAGCTCGCCAGCTTCGCCTCGTACACCGTCGATACGAAAGCGACAGGCGATCAAGACCAGCACCGCGTCGTTAGCTTCGCGCCCATAGGGAACCAAATCAAGGAGACCAGAGAGGTCATCGTGCATACAGAGCCAAACCCATATTACGAGCGCAGAGGCTCGGAAGTGGAGATCTCGGGGGGTCACGGAAGGAGACAGTCTCATGGTGTGGTGGTAGAGGAGAGGGGACTGGGTAGACAAAAAAGTCTGGAGAGTATAACGGAGGGTAATGAGAGTATGAAGAGTGGTTTGACGCCGAAGCGGCTAGGGGAAGATAGTGATGACGAGGCGGCGCTCGTGCAGCAAAAGGGTTGGGGATGGCCGAGACGGCCGAGTTGACCGTGATGCCTCTTGAACATGGATATGTTTGGTCTTTTTCTTTTTAGCGTGGGGTTGTTAAGTATACCCGTCGTTCTTGCGATACAGAAATGCGACAGAATGATAATCACAGATCGAATAATTATGACGATACAAAATGTGTTTGTTCTTGTTCTTGTGCAGTTTTATCGAACCCGTGAACCCACTAGCGAGTGAAGCTTGTTTCTCATCAAAATCATCTACTACAGTTGACTCAGCCACTCTCATTCCTTTCTCGAATAACGCACAAGTATTCGAGATCGTGCGTGGAGGTGGTTGAGCATGATCTGCACCCGAGTACAGGCAGACTGGTACTAAGTGTACGGTGTTGTGTGACTTGACAAGCATAGCTTCGGAGGCAATACATTAAACACGCTGAACTATCATGCCGAAAAGTAAGGGGAATGTGATGCCGACACTATGGTTAAAGTTAATGCCGGGCCGCACCGATATCTAAGACTCGATCCTTGCTGAGAAGCCGCCAGTGCGCTAACAGCATGGATGGCAAGTGTATGCTAAGACGGCTCCTTCGACAATGGAGACGAAAGATTCCTACACCAACCTGGCTTTGATATAGCCTGATAGCAAACCGATCTCAGAGTACACAACTTCGAGCAAAGCCTTTCTGGAGAAACAAGGAAATGCAAAGAAAGCAGACATGTGTGTGGAAGAGTTGACGCTAGGCCACCTGGGCACTTCACTGTAAGTTTCGTCATGGTGGGTACGCTTCTCATGCACGTGACACTATTGTACTATCACCTTTGTTTTTCGATGCTCGAGCAGAAACGCATTGCAAGCGCGGAGACTGTCCGCACATCGGAGGTTGCTGCGAGGGTGTTGCGGGTAGAAGGGACACTCACCTTGCTTCCCCGGAGCAAAGCCACAAAACCCCCGCACTTACCCGCAAGGAAGGTTTGCCGACTATCCACAACACCGTTCCGGAAAGATTGCTTGGCATGCTACACGCGTATACGGATTACACAAAGCTGGTAATCCGTGTATTCAGCTAATGACACGTCTTAAGGCTTTTAGCCGTGTTTAAAAGGTTCTTCTCGTACTGGTTTTGTATAATCGTCTTCAACTTTGTTACTACATAACCTCCATTCGCTCTGATTTCTTCCTTACGTCATTGCGCAAGCCACGAACATGGGAGTAGGCGACACTTCGATCCGCTCGAGCGAGCGTCCTGAGACTGGCAGCGTCAACATACCAGTTGGTGTATTCCCGACGTCGTCGAAGAGTGAATCCGTCGATGCACACAAAGTAGCGAACGACATAGTTACACGATTCAACAATGCACTTGGGAAGCAAGATCATGCGGCCATCGCAAACCTCTTTTCCAAAGACAATAGCTACTGGAGAGACCATCTGGCATTGACTTGGGATCTTAGAACTGCGAAGGGTATTGCCGACATCAAGAAGTACCTGGACTCTAGCAAGGTGCGACTGGAAAAGATTGAGGTAAATCAGAGTTCAGACTATCGGGCGCCGAAGTTTGGAGCAATCGACGTTTTGGGCGATGTTAATGGCATAAACTTCTTCGTAACCTTTGAAACAAGCGTTGGGCGTGGCGAGGGTGTCATGAATCTGGCGGAAGACAACGGGCAATGGAAGGTGTTTACCTTTTACACATTGCTGAAGGAGCTCAAGGGTTATGAAGAGCCGCTAGGGCACCGACGGACGAAGGGGGTTAAACATGGCGGAGACCCTGCCAGGAAGACCTGGAAGGAGACACGAGATGCAGAGAAAGAAGACATCGACCCGAAAGTGTTGATTCTAGGTGCTGGACAGGGCGGGCTGACGGTCGCTGCGCGCCTGAAGATGCTCAATATTCCCGCACTCATGGTGGATCAGAACGAAAGAGTTGGCGACAACTGGCGCAAGCGGTACCGGCAACTCGTACTGCACGATCCGGTGTGGTACGACCATATGCCCTACGTGCCCTTCCCAGCACATTGGCCTGTCTTTACGCCCAAGGATAAGCTAGCTGAGTTCTTTGAAGCTTATGTGAACCTGCTCGAACTCAACGTATGGACTTCTACTAGCCTGCGGTCAACGTCGTGGGATGAGAGTAAGAAGCATTGGACCGTTACTGTCGAACGTCGGAAACTTGACGGAACCACTCAAACACGCACATTGCACCCAAAACACATCGTGCAAGCAACTGGTCATTCGGGCGAGAAGAATTTCCCCCAGATCAAAGGCATGCAAGGCTTCAAAGGCGACCGCCTATGCCACAGCTCCGAGCACCCAGGCGCGAACCCAGAGTCCAAAGGCAAGAAGGCCGTTGTTGTGGGATGCTGTAATTCCGGTCACGACATTGCGCAAGACTTCTTCGAGAAAGGGTACGACATTACCATTGTGCAGCGCAGTACAACATGCGTTGTCTCCTCCGAAGCCATTACCGACATTGGCAACAAGGGTTTGTACGATCAAGACGCGCCGCCCGTTGACGATGCCGACCTTACTTTCTGGGGCTTGCCAAGCGAGCTTCTGAAGGCACAGCAGATAAAAGTCACCAAGATTCAAGCTGATCATGACAAGAAGATCCACGACGGTCTTCGCGCAGCTGGCTTCGGTCTTGACAGTGGGCCGATGGATTCAGGCCTTCTCATCAAGTACTTCCAGCGCGGTGGCGGCTACTATATCGATGTCGGAGCGTCCCAGCTTATCATCGATGGAAAAATCAAGGTCAAGCAGGGCCAGGAGATTGCACAGATTCTGCCAAATGGTATCGAGTTTGCGGATGGTGATAAGCTAGAGGCCGATGAGATCGTGTTTGCGACTGGATACCAAAACATGCGCACGCAGGCACGTAAGATCTTCGGAGACGAGGTAGCAGACCGTGTCAGCGACGTATGGGGATTTAATAACGAAGGCGAATTCAGAACCATGTGGCAGAAGAGCGGTCATCCTGGCTTGTGGTTTATGGGTGGAAATTTGGCTCTGTCGAGATTTTACAGTAGGATATTGGCATTGCAGATCAAAGCTGTAGAAGAAGGTATGATAGAAGATGGCGAAGGCACGAAGGCGAGGCTGTAGTGATATGTAGCTGCCACAAAACCATGGAAGGGGCCGCGGAGGTTCAACGCACCTGGTCCAAATAGCTACTCAGAGCTCTTCCCCAATTTTGCCAGTTTCGGATTTAGCGCGGGGCATGTCCCCACTTCTGCCATCTTAAACTGCACAAGCTTCAAATCTGCATCATCAACTGATCTGTATCCATTCTCCGTCACACATGCATTCTTACTCAACTTATTCTTCCACGCGTCATGGCCTCGAAACCCCAAGTCATCCTCGTAGTCGGCGGAACGTCCGGCATTGGATATGCCATCACGCAATCCATCCTTTCATCACCTTACTTGCCATTGAATGCGAAAGTAATCGCGTTTGGGCTTATAGATTCAACCATCAAGCTTGAGTTTACGAAACAGCAGAGAGAGCGTCTAAGGATAGTCGAAGGCGATGTCACAGTAGAGGAAGACCGAGAGTTGGCGGTCCAGACGTGTTTTAACCATTTCGGGGGACTGGATACATTGGTGTACTGCGCGGGCATTATTACACCGATACAAAGACTAGAGAAAGTGGACGTCGAAGCTGTGAAGAGGAGTTTTGATATCAACGTTTTTGGGGCTATGAGTATGGTAGGTACCAACTTGATAGCCTGGCACCTTGAGCACATCTTGTGTCGCAAGGTATGGGTCTAGCAATCTCCACATCGCTAACATCTCTCAGGTTCAGCTCACCCTCCCACATCTCCGCGCGTCGCGGACATCCCATCCGCTCAATGCTGGCCGCGGCAAAGTCATAATCCTATCTTCGGCCTGCGATAGCACAGTGTCCTATCATGGCTGGATGCCTTATAGCACCACAAAAGCCGCACTAACCCGGTTTATCTCTTGTCTTGCACATGAGGAACCTCTGCTCAGCGTGCAGGGCGTATACCCTAAGTTGACGCGGACAAAGATGATCGATGGGTTAGTAGAAGGGAAGTACCTGGGCGTTATGGCGGACCATGAAATCGAGAGGTTTAGAATCTGGGATGAAATAGGCGACGAGATGGTGGAGCCGCCTGAACTTTGTGGAAGGGCCGTTGCGAAGTTGGCGTTGGGATTGTTCGAGGGTGGAAAGAGTGGTGAAACTCTGTATTATGACGAGCATGTTCCGCGGAAGATCGCGGGAACATGATGATTAGGATCGGTGATCGAAACGGACTAAACGTAACATATTACTCTAATTTTGACTGATAGTTTTCCAGTTGCTGTGGACTTTTAGGGCAAAGTGAAGCGCCATGTACTTTCACTTCGACCCGCCGCGAAGCCACCCACGCGCTAGTTGAAGTTGCCAAAACCGAGTGTGAACACAACACTACACCGGTTCGCATGTTTGTATGAAGACTATATTCACCACATCACAGACTGTTGAAGATGTCAGACATGCGAATCATCTCGCCGTCAGGCAGTACGATCATGAGTAACAGTATTGCGGACGCTGAGTGAGCAGCCCGTCAGATCTGATGAGTGACTTGCTAACTTGACATGAACTCAATGATTTCTTCAGGGGCATCTACCACCGCCTTCCACAAGAACTGCGCCTGATGATCTACGACGAGCTTACTGCATACATGATGCAGAAGATCGCTACCTGCGCGAGCCCTACCGCTTACGCATACCTACTCGACCGTATTATCTTCAAGTACGAATCAACCCCTCGGTTCCTAAAATCTCGCATCGTGGAAAACTGTTCTGCAGTCGAGATCGCCAAGGCGTTCTATTGCAAGTACAGTGGTTTCGAGGTCAAGCACCCGTTGCGCATCGCGACTCTTCTGCAGCGAGGCTTGTTCAAACTCGGTTCCTCTATTAAGCCCGCCAACTATCCCCTCCGCGCCCTCACAGTCGATGGTAGTCTACTCTCCAATAGCAGACACTATATCGACGTCAAGCTGCTTCCAGCTCATTTCGCTACATTATCATGTACTGAGCAGCGCCTCGCTCCCGAATTCAGTCTCACTATTCATCTGTGGACTGAAAACAGCTCGCGTAAAAGCGTGGAAGAGATTGCTGCGCAAGGAATGGCTCTACGTCGCACTCTGCAAGCTCTTAAACCACTGTTCGCGAAGTTGATTGAGAACGAACCCAAGGCCACTCAAAGCGTCATATTGGAGGTTGAGCGCAGGCAAAAATTAACATTGGATATGGCTCTGGCGGAGAAGTCACCACAAAGGCTGGCTAAGACCATCTGTAATTGGTGTTGTGAGTTGCAGGACACGCACTATCGTGAAATAGAGAATGAGCTAACACCACATAGTCTGAACGCCAACGAATATGTTGCAGGAAATATCTAAAGGGTGAGACTATGTGGAGAAAGCTATCGGGGAATTGGAAACGGAGCACATGCATGGGAATAACTCATGAATAAAGGGCTGTGATTACAACTTGTAACACGCAGGTTTTAGGAGTACAGTTAGAGTCTACGAAATCTGACTAGCTAAAGTTCGTACCATGTCACTCTACACTAGCGGTGTGGTTCCTTATCTTCAGTGACCTTTATGATCACAGCCCCAATACCCGGCCCTTTGGCCCAAACACGATGCGCTTCCGGCACCTCTTCCAATGTCCATATCTTCCTGATTGGTACCCGAATAGCCCCACTTCCCAGCATTTCAAACAGCTTTCTCAACTCCGGTTTAAACGTCTTTTGATCGCGGTCGATGTAGTAGAAACTCGTCTTATATGGACAAAAAGGCACAAGTCCTCTTGCAAGCAGTTTTGCGACCTGTACCGGCTGACTACGAGGTTTCCCACCATTCAGCATGTTGTAATTGCCGCCATAACCCACAAGATGACCGCCTTTCGATAGGATGTTCCAGCTCTCGTCCCAAGATTCAAAACCGAGAGCGTCGTACACGAGGTTTGCGCCACCCAAATCTCTCATGGTAGTCATCCAGTTCTTGTCAGAGTACACGAAGGGAGTTGCGCCTGCTTCACGGACAGCCGCATGGTTGGCGACTGATGCTGTTCCGTAGACGTCTGCACCTTGCATCTTGCAAAAAGTGAGAAGGGCGAAACCGACACTGCCGCTGAGACCGTGGATGAAAACACGTTGGCCAGCAGAGATCTTAGCGGCTCGATAAGCCAACCCGTAGGCAGTGTTCCAATCTAGCACCAGTGCAACCGCTTGCTGCAGATCGAGTCCTTCTGGCAGACCAAAGAGATGCTTTTCAGGCTGGTTGCAGAGCTCGGCTTCCGCATCATAAATTGAGAGACATGTGACAAGATCTCCAACTTGGTATTTGGTGCAAGCAGATCCGTTTTGAAGCACGCGACCGACGAGCGCGTAACCTGGTGTCAAGGGTGCTTTCTTTTGTAACGGGTAGACGCCTTGTCGCATGGCTATATCTGAACCACCCATGCTAGCGTAAAGGACTCTTATTTGAACATCGTTGGCAGAAGGCGCAGGTATGGATGCTGTGATGACTGACACGTTGGACGCGTCGCCGAAGTTGGAGATCAAGACTTTGCGGATGGACGTAGACATATTTTATTTCGAGTCAAGATCTGATAAGGATTGGGCTGGTGGTTTCAAAATTGATGCGATTGAGAAGTTTAGTAGCGCAATGTTGATAGGCGTTGGGATGATGAACTTTGATGACTGGTGTTGCGCGCACTCTTATGCTCATCGAGCACACGAGTAGAGAACGCCTTACAGCATACATCGAGGCGTAATATGGGACAATACACTCTCATTTTCACCGTGGATGCAAAACGCGGAGGGTTTGTGGTTTTGATACGCAAGCCTGGTGGTGAACGCGGAGAGACTAATGGACTTTTCGGAGAGATAGTCTGGCCGTTTTACCGAAGGGGTTAGAGACTTACCTTTGTAGGCAGAGGCTAACGCCAGCCACTCGCATGTGAAGATCGTGATCTATCAAGTTCGCAAGACGCCGCAGTCAGCTTGGCCGTAGTCAGCTAGGACTGCCGCCTGGAATCTTACACTCATCGTTGAGGGCTTGCCGCGATGACCTTGGAAGTTATCAGTTGATGATGCATCATGGACAACTTCTTCACAACAACTAGAGACCCAGAATTTTGTCCGACTGGCGTCTTCATGGCTTCACCATTTCCGCAAAAACGCTCATCACTATGTCGAAATACGGCATTCAAGGGTGTTTAAACAGTAATTTCGCATTCATTCTCTCTGTTCAAGATCTCAACATCTTCTTTCTTCCATCAAGGCTCTTCATATCTTACGTTTCTCCTTCGCAGCCTCCTTGATGATATCTGCCGCCTTCTCTGCGGTCGCATAAACAGTGGTCATGATGTGAGAAGCTGGCAAGATGGGCATGACACTCGCATCCACGATCCTCAAGCCCTCCACGCCGTAGACCTTCAGTTCCTGATCCACGACACCGCCATCATCTCTGGAACCCATCTTACAGCTGCCGGCGGGGTGGTAAAGTGTCGACGCAGTGCTACGAATGAAAGCGTCGATATCCGCGAAGGCTGTAACATTGCTGCCTGGGGAAACTTCGAAGGGGTTGAGTGATGCGATAGATGGTGCAACAGCCAGTCTTCGAGCGAAGTGGACACCTTCGCGCAATAGTGCAGTATCTACTTCGTTGCGTAGGAATCCCACATCGGCGACTGGAGCATCGAACATGCTGGATGAACTCGCCTTCACGCTTCCACGGGAGTACGGGTGTTGAAGTCCAAGAACCACGACGCCATCAGCCCAGATGATCTCCAACATTGCGGAGTCATTGGCTTCAAGCTTCTTGTTAAGAGAGTCAAACTGTGCTTCATAGCCTCGTGCGACTTCAGCGGGTGTGTTAGGTGGAAGAGAGGCGGATGATCCTCCAGCGACGGCTTGAGACAGAATGGATTGTGTGGCGTTAGTGTAGGTTTGAACTGGCAAGAAGAGAAGAAAGTCGCCAGTTGGGGAGGTCAGTGGGCCAGATCTCTCGTTATCGTACTGCTCGCGAGCTTGCGCTGCAAAAGTAGTGTTCGTTGTCAGAGTGTTGGTTAGGATGGTGGTGTTTACTATGCCACTGTCAGCATTTTCCTCAGCCAGAACCTATAATGGTATACTCACGTATGTTCACAACAGCAATAGAGATATGGTCGTGCAAGTTGTGTCCAACAGCAGGAAGATCAACAACTGTCTTCACGTTGATAGACTCGAGCAGAGAAGCTTCACCGATACCGGATACCTGTAGCAGTTGTGGTGTGTGAAGCGTTCCAGCAGCGAGGATAGCTTCCCGCTTGATTTTCGTCTGTTGGCGGGTTGCATTCGCCGAGGTCGAAAACTCAACACCAGTTACTTTGACCGTTTCCGTATCGTTGCACTTCTCTGTGAGGATACGCGATACGACATTACCAGTGAGAAGATGGTAGTTTGAGCGTGTCTCGGCAGATGCATAATAGGCTTCCTCTGCAGAGGAGCGTGTTACAGTCTCGGGGTCCAGGTTGTGTGGGCAGAAATAACCACCGAATGCATTTCCGGTTGCTTGGTCGTTGATGGAGATACCCAGTTCTTCGGTAGCTTGTACGATGTTCTCTAAATGAAGCATCAGTATCCTTTGCGTGACAAAAGGCGTGTCAAACTCACTCGTCGTAGGCCAGAAGAAGGGGGAGTAAGTTGTTTGCATATATCCTTCATCGCCATGGTATTCGAGGTCAACTTGGATGTTGTATTCGGCTTGAATCTCTGGTGTTGGTGGTGTAAACTTCTCGTTCTAATCACAGATTAGATGCTTTCATCATATTCACGCGAAAACATACCTTCTTGAAGTATGGCAGGAATGTCTCGAAGTTCCAGCCCTCATTTCCCAAAGCCTCCCATCCATCGTAGTCAGATCGCGCACCACGATCAAAGACCATGCGATTGAGTTTTGTCGATCCACCGACAACTTTACCCTGCGGAATAGAAACAATTCGGCCGTCTAATCCTTCGTCCGCGGCATACGAAGTATTCCAATCGTACTTTGTTCCAACAGCGCCACCTGCCAGGCCCGGAATGGTGACGTAATCTTCATTTTGGTCGCTGATAGACAAATCAGAATCTTGACTATGGATTCGAATTCCATGTCACTTACAGATCACCAGCCTCGATAACCAATACGCTTACATCTGTTCAGGGCCCGCGTTAGCTGACTGCATGCCATGCGACATGGTGTAAAACCTACCCTGATCCTCGGATAATCGATTGGCAACTGTGAGGCCCGACGCGCCGGCGCCTACAATCACATAATCGTATTCTGGGAGAAGATCTTCTGCTCTCGAAACGAGCTGCGCGTTGGAAAGTGGATGTGCGAGAAGACCAGTTGCAGAAAGCGCGACAGTCGCTCCGAGACTCAATAGGGAAGGCATGATCAGAGCATACAGCACGAGTTGTTTGTATGGTCCTTCAAAAAGTACTTAGGTATATGTACATAAGAAAGTCAAGTAACCGTAATGAGACCGGCAGTCGATCCGCCCGCATCTGCCGATTTTGAGGACCAAGGGCCCAGCCGAGACCGGTTCTCACATCGCTGCATGGCGCGTTGGCGAGTTTCCGATTTATAATGGTTCGGCGGCTTTTGTGCTACGTACGCGACAGCTTTTTCGAACACAAAGAGATTAGCAGAGGCGGAGTTGGACCCCAGCCGATCCTCCGACCTTATCCGGGGAGCATACCGTGGTGGCTTTATGCGCCGTTATTGTGGCTTGAAGGATCGGCATGATGGGCCCGTAATTGTTTTCCAGCATCGGTTCGGTTCCTTAATGGAAGTAGGCTATGCTGAGTGGCTTAAAAACAAATATGTGGTCCCTTGTACATATGAGAGACTCTATCGGTCCTGTTCATCGACGTGCGGTGGTTTGTGTTGCGGCACAGTTGAGTATACATCACGTGTCATCCGTACATCGTGGACCTCGGGCCGGGCGAGTTTAGGCTGGCTGCCGTTGGCAAGCACGCCAGCAGGCAAGCAAGCAAGCAAGCAACAACCCATTACACTAATTTCGAAATTGCTGGGCGACGGAAAGAATCGAGTTGCCGACGCGATCTAGAAACCTGAACGACGTAAGGAATGTTCGGCGTTAAGATTTTGGAGATGAAAATGAAGTTGCAGAGAGACTTTTTGGGTGTAGCGCTCCCAGAGACGCGGTGGATTACTTGCAGATGGATATGTCATAGCTGCTAATCATCACCCAAGAAGTGCACCAGTGTTTGATGCCATCCATGTTCAACCCGGCAATCGTCATATGTGAGCCGCGAGCCACGTCCAACAACAGTAGTGTTTCAAACGATACCTAAATGGAAAGACACTTTGCAAACGAAACATTCGCGGCGGCCAAATACAGTCATCGTCACTTTCGTAGTCGCAAGAAATCTTGGAAACATCGTAAACTTATTGTCGATTCAGACAGCTTGCAAGATCTGTCTGCAGGGGTGAAGAGCATCGCTAAACCCTAGAGGCACAAAACAATAAACACGTACAAGGAACACACGAACGGCTCGGTCTTCCCACCTCGAGAGGTCAATGTGACTGCTCACGAAGCTGCCCAGATACTACTTCCTTGCAGTCCGCCGCGCTTCCTTCCCTCCTCCAGTCGCAGCCCTTTCTCGATACCATGCTGGTAATCATCAATTGTGATCCCATCACCAGTAGGTTCCGCTGGTGTTCGCTCAGCAGATTCCCTCGCCGTTCCATCCGCAGTCAGTATGTCGAAGGTTTCCTGTATCTTGGGCGCCGACTTTGCAGCCCCAGTGAACGAGAGCTTCTTCCTCTCACCCGGTGCGCGCTTCTTGCAAACCTGTTGATGCTCCTTGAAGAAGTGATCTTTACTCATCACATCGCAGCATCCTTCATGCTTGCAGACGACCTCCTCGCATAGGCTGACGTGTATACGGAATGTTTCCTTCTCGAAATCAGTGTCAAATTCATACCAGGAACCACACTTCTTGCACTGCTTCGAGCCTTGTACTGAGTCTGGCGTTGGTTGGGAGGCATAAGTAGGCGGGCGCACCCAGACATGCCTAAGCATGGGGGTTGCGACGTTGAGGACGGTCTTCCCTTGTAGGTCGTCCTTTTTGTTTTTTGTTTTTTGGATCGTCGTTGACTTCTGCCGCCGGGATAATCTTTTCGTCGGTCGCTTGATCGGGCTTCCCTTTTTCTCGCTCCCCTGCGTATGCGAACAGGTCTTCATATTTACACCCACTTGGCTACCCAGACCGCATCGCCACGCTACCAATGAGGCAGCGCGACCAACTGTTCGCACTTGCGACAGGTCTTATTGATTAGCTTCTCGCCATCGCCAAGGACATATCCGACACATGTATTGATGGTATCGTTGTCTCCAAGGAATTTCGTAGGCGCTGTAACGTCCTTGTTGATCGACTCCGAAGACTCCATGATACAGACCTGAGCGCTAGGCTGGTTGACTCGAGCAAGCGTGATGGTGTTTGACTCCTTCAAGTCCTCCAAGTCCTCCAAGTCGAGCTTCAATGCGACATTTGTGTCAGTCAGCTCAGAGACCTCCGCCTGGAGAGCGGCCTCGTCAATACGAGCATCGTCGAGCACCATAGTGGTGGCGTGCAGTTGGGTTTGCATTCCATGGTCCAGTACCGTGCCATCTCCATATAGTACCAAAAAAAGCGAAGGGTAATAGGGCCAAAGTGCAACAACTACAGAAGCCGCGCTATAAGTCCCCTTGTCGAGATCTAATGGAAACCAAAACATATTCCGGAGATCCTGGTTTTTAGTTGTTCAGTGAGTTAAACCGGTCATAGCCTAGAAGCTTCTTCAATTATTTCGGGTCCAGTGATAGTCACTGTAAGGGCAAGCGTCTTCCGACACTATCAGGGGCAAACATACACTGGGTCAGCTTGAGAATCACTGGAGTCATGTCTGGCAAGTTCATCTTCAAGAAGGAAGCGTCATTAGTCGTTCTCTTTGTTGGGTGCGAGGCTAGGGGGAGACAAGGGCCGAAATTTAATGGTGTTTGAGGAACGCGAAGTACGTGAATACGATGAACGGTAGTAGCAAAGTCGCGATGGCATTATTCGGGGTGTTGTACGCGGAGCAAACCAGGTTGGACAAATCGTGGTATAGAGCGTCTAGACGTCAAACCTCGTCTGAGGACGCGTCGCGTAGCTAAAACATGCTAGCAGATCATGTTAGTCCCGTCAAAGTGATTAGACGGCGTCACCACTTCGATTCCTTCCACCACGTATTTAACGTTGGCCATTATCATCAGCGTAAAACCTCAAATTTCGCATTATTCAACAGTATGCCGGAATTTGCCTACACACCGAGCTCATTTCCGTCGGACGCCTGCTCCACAGCTTCTTGAACGTCCGCCCCGCCATCCATCATACCCAAAGCCTTTCTCCTCAATTTCAGTACAACCATCAGATGGTTCGCATTCAGGGGTTCTTCTTTCTTCGCTGCTAGAATCCTTGCAGTCTTGATCGCACTCTTGATTTGACGGCCGTTAAAGTTTAACTTAGCCAAGTTGATCAAATCTGGTTCACTAATGTCAACGTCACTGTTTTCCATGGTAGCCAGGAAGTTACGCCAGACTTGCTGACGGTCAGCTTCTGTAAGCGAGCTGTAGCTCAGTGTGATATCAATCCGAGATTCGAAAGCTGTGTCGATGCTGCGCATTCGATTCGTAGTCAGGATCATGATGCCTTTGTAGTATTCGAGTAGGCGAAGGAAAACTGAAACAAGTTCGTTACGTTGAAGGTTGTTCGAGGTGCGCGCTTCCATGAACACGTCAGCTTCGTCGAGGAGGAGGACGGCACCGAAGTGACCGCACAGCGTCAGTGCTGTTTCAAGGTTGTCCTCAACAACACGCGCTGTCGTTCCTAGGTCACCAGCACCGAGTTTATACAGCGGTCGACGCAGGTGCTCTGACACGGCCTCAGCGGTAAGCGTTTTCCCAACACCCGGCGGACCGCAAAGAAGCATGATCATGCCCTGGCCTTTGCCGCCAATAAAGCTAGAGGTGGGTGTACGAAGTCAGTACCGGTCTCATATGCAGTTCGTACAAGGACAATACTAACTCATCGAACGGTTTCTCTTGCTTGAATTGATCGCGGTCCACCAGAGCCAGTACCAAGTCCTTCTCGTTCTGATCCAGGACTAAGCTATCGAAAGCACGCTTAGCCCATGGTATCTCATGGATCTTTGTTACATCCAACTTCTGCCACTTCTTCTTTTCGATATCAAAGCACTTGACATAGTGAACAGTCAGAAGACATTCATCATCGGTCATTGGCGAAAGATCCACTTGCATTGGCGATCCTGGAGTGTTAGCGACACTGGAAGAGTACCGATTCATTGATTGGGCCCAAGTAAGCTGTCCAATCTCGGACAACTTAGCATAGTCCGGGAACGACGGAGTCTCATATTTGTGGTATGCTCGCGCATCAATGACCATCCGCTCGTTCACACGCTCTTCGTGCTGGTCGGTAAAGGCCTTGAAGAAATGGCCGCGAAGCTGTTCGAACGTTCGGCCTCGCTTGATGAGTCGCTCACGGATCTTCTCTTCACCCGGAAGGCCATTGAGCGGCGAAACCTCTAGTGAAGTCAAAGCTCGCAGGCCATAGTACTGGGATACGTGCTTCGCTTGGGCAAGAAGACCGCATCGTCTCCCATCCCAGTCAACGACATCAACACCGACCGACCAAAAGCATGGATATGGCGGAGGGGGATACATTAGTTGGCAACTGCGTACCATTCCAACTGAGTCGGTCTCATGTTCCAATACCATCATTGCAGGGATGTACACTAGATTCAGGTCGTTAAACGCAACATGGCCGGTCTTCTTCACATCTTCGATCTTCTCAAACGACTCCTTCAGTAGGGGCTCGAGAACTTCCTGTAGCAACTGTAGGTGGCCCTTGGTCTCGGGTTCTAGATCGAGACGATCCTTATAGCCAAGCATCGCTTCCCATCGATGAATGAATGGGAGGAATGGTGGTGAAAATGACTTCATCTCATGTTGTGTTAGGCTCGGGTAACCTTCAAGTATCTGCTCCAGAGCCGTATGAAGAAGCTCACTGTTGATGCGTACTTCGTGGATGAGCCATTCATCGGTTTTCTCATCAAAACGATGGTAAACGTTCACTGCGAAAGCCTCTCGCGTTTTCTTCGTCCGAAGTTTGTCTCCAGTCGCCCCGTAATAGAGCGGCTTTTCATCCACCCAGTGGAATCTATTCGGATCTTGATCGGTTGGCACGTAGTATATGTCTTTGTGGCTGCAGCGCCTGCCCTTCTCCACAGCCTCAGTTAGGTCGTCTTCGGCGGGCAGCTGAATGCCTGGAGGTAATCCAGGTCCTAGAGGAGCGAATACAGGCGGTGGACCAAGACTAGGGTCCCAGGGTCCAGCATAATTCATCTAGAGTCGATCAGTAGCTCGCTGGGAGTATAAGCTATAGCGTTGGTGTCTGACCATCTCTTGTTCCGAATTTGGCCTTACTCGGCGTCGTCGGGGCCGCGATCGTGGGCTACTGACCTCGTATTGCGGCGGTTGCGGCGGCATACCAGGATAACTGCACATGTTTCTTTGTAGATGAGGTTGTAAAGTGGTAAACGTGTCGATTCTGCGTGTTCTTGACAAGGCTAGGATACAGACAGCACGATAATTTGGAAAACGCGAGAATACAGTGCGAGATGCGGTGACGAGGTGAGGGAATACTAGAGTAGCGATAGACGTTTCGTGGAATATGTTGCAGGTTTAGTAAATCAAGTCTCACTGGAACGGCACCTGTGCGTCGATGAATGCCTGATAAGACCGGTCAACGCCCTGCTACCCAACAACCTCACGAACCATTGGCTAGGGGCTGAAAGTAAGACCCCGCACCTCAACAACATCCAAGAAGAGTGTGTTGGCTTGAGGAACATATGCGCGATACCACATCCGTAGCGAAAGAAATTAGAGCATCTAATCGCATCCTCCGCCTGAGCCACCTCCTCCATCTCCGACACCTGTGCCGCATCCGTCACTATAGCCAAGAATGTGTCCGCCGCCGAAGTCACTAACATCAGTGCCCGCGTAACCGAAGGCTCCATAACCTCCGTGCGGTGAGATACCATGCCCGCCGTTCCCAGAGTCATCCTTCGTGGAGCATGTAGAGCTTGGATGTACGCTATTTGTAGAATCATTGTTTCCACAACGCGTAGAACCACGAACTCCAGCGCAGCCAGAATCATGGAGTGTGATATTTGGTCTTCAATCGAATCCAGAGCCATATTGCTGGTGATGATCGATCCGAGCGAAAGGACCAAAGAGCGAAGCCCGGATCGCAGGGTCAGTCACATCCTGCACCCTGGGTGTATTCGAACCACGCGATCGGTATGTAGGCGGAAGAGGTATAGCAGCGCTTCTTGTCTGTACAGGCTTGGTGCTGGCGAGTGGATCGAGTCTGATGAGACAGGAGGGCTATCGCTTAGGAGTCGATGAACCTGCGGTGACTTGTGCAGGGTCGTTGTTCACTACTTCATGTTCGGATGGCTTGTAGCGACGCGTGCGGAACTAGTGATGGTCAGTAGATGTCTACAATCTTCCAGCCCTAATACCATACTATACAACACATCGTGGCGGGTTTCCATCGGACGTGAGGATAAACTGAGGTATCCCGGTAGTTGGTGCGAAGCAAGAATACGAGAAGATGCGGATTCGAGGCGTGAAACAAGATCACAGTAGAAAAGGGTTGATCTGTTACATTACGCACATATTGCCGTACTTTGCAGCGATATCATAGCTCGGGTCCTGCTTTGTGGTACCTGAAGAGCCGTGGTACAGCCTTGCAAAAGGTACCCCGGTTTATCGTGACTGGGAGAGAAGACTACGCCTCTGACGAATCGCATACTTTGGCATGGTTGAGATGGCCTTGAGATCGAATGTTCTCCCGTGAACCGCACGTCTCGTCGCGTCGCACAGCGCGACTTTATTGGATTAGCGGCAATAGCTCCTACCTTACATTGTCTTACGAGAAGTCCATATAGATTTGAAGTTGTTCGCGGATCGAAGCCTTCGGGTTTCTCGGGGTTTGACAAGGTGTATCGCGATGACCCTTAAGAATGCAATGCCTCCATGACGACTCGATAACGGTGCGCTCAAAGATGGACTTCTTCTTGGTCATGGCCGACCACAAAGTTACCCGCCAGCGATGACTGCAATGATGAGTGGTGCTGACAGTCGGATGGTATAGTGATGTTGACTGACTCGTTTGATTGACAAACGAAGCAGCAGATACGATGAGCCAGAGCGGCTACGGCCAGCGCTCGTGCTAGGTCCGGCATAACGACCCCAAACATTGATTCTCCTGCATCACTACTTCGCAACCAGCCATAAACCTTCCTGTCGTTATTACTTGTAGGGCCGAATCCAGCGATAACATTCCAAGATTTCCAACAACTTCACCACCCAGCCATGCCACCCATGAGGAGATCCTCGAGGTTATGACATCATCATAGTCTGGCCCTTCTCATCCAACACGAAGCGCCAGGGCTCTCGGGTAGCCATTCCAAAACGATTATGGCGTGCACCCCTATACCAAACAATACATCTCGCATACGAAAGAGTCCGTTGAAGTTCACTGCCATGGTCTATCTACCATTTGCGTTGTAGGCGAAGAGCCGCTTACAATAGCTCAACAGATCTGCAGCTAGTATCTCTTTCCTTGCACATCAATGTCTTACAGTGCGCATGCAGAAACCGTCAGCGCTGATAGCCTGAGACTCGAATCATCACATTTTGCCATGGTCTGCCACGTCGACCAGAGCACGTGACCAACTCAACCCTTGTGGAAATCGCTTCACCGCTCCACTCAGGAATCAAGGCACCATGGCAGGATACGAGAGCAGATTGACAATACGTGATAAGTCATAGCTGACATGTTGACTATGTGTTGCTCACAACATAAGTGTCATGTGCAAGTCGATTCACTCCTCAACACAACTTTCGTGTTCTATAACTCAGGGTCTGACTCCATCCACCGTTGAACAACCCCTGCATACTTCGTTCTACCGCACCACTTTAACTCAAGCCTCCTACTACGTCATACTATTTTGCAATCACCAGTATCAGCCTACCCAGGAGTCGCAATGTGCTACCACAACTACTCACAACACAATGGGTAAGTCACCCCATATTGCATCGCATGTGTTAGAGAGCGATTCTTCTTAGATTCTGCCTCTCTGACTGCTTTGATTTATAGGTGTGGTCATATTGGGGAATCGCATACGCATCCATGGACGCTGTGCGACGCGGCAATCCAGAAGCTGAACGCCCTCCGGGGGCCCAACTCTCCACCAATCTCCCCTCCTGCGCTAAACTTCGCATCACCACCAAAGCGCAGCTCATCTACACGGCGCTTCTTCTCGTTGAGTGGACAACTCTCGCGGTCATCTACCAATGCATCGACAAATTCGCGTCGCGCTGCTTCTGGCCCCTCAGGCACAGTTACGCCCCGAAATTCTGATTCAAGCTCAGGTTCTTACAATTGTACCATGACGCTGGATTACAGCACCCTGCCAGACCACCAGCTCGCAGCTGTGAGGTGCGAAGTTCCAGTCAAGCGCACGCATGTTAGTAGGCAAATGGTCGTCTGTAAAGATTGCGCACGCGAGATTGGCCACATGCGCAACATGATTCAGACATACGATAAAACCGGTAGCATACGTGGCACCACAGCGTTTGAAAAATTCCTCAAATGGGAGGGTGAAGGCGGAGGGGAAAGGGAGGGCGATCTGACGGTACCGCTGAATGACGATGATGATGCAGGGTTTTTTGGGGCGAGGCAAGCCATCATCCTGGGTCATCCAGAGAGCGCGTTGAACGCTGAGGGACCAAAAGGCTTGGGAACGTTGGAACGAGAGAGGGGTGCCGGATATCGATATTGAACAACGGAATTTTGATTAAGGAAAATCGGAGTGAGGGGTAAGCGGTATGCAACGGATATGTCTTACGGTTTGGTGGTGATCGCAACTACGCTACCTTTTACCATCCATGTGGTCCGGCCCCTCCCACAACTTACTACTAGCGCGCCATATGTATGCAAACATGAACTGATGCCCGAGTCCTTTCTTGACTCTACGACAACATGATCGCGATAAACGTCATGAAAGGGCCGCCCCGCCGAGCTGTCAAAAATCGTATGAGAATCGAATGATGGATTTTCTGCTCCCGGCGGCGGTCTTGGTATCCCGCGGAGCCCATACCTAGGTATGCGCACGCGACCCACGCGAACTACTATTCCCGCCAACAATCTATGTAACGTGTTTTATAAGCGAGTCGTCCTTACAAGCGAGTCGTCCACCCCACTAACTTTGATCACCTTCAAAGCTACGCAACGCAACAACGTAATAAGGTAGAACAAAGCGATTAATATAGTAGATTAAATAGTATCTACAGCATCCTTTTTGCACGTTCGTGAGTTGTGCCCAGTCTCCCTGCACCTCCTGCAGCGCGCAATAGCCTGGCGGCTAAGGCCTGATCGCTCACCACCTTGACGCTGTTCACGCTCAATCTGCTGGTCAGCCTCCTTTTGAGCTAGTATATCCTCTCCCTCTCCCTTTGTTAAGGTCCCACGCTTCTGTATCCGTTTCTTTTTGCGCTGCCTACGCTTAGTTGCTGCCTCGTTGGCTCTCTCAAGGCAGGTAATCTGATCGCGCATAAGCTCGGCTGAGAGCATCATCACCTCAGCCCCCTTTTTAAGCTGGTTAATCGCCTCAATAATCGAGGCTGGTGATGAGCTCTTATGCTGCCGCACGCGATCACGTATTAACGTTGATTGAGCCTCAAGCTCACGTACGTTGCTTGGTGTACGAGCCTCCCAGGGAGGCTCTGCGAGAGCAGCTGGTGGAGTAGGCGTACGCAGCTGCACGTTGAGCTTTGATAGAACAGCGTCTGGCTGGAGAGGGCTAGGCCTGCGCCTCGAAAAGCTGAGCAGATATTGGCTAAGGTGAACGATCGATCAAAGGCTGCCTTAAAGGCTGGCAGGAATTCGAGCTTGGTGATATGGTTGATATTGTAGCGCATTAGAGCCTCAATCTCACGGCTGTACGCGCGCTTCATAGGCGAGAAGCAGCCTACGTCAAGAGGCTGCAGTAGGTGAGATGAGTGAGCTGGCATGCAGAGCGTGTAGATATTGCTCTCCTTGCAGAGCTCTTGAAACTCAAGAGACTGGTGGCTCTCGTGGCCGTCAAGGATAAGCAGGCGGCGTGCTCCAACTACCTTGCCCTCAGTATGCTTAATAAAGTGCTTTAGCCACTCTACTCCTATCTCGTTGGTTGTCCAGCCGTTGTCGCTAACTGCGATAGCCCAGTCGCGTGGGATATCCTCCTCGTACCAGGCTGACAGGTGATACTTGCCAGCAAAGATGAGGAACGGTGGGATTGTCCAGCCAGCAGCGTTGATTGCAGCAATTACCGTCACCCACTCGCGGTTGCCAGGCTGGATAGTCTTTGGCCTGCCTCTCCTCTCTGACCCTGTGATAACTAGCTGAGTCTGGATCTTGCCCATCATAAAGCCAGCCTCGTCAAAGTTGTAGACGTCCTCATCACAGATGCCGTACTTGGCCTTTGTCTCCTCTACCAGCTTAAACCAGCGGCTGATTAGCACAGGATCCTCGCATAGAGCTCTCTGCCTATCGTACGATCGATTAAAACGCGTCATAAGACTGTCTGTACGCTTGACAAAGTTGCGCGGCCAGTGGACGCCAACGCGACCTGCGCCACGCGCAGCAAGCAGCTTATTAGCCATATCGCGCGCAGCTGTATACGTAGGCCTAAATCCTCGCTGATCAAGGTCGAGTATATGTCTAATAATTACCTCCTCCTCTAGCTGGGTAAGCTTCTTTGAGTTAGGCTGGCAATCGCGTCGTGCAAGCCTGCCAGCGCGTCGGTCGCGTAGCGTCATTCGAGGGACGTTAAACGCGCGAGCAGCAGCTCTCTCAGTCTTGATCTGGTGGCTATTAAGAGATGATATAGTAAGCTGCATATCAGCTTCAGATGAGCGCAATAGAGCTTGTTGGCGTTGAGGCATAACTGATTTGATCTTCAAAGGTGATCAAAGTTGGTGGGGTGGACGACTCGCTTGTAAGGACGACTCGCTTATAAAACACGTTACGTCAAGTTCCGAGATCATGCAAGAATTGTGATACTTAAGTCAGACCTGCAGCGACCTACTGCTTCTTAAACGTTCTGGTTAGCTCGGTGGCAAGCTCCTTCATTGTCCACATTCGGCCTATGTTCAAAAAGCACATTTTTGCCGTTCGCGCCACTTCTTTCCAACATTATGCGTCAAGACTTTCAGGTTCGGGAGCGACTTGAGGCTGTGCGCCGACTACCACGCTTGACGTGTAAGTTTGAAGCAAATCTTACACCACGGACACGCAGCTATGCAAGATTATTGGCTTGTTCGTAAATTACCTGATAGCTTTCTATAATTTCCCTTCAAGGTCGCTACTAGAGAAACTTGTCTCCAGAATGCATCGTTTATGCAGAACTGGACTCGGTTCTTCCCCTTACATCGCGATACTAAAATCCGGTTACTTTCAATATTCGGTCTTTTTCGCACACAATGCGTCTATCATCGACAACAGTTATATGAACACCTCATAATACAGTAGTGCTAGTTTTGTTTTCCAATGACCAAGGCATCATGGTTGATCGGTAACTTTCGTAGGTGTTGGAGAAGGGCGCTGGCACGTAGATTGGTAAATTTGTTTCACAGTCCGCGGCGCCTAATGAATACTACACTAGGGAGGAGCCAACTTCCGTGTGGCCGCACATTCGATTCGAAACCCTGGTAGCCTGTGATCTCGATTAAACCTCCTTGATCTGGAGATAATAGTGAACGGCGCCTTTCATTCGTTGGTTTTCCTTTCCGCTACAAACAACACTTCTTGTAATCTTGCTGGCACTTTCCACAATAGGTAGCTTCAATCGGCGACACTTCCCGCAGTCTCCTATTATCCTTGATCTAGCTTCTTGGCAAGGACACTAAGCTACTTGCTTCTGCTATGTGTTGTTGCAGGTTTGAGATAATGGCAAAGTATTGGTTCGGTGCCGTGTCCGCAGTTTTCAGCTGATATCTTGCCTACTTTCTCGATGCAGGCACTTTGTCAAATTCTGTCGTATGCTGAGCTGTCTTATCTATCGGTGCGGAAGTGTATTGGCTCGGTGTTACGTCCGCAGTGTTCAGTGGTACTTCCTTCAACTTGCTCAAACAAGTTGTCTTGTGGACCTAACCCTCTCCGTGGAGCTTAAACCCACGATACGAGCTGATACTGGCTCGGTCTTATGTCCGCAGTATTCGACGACTGTGTCTCCAGGTTACCCAAAGAAGCTCTATCATGGAGCCATCGTATTTCAAGGAGCTCCAACTCACGGTTTGAACGACGATTGGCTCGGTCGTATGTCAGCAGTTTCCAACACCTCTCAGAGTTTCCGGAAGGAGCAGACAGTAAGTCTCTTTGCCTCCGCGGTGTCTACATTAGGGCTCCCAAAGCTGCCAGTCATGTTAAAATAGATTGTGAGATTAGATCAGTAATAAATTTGCAGAGGTTGAACGCTGACATAGACTTTCGCCGAGACAAATAGGATAAGAAAAGAACAGATAGTACGAGCGGACTACTGCTGGTAAGACCATGTTACTACTTTGTCAATGGTAAAGAAAGACATACGAAGATACAGATACCCAACGGCTGAGTCTAGAAACAAAATGATCATGAAGCTAGCCTCGTGCGAAAAAGGAACAACAGCAGCAGTGATCACAAGGTAGAGGCGATATTGACGCGCTTCCACCATGACCACTGTACAATACGCCACTCTTCACGGTCTCACCATGCAATCACTTCTATGCGGAGAAGATACCACTCGACTGTGTCACGCGATACACCTCCACTAACGACTTCGCGATGATGCGATCCTGTCCTTTCCCCATTGCACTACCAGCTCGCATAATCGGACCACGTATCTCTCCGCAATCCAACCGTCCGTCCACCAGGATCACACCCACCATCAGCCGAGCTCCTGACATCCTCACACCACCCCGCCGCAACAAAATACCCTCAACAACCCAACTGTCATCATGTGCATCGAACTTCACACGCGCTACCGCCGCTGCACCCACACGCGCCTCCTCCACTGGACCTACTGCCCCATACTCACACCCTTCGAACGCCAGCCTAGCACCGGTCGCTCCTGCAGAAAGCACAAATTGCGCTACAGAGATAGCTCCGACGCCACCTCTTGTTTCGAGTGCAAAGTATCGGAAATTGCTGGTTGGGGTGAAGTGGTAAGATCACCGACTTTCTCAAACTTTTCGGAGCTGCAGCCGCCTACGATGTCTAGTTTCTTGAATTATGAGGCGGGGTCACCCAAGGTGTCTAGTATTAGAGTTAGATCACCAACGTTCGCGATATTCGAGAGATCGCCGACGTTTTCGACGCTCGCCAGCTCTGCGGGGTCACTGAGGATTGGCGCTGGAAACAGGGTGAGTAAGGATAGCGATGTCAGTGTTGTTGCAAGTGATACGCCGTTGAGTCCTGTGGCGAGCGATTGGCCGCCGAGTGGTGACAGCAAGGAGGGTCAGGAGAAAGAGCCTGCCGAGGAGGCAAAGGAGGGAGGTGTGAAAGGTTGGTTCAAGAAGAAGTTCAAGGCTAGAGAGGGGTATGATAGTGAGGTGTTTGGATTTCAGAGGATGGATGCATAATTAGAAGATACTCGGCTTATAACGTACCCTAAAAATATACATTGGTGTGAATCTTGCTTCCACATTAACAAAAAGAAAACGCAGCAAACGGATAACGTGGTTCACAAGCGAGTCGCCAACACAAGCGGGTCGCCACCCCAACACCAGCGCGGCGCCTGCACAGCAACTTCACGTAATGTCACAACTACGCAATACCCAAAGAACCTACAATGAAGGCAATATACAGCTTGCTATCTTAGATATTAATTCTTATCAGTTTCAAAGCAACGCACGCGCTGCAGCAATCTATAACGTCCCACGAAGAACGCTTGTTGACCGACGCGCTAGACGACGCTCTCGACGCGATTGTGAGCCGAACTCAAAACGCCTTACAAAGCTAGAAGAGGAGGCGATTGTACAGCGTATACTTGAAGAGAGTTTACGTGGTATACCGCCCTTGAAGGCAAACGTACGAGATATAGCTGATAGACTGCTGAGAGAGCGTGGTGGGAAGCCTACAGGCAAGAACTGGGTTGATAACTTCATTAAGCGTACACCTGAGCTGCGAACGCGATGGAGCCGTCCGTACGATCACCAGCGAGCTGTCTGCGAGGACCCAGCGATTATTAGGCCCTGGTTCACGCTTGTTTAATCGATGAAGGCGAAGCATAGTATCGCAGATAAGGATACCTAGAACTTTAACGAGTCTAGCTTTATAATGGGTAAGATATCCTCTCAGCTTGTTGTTACAGGCTTAGAGAAACCTGGGAAACAGAAGAAACTACAGCCTGGCGATCGTGAGTGGGTAACTCTAGTCCAAGGCGCCTCTGCGACAGGGCGCGTTATCCCGCCCTTCCTCATCTTTGCGGGGAAGGTCCTTATTACCTCCTAGTTCGCAGATCTACCTCGCGACTAGATTATCACTGTCTCTCCTACTGGCTGGATTAACAACGACCTCGCGCTCGCGTAGCTTAAGCACTTTAATGCTCATACGAAGGCGTCCTCTGTTAGGGCATATAGGCTGCTTATTATTGACGGCCATGACAGCCACTGCTCAGTAGATTTCCAGGACTACTGCAAGGAGAACAAGATTATCGCTCTCTGTATGCCACCTCACTCATCGCACCTCCTGCAGCCTCTTGACGTTGTCCCCCACTTGCTGTTGAAGCGCCACTACGGCGATGGGATCTCGCTCTTGGCACGCAGCCGCATCCACCATGTTAACAAGGAAACCTTCCTACCAGCCTTCAAAGAAGCTCACAAGAAGACGTTTATACTAGAGAATGTTCGCGCAGGCTTTCGAGGTGCTGGGCTAGTCCTATACGACCTAGAGGTTGTGTTATCAAAGCTAGATGTGCAGCTGCGTACGCCGACGCCACCTGCACCAGGCACAGTCGCCTAGGAGGCGCAAACACCGCGCAACGCCCGCAAGATAGAGGCGCAATCTACGCTGATTCGAAATCGCATGCGAAACTACCAAGGGTCACTAGCAAGCTCATTAGACGAGCAGGTTAAGCAGCTAGGTAAAGGCGCTTAGCAGATAGCTCATAATATAGTGTTAATGCGAGAGGAAGTGAGAAGCCTTCGAGAAGCTGTTGACACGCTTACAAAGCGCAAGACTCGCAAAAGGCGGTACGTACGCGCAGAGGAGACTCTAACAGTTGGTGAGGTATCTAACTTAATTGCTAAAATGGACGGTGGTAGGCGTGAGGACAGCGAGACGCCTGCGAAGAGGGTGCGCGCAGAGAGGCGCTGCGGCCGTTGCAGCGAGGTTGGGCATAACTCTCGCACCTGCAAGGTAGAAATAGAGGATGTAGATGATAGTGACGCTTCTGAGTAATAGTAATCTGTTACCTATAGTACAATATTGTGTTCTGGTGCTACACTACGTTGTTGCGCAGGCGTCGCGCTGGTGTTGGGGTGGCGACCCGCTTGTGTTGGCGACTCGCTTGTGAACCACGTTATCCCTAGGCTATATGATTAGGGAGATCTCCTCATACTAAGGCTTGCCTATCTTCGCGCACCCAAACAGAGCCATTTGATGCTACAAAAACCCGCGAATCCCTTCAGCACCTACTTTAGAAAAGTTTCGTTTCGAACCTCTCCCTCAGCTTCTCGTACTTCTTCACGTCGCCCACACTCGGTCTAACCGTCTTGGCCGCCTCAACAAAGTCTAGCTCCTCCACAATGTCACTGCGCCGCCTCAACGCATGCTGTCCAGCTTTCCGTAGCATACTCTCAAGATCAGCACCTGAGAAGTTATTGCAGACATCTTGGCGGCCTATCTCAGCGAGTTCGGGGGCGATGACGCCACGTTTTCGAATATGCGCTCTGAGAATATCGACACGCTCCTCCGGTTTGGGCAGTTCGACGTAAAGTAGGGTCTCCAAGCGTCCTGGTCGGAGCATGGCTTCGTCGATCATTTCGGGCCGGTTGGTGGCGGCGATGAGGTAGATACCTTCACGCATAGACAGGCCGTCGAGCTCTGTAAGAAGAGTGTTGACGACACGTGCGGAGGCTTCATGAAGCTCGGTGGAGCGTTTTGGGACGAGTGCGTCGAGTTCGTCGAAGAAGATGACACACGGTACGGAGGATCGGGCGCGCATAAACACCTGGCGTAGAGCTCTTTCGGATTCTCCGACATACTGTAACCTGTTAACATGGGACAAAGTGTATATCGCAGTATGTAAAGTACCTTGTTCAGCAATTCTGGCCCCTTAACACTGATGAAGTTCGCCTTGGATTCCGCCGCTACTGCCTTAGCCAGAAGCGTCTTACCACAACCAGGTGGACCCCATAGCAGCACGCCAGTAGGCGCCGAGATACCAAATTTTGCAAACTTTGCAGGATCCTTGATGGGTTCGCAAATGGCCATCTCGAGCTCTTCGCGAACACCTGCCAGCGCTCCGACGTCTCGCCATGTAGTATCCGGTACAGTGGCGAAACCTTCTCGCTTAGATGATGGGGTAATGGTAGGGAGGACGGCTTCGAAGGCTTCCATCGTGATCACGGTATCCTCAAATCCTTCTGGTCTTGGAGCTTCTGTATCTCTTACACGGGTGATCAGTCGGCGGATCGACTGGTTCATGAGGCTATCTACGTTGAGAGGGATGTCACTGTCGATTTCCATCGTAGTCTCTGCATTGGCCGCCTGCTTTTCGAGTGCTCTTCGGAATTGGTCCATGGACCATGTGCCTGCCTTGCTGACAAGATCCTTCAAATCGGCACCGACGAATCCTGCTGTTCTCTTCGCTAGTATACCAAAGTCGACATCGTGTGATAATTTTGGTTCGCGAGTCAGAGCTTGAAGTATAGACCGTCGCATGAGCTCGTTTGGTACACCCATGTTGATCTCTGTATCGAATCGACCTCCTCGACGTAGGGCTGGATCCAGACTGTCAGGGCGGTTTGTAGCAGCCAGTACAATCACAGGTTTGCCATTGTTGCCTTCCATGGCAAGACTGTCCATAGATATGAGAAGCTGAGCAACTATTCTCTTCTCCATCTGACTCTGTGCACTGTCGCGCTTAGGTGCAATAACGTCGATCTCATCGATGAAGATCAAGCATGGAGCGACCTCCTTGGCTTTCTCGAAGTGCTCTCGTACTTGCTTCTCCGACTCTCCAGACATGCCCGATACAACGGATGGACCTAGGATTTCAATAAAAGGCACACCAAGTTCGGCGGCGAAGGCTCGACTTATGACAGTCTTACCACATCCGGGTGGGCCATGGAGCAGTATACCACGTGGTATTGGGATCTTGCGGTTGGCATATTCCTGTGGGCAGAGAAGGGGTAGTACAAGATGCTCTTTGAGCTGCTCTTTGACCTTCTCTACGCCACCGAGATCTTCCAAGGTAACACCTGTGGGCGCTGCGGTGTCGATTTTGCTCTCCTGAGTCCCTGCCTTCTTCTGCCTCTTAGCCTCCCTCTCCTCTTTTGACTTGCCGCTATCCCGCTTTTTGCTCTTCTCACTCTTCTCACTCTTTTCCCCATTCGCGGCAGGCGGAATTGCCCATTGATTGACAATTTGCTTATTCATCCAATCGCTTGAACGATCCTTCTTCTCTTTCGGTTCGTCCATGGTGAAGTCTCCTTCAAGTTCGGCCATCTCGTCTTCAGAATCGGGTTCTTCGTCTTCGCGGATGACATCGATCACGCGGTCAATGGAGTCTTCAATCTGCTTCTTTGGCCGTCTCTTCAAGCTCGAGTTTGAGCGCTGTATATAGTCGTAAACCGTCGACAAGCGCAGTTTCAGCGCTGACTCATTTTTCTCGTCTAAGTATTTGCGTACGACCTGGTACACTTCCTTGTCCAGACCTGCCTGGAGGGAGGGGCGACCTTTTGAGACCATGGCAATTATCGTGGTATCGTGGGTGAGTCAGACGCAGAGTACAGGTTGATGTACCTGCCAGTCAAAGTGTATGAACGATCGGAAAGTCGGTTCGGTACGGCCAGTATCCCTTGAGCCAGGGCTGTCAAGGATGACTGCTGTTGGAGTGAGTTCCCGTGGTTTGCAAGTGCTATCGCTAGTGGGCCTTGGCACTGATTTTCAAGGACTAAATGTAGAACTGCGGCACGAATATGCTACGGTGGGCCTGGACTTGAAGATGTATGCGACGGTGTTATATCACCTCTGATGCACATGCTCGTGTCTCCAAAAAAGTTCGCGACGACTATCGATAAGACTAGCGCCGTGCTTAGCTCCGCTCTAGTTCGCATACGTCAATCAAGGCACCCGGGACATGTCGCATGCGCAACCATCATCACTCATGGATATCGTAGCAATATGGGCAACTCGAGCAGCGCGAACAAGATCTCTGCCCAGGATAAGTGAGTTGATTCTACTGATACACCAAGACGTTTCTGACATTCCAGGGCGATCCTGGATATGAAGAACCAGCGCGATAAGCTGCGGCAGTACCAGAAGCGCATCACCGTCCTCACCGATCGCGAAACGGAGATTGCGAAAGAATGTCTAGCCAAGGGCGACACGAATAAAGCCAAGCTAGCGCTGAGAAGAAAGAAGTACCAAGAAGGTCTCTTGTCGAAGACTGATGCCCAACTGGCACAGCTGGAGATCCTCACTAGCGATGTCGAGTTCGCCCTTGTGCAGAAGGATGTCTTGTTTGGTCTGCAGCAGGGAACTGCGGTACTTAAAGAGATTCACAAGGAAATGGGCGGCATAGAGAACGTGGAGAAGCTGCTGGGTGAGAACGAGGAGGCCCGGGCTTATCAAGAGGTGCGCCGCATAGCCAAGCCTCTCATGACATGTATGCTGATATGCGCAACAGGAAATCAGCGAGCTCCTTGCGAACAAGATGTCCAACCAAGACGAAGACGAAGTCGAAGACGAGCTCGAAGCTCTCGAAGCAGAAGGAAAGTGCACCTTTCCTGTACTACCCAAGGTGCCTGCCGAACCGCTACAATTCACACCCCAAGAGAAGGCGCAGAGGGCCAAGGACAGAGCGGCGAGGAGGGCGAGGGAATTGGCTTCCGAGCAGGCATCGCAGCCCATGCTGGCGTAATGAGACGTGGCATTGGCGTATAGATTGCATTAGAGCGTGGCGTTGGGGTGTTTTGTTGGCATGACCTGGACGATGTGATACTTTGGCCATGCTGCATGTTTGCTACATCTGCGCATACATACAAGATTCTATATGAGAGTTTGTTCTACGGCTTGATGCATGTGGTGACGACGTGTGCGGAACGTAGGCAATGATACGTCGTCCTAGATGTTTGCCACGTATGCCAGTCTCGCCTTCTCTTCGCCCACCAAGCGCGTCATGTCATAGCTCCCGTCTACATCTACGCCATCTCTCTGCCATCCATCCCCGATCTCCACCAAAAGTCTGTTGACGCTGCATCAACAACCCTGGCCCCAGCATCCATCCACACCGAAGCTCGAAGCTACCCCGCCATCACCCCCACCACCATCAGCCCTGCCGCGCAAACACACCCAACATCATCCAGAAACATGTCGCACTTACACTGCCACGACGAGCATCACGACCATTCCCATGACGATGGCCACGACCACAGTGATGACATCACCCCAGCCCTTCAGAACATCCTCTACGAACAACTCGACTTCCCCAAGCTCGTCACCCTCAACGAAGATGAATCCAATAGCGGCCGCGCAATCTGCCAGAAGACATGGGCCCAGCGCCTCGACCCCGAACCCGAGCTGAAGAGCAGCGCCGACGAACAAATTCTCATGACGGTGCCTTTCACAGGCCAAGTCCGGTTGCACTCCATCATCCTACGAGCAAGCCCCGGCCCCGACTGCCCCAAAACTCTCAAAGTTTTTGTCAACGAAGATTCACTCGATTTCGAGACTGCGGCCGAGAAGGAACCTACACAGATACTGGAGATTAGTCAGACGAGCGAGGTGCAGGAGATACCCGTCAAGAGGGCCAAGTTTGGTACAACACGCAGTCTAAGCTTGTTCTTCGAGGACAACTGGAGTAATGGTGAAGAGGATGAGACGAGGCTGAGCTATCTGGCGTTCAAGGGCGACTTTATGAAGTTGAACAAGGAGGCTGTGTCTGTACTGTATGAGGCCGCTGCAAATCCCAGTGATCATAAGAATATCGTGGGGATTGGCCAGGGTGTTGGTCGGAGTATACAGTAGAAGGGCAAGCGTCTGGCGAAGGAAACATGGCCATATTGCGAGAGATTCACATTAAGCATGGCGCATGGTATGGTTTCAAATCAGGTTCAGTAGGTCATTGTCGGATAGCATGGATGTGCTACAGCCTATCGCTTCTGAGCGTCGATGTTTGTATATTAAGAGCATTTCATAGTCTGAGGGGTCAGCAAAGGCGCATGCGGCGTTTATTAGAGATGACATACTCAGCGTGTCTTTGCGCTTTCGTGGGTATCGTGTCCTCCATATATGCATGTATATCCTTCCCCCATTCAGTATCGTCTGTCTCGGCTTGTGATCTGAATGCATCCACTTCCAATATCGCTCATTTGTGGTGTTGCTCCAATGCAGTATGCTGGGCACATATTCCGTCCCCCCCATGCAGCCGCGTGCAGACCCTCTTCGCCCAACTTCCAGATCCAACTCCTGATATGCGTTCCATAGTTTTTTTTCGTTCTTCAGGTATGTCTCGTTCCCCCTAGCACCTCGCCATGAACCTTCCCCCAGTCAATCTTCCCATCAATCTCTTCATCCACTCTACCCACTACCGCCACACTGTCACCTCGGATAATGTATAGCCCGAGAGGTACTTCCTCGCTGGGCTCTTCATCTTCTATAGGTCGGATAATACGCTCAACGGCTTCTTGGAGGACGAGGTTCATGCTGCCGTCGCAGGAGTGGAGGAGGCCGACCATCGTGCGGCCATCGAGGGTGAGAACTGATACGCGCTCTAAGAATGATTAGCAGGGAAATGATGGGAGGCACGAGCGACGTACTGTTTAGGTAGGCGTTTAGTGCCATTGTGAAGGTTTGGTTTATGTATTCGTTGGTTTGGGAACTCGGCGATTATGCCAGAGGGACTTTGTAAGGCCGGTACGGAAATATCGCTCAAATGGTTTCCTTAGGGTGCTTTCTGAACGTGATCGAAGGATGCTTGCGCAACGCTTCGTGGTGTAGCGTCGCGTTGTGGAAAAGGTTGCGACTTGCTTCAAACTTGGTTTTATGTGGATGTCGAAGACTGAATAGGTGTCTTAGGCCACGGGAGTACGAGTTGAAGATTTCTTGCGCGAGCGAACGAGGGGACACAGCGAGTTGCTTGTGCGTGTCGTGATATGATTGTAGCTGTTTGGTACGTGAAGCTCACGATGCTTTGCGGTGGAGCTTCAAGTGGCACGTGCGTAAGGCCAATCAGAGTAGACTTCCTCCGCATGGCCGCTCTGTTTCTTCCTTCTCTCCACGACGTACGTCGCAAATGTTACAATCGTCTGTTTTTCTGTACATAAAATCTTGAGATTACTTCCCACTACTTCGAAAGGGTGATAATATATTCTCCCCACACTGTAGCTGCACTATCACGATTTGAGTACAATCTATACCAACAAAAGTCCTGCCGCTTCCTCCAGCACTCGCTAGGGCATTGTCCAGGTGTCGGCCACCCATTTCTGCATGATTTACACAGAGAGTGAATCATACCTAGAATGAGGCATGAGAGGAATAACTCCCATTATCAGAATATTGAAACCGCTCCAGTTTGATTTGTTCGCAGATACCTGGTGCCGTCTCTTGGTTGAGCTTAATGGAAGTCAGTCGGACCACACCACGATATCCCTGATAATATTTGAAGGACTGCTGGCAGAGACACTTGCCTGAGCTTTCTTGCCATATTTCCACACGACGGGTAACATGGCGAATCTTAGGGACGCTGTTCGGCAATAACCTTTCCTCGATGCACTTTGCCCGCATCTGCGCGTTGCCAACTTCGAAGCACTTTCAAGAACCAGCTCTGACATTCGACTCTGTATGAAAGGACGACATGGACCTAGTGGTCTTAGCAATGTCAGTTTGTGCAGCATATGCATCCGAACCATTTGTTTCCAGTGCTGGTGGTTGCACATCAATGCGGAAAGTGCCAATATTCGAGGCAATGGGCGAGCACATCCTTTATGCTCGGAATGTTGGGATACGGATCTTGACAAACTCCATAGCAACAATCCCTCATACGCATTTCTTGTAACGCATGGTCACCGCACATGGCGGCAGGCGCAGCTTCAAGGTGACTTCTGCAAATGTAGACCAGCAGTTATTTGCAGACCTTGCACTAGAGAACTTGAACCACCACGATCTCATACCCCAGCCGAGAGAAGGTCTCTTCTAAACAATTAGCCCTATCGAGAACTGGCAAGACCATTCTTCAAGAAGTGTTTCGCTTGCCTTACATACATGTCGGAAAACAGAACTGAAAAGGTCAACCATTTCTATTCAGTCTAAAATCTTCCCATATACATGCGCAATTATGACCATGCTGTTGATTGGCAGTCCTCGACATTAGGCGTCTATGACGACGATGAAAACGGCATTGATCCTGAAGTCAAGATGGTAGGACCCGACTACGAATCTGTCGAAGAGTTTTGGAAACAGCAGTGGATAAGAAGCAGCAGACTTTTGGACCCACCGACCAACTGGCAGCCTGTGCAATACGAATGGGAACGTATCAACCAAGTTTTGATATTCACAGCGGACGAACGCAGTCACTTTGATTGGTGCTCAAACTTTGAGCCATACGTGCACCCGTGTGGGATTCCGAGAAGGTTCTATTCGGACCGCTCCCGCTCAAGATCCATGGCACCGCATGGTATCATATCATAGGGTATGTCTCATACTTGACCACATCTCAGTATACAGTAGGATCATGTACTAACAACGTTTTGTCAGAGGAACTTGGCTCATGGAGGATGAGTCGTGTATCTACACCAGAGAAGAGTTCTTGCAGGCTCTGCATAGACTCTTCCGGGGCGACCGAGCTCCACAGAGCTGCGGGGCGTAAGGTACGCTTATGGTGGAGACAATATCTGCCTTTTTTGGAAGTATAAAAGCTTCCAATACGGAGGCTTCTACACAGCTGCTCCAAAGCCTACACTCACTGGCGCAGCGGTCCCTGAGACGAAGACAAGTCACCTTCTCCACGATGTAATCGAACAAAAACAGTCCCCCGTCCTACCAGAATATACTAGCACCCGGATCTTCTCTAATAACGCTCACTCGACTGTGCAAAACTCATCTCACATGACCAGTGCGGCCCATATAGTATGCACAGAAGTCTTTTCTTTATTTATCTAAACTCGCCCCATCTGATTTTTCCGTGCAGTGTTAAGTATTGAATTCTACAGTGCATGCTATCGGAGTATCGAGCCAACCACTTGTCTACCCTCAGGACAGCGCTAGGCTCCATATCATACCATATTCAGTATGGTCACTCAAGCGCGCATTTCCAGGTGTGAGTCGCGCGTGGTGTCTTCTGTCAATCTTCGCTATAACTCCCAAGCTCAATAGTTTTGATAAATGAAGTCCAGACGTCTATTAGTTGCACTTTGCTATCCAGCCCGTTCATCTGAGATTGACACGCGCTTACATGGCTCAACATTCAGCGGGGCCAGCACACGTAGGAGTGATGTCATTTTGGACGCCTCAACATGCGTCGGAGAAATGCGCACTAGCATCATCAAAGCATCATGCCATCGGAATCATAGTGTTGCATGACTAACAAAGCATGCTTTCGAGTCGTCGCAGCAAAATGTGCATTTTTTCTTAATGTTGCTTCGTTGTGTCAATGACATTCGTACATTTCTGATCGCATCTGCTCAAGTCTCGCGCAACCTTAAAGCTCCCGGTTCATCTGTATATCTACAGCAGCCATCGTCGGAGTCCCAACTGCCAAACATCTGCTCCAACACGCTCGCAGCTTCCGCAAATCCGCTTGGACCAGTTTCCTTCTCCGCTGTCCAAATATTAGCTCGAATACCATGTTGTCGACTGGCGCAAACGACCACGATGGCGAAAAAAGAGATAGTAACGCGTCACAACTGCCGTTATGGCGTCGAAGGTTACGTCGTGTAAAGCTTCCGATACTCCCAGCGCACAACCAGGAAGGCGACAGAGGCCTTTCCCTCACCACGAGCAAAGGTCATGTCTATCTCCTCGACCAGTTCCGCGAGAAGGTGCCACTACGGATTCGCAATCGATCTATCGCTATGATTTCTGAGTTTGTCGGCACTTTTCTCTTCATGCTCATTGGTCTAGGCGGCAACTCTGCTGTCATCAACGATGCAGCTGTTGCTGCACAGTATGGTGGAGGAGATGCCTCAGCAGATCCTGCCAAGATCCTCTTCATCGCAACGGTATGGGGCGCCTCTGTCACAGTGAATGCCTGGAGCTTCTTCCGCATTAGCGGTGGGCTTTTCAATCCTGCTGTAACTATGGCTTTGATGCTAATCCGCGCTGTGCCACCGCTGGATGGTCTTCTCGACATCTTCTGTCAACTTATGGGATCTATCCTAGCAAGTGCCATCGCGTATGGGCTATTACCGCCGGGTGCGCTGGCAGCTACTGAACTGGGCTCCACGACTACTGTCACGCAAGGCTTGTTCATTGAGATGTTCATTACGGCACAAGTTGTCGTCGCAGTCTTCATGTTAGCGACGGAGAAACACAAAGCTACGTTCATCGCTCCAGTAGGCATCGGACTGACTGTCTTTGCTTGTATTCTTATGTATGTATCTCCTCTCCCGTTTTGGTCACTGTTTGAAATCGGCATCACACAGCTTCTCTACCATACTACATGACTTATGGTACCTAGGGCCTCAACCTACACAGGTGCAGCTATCAACCCGGCTCGATCCTTCGCCGTCTGCGTGATACAAGGAAGCTTTCCACATTATCATTGGATCTATTGGGTTGGTCCCGGACTGGGTGCTTTGCTGGCAACTGCTTTCTACCACTTGATTCGCAAGTTAGAGTATTGGACGGTAAACCCCGATGTCGACGACTACGAGACGAAGGTTGGAGAGACTATTCGAGACGTCGCAAGCAGAGTTGCAGATATTTCGAACAATCCTGGCGCAAGTTCAAACAATGATTCGTGAGGTTAGTGGAAGGGCCGAGACAATGTTTCGCAGCTGCAGTGATATAAAGTGCAAACGCGCTCATCATTTGTATTGAATTTTCCACGAAACCGAGATAGCTCAACCAAATCATCGCTCAACATACCTAAAAATATTCCAACTGGGACGCCTCTCTACAACCAGCACGAGCCACCCTCTATCAAAACCCTGTAACCAATCGACCCTTTGACAGCTTTGAAGAAGCGATGTATCTAATGAAGCCGCGCGATGCTTCTATGCACATGCATATGTTACCACAGGATATTGCTTTTACCACCGAATGGCTTCGGCTTGTGCTTCAACTATCAACCACCTGGAGAGCCAACCAGTTGAGGATAGATTCTGGAGGACAGAACTTGAGCGATTGGCGAAGGAATTAGACGCAGTCTGCGAAAAAAGAAGGGAAGACTGCGGGATACGACCAGCAAGACTATGGGGTAAAATGGATGAATAGATATGGTCGGCAGCGCTGAACGCAAACATGTATAACGCATATAAAGTTATAGAAAGACATGGAGCTCCTCACTAGCTTTTGAATCTAACAACATGATGGATGTCTTTAGTAGATTGCAAAAGGGTTCATACATGTTCTAGTGTTGTGGCTCCAATTCAAGTAAAGTAAACACAATGGCGAATATTGTGAGCATATCAAGAAGGTGATGCGCCATTGCTGCGGCCGTGATAGTTGACGAAGATGATCCACTCGGACAATTGAACTGGTGCTCGAATCATGCCCATTTGCTATGATCGTACACACCGACGGCCCGGCGATCAAGTGAAGCCAGATTTACAGCGCGCAGAAGAAAAGATGGTCGGGATGCGATAAGGCTTTTAGCGCACAGATCGCATCTAGTCGTACCTTGTTATGAACGGGATCCAGTAGAACCCTAGCCGCCACCAGCACCCACCAACTCGCCCAACCATCTCAACTTCTTCCAAAGGACGCCTGCTTCTGTGGTCTTGTATTCACCTTCCTATTCAACATTACTGCGCCGCTTGCAATCATGTGGGCTACACGAGGCCTCCGCTGCAGACCCTGTTTATCCGGGTTGCCGGTTGCTTGGTGCCTCTTGGCGAAGACGCAGCGTGCCTTGGGAGGCTTAACACCTGCTCAATGCGGCAACTAGAATGCGCATATCAATTAGACTGATATGTGCGATGGAAAACAGATAAAAAGGATCGTTGCCTTGCTATGGAATGACAAGTGCTTTGTTGCATTCGTCTCGTGTTTCTACCCGACGCGTCGATTTGGGTCATTGAGTGGGGAACGTTAATACCCTGCTGCCCGCATAGCACCCATATCAAGTGCGGAGAAGGTCTCTGTGCATAACTGCTTCGTCAAGAGCCTTTGCGTTTTGCAGGCGCTTTCTTGAACCCAATGCGTTCTTTCGCAATCCTCGCCGCGGCATTGCCGTTGATTCATGCGATTGAACCTCCGCGTACGCCGCACCAACCTCTCGGGAACGGTACCAAACGTCTGAGCTACAACGAAACCACCAACAGCCCTGGATCTTTGACACCTTCGACCCGATCCTTCACTTGGGTTGGCACTGGAGAAGATGGCGACTACATCTACACAGCCGCCTCTGGCGACTTTGTCTTCGAGAACGTCGCGACCGGCGAATCGTCGACTTTCATCTCCGCTGATCAGGTCCCGGAGGACTACTGGGATTACTTCATTTCGCCCGATGCCACCAAAGTCATGTGGGCTGTCAACTACACGAAGCAATACCGCCACTCTTACTTCGCTGACTACCTGATCATGGATGTTGCGACCGGAGAGTCCGTGCCTCTTGATCCTGAGCAGACTGGCGATATTCAGTACGCTGAATGGAGCCCAGTCTCATCGTCTCAGATTGCATTCGTCAAGGGCAACAACCTGTACATGTCCACCAACGGCACTATCATTCAGATCACCGAGAATGGAGGGCCTGACTACTTCAATGCTATTCCTGATTGGGTTTACGAGGAAGAGATCTTCGGCGATCGCTACACTCTATGGTTTTCGCCCGATGGCGCTAAGGTTGCTTTCCTTAGCTTCAACGAGACTGGTGTTGGCACATTCAGGATCCCATACTACATCGACGATGATGCCGAATACGTCCCTGTTTACCCTAATGAGTTGGAGCTTCGCTACCCCAAGGTTGGCACCAAGAACCCAACTGTGGTCATGAACATGCTTGACGTAGAGTCTGGCGAATACACCAACATTCCCATTGACGCTTTTCCAGAGGATGACCTTGTGATTGGCGAGGTTGTCTGGCTTACCGAGGAGCACAGCAAGGTCATCTACCGCGCCTACAACCGTGTGCAAGACATGGAGAAACTAGTTGTTGTTGACGTTGAGGCTGGATCTTCCAAGGTCACTCGCGAGCGTGACGGTACCGATGGATGGCTCGAGAATCTCATGCAGATTCGATACATCGGAGCTCTTGAGACCGCGAACGCTTCTTACGGAAATGCTACTGAATACTACATGGATCTCTCCGATATGAGCGGCTGGGCACATATCTACCTGTTTCCCGTCGATGGTGGAGAGGCCATCGCACTCACAGATGGTGAATGGGAGGTCATCAGCGTCCCTAAGGTTGATTACTCTCGTGGACTTATATACTACACATCCACGGAGCATCATAGCGCTGAGTCTCACATCTACTCCGTCAGCTTCTCCGGTAAGAAGAATGCGCTCGTCGACGACAGCGTAACTGCTTTCTGGACTGGATCATTCTCTTCTGGCGGCTCATACTATGTTCTCCGTTACGCTGGTCCCGACGTGCCATATCAGGAGTTGTACTCTATTAACTCCAGTGAGCCAATTCGCACAATCGTCAATAACACAGCACTATACGAGAAGCTCCAGGGCTACGCTCTTCCCAACATCACTTACCTGGATATGGAGCACCCCGATGGCTACACGCTGGACGCCATGCTCCGTCTCCCGCCCAACTTTGACCCCAGCAAGAAGTATCCTCTTCTCCTCATTCCTTACGGTGGTCCCAACGCGAAGGAGGTTCACAAGGATTTCAATCCGCTCAACTGGAAGGCGTATGTTGCCTCCGACCCTGAGCTCGAATATGTTACCCTCACTGTCGACGGTCGTGGTACCGGTCGTAAAGGTCGCGCTTTCCGCTCCCTCGTCACGTCTAACCTGGGTCAACTTGAGGCTGAAGACCAGATCTGGGCTGCCAAGGAACTCGCGAAGAACGAGTGGATCGACAGCGAGCACATTGGTATTTGGGGTTGGTCATACGGTGGCTACCTCTCCTCCAAGGTAGTTGAGGTCGGCGACCCAATCATCAGCTACGCCATGATCACGGCCCCGGTCAGCGATTGGCGTTTCTACGACTCTCTCTACACCGAGCGCTACATGAAGACGCCCGACATCAACCCCGACGGTTACAACCGCAGCCGCGTACACGATGCGACTGGCTTCAAGAACATCGCTGGTGGTGTCGTCATTCAGCACGGTACCGGTGATGATAACGTGCACTTCCAGAACTCGGCTGCGTTAGTCGACCTGCTCATGGTTAACCAAGTCACGCCGGAGAAGATGCAAAACACCTTCTTCACCGACAGTGACCACAGCATCAACTTTCACAACAACGGCAGGTTCTTGTACAGACAGCTGAGCAAGAAGCTGTACGAGGAGAAGGCGCGTGAGGGTAACAGCAAGGGTGGTCACCAGTGGAGCAAGAGGGGTCTGGGACGCAAATGGAAGGCTTGAAAAGGTCTGAAATAGTGTTAAATCCTGTCGGCTCCTAGTTACGAAAATGCGGCAACGTAATGAATAATCCAAAGTTCCACCTGCTTCCAGTTCATATTGTATTATAGTTGCCGGTCGCCCGATTCTTTTTCAAGGATACGCGCCATGGACGTCGTCCAACTTCGTCAGTACAATCTGCAAAAGCGAGTTCCTCGTACTTGCTCTCGTTCTCTGCAATTCTCTGTTCTTCGTCATTCTTCGCATTGTTTCGCGCACTGAGAAAGCTTCAGGGACCGTGTCACCCTATACATTGGAAAAACTGAACAAGTACAGAGATAATTAATTCTCTATCACAGATCATATTAGCCTACTATAAGAAAAACCTTAGAATTTAACAGCATTTTAGGCTTCTACGTTATCTATCAAATTCATATAGTACTTTGATGCGCTTTATGTAGTAGACAAGAGGGAAGAGCTTGCTAAGGAGTGTTTAGTGCTTCCATTGTACAGGGTGGTGTGTACTGCGCAATTTACATAATGTATAGAAGCAATTGTGAGAAAGACGCGCTCAAGGGGTTATTTAGTCGCCGCTCGTTTCGGCAAATGGTCGAAACAGTGAGGCTATTAACTTTGCATGTGTATAGTTCAATACACCTTTTGGAAGAATAGCGAAGGATCTAAAACTGTATGCATATTCACTCAAAGTTATCCTAGGGTAGAGTAAGCGGTGACGTCGCGCATTTGAAACCCTGGGTTCTAACAAACAATTGGACGATTGCGCAACTCAAAATCATTCTGCTTTCCGGTACTTCCGCAAGCCCTTCACCCACCGCAACAACCAGACCCCCAATCAAATCCTTTCCAAGTCGAGATTCACAAGACCAAGTTCGAGATGGCAGACGATACTCCCACTACGATGACGCAGTGCGAAGACGCGCCAAATCACCAGTCGCGCAAACTCGATCACATGAGCAAGATATCTAGTCTTGCGGAAGGACATGTCTACGCGCTCAAGTACTTCCCTGAAGAGCTACAAGTTCTCTTAAACACCGCATCGCTCAGATACCACGAATGTGCTCCAGGTCGCTTCGGCTCAATCTTAGGGTGGCCGAAAGACTCTCGACAAGGCTCAGAACCCCATTCTGCACTTTCGGAACATCTAGAGATCCGCTGGGGCGAGAGGGACCGAACCGTATTGTTGGTCGATCGCTCGACTCTTTCTAATATAGTTGTCGAGTCGCAAACCATGACCGCCGATACCGATAAAGTACTATCGAGACTGCAGCGCGGGTTTGAGTTCGCGCCACCATTCTCCTCTATCCTTACAGTAGTAGATGAGGAGCACCTCATAATGCTGAGCGCCTTCTTCCGTTACTGTCTCTTGTTGCAAGGCTATGAAACCGCTATAGAGGGATTCAAGTACTGTTTTTGGACATGGTTTGAGAAACTGTGTCGCCATATTGCAAAGCAAATCCTGATAATCGACCCGCCAAAAGATGTTAACGCCTCGACATTGGTAAAGGCCAACCCATGCAGGCCTGCAGATGTGCATGAGACGAAGTCTGGATATTCTCACAGCCAATTCGATACTGATGAACGGACATATGAGGACAACAGTATGGCGTCGGCGATCGAAGCAGAAGAAGCATACATCAGCAACAAAAATCTTGATGAAGAGCTGGCAAGAATGCGGAAGGAACTAGAAGAGTCAAAGAGGGTCTATGAAGAGCAGCACAAGAAGGTGGAAGTGGAAAAGTCACGGCTAGATGAGATACACCTCGCGTGTGTGAACTTCGAAGCCAAGCTGGAAGCACGAGAGAAAGAAGAAGAAGAGTGAGAGGATAAGCACGAATACTGCGGGTATTATACCAAGTCGGTATTAGTACCATATGGCGAGAAAGAGAAGGGCTGTGAAGAGGAAAATGTTCTTTGGCGTAAAGGTCTGAGGACTTCAAGAGTTCGAAGGTTAGTAGAGATGATGAGGATAATATGACTGCTTTAGCCCACGATCAACTTGAACAAGAGATTGGATCTTCTATCGAGGTTCGCGCCTTGCACATAGGACAGTGGCGCCGAAATGGTGGTCAAGGTTAATCTTGGAGTACTTATGCATTGCAGCTATTCTGTAATAACTGATGGCCATCCTTGCATAGCGGGACACATTTTCATCTAGACTTTCAGCGTTATTCCAGCGCGATTGCATGAAGTCGAGCTTAACGCAATCTGTTCTGTACATTTTATTCCTTAGGTATGTTAGCCTCTAACCTAGCAAAGCGTTGTGTCAGACGTAGTGTAGGTTAATATGTTACAACTATTAATTAACCTCTTCTAAACAACCCCCTTATCTACGAGTAACAATCAATATCTATTAATTATTTGGAAGTCTTATAAGAGAGCATAAATCTTAGAGATTATAGTTGTAGGCTCTAATAGTAAAATTTAGACGTTAAGTATATCTTCTAGTAGTTTCTTTACGTAAAATATAAGGTGTCATTGTTACTTATATAGAGAGGAGAAAAGGTTCATGAGTTAACAGCTCAAAGCAAGAATACAGAAGCAATATTGTAGGGAAGAAATTAACATTCAACACCGTCACGACACATGCAACCCTTTCACCTTCTTTGGTACTTCGAGTTCCTGATGCTAATGTCTGCTAACTCGCGTGACTGTCTTGATCTCTTCCTCGTAGATATCCTCGCATCGCTATCTGGCGTGCTAGGAGAACAGACAAGCTGCTCTTGCTCTTGCGACGCGCACAACGCAGCGTAATGTTGGTGACACGCCACAGTAGTTGGATGGTCTTTTCCAAGAGTGGTGTCATAACCAGTGCATGCCCTCTGATATAAAAGTAAAGACTCATCGACACGATGCTGTTCCGCAAGAAGATAAGCAAGGCAAAGCACGCTCGTCAGCGTGTTAGGATTCTCATGCCCTAGCACCTTCTCCATCCGCGCCAGCGTCTGCCGGTTCATCGCCTCGGCGTCTTCGTACTTGCCCTGTCTGTTAAGCACGTCCGCCAAGTTGTTTATGCTCGCCAGCGTGTCAGGATGCTCAGGCCCCAGCATCTCCTTCCTCAAGGACGATGCTTTGCGGTGGGACGTCTCTGCTGATGTATATTGCCCTAGACTCACTTGACATCGGCCCAGGCGTTCTAGGAGTGTGGCACTCATTGCGCCATCTGCAGCGTCAACGAGTCCAGCCACGTACGTTACATGCGGGAGGTACGCGACCCATACTTCTTTTCCTTCATGCCCGCCGTACGGTACTAGCTCATTAGCTCGGGCTGCTGCTGTGCCTGCCCAGGCCGCCCGCTCACCATGGCCCTCCAGCCATCAGATCAACGCCATGTGAACTAGTCGGTGCATATCAAAAAGCCTCTCTTTGCACGATCCTGGCACAGGCTGCTGGCGCTCTGTGATAAATGCGTATCCTGTCAGCGTTCCAAGTGCTTTCGTCTGTTGCACGACAGATTCTCCCGGCAGCAACAGCGACTGAGGGATGCTGATACGATCAATGCATGCAATGAACAAGAGGTACTCTGCTGTAAGAGGGTCTTGTCTACGAATTTGCTCAAAAGAGATGTGCCATGTCTTTGCAATCGTGCTATCCATACTGTGGTATCTGCTAGGATCTTCAAAGTGCTCCCCAAAGAGCTCGGCTTTCGTGCCAGCATTCTGGAGTAACGATACATACTCGGAGACTGGTGTATCGTTTTGGTTCATGAAAGCGGCCGCCTGCACGATAGCGAGCGGCAGGCATTCGACTGTCTCCAGCAGTACGTCGACCGCCGCCTCATCGTTCAGCAATGTTTGTCCAGTCGTTCGCCGCGCAAGCAGCTGCCTAGCCTCAGCCTTGCCAATGTCGTTTAGCTCGAAGACACTACCCTGAGTCAAGTCTATAGCCGCCTTCCTACTGCGAGTGGTAAAAAGAATTGCACCTTTGTTGCTGTGCGGAATATCGTCGATCAATCGAGCTGACTCATGGCTTTCGTTCTCCACTCCCACCAAGACCTGAGAGTCATCCGCGTCATCGACAATCATCAGCCAATCGCCTACGTCTCCTAAGCTTAATGTCTCCTTGACAAGTCGCTGGACGTCCGCGTTGTCGTCGCTGATCCCTGGTATACGAAGACGAACTCCAATTTCGCGATAGGCAAGCTTGAAACTCTCTCGACTCATAGCTGGTACCTAGAAAATTAAGCGTTTCGCCTGTCTCGCAAGTGCGCGATAAGCAAACTCAAGAGCAAGCGCTGATTTTCCACATCCTCCTAGTCCATGTATAGTCATCCGTCGGTGGGTGTTGGGCGAAAGGAGGGCTCGTTCGATCGACTGCAGCTGGCTCTCTCGTCCGACGAAGAGCTCGTTTCGTGGAAAAGGCAGCAACACTGGGACTACAGGTCATCAGCTAGGTATGGTCCGTGCAGTGCGATGCTATCCGAGCCGGGCTCAATACACACCGGACAGGTCTTGCACAACTACATTCTCCCGTCTTTGTTGCCGCTTCTGAATCTCTTCTTTGAGACGCAGTGTCGCATACTCTTCTCCCTCACCATATATGAGCGGCAGGAAGACGCCAAAGATGCCGAGCAAACAGTATACTCTGTCCTCTGCCACCGTCGTTGTGCGTTTCGCCGCCCAGCCTGTTCGCTCCTCGACGCTGAACTCAGTGAGCTTTTGGCCTCTTAGCGCATTAATAGGTATGCTAGTAATGCTGTGTATCTCCTGCTCTAGCGAGATCCTGCTGCCTAGCCGCTTGCCGTCCTGGGAGAAGAACTCGACACTAGCTGGCGCGAGTAGCTCTTGCGGCGTCTAGCCTCGTGTAAACCACCGGCTGCACTGAAAAGCTTGCTGCCACGATATGCGGAAGGCTTCGGCGTTAGTGACCTCATCTGGCACTAGGACGTCTGTTAGGTATACATAGCACTTGACTGCGCGCTGGTACTAGCGAAACATAGAGTTGATTGCTGTGCTTAGCTCGTCGCTCTTGGACTTGTCGATGCAGCAGGTGTCCACCCAGAAGTACTCGAGGCCGTCTGCTGCAGCTTGCTCGCCGCAGAAGCGGATCTTAGCATAGCCGCGCTTGTCTGCGCCTGCTCCCGCTAACAGCTCATTGTATGTAACTTCTTGGCCGTCCGTCCAGGTGTGCGAGAGAATGGCGTACGGAGGAGCAAGGTCGTCGCTGAAAGATATCAGCTCGAAGCCGCCGCCTGCTGAGCGACTCTTAAGAAGGCGCATTGTGTTCCGGCATGCTCTGTCTAAAAGGCTAGCAGACTCGGTCGCGATGGGTAGCACAGACGGGCAGAGGTGTTGCAGGGCAGTAGAAGACGTCTCCGTTGCGCACACACATGAAGCACATTAGGTAGGCTGCGAGCAGGTAGTTGACGAGCACGTAAGGCTGTATGGCTGAGAGTGTTCAGCAGTGCTTAGCCGCAAGCTTCATGCGCGCATGGCAGTCCTGAGGCGCAGCGAATCTAGGCGCGTGGCAGTAGACCTACTGTATGGTGATTTTGGGGCTAATCCCAGATAGGCAAAGCGTGTATCTTTTAGCACAAGACAATACACAGACATCTAAGCACGCTACTACACGCTAAGCACGGCGAAAGCGTAGTGTCCGTACAGACGCGTTTTATCTATCTTGCTGTCCGCGCGGAGAAACTGCTAGAGGGCATATTCCTTAGCTTAAATTAATCTTTAGAGACAGTAATTCCAAACTTTAAGATGTAAGCTTCCGTTCTGGATTTCCGAGCAATTAGCAGAGATGGTTCGTCGCGCGCGGACAGAGGGGTATTTGGAAGAGGTCGATTGATAGCAGTGACAGATCAGCCTACACTACGCTCACCTTCGTCGGAGACTAACGTGCTGGGAGAGGTGCACCTGCAGAATAGATGCGCGTTGAGCTTAACTCATTGCAATGGTGCTGGCCGAACACTAAAGGCCTAGATAAAAAAATATCCCGGGGCACAGGGTGTCCCGCCACGCAGAGATGGACGTTACTCTTTCGACTAGTATTTACCTCTTCTACGACCCTTTCTTATTTTTGGGCCCCGACTCCTGCCACAATAACCACCTCGATTGTTTCCAGTGTAGTTTCCAGTGTTGACACTCGCTTGATAAGCATCAGTGATGCAGTCTCTCGACTTATGGTCATCCCAATCAAGATTCATCCGCTCATCTCCAGACTTCCAAAACGGCAATACAACGCGTTTGTCGCAAAGTGTACACATTGCATTAACATGGCCTTTCTTTTGAGTGGTTTGGTAGTGAGTATGTCCTATATCAAGAGCAAAGTCACTGCGAGGGTCCAGGCGAGCTGGGATAGTAGAAATTGACACCGTGTTCGGCGTTGCTGGGCTTAGAGTCAAAAGCGCAGTTTTGGCCGTGAACTTTTCCACCTCTCCGACGAGAAAATCTTCGTCTGCGTCGTCATCTGCCCAACTCCGCTTTTCAACTAGTTGATCACCGTCCCCAGTACTCGAAGCTACAGGAACCTTTGCGGTAGAGGTCATGTCTTCTGTCCCATCCTCTTCCCCATCGTTGGCATCCGAGTGCTGTTCTGGAACCTCCTCTCCAGGAGTATCCATAGGCATGGTCACGGGCGCGGTATCTTCGGTTTCGGGTTCTTGAGTAGGTTCCTCATCAGATGTTGTCTCCAATGTGACCGATTTTGGAGGTGGGATAGTTTGTCTGACAGTGTCTGTTTCATCGGAAGAGCCTTCACGTGCCTTTTTATTGCAATCTAGAGCCTCCTGTTGACGCTCTATTTTCTGGTTGCAATCTTCCAGCGCTTGTTGCAAACCCTGTTTCTGCTTGTCAACTGCATCTATCTCGTTCGTGAGACGATCTATCTCCTGTTTGTCTCCCGTCTTTCCTTTTTCAAGAGTTTGCATTTGATCATTCATGCTTTCATTCTCTTTCGCTAGAATATCGCGCTCCGTAGATATCCTGGTTATCTGAGTAACCTCAGCTGTGAGCCTTTCGTTGAGCTCATCGATCATTGCGCCCTTTTCCCTCTCTGAAAGCTGCGCGCTCTCGTGAAGCTTGATGAGATCCTTGATCTTTTCTTCGGTTTTGACCCGCTCATCATCAGCCAACGATAACCCAGCCTTCAAGTCTATAATCTCTGACATTTGACTTTCGATCTCTTTTTCCAGCTGTTTCCGGGCAAAATCCTGATCGCCTAACACTCGACGCAGTTCCTCGAGCTCCTCCTCATCCTTCCGCAGAGTGTGTTCATGTCGCTCGTTTTTGTTGACGAGCGTTTCATAATCGTCCTTGGAGTCCTCAGCGGACTTTCTCGCCCGCTCTATCTCTTCTCTTAACTCAGCATTGGTGTGCGCTAGCTCGTCTCTTTGTTTCGAAAGACTATTAATCTCGCCATGTGCCTGCTGTAGATTCTCTTTCTGTGTTTCATTTAATCTAGTTTCGTCATCTAGGCGCTGCGTCCAGTATTGCCTTGCTGCTTCCTTCGCGTTCTTCCCAATCCTGTCGGTTATCCCCTCTGCAACCTCCAACTGTGACTCCAAGGTCACCTTCTCTCTATTGAGCTCATCGCACTGTCTTTGACGATCTGATAACTCAGCCTGGAGACGGTTGACATATTGGTCAAGCTTGGAATGAAGTGGTTCGGTCTCCTTGGTTTGGATGGCACTAGATGCAAATGCTTCCACGGTAGATACTCCCGGCTCCACAGCAAATAAATTCACGCTGGAATGGCTTAGACCAGGTGCTTCAGTCTGGGTTTGGGCGGAAGACGTATCTAACGCTAGTGGCAGCTTTGAATGGATGGCAAGAGTGCGGACTCCCGAGTAACTTAGATTGATCTCATCGGTTGGGACGACAGTGCTAAATGGACAAGGAGCGGCGGAAATATTGTGGTCGGCAGAAGTAAGAGTGTCCTGGATATTTCGAACTGCCACAAGTAGCTCTCTGAGATCCTGCAACTGGGCAGTATCCGGTGACTGTACTAGCGAAGGCGTCTTGAAATCGAAGTCCTGATGTTGATGTTTGTGAATGTGATCAAGGGCCTGGCGGATCTCATCAATGCGGCTGCTCTTGTCGTCGACGCGGTCACTGGCGTCATCTGCTTTCCCGTGAAGCACATTGAGGCTAGCCTGAATAGCAGCAAAAGACCTGGGAAAATGATGGGAAGAACCGAACCCTTCCTGCAATGCCTTCATTTGCATATCGTGCCACTGTTTCTGCTTGCTTACATCACGAATCCATCGAAGCCAGTCGACGATCAGAGCTCCAGAGAAGAATGCGACAATAGCTGCTGCAAGAAAGACAATATCTTCGGATGTATTGGGCATTGCGCCGAGCGCACGTCGTGGCAAAGCGTATCCCTCCATGGTGAAGATTTTCCCCTGTATCTCGGCAGGAGGAATAGGAATATTCGTACATGTAAGTTGAATATGTGCAGGCCTTCGATCGATCATATCGAGTTCGCGCGAAACAAAGACGCTGGTCACTGGTACGAAAGCTTTGAGAGCACAAAGACACTGTGTGTACAAAGAAGCAAAGGAACGCTTAGAGTGTCACCCGGAACCACTCAAAGATTGCGAGCGTGGCTACCAGGAGTGATGAGCCCATGCGTCTGATCTATATGGAAGAATTGCAGCAATGTCCGTGAAGGATACACAAATACGTTTTATTTTTCCAGGACTTCGTCCAGCAACTCAACGAATTTGGCGGCCATCTTCTTTCCGCCCGATTCATTTGGCTCAACTCTCGCCGTATAGTCGCCCACACTCTTACCATCAAGCACCTCATACAGTGCACAAGGCACTATCTCCGTACCCTCAATTCGTATCTCTTTTGTTGCAATTTGGTACATCGCTCGAATGGCTGCTTGCAGTTGCTCAGGGTATGTGTTATATCCTAGGGCCTTGAGCTGCGCATCAGCCCAACTAGTCTGTCCTAATCCCGCCTCGAGAGGGAAGTAGATCATGCATACGATGACGGCGCGAGGTTTCGTTTTGGCGGTAAGGCGAGCGACGTAATCCTGGACTTTGGTTCCGAACATGAGCTTGAAGTACTCCAATGCGCTTGCAGTACCATTTTCCAAGTTCTTGCGAGGGGTCAGCCAGGCGAGCTGCAGCATGTGGCGGATCGTGGAGGAATTTGGCTTTAGGGCGACATCGTTTGCGCCAACGCTGACTATCAACACATCGTTGGACCGGATGTTGTCACGAATGAACTGGTCGTGTGGCAGGAGCTTTTCATCTCGATCTCGAAGCATCGACTCTTCTACTGCAGTGTTGATGCATGTTGCGCGATCTTTCAGCAGGTTGTTCATCCAAAATGCAACATCCGGCTTTGGGACTACAGGGTTTTTAAATATCTTTGAATAGATATCCGGAATCTGAGGCGGGGCAATAGAACTGCTCTTATCAACCCAGTACTTGTTGTCGAGAGATGAATCGCCGGCCAAGTATACGATCCGCTTATCCGGCCGCTCCGCGAGCGTGAGGCTGTGGAAAGTGGCAAGGTCGTCGATAGGATGGCCTTTCCATTCAAAGTAGAAACGGGCGCAGTTTATCATTGGAATCGTGCGTGAGGATAAGGAGGACGCCATTATTGATTGATCGAGGCTATTGTTATTAATGTGGGCAACGCGTCGCTGTACAGTGACAGGCGACGTTGACACGATCAAGTAATGTCGTACGCGTAACAGAGGAGAACCTCGAAGTTGATATAGGAGAACATATGCACAGGATTGCACATGGCTAAATGACACATTGCTGCTGTGTGCGTGCGAAGAATGATGTGCCAGGCAACTACGTTGAAGGTGCGTAGTTATGCACGGACCTCTCCACGACAATGACATCACAGATAATGGACGATCCGAGGAGGGTCATAGTGATGTGTAATGTATTTCAGCTGGATTTGCGACGATTTTTGTAGATGAAGTGACATTACCAGGAGCTATTTAGTGATGATCGTCTTCTTTCATACAAAGCTCTTGCAGCACCGAGGAGGTATACAGTAGCCTAGGAGTTAGTCCACGTTCACTCAGGGCAGGAATACAATGTGTAATAATGTTAATCTATTCACATTTTATGAACGAGCCATAGGGAGCGAAGTGAGAGAGAACTTGCTTAGAGGTTCCGTTTACCCCAATCGGCCAAAAGCCGCTCCTGCATAGCGAATTGTACGTTCTTAGCCTCAAGCTCCTCGGCCAGTATGCGATGTGTAGGATTTGAGCATTTTGTCTTATCCCGAAGCTGCGTTTCCAGAGCCTCTATATCTGCGCGATGCTGCTTGGAGGCCTTCTCCAGCTGGTAAACGAGTTTGCTCTTCTCCGCATGATCCGTCTCAACGTCATGCATACTAGCTACAAATTGCTTGACAACCTCTTTGGGGCCGTGGATATCGAGAGACGACGTCACAGAGATCGCGCTCTGAACACGTTGCAGTAAAGAGTAGTTGCGCTTTTCGGTAGGTTGGATATTGGTTACCAAGGCCACGTGGGGGAGAAGGGATGTGGGCTGCAGTTTGATAGGTGGGGCAGTACTTAGACCCATGATGGACTGACCGAGGTCTTCGAGGTGAGACAGCAAGGCAGGATTGGTTGATGGAGTGAGTTCATGAATGGGTGTCCGCGGTATTGTCGATATGGCTTGCAGACCAGAGAAAGTCAGCGAACTCTTGCTTGATGAAGCTAGTTGGGGCTCTGACTCCAAACAAACGATTGCTGAAAATTCGAGGGAGGATTTCGAGGGTTGCTCCTGAGTCTTCATCTGGGCATGCTCAAACAAGAGGCTGTCTTTCCGTGAAGTCAGCAATTCGACCTCCAGCTCTGCGGTGCGTAAAAGTTGCATGTACTCAAAAGTCTCCGCTTTGTTGACTTCGGGAGCGATAGGAGCTGTGTAGATATACGCCAGGGGAGAGAAGCCCAACGGCTGGGGGGACAAACTAGCGGCACCGCTTTCTTCGGCCAGTCCAGAAGCAAGGTGCTGTTCTATACGCAACTCGCCGGAAGTCTGCACATGTTCCTTAGCTTTAATACGGTAATGATCCTTCTCCTGGATCAGTTCCTTGATACATTTCACATCAATGACATGACCATCCATGAGATCAGCATTAGCTTTTGCAAGATGGCGCAGACCTTCCGTTTCTGCTTCGGCAGCAGCCTGTAGATCTTTAGCGTCTCCCATTTGCTGGAAGATGCGACTCTGGTACTCTTCACACCCATCCTCATGATGCATATTCTGAAAGCGGACATTTTCCTTTTGAAGATATTTGATAGTGTCATGAAGTTGAGGGAGAAGTGTAGTTCGGACGGGGCTTGGCTCATCGGTGTAGAGCTCACAAGCAAGAGAACTTGATGGTGGGCGATGAACAGTATTTCGGGTGGCGTCGACCCCGGCCTGAATAGTGTCAAGCTTCTTCACCTGCGATTGACCTTCTAGCTCCTCGGTCTTAGACAGTTTGACGTTTAGTTGAGATTGTAAGTCCGCGACAGCCTTCTGAGTGTCCTTTTGCTCCTTGATTTGCTTCTTCTTTTCACGATCCAGCTTTATGTCGATTTCGCGCGCCTTCCGCTCAGCATCTTGTCGCAAGGTGACCAACTCTTCACCAAGAGCTTTGACATTCCGGCATTCCTTGCTCAGTTTACCGGCGAATCTACGTGCTTCTTGCTTTTCCTTGGCGAGATCACTCTTACAGATTTTGAGTTCTTGAAAGAGCTGATCACGGCCCCATTTCAGGCCAGCCTCGTTGGCTTGGAGCTCCTTGACCCTTTTCTCTAGTTTAGCAATCTCTAAGCTCTGTACGGAGTTGATATTAGCGTGACGTGACGGTGTGGCCAGGTCTTCGTTGGAGTTTGTCGGAATCAAGGGAGAAGTCCGTGGAGACAAGTTTTGACGAGGCATATCTTTGCACACCTTGTATTGGCGCGGAGGATGTCTCGTTGTGCCCTCGGGAAATCTAGATCGGAGAAGGGAACTACGCTCTTTTGTTTCATGCATCTCGCATTGTGAAGATTATCGAACACGTCCGTCCATTCATTGTCAGTCGTATATGGGGCGATATGCACATGTGTATACCGTACAATCGTGAATCTCCACCCTTGTATTGACAAGGTACTGTCACTATTGTATACCCAATCACATATGCGTCAGCTGAGAGTGGCGATTCGGTGTTGTCGCATCGCCATGGTGAGAAAGTCGGTTGAGCCTTTGAAGACACACTTAGGCTTTTCGCGATGTACGGTGAGTGTTGAAATACTAGGAGCTCAACATCTTAGTATACAGTGTGTGTGCGTGTTGTTGTGCTGTGCTGTGTCTGCCGATGTTGCCGGCATATCCTTGGCCGCGTCACGTCGCAGGCTGTAAAAATGAAACCGTGCACCGCCACATATGTTTGACGAGGCTGTCCAAACACCGGTTGAAGGACTTTGGCGTTGAAACAAGGCATCCGACACGTCCTAAAATAAAGCTGTCAAGTTACAGAATATTTTGAGATGAAATAACACAGAGGTTGAATGATTCGTGAGGTCACAAGGCTAGACAAAGACCAGAAGATGCGAGAAGGTTGTGCAACGCGTCGCATCACTACTGGCGCTAAGAGGCTGGGAGGACGGCGATTGACCAATCAGCAGCAGCACATGTGGCTCCCTGATCATGCGCCACTGGCAGTGACGTCGGTTTCAGGGAAATCAAGAAGGGCGAAGGTCGTGGCAGCATCATCGCTTACCAGGCTGTGCGAAGGCATAAAGAACCAGGCTGCTGCCGTTCGCAGGCTTCATCGAGTCTCTCTGCACAAACTTCCGCATACAATAACCCATATTCGACGTTCGGTAGCGAAGACTATCTGCAGCCACATTCCATCTTACCCGCATCCATAGTCCCCTGCAGCCATCCATCGCGTAGCCGTAGCGCCTCCATCATATCAAAATGGTCGCTCCCGCTCTTGTCCTAGGCCTGCGCGGCGTACAGGTCGTCTTCAGCATCATCGTCTTGGGTCTTACAGCCTACAGTATGTTACCTGCAGACTACTACATTCTATGTCATCACTAACACATTTGCAGTTGTCGATGCCTACATTGATTGGGTGCCGGCGAGCGTCGCCTTCATGCTCTTCACCTCCATCTGGACCCTCCTTGCTGTCGCATACCTCGTCCTTGCGCCAGCTCGCTTCCCTGCTGCAGCCCACAAGTTTGCTATCGGAGGCGTCGAATTTCTGACCATGATCTTCTGGTTCGCGGCCTTTGTTGCCGTAGCTTCTCGATGGGGCAATTCGTGGTGGGTCGGCCGTCATGGCACCTTCTACAGCTGTGGCGTTGCTGCTATTGTCTTCTCAGCCTTCAACTGGTATGTATACCGACTGCTTTCTACCCACGACCATGTACTGACATGCGATAGGCTTGCCTTTGTGGCTACTACCGTTCTCGCGGCGCTGCACATCCGCAGCTCACCCAGGAATGACACTGCCCCTGCCCCCAACATGGCTGGCGTCTAAACAACCATCATCTGTTGTTCGTTACGGCGCTGACGAGGCACCACCAGCCTTATAACCAATGATACCCAAACATTTTCTGCTCTTGTACCTACGATCAGAATGTAATGCCTAGCACGGCGTTTGTGTTTTGTGCGGTGCGTCGATCTCCTGATACCACCATTCACATACGATATGAGTTCTTATAGCATTGCGCATAATGGAAGCATGATTCTAATGACCCTCGTCCCAGATATTCAACTGAAACCTTCGTGACGATCGCGGCGACAGACCTAAGCAAGCTATGATGGACGACTGCCCCACTTTAGCTAGCGATGCCCCTCTGAGGTGATCGACTCTTAATGTAAGACATCCTTCGCTCCTTATATTTCAGTCTCGCCTCACAGGGGCCACTGGTTCTTTCGTTACCTCTCCTCACCAATCTTGGGGGTATAGCGAAGCAGCGCGCTACTTGATGCGAGCCATCACGGACGAAGCCAGCGCTTGACAATAGTAGCCTTGGTCGACTCCACACTCACGACTATGGTCTCATCAACCTCCCAGAGGTTTCGACTCAGAGTTGTAGCGCACATCGTCGTGATCACACACCTTGCCACATCAACTGATTATGCCTTGGAGGAATGCCCTGCCTGGAGTACCGCTTGGCTGGGTTGCGACATACCCGACTTTTCCAGAATATTGTTGGATCTTGATGAAGCGCCCACCACAATATCATAATTGCCCTGCAATGGGCACTGACTTACCCTAGCAAGGTCTCGGTAGCCCACTCCACTCAATCTGCTTCGCTTGCAATTCGGAGCAATCCTACGCCTTCGGTTGATGGAATGTGTACACACGGGCCTGGTACTACAAGCTCTGAAGCTACGGGCTTGGTCTCGTTGGGTGTGGGGTTATACGATTTTGATTGCCATGCTGACGTTCCGACGCGCCTCTAAGACATGATAGTCTCGCACTGAACCCCACCTGTCGCTTCGGCAGCTACATTACAAGTCTTTGCCGCTTCCGAGCTATCATTTGCCACTACTGGCTACTCCATCTAGCGCGGGCACGTCTGGGTCATTATGTGCCGACACTGTTTGTTCGCATCATGCCACTTAATACAATCTCCACGTTCTGACATTGTTCGCGGCTGGCCTCGGGGCGAAGTCTGACAACGTGATCGTCTTACCATCCATCAATCCGTAGCTGGACCCCAAACTCATTCAAGTATCGCGATATTGGCTCTCAGTTCGCCATAGGACGAGATCCACGGTGTCGGGTCAATGTATCCTGGCCGCGCCGACCAACAGGTACGAGCAGGCGCCGCCTAGCTCAACGTGCTACTGCAACTTCAAGGTGCAACATGAAGGCAGGTCACGTACCAACGGACAGGTTAAACACAGGCTCAAAGATGCGCTCGCGAGCAGCAAGGCGTTCGTTGGGGCTGTTCTGAGCCTTGTTTGGTAGGATTGCAACCCGGTAATTGGAGGAGCAAGCCCTATTTAGCCGGCTGCCAAGACGTGCTGCTGATGCGCCGCGACGCTTACCCAATATAAGATGCAGGTTCGGTATTACGGTTGTCTTCTCCGCCTTAGCCTACCTAGGCTACGGAGTATCTGGGGTAAAGAGCCGGGGTAGTGGATAGTCCTTTGGCACACCGTATTATAAAGGGTGAATCCCCAACCTGCCCGGACTCGAGCAGCCTTCAGCGCTTCAACACCGGCACCATGGGTCTCCTCAAAGCTCAGGATGGTACATCCGACCCCATCATCACCCGCATGGTGGAGCAGGACAAGGTACGATGGTGGAAGAAGCCGAACCTGCGCATTATGTATATCTGGCTCTTCTGCTGCTGCATGGGCGTTGAGATTACTTCCGGTTTCGATTCTCAGCTTATTGGCACACTCCAGTTTTCGGTACCTTTCAACACATGTAAGCTACAAACGTGGTGGTTTCTGGGTCAATTGAGCTGATAGTCGCAGACTTTGGAGAGGGATACAAGGACGCAGATGGCGAAGCCAGCATTCAACCCAAAATCATTGGTTTCATGTCGTCTTGCTACCAGCTTGGTTCTATCCTCGCAGTTCCGGTTGCGCCATGGCTGAGCCAAAGGTATGGTAGACGCATGTCGGTCTTCGTCGGCTCCGTCATCATGGTCGTCGGTGCTTTGCTGCAAGGGTTTGCTCAACACAGTATGTCAAATAACTCTGCCAGCTACATCATGATCATTTTATTAACATATGTACAGTTGGCATGTACATCATCGCGCGTATGCTGCTTGGTTTTGGTATCCTCTTCGCCATCGTCTCTGGTTCTTCCTTGATCGGAGAGCTAGCTTACCCTAAGGAACGACCCTTTATGACCTCGCTCTTCAATGCCTCTTACTTTATCGGATCTATTCTTGCCGCTGCTATCTCAATCAAAACGACGGAGATGGTTGGAAACTGGGGCTGGCGTGTACCATCTCTGCTGCAGATCTGCCCGTCCATTCTGCAGATTTGCACAGTCTTGTATGTCCCCTAACAGAGATCCGATGACCTAGCGCTAATCTTGGTAGCTTACTACCTGAAAGCCCACGTTGGCTTGTCAGCCGTGACCGCGACGATGAGGCTTTCGCGATCCTAACGAAGTATCATGCCGAAGGCGACCCGAACTCCATCCTCGTACAAGCCGAGATGGCGCAGATTCGATCTACGATCAAAATCGAGATGGAGAACTCCAGTCGCTCATGGAAGGACATGGTTCGCACACCTGGTATGCGACGCCGTGTCTTAATTTCGTGTTTCCTCGGTCTCTTTACGCAGATGAGCGGTAACACTTTGCTTTCTTACTACCAAAACCTCCTCTTCAAGATGATGGGATATACCACCAAGTACGCCAAGACGCGCATCAACATCGCCAACCAGTGCTGGAGTCTGATGAATGCCGTTGTCATCGCCCTGGTTGTCACTCGTTTCCCCCGTCGCTGGATGTTCATGCTTTCTGCTGGCTCTATGACTATGGTTTTCATGGCCATGACTATCTCCTTCCAGCGCCTCCAGCTTGCTGATTCTCAGGGAACCAAGAACCAAGCTGCGCAAATCGCCTCGCTTGTGTTCTACTTTGCATACTCTCCTTGCTACAACATCGGTAACAATTCGCTCACATACACCTACCTGGTCGAACTCTTCCCGTACGCCCAGCGAACCATGGGTATTGGTATCGAACAGATGTTCGGAAAGCTTGCCGGATTCTTCTCCATCTATGTCAACCCGGTTGCGCTTTCCGCTATTCAGTGGAAGTACTTTGCTATCTACTGTGGATGGATCACATTCGAGTTCTTGTTTGTGTATTTCATGTATCCTGAGACGTACAACCGCACGCTTGAGGAACTTGCTTTCTGTAAGTACAAGTCGATGATGCCCCCTGCCTGGCTAGTGCTAACTTCTCCACAGTGTTTGAAGACAAGGAGCTCGCAGACGAGGCTGTCAGAGCTGTCGAGAAGACGGTCAACCATGGTCACGATGAAGGAACAACTATTGATCACGGCAAGATGGAGACTACAACCATCGAGCGCAAAGCCTAGGCTATCTGTAGCCACTTATGCTCTGCTTTCCGCCATCATCGGCTGTGTAGGACGGGCGCCTGAAGTCGCTGTCGCTTTGGTACTTTCATAAAACTTCTGTGTGTCCGCGCCTATGCCAAAGATTTATAGTCTCACAAACTCTCATGCATTTGGTGATGAGATGTTCACTGATTTGTTCTTGTGGGCTAAAGAAATGAAAGATAGCTGATGTGAGTAGTACGACAGTCGTAACAAGCATTCGTGGCGCCACTCCGGTCCTAACGCCACACACTCCGGTCCGCTCTGCCACAGCAAGCTCATCCAAGCTTCCGCCACCCGTCACCCGCCACCCGCTGTCATCGTCTTTCAGTTCCTAATACATCAATTTTCGTTGTTCCCTTCTCCTATTTCGCTGTCGTTCCCTTTTTCTTTCTTCTTCGCAGCCTCGGCTTCGGCTGGTAGCGCACCATCGATAAGACTCTGCTCCTCTCTATCCCATATGGCTGCCTCAGCAGTATGCCTGAAATTCAGACTCACTGTATTTTTAATATTGATGTTGTAGTAATCCCTCATATCTCTATCGCCAGTTGCGCATAAATCGCATGCTTAGCCTCCTCCACGATATGGACATGCTGCTCAAATTTGCTAAGCATATCTTCGTACACCTGTTGGTCATGTATGAAGTGTTGACCGAAACCATCTTTGAGCCGGCGGTGGTATTCTCCTAGTGCGTTTCTAGCTGAGGAGAGAGAGAAGCAAGAGATACCTTCGCCTTCGAGATGCGCAATCCATCGGTTCGGATTTGTGGATGTTGGCAGTGCATGATTGGTTACGATATATTTGTGCCAAGACATGTGTCAGATGTTGCCAAAGATGGCGCGAGATGGTAACTGATATCAATTTTTGATATGGGTTTGCTGCATGCTTCAGCGGCCGCTGTAGCACGCGCAGCATCGAAGCGGACGCATCTGGACTACGTGGTCTCGTGGAGTATCAGAATTAAGCTATACTAATCGCAAACTTCTAGGCTTGCACGTTAGGCGCTGCTTTCTTGGTCTTCTTGTCCTTCTTCATGGCCATGTACTGCGCAAGAGTGATGGTCTTTAACGCTGATTGCTTCACGAGCTTGCTAATCCACGAGCTCAGCTAATCAGCCTCACTGGAGCTTTGTCTATGATCAGGTCATGATGTTATTTGTGATGCGATCCCAAACAAGAAGCAATTGTTTGCGCCATCACAGCTATTGCAGGGTTTCTTACACGATTGTTTTATCTACCATGATATAAGCTACCTGTCCCATTGTTTCCTTCGCTGACGAAGCAACCAGTCCCTATATAAGTACAACACAACACTGTGGTTCACCAAGACTTGTTCAAGATGCAAGTTTAGACTCAAGCATTCTTTTGCGCTTCCCTATCCTTCCTCCCTTCTTTCATGGCTATATACTCTTTCAGCGTGACCACTTTCACTGTACGAGCAGGCACAGCTGTAATAGCCGTAGGAACCGAGACGCCAACATCCTCGATTGACCCCAAGGTGCCTACGGTGTATGTAGATGGCATAGCCGCGCGAGTCGGAGTCGTAACTGGACTTGGCTCTGCAGTGAGCGTCCGCTCATTATCGCTCTTCGTTCGCTCGCTATCGCTCTTGGGAGACGAAATCGACTTGCTCATATCTACAAGTATGTGCGCGGCCTCTACATCATCCTCGAACAACAAAATCGGCTTGCCCAGTGTTAGAATAGTGGCTGCAGCCTCTAGCTCTTTCTCGGTATATACGCCGGCAACGGAGTGGGACATATCAGTGCGATTAGCAGTTGGATGGGTGGTGGAGTTGGGACTCGAGTGAGCCTCGGCGGCAGCAGCAAGTTCCTGTAAGCGGTCCATTGTGATAGCTTTGGGAGTACTAGGTGAATGATTTGACACACTGACGACTCGACGTTTGGACAAACAGTTAAAGGGTTGATCGAGCGCGAGTGGAGTTGAGGTAGAGGGTTTTCGTGACGAAAAGGGCGATATGTCCAACTATGGAACAGCTAAAGATTTTCTGTATTTAAATACTATCCCACAGACCATGGAAGGGTGTATATTTACAAAGTCACTGGACCCATTCTTGTAGTGAATCTTCGCTGAACCTGCAACGAAGAGACATAACGAATAGGCGCCAGCATGTGGAAGGAAAGATACCTGGATAGAAGCTCTTGGTAGCACCCGTGTGTCATCCCTTGCCAGGCTTTCACCTATATGCATGTTGAGGGTATAAATCTGCCTCACTATGTGAAGCTATTAGTTCTTCTCAATGTTCAAATGGTATAAGGCTCACATTCGTGTCGGTTGCTAGTATTATGGTGTCCATAAATCTGATCGATGACTTTGATGGGTAAACCACGCACCTAATGCTGCATCATGATGCTATCAACTCATTACATTGTCTTGCCGCCCAAATTCGGCCAATCCTTGCTTGGTTCATCAGACCAGTCCTGGTCGCGCCATGTGCCGGGATCACCCTCCATGGTCTTCTCTTTCTCAATGGCTCTACCTGGATACGATCCCGGCCAACCATCTCGTCGCCATTCATGTAACCTCCAGGACGCGTGATAGCTTAATCCATCCTCGCTAGCCTCTATGCGAGGTTCTGCGTACATCGGGTCGATGGGTAAGAGAAGGCTCTTCTGGAACACACGATCGGATGGATCTGCGCGTTTGATCCCCAATATTGTCTCGATCCTGGCTTCGGCCTCTGTTTCGACGTCGAGATGGTTTGCGTTTGTGCTTTTGGAAGTTTCAATAGCTTCATTGTATACAGCAAGGGCAGCTCGCCGGTCTCTTGGAGAGCAAAGCTCGCTCTTGAGGTCGATCGGTACCTGTTTTATGAATCGAAGCCGGCTTTCGCAGAGGCGAGTTGAGAGGCGCGACGCGTCGCTATCGAGGATTGAGGGCGTACTGGTTGGTGTGTCTAGAGGTCCACTGTACAGGAAATGGCTCATAGATAGACCGGTGCGCCTGTTAGGTGCATCTACGGGTGGAGTGTTGCACCGACCTGGAACGTAAGTGCTTGCCGGGGAATAAGACATTAATGAGGTAGTGCGAGGAATTGAAAGCCAACTGGCAAGCGGCCAATAATATTATGCTGAGCTACCTGTAGGATTTATGTAGAGAATGTAAAAGTATCAGCTGGACGACTGACAAGAGAGTGTGATTGCTCCCTTATGAGGGTGACTGCACAGCAAACGCGCTATGTCAGGCTCGGAGACCAGGCAGAAGCCAGGCGCTTTCAAGTCCATGGTGTCGTAACTGCAAGAGATGTGAACAACGACTGAATTTCATCATCCAATGTTAACTGCCTCAAACGTCTTTCGATAGTAAGATTTCCCACACAGAGCAAAATTTAACTCTTTACTATTACAACGGGACCACTATCAAACATCTTTCGAGCGCGAGCCTGCTGATTTCGTTTCCGAGTGTGTGACAGGCTCTTCGCGACTGCTCGGTTTGCCTTAGTCCCAATCGAAAAGCGTCTCCACGTCGCTGACCTTGCGCACGAACACCCTGTAAAGGTATTAGATGACAATCGTTGGTGACACAAGTGGCGGTGAAGACATTCCTGGACGTCGAGGTAAGGGAGCTTGACCCAGAAATGTGACTTTGAAGTCAGCATCAATTGCAGCTGTGGCACGAGTTATGGTAATGTTGGGGATGTTGTCAGCGGCGGTTGCGTTGACTAGGTCACGAATGCTGAGGACACGAAGGCGCCAAAGAAACATCTTATAATTTAGCGACTGATCTTCAGAATTCTTCGTCTAATGAAAGGTGTTGATAGCTAAATCAGGCTTAGCTCTAGAACTGTTTTCACTTCCTACATGTTGATGGAAAGCGCGACTACTATCTCTGAGATCCACTCGCAGGATCCTAAGACATCATGATCCACATTTAGATTTCCCTTCATTAATCAAGCTCTTAATCTTTAGCTGTGGTTCAAGCCGGGTCGTTAATTAAAGGTTGTGTATTCTATACTCGCCTTGAGCAGGCCATATCTGCAGCGCTTCTACTATTTGATCTACCGCCAGCGTCGGCACTACTGTGATATGGATCAACTTTGAAGAAGAAACTCACTGATCCGCTGGCTGCCTCGTTTTTATGGCTGTATTCATCGTCAGCGAATGGGTCTATCTCTGGGCGGTCCTTCTTTAGCGGATACTATCCATGTACGTGAGTGATGCAACTCACTCGAGTAACGGCAACGTCTGTGACGGAAGATGACCGTGAAGGCAACGGGCTGACCGTAACCCTACCGATGTACGCGACAGCGGCCTGTTGGCTCGGTGCTGCTTGAGTTGAATCAGGAAGTACGGTTGGCGCGTTTGATACAGGATTCAGTGGAGCAGGATTGGAACCGGTACCTAGTTTACTTATTAAGACCGACCTCCCATTGAACGCGAACGAGCCGAGTACTTCCCATTGGCCCAGGCCAACAAGTTGGCCATCGAGTAATTGCCGATGATGGGAACTTGCGCGTATGGGTTCGACATCTTGAAGAAAGCGAAATTCTGAAGCTTTCGTTAGCACACTCCAATAGCGACTGACGATGAGTAACTTACTGAAGGCTCGAGGCACAGGTAGACAGCGTCACATCCGAAATCGGTATGTCTAGCAGGTACTGTAAATCCTCCTTTCAGTAAATCTCGCTGTCTTCATCAACGAATGACCAGGAGTGAAATGGCGGGTATATAAGTTGTAGATCCGAGCGCGGCCCTGCCTACGACCAGAAAACCAAGGCATAGGAACTCATGCGCAGTTTCTTTCCACGTTTTAATGACTTTAAATGAGAATAAGCCAGAGTTGGGCAAAGAACCGTTTCGGAGTACTAAGTTTGGTTTGCTAACCCAGGTTATACGCATTGAGTATTTGTCCAGAGGTCTAGACTAGGCGGATATAGTATAGTGACGTGAAATATAGCAAGCTCTCTACTTTGCCATCGCATCTTAGTGTAACCTTTTCGACTACTTTCGAGTGATAAACACCTTATTTTCCATGCTGGGGTTGAGTAACTTTGCGAGTCCTTTGTCGCTTTTCCCGCCCTCTCTTCGTCTCTCTGGCGATATCATCGTCTTCAGGATGTGCTGGGGAAAGGGATACCGAGACCAGTGTAGGAACGACAGTTGGCAATGCCTCGGAATGTGTTTGCTGTACCTACTTGAAGTCAGAGTGAATTTCAACAAGCACTGATAGAGCATACCTGAGCCGTGAGCAGGTCTTCAATCCGATCGTATAGCGAAGGTGCGCCTGTGACGTGCTCTTCCACCCACTGTGACATCATGCGCCCTGGATAGATGGGGGGATAACCCTGCGGTGTGTCAGTCTTAGCACGCAAGTGGATGTGAGCACCGACTAACGCGGACTATGAGCGGCTTTCCGTTCGCCAGCGCCTCCACACGTTCTTGCATCATGACGTTCAAGCGGCCGTAGAAGCAAGGCGCTATAGTCATCGCGTCTGCACCTTCAGCTGTAATCTCAAGCAGCTCTTCCTGTAATTCCATAATGTCTTGATTTAGGCCGATAAAGAGCAAGAGGAAACCGTTGCGATCCTGCTGGGTAGGTTCACCTGTGATATCATATTAGCATGATGCAGAACAACAGATCAAGGAGGGAGGGAAAGGCGCATACCGTACTCCGCTGTATAGATGGCGTCGACTACGTGCTGAGAGAGAATATTGGATCGACCGCCCCAGACACGAACTTGCTGCTGGAGCTGAGAGGGCGGATCGGACGTTTTGATGGCGCTGTCGCGGCGAGGATCCGACATGGCTCTTTGTACAGTCGGGGGAATTTGCGAATCAGGAACTCAAGGTTCGGGGGATCAATATGCGAGCCCCATGAACTGTCTAGAGGTGGGGTGGATGCGACGTGGATGATCATAGTCCTTGGTGAATCCCGATTGTGCTGAGGTTGAGCTCACTCTCACCGGGTTCACAGTAAGATGGAACATCATAGAACGTTTACTAGGCGACGCCGATACCGAAACAGACAGGTCGAAAGTATGCGAATATAAAGCAAGCAAAGAGAAAAACGAGGCAACGGCTGTAAAATCCGTAACTAGGCTGGGGATGTTATAAAAGTACAAGTGGTGAAAAACATGCATGTTCTCAATAAGAATGCTCTACAATAACCAAAACTTGCAAAAATTATCATCTTTCAGATAGCTTTTATACTAACTCTATGTTCCTATTCCTTTCCATAGTTCCGTGTTCATATCAGGACGCGAACCTCACGATTATATTGCGCATATTCGATTCACATCGTACTAGTGCTTGCGCATGCAAAGCGGCGGCAGGCCTGAACCACCAGTATCCTCCTTGTCTTCCTCGATGTTGGAAAGGGGGCCGCTGAAAGGTGCGATGTGGATGAAGATCAGTGTGTAACTCGTCGTACCGCACGCTTTCCGTGTAATAGGCGGCAATCTTTCCGGCTCCCAATATGATGATTTTGTACCAGAACACGTTTATGACGTGCAGCAGAGCGTTCCTAACCTAATGCTCTTTTACTAGCTCTTTCTGTCCATGGAAACGCGGCGCTCTTGTTGGGGTTGACGGAAGCCATTGGACATGCTCAAGCTGAATGGGCGGGTGGTGGTTGTATGCAGCCCGATCACTGGTCGTCACCATCGGAGGTTGCCGGCTGTTTCCTCCGATCTATCGCCAAGAGGGCAGAAACGCCTCATGCAGCGCGTCTGTCAAACGTTGGAGTTTACGCCTTTGAGGAAAGACGTCTTCTCGGCGTGGTGGACTCTAGTATTAAGGTCATGCCGCTCCCACATCCTCAGGACGCGTGTCCCTCCGCAATACGAAGGCTGCGCCACACGAGAAATGTCTCCGCACGTCTCGGTCGGGTCTAGGCTTGTCGCATCCCCTGAGTGCGGGCTGACGTTCGCAACGGGCTTTTTTTGACATCGGGCCATTGCGATGGGGTGAAACACGTTTTGAACATCTACGATATTGATCTCTGTACACTTCTCTAGCTACCAAACAGACAAATGCTACGTAACGAACGCTAGCGACCATGTCGTCTTACCGGAAGCATATGCCGCGTCCGGCACGCCTCATCTTCAGCATCTTCCTCATATACGGTTTCTTTTGGATCAAGGGATGGCCTCGCACATACGACGACGAAGAACTCCCTCCGAGCAAGCGACCGCAGCAAGAATCCAACCTCGGCCCACATCCAGTCGGCCATGACCAACTCGTCGTCGCCGTTACCACGACCGCAAACCACGTGTACAGCAAAGTTGCGCCCCTCATCCTCAACACCGACGAACGAGACCATGGCACCTTCTTGCTCTTCTCAGACCTACAAACAGAGATTGGAAGGTGGCCGGTATTCGACGTCATCTGGCGCTACGGATCCGAATTCATAAAGAAGACGGAGCAGCTGGAAAGATACCGTGCTCAGGTCGACTATGCGCGGAGGAGCATACCCCTGACAAACCTGAAGAAGCCGGACCCGGAGGAAGAAAGGAGGGATATGGAGATACTAGACAAATACAAGATACTGGAGACGATGGCATCTGCGTGGGAGTACAGGCCAGACCGCAGCTGGTACGTCTTTGCCGGCGACGAGACATACGTCAACCGGCCAAACCTGCTCGACTGGCTGAGTCAACACGACCCAGCGTCAATGCATTTCTTCGGCAACCCACCTGCAGCCGCAACGTCGCTCGTCCCTGACCCTTTTGCTGCTGGCGGTACATCCTTTATTCTCTCACGGCAAGTCATGCTGGAGCTATTCAAGAACCGTAAGGACTTTATCCAAAAACGGCGGGAGCGCATCTCAGAGCATACGACAGCCTTCGATCTCGTTTCTAGCGCACTGCAGACCGAACTCAAGCTTGAGTTTACTATTGTCTGGCCCGGTATCTCCGGCTTCGATCCCAGCACCGTGCCTTTTTCGCCTGCCATTTGGTGTGAGCCCGTCTTGATGATGCACCACATCACCCCAGACCTTGGTAGCGATCTGCTCAGACTCGAGAAGGATCGACCTTCCGACCAACCCACCTTGCGCTTCGCCGACTTGTGGTATCGTTTCATGACCCCGGAGAATCTAAACTACACACGCGATGACTGGGACAACCTATCTTCCGAGTCATCCAACGGACGATGGAACATCCTTTTCGAAGGCCAACACCCGGATGCCGATCGAGCTAAGAATGGGGAAGAGTCGCCCGAGGCATGTCAGGCGTCCTGCGACAACAGCAAGTACTGCGTCCAGTGGTCCTATTCCTCGATTCCTCAGAAGAACTGGAACGACAACCCGCAAACCAAGTGCCATCTTAGCAGCAGTATACGCTTTGGAGCGCACAAGGCGCCACAAAAGCTAAATATCGACGGAGAAACAAGCACACTCACTTGGAAGAGCGGATGGAAGAAGGATAAGTTCAACAGATGGGCAAAGCAGCAACGGTGTAGGGAGCAACATCAGTAGTCCAAAAGTGTAGTCGTTTTCAGCGTTTCAGCGATATTCATATTCAACAAATTCCGACCCGACGTCAGGTCTCTGGGTTCCTTTCAGGCCACTATGCTGCTTGTCTCTACTTCTTGTTCTTTTCTACCTGCTTCCCCATACATCCTTGCTTGGTCTTGATTGCTGACTGCACAGCTTGCATGCTCACTGAATTTTGTTGTTTTTCCACCAAGTGTCAAGACAATCGCCCACAAGCGATTGCTTGGTTAGCCCGACATCGCGCTCAAATACTTCCAGAGCCACGCTCAAAGTACGACTTTGGCCTGCAATAACGCCGGACGCCAAGAAGAGTGGCGATGTACGGCCTACAGGTATTGCGGTATAAACTCTTCTTCCATGAAATACGGTGGCTGCGCAGGAATGAAAGCTGTACACTGCATTAACTTGTCGTGGTCAAGTGTTTGACTCAACGCTGCCAACATCGGCATCATTGTTGTTGCTATTCCATCCTCAACCACAACCATATTCACTGCGGACGGCACTGAGACACAACTATCCCGCAATTATACTATTGTCTTACACTACTTCATAGGAAGTCGACTCACCATGTTCGAACCGAGCTCAAAAGATCATGGCGAGAAGCTGCCCGAGACCGCTAACGAAGATGCTCCTGAAATTACTCTAGCCCAGGCACGCGGGCAAGCTCCTCCTTATGTGTACGATCACGGCGTCTTGATGAACTACAATGTTGCAGTCTCCACACAACTTTATATGATCTGTCCGCATACCGAGAAGGACGTTGCATAATGCGCTAACGATGCATGTATAGGTGATTCGACTGACAAGGACTGGCAAGCCGTGACTCTATTTTTTGTAGCTACGTCCCTGAAAGTCAATGCACTGAATGATGCGCTTTACCAGACCTACCAGGCCGGAGACGCACACGCTTTCGCCATGTACGACGACTTCACGCGCAACTCTCACAAGTGCCTCCAGGATCGTATCGCGGCCCTCGCCCGTGTCGAAGCTCACAACGTCCCGGTACGCAACCTTGTCAAGCGTAGCAATCTAATAATTACTAATATATATGTAGGATCATGAGCACCTGTCGGGACCAAGCATGATGTGCTGGGCCGCACAAAACACTCCAAAGGTTATGATGGACGCCTCCACTCAGACTATGGAGGACGATGACTTCTTAAGTTGCCGTCACTGGCGGTATAACCTGCTGTTACTGACCTCGTCTAGCCACATTCGGAGCCTGGTCTCACGGTTGACATCTCATCCCCTAACATTGAGTCCTCCCACAACAAGCGTCCTCGCGTTGTAGCCATTGAAAGCACAGATAATGCGACCGCCTCCTTTGACGAAACATAGGTTGAGGAACAGAAAAGAGCAAAAACGAAGGCTAACGGAATTATCTCCATAAAATTGTATTTAGGTGGTATCGAACTGGCGAGCTGATAGAGGACGCTTTGAATCAGTTACGTTAATACCATAGACGGCTCAGTATCATCTATTTGTGCTGTTTGATGGTAAATTTTGTCTCACTTTGATATATGAATTAATTTGCGGACTAGGCATATCTTGCACAACACAAGGACGTGCGGTTTGTTCTGGTTGCCTTCGACGCGCAGTCTTCTATACAACCACAACACGCATAATGATCACGTTCCGCCGGTTGCGTAAGGGTCCTCTTGGTCATTTCCTATGATTTCTCCGCAGATGAGCCTCTTTAACTCCATTTTGCCCAACCAAAGATGCACCAGTGATGGAGAGATCGATTGTCTAACGAACAGCATATCATGAACAGATCACTCGACTGCAGCAATTGAACACAAGCCATATACCAAGAGACAAAGATATTCTCCGTTGTCATATTCCTACCTCCCAACACATACTCACATCCGTCATGTCCCTATCGTCTTCGCAAGCAGGCTCAGCAGAAGCTTGTACAGCTACCTACGCCCAAAATCAAGCTAAATCAAGCCCAGGCCAACGAGTAATTATCTACAAGCTCTCACCGGACCAGTTACACGCCGAGATCGCCGCTGTTGGATCTTATGGGAACGTGACATATGCCGTCGTATTGCAGAAACAAGCTGATGCAGACCCTATCGGCGACACCGAGACCGAGAAGAAGAAGAAGGAGACGAAGGCAAATTTGGAGGCTGCCCAATTGCATAATGCGCCCGGTTTACAGACTGGTAGATCGTAAGGGCGATCTGATGAATTTGTTGGACAAGGCTGGAGAAAAGAGCAAGAAAGCGAAGAAGAGGAGTGGAATGAATAATGGTATGTCAATACCGGAGGAAATGCAGGTGAATGTGAAGATAGTGGTTCAACAATGAGGAAGGTAGTATTGATTCTCGCCTTTGTACTGGAAGCCGTTTGGATACAGCAGCTAATAACCCGCGGAGAAGAGTACAGGATGTGCCCTTCCAAGTGGCATCGTATGGATAGGGTAGTGCAATCAAGAATGCAGGGGAAGTTTTTTTTCAATCCATCGTTTTCCTGGTCACGGTACGCGAACGCAAAATCACCAGGTGTGATGTCTTTGATGAAACTGTCTTTGGCGCGCGGATGTTGTACGCGTCTAGGTCACTGCACGTGTTCTCGCTTGTGCCTCTCGGCCGCCTGATCCTTCCCTGAATGAGCAAGCTTCTACGACCTGTATCTCCCTAGCCTCATTGTCGATACCTCTCCATCGCGATCTTATCAGGCTATCAATTGGGCTAGCTTACGCGGAATTTCCGCATGCATTATCACAAGTCGTGAGCGTGGGACTGCAGCGTCTAGGGGCTCGCGGTGGGTTGAACGCGGGAGGTTCGCCGCGTGATTTGCAACAGTAGGGGTCCGTGACCCCCAACAAACTGGCCTGACAATGGACACACTGGAAAACGACTTTGAAGAGTCTCCTTCACAACCCCCCATCTCTCCGAAAACCCGAAAGATGGCCCTTGATACGATTCAAAGGCTGATGGCTAAATACGGCGCCGATACCTATCTCAATGCACTCCCATCAGCTCATTCCATGACCTGGATAGAACCTTCAGTAGGAGAGGAGTTCCCCATTCTAGTGATTGGCAGCATAGGCAACCACAACGTGCTTGCTTATTTGTTATCACGTGGTGATGGCACTGGGGAGGTCCGCTACTGTCTTAATCGCATCGGCGATGAACGTTCGCCCTCCACACTGGAGCAGATCACCTGCGAAGAAGTCCTGGAAAAGCCTCTTGTGGCGCCATTCAAACATTTTTTGTGCGGGTTGAAATTCAAGAAGCGTGTGCTTAGCATGATGGTTCGCTACTACTTTCTGTTGCGAGGTTACCTAAGCAATATTGATTCTTGGAACGACGACTTTGCTAAGCGTTTCTCAACTATGTTGAGGAAAATGTTCCAGGGTTCCAATGGAGAACCTGTGCTCAATCGAACAGTGGAGGAAAGCCCAGAGCCGGACGATACAGACAACGCGTATGCCTTGCGATCAACTAGCCGGAATGGCGAAGCAGATATCCCAAAGGACGACGTCTTGGAGCAGCAGAGCCCTTCGATGAGAACCCCAGACCTATGGAGCAAGGAAGCAAACCCAGACCTGCACCGCTTGCGGGAGTACCTCGATGAACATGACTCGCTGTATCTCTTAGAAAATATCCCTGATGCCGAAGATATAAAATTTGTGGATCAGACATATATTTTCGAAGCTCAGCCCAAGAAGTTGTTTATTGGAACTCATGCGAAGTCAGGGGATGACATCTATGCATATATGGTGTGGTTACAGCAGCGCGGCTTCCATGAGATCCGATTCTACGTGGAAAGCGTCCACGACCACAAAACGATAATGTCTACCGAGGCTACCGGCAAGCAGCGCATATTGCACCCTTTTATCAAAACTTATCCCAAGAGCACCGGACCCAGTGAACAAGCTGATAGAGCTCGCTTCACGCTCATGGTAAAGTGGTACTTTATCGCCGCTGGAATTGCAACAGATTGTATCTTAAGAGAGACCAAGAGTTATCCTGAGCGTCTTCGCGCAGCACTAGACTACATTGCCGACCAGATGGGGCCTGCCGCTGTCAAACCCCCTGAACCCGTCGCAAATGAGGATGCTACACCAGATGATGGTAGCGAAAGCTCCTATGCTCCAGAAGAGAACGACATCCAACCTACACTGGCCCGCGAACCGCCGCCTAAGTTGCCTCACCTCCCACCCACGGTTGCTCATAAATCTGCTTCCCCAGTCGCACGCCGTTCAACACTCTCTAGCAAGCCAGTACCAATGTCGGGGCTCCCAAGGAACTCGTTCTCCAAGACGTCCACTCCCGAAGCAATTCCTATGCCCAAGGCCCCATCGCGCAGCGCCAAGCGCTCAGCCGAAGACGAAACATTCGACAGCCTCACCAGATTGGTAATGAAACAACATACTCTTACCAAGCACTTGAATGACGTCGACCACGAACTAGAAGTTATGGACGCCCGTCGGGAGGCTTTTCAACAAAAGTGGAAACGAGAGCGTGCTGAGTTAGAAAAGAAAAGAGACGAGATTCAAGAAGAGAGAAGTGTTGTGAGGAACATGTTCAAGAAGCAAAGGCTGCTTGATGCTGAGGATGACTAATGGACATGTGATGGACTTTTCATGTTTGCGAACCGTGGTCGACATGTAAGGATAATGCAAAGCTTGGCTCATGTGAACCCCATATATTCAGGCGTTAGACTCAACATTAATACAATATCAATTTATCATATCCCCTCCCAAAGTGCGACAGTTCTTCGAATATTCGTATCTAAATCACAATGCCAAAGTCGTTGCATCCGCGTCTGACAAATAGCTGGATACTCGCATTGTTCAATTGGACGACGCACCTCGCTTCGTGTCAAAAATCCTAAAAGATGTGACTAAACCGGCTGCTACTGCAAGTGTTGCCACTTTGAATCACACAGACGACGAGGAAAGATGGAAAGCGGTCATGCAGATAGCAAAAGGCCAGAGTATAGACAAAGACACCGCTTATGTTACCGCTGACCTATCATATTCGCCGCCAACTCTTCGTATCTCCGTGTCTCTAGCAACACCCAAGGATACGAATGCTTCACAATGATATATAACTCGACCTAACAAGCGGAGTAGTCATTCCGCGGCCCTAGGCACAGGTCTAGGCGCTCGACCACAGAAGCTAGAGCGTGAAGGCCGGATACCTAGCTCTCGCGGAACTTCCTGTTACGGTAATAAGTAAAGTGAGCGGTAAGAAACACAAACAAGCAGAGTCCAATGAAAAGGAGGAGAACTTGGAGTCGGACTCTACTGGCTCTGCGTGATATACTAATCTCGGAAGGACGGAAATTGGTGCGCACCACGGATGGGCAGCGTATCGGAGAGTGGATAGCTAGCATGACACAGCAAACGCTGCTCGCGGTGACACTGGCTTTGTAGTATCTACAACAATGTGTCAATGTCTAATCTTTAGGAGATTTGATAGCAATTCGACATCACTCCGGCTCGCAGTCATCGCTGTGATGGATTAATGGAGTCGATCTCGTACGCCTCTCGTCGTCGCCTTTACTTGATCCTACTGCCTTTCACGACTCGCTCTTGTTTCAGTCATGCCGCCTCCACGTGGAAGAACCCAAAAGGCTCCAATTGTAGACATCAGCGACTCGTCAAGCCAAGCATCCGAGGATAACGTTCCCCCGACAGAGCCTAATCTAAAGAAGAATCGCGTCATCCTACACTACGCTGCCGAGAATCCAGACAAGCCAGACGCGAAAATGAACGGCCCGTATGGCATGTTCTCACAATGCAGCCCGCTTTCTCTACCCGTGCCAGCGAAGACGCTAGCTAAGCGTAAGAGGGCGACTAAGTACAAGGAAGTATCTGGCAACAGCAAGAGAAAGACCGCAGCTGAGACATTGGCTGATAATAAGATATCAGAGAAGAATGAGATATCAAGGAAAGAGAGGGAGGAGAGTCCACTGTTCGAGCCAACGAATGGCTGGCAGGAAGACGGAGATGCCGATGTCGAGATGCTGAGTCCACCATCAACACCAGCGTCTAGCGCTCGCACGCAAAGCCTTAAAGGGACCGAGCGTATTACTGCAACCACCCGTGGCAATCATAGTAAGAGGTCGATCGTCGTTGGGAGCGGATCAGAGTGCTCTGATTCTGATTCCGACTCTGACACCGGTTCTAATATCGTTGTATCAATACAGTCCAACTCCACCCCTAAGATATCACAAAATCTCCTTATCACCTCGCCCTTACCCGGAGACATCTCGGTTATCGACGAGTACCTTGATATACTCAACAAACTAGCCTCTGAAGCTGCCGCGATCTCCGCACACAAGCGAATCATCGTCGACTTCGCCAAGGAAGAGGCCGCCATCTCGCTCGTCATTGAAGATCTTCCCGCCGAAGAAAAGCAGCATCTCGCCACCATTGCTCAAGCCTGCGCTAGGAGGATACATGCCGACATGGCGAATCCGAGCATAGCTACTGACATGCTTGCCATTCAGGCGGCCATAGAGAAGCGTAACAAAGAAGCTGAAATATCACGTCAAAGTATGCCTGGCATAATGGCGAAGAGAGAGGAAGAACTAGAGGCGCGACGACTGGATGCGTGCTCCAGGAGAGAAGCTGCGTTGTTGGAGTGGAGGACGGGACCCGGATCCAATACCGACTCGCTGCTGAAGGTGAAGGAGGATCTGGAAAGACAGGGTGGTATGGCGATGGCGTTTGAGCTTGGTAGGAGAATGGAGTGACTGGAAGGCGCAAAAGCAAAGAGAGGTCGGTAGGCTCCAATTGCTTGATGGGTCTAAGCTTGCACTTTGGTTGATGCTCAGCCAAATATGAACAAAGATCTACCGAATAAGGAGATGTTGCCTGGGTCTCTAGAGACTTCTCGGTTCAAGAAAAAGTGATTTATGGGAACTTTGGCACCTACGTGGACCTATCAGTTAGCAACATTCAATCACAAAACATCATGTTATTTTTTTTTGAAGACCCCCTAATCGTGAGTCATTAATGTGATATAGGAGTAAACATCCAGTCAGATAGCACAATAACGCAGACCAGACACTGTTGCGACATATAGGTTTCAGTATAGAAATTTATGGGTATGAGTTGACTAACGAATCGACTCCCCATTCTCATAAAACGCCTTATAACACCAACTAACGACTACAGCAAAACAAAGAGAAACACGTTACTCATCTAGAGTACACAGATCATATATCGATCAGCACTAACCCTCCGTCTCAGCCTCAGCCATGACCTGCTCCCCCTCATCCAACATATCCAACACCCTCTTCAGCCCACCAACCATATCATTCGCCTGACCCACCAGCAACAGCTTCTCCGCATTCGCCGGCAGACCGAGATAAGTAGGTGGCTCGCGCTCAGGAAGGTCATTGACCCAGCCCATGAAGTCCTTCCAGCTGGTCGAGGTAGGCAGTTCAAGACCCTCACTATGCTCGGTATCCTTGACAATCTTGAAGTTGTCTTCAAACGCAGCGGGTGTCATACAGGCGTCGACGAGAGAAGCGAGAATGCGCCAGTCTTCTGCGTCGTCGATCTTGCCGCCATACATCTCTGTGATCAGAATGCGAAGCATCTCCCATGGAATCTTGGTGGGGGCGATGTTGGACCGGCCTTGAGCGATGGTATCGATCCAAGTGTCGATGATGAAACTGCAGCATTCATAGTCACTGTCGTTAAACTCCCAGAAGCCCTTCCATCCCAGCGTGGGTGCGTATCGAAGACGCTCTTGAATGACCGCGTGGAGGAAGGACAAGAGAAGGTAGACACGTGCCTTCTCCACCGGCTGTTTGGTAGCCTTCTCAGCCAACGAAGAGAGCGAGTCTTTCATGTTGGCGCGAACTCCAGCAGGCTGCTCGTACGATAGAACACGAGAGGCGCGGAGAAGATTGACTGGGATCTTCGGGCTGGACTCCATCGACAGGAAGAGGCGGAAGTCAGGGTTGGGCTTAAGAGCTTCAAGACGCTTCTCAAGCGATTGCAACCATTGGGGTGCGAGATGAACGTTCTTGACAAGAACCCAGTTGCCTGTGGTGGCGGCATTGGCGATGGCTTTGTCAGCTGATGCGGCACCTTCGTTGGAACCCATGGCGATATTCGAACAGCTGACTTGCTCCCTCTCTACAAGATTGTCGACCTTGTAACTTGCGTCAAATCCAGGGCTGGAACTGAGTGCCACTGGCGTGACTGCGTTGACTTGCTTGACGATGTCACCCAGATCACCACTGGCATCTAGGATACCCTTGCCGAATACTTCAGTGACGAAGCGCTCGACAGCAGGTACGAAGCGATCCACACGGAATAGCTTGACGAGGATGAGAGCTCGCAGGAGCTTGTCGAATTTGGTAAGATCTTCCGGCCAAGCCTGCGGTACCTGCCGTTCTCCCATCTCTTCATTGAGGAAAGCATCCCAAGCGCTATCTTCGATCTTCTCCAACTCTTCCTTGAACATCGGGATCTTGCTCGCACGCTCCATGGCCTCTTCCTTGCGTTCAGTCTCGGTCGAGACATCGATACCCTTAACATCGGGGTCAAGAATTTGGTCGATGAGTGTCTTGTCCATTTTGTAGGGCGCTGCCTGCACGAGAAGCATGGCAAACGTGACGCGGTCCTTCTGTAGCAAGGAAAGCGATGTACGGCGGTATGCATCCACGAAAAGCTCAGTGACAATTTGCTCGATGCGAGCAGCATGGCCCGTGATAGAACCGTTGCGGATCTTGCGCAATACAGTCTCGAAGATCTGAGTAAAGTACTGGAGCGAGAACTGGTAGAAGTGGTTGAGATGGTGCAGTTGCTCAAGCACGGCGAAAATAGCCGCACAAGAACGAGCAACGACGGTGTACTCTTTAGTGATATTCTCCACCTCGGTCATGACACCAGTTGTCTCAGAAACCTTGTCCGAGATATCCTTGGCCTCCTTCTTTAGCGTCTCGAGCGTTTCGATAACGCGGTCGTCGTCCAGAATGTTACCGCGCGACTCATTGAGCGCTTGGAGCAGTCGCTTCTCGAGCTGACGAAGATGGACTGCAAACTCTCCTTGCATCTTGATGAGGTTGGATCGGCGCTCATCGACATCGGGTCGCTCGGATTTGAGGACCTCGTTGAGAGTCTGTGTCTGCAAGCTGCTCTGCGTGACTGTAAAGTTGACGAATGTGGTACGACTGCAGATATCGGGAGGGAAATTGGCGGAAGGATCGCGTGTCGAGAGGTACAAGCGGAACGACGGCGAAAAGTCAATCTCCTGCTTGCCAAGTTGTATGAGCACACGACCTCCGGTCTTCTGGTACTCCTTGTTGAGAACATGGTTGAGGATAGGATCCAGATGTTCGGCATCCTGGATCAGAATTGGGTTACCGAAACGTAAAGAACTCTCAAGTTGCTTTGTGAACGAGTCATCCAAGAAGCTAGTCACCGTGAGACGGCGGTCCTTGCATTCGTTCTGCAAGAACTCTGTGGTCCTGCCAGAAGGATCGATGATCAGCGGGTAACGGTTGAACCTCTGAAGGACGATGGCGTTCTCAGTGCACAGGTCGTCCACAGGTAGGCCGTTGTGTTGCCAGTTCAGGCGATCATCAGCTGTCGAAAGGTACTCCGTGAATGGGTTTGTTGGCTTGAAGCTGATTCCAGAGTGCTTGAGGTGATCGTACCAATCCTCCGTAAGTGCCTTTCTGTACTGTTGATCGTAGTAACCAGCATAAGCAATGAATGCAGCCGCAACCAACACGTCACCAACAATGGTGTCAATCTGAGAATCGAAAGACTTGCTGCTCGCTTCCCATCGAACGCGTTCAGAGGACAAGCTATCGAGAAGTCGTACACTGCGATCAACCTTGAATTGTACGGTTGACATCTCCGTCTTGATAGCCTGGGTCTCGCTGATCAAAGCGGCGTATTCAGTCTTGTACCGGCCAATACTCTCTTCAAGGTTCTGAATGAGGAGCTGGGTCTCCTTCGCACCCTCCTCTGTCTTCTGTAACTCTACTTGCAGCTGGTCGACTTCAGCACGTAGAGGTCCGACTCGGTCAAGGATATCAGAGTAGGTGACTTGGGCAGACACCCATTGAACGAGGGGACCGCAGGCTTTGGAAGCGCGGTTGACCTTCTCGAAAGTGAAATCCTCCTGGGAAAGGTATTCCTTCTGCATCTTCCTGCGGTGAGCTGCAGTCATCTGCCTCTCGTTGTCGAACTGCACAATACTGGCAATGAAGTCGTCACGTCTAACAATGGAAACGATGGTCTTCCAACTGTCGGGCTTATGTCCGAGAATCGTGCATACAGCCTCCAACGCAAGCTTGACACCAGCGGGAGGATTCTGCATAGATCTTACTTCAGTAAGATGTTGTCGCTTGATGTTTTGCACACTCTTCTGTGCCTCCAAAACAGCCGGCTCGGCAGCCGCCAAGTCATGCTCTACTACTTCTTGTCGCTTCTGGATCTCCTCCTTGTCCTTCGCAAGCTGAGCTTGCATCTTGATCGATCCAGCTTTCTTCTGTTCTGCCTCGTTCTGATCCGCAATCATGCGCTGCAGCTTCTCGTTCGCTTCGGCATCCTTTTTAGTGAGCTGCGTCTGCTTCTCGGCAAGGCTTGCTCGCAGTTCCTTGACCTTGTCGAATGTCTCACGAAGCTTCTCTAGACCGACGTTGAGATGGCGCTGCTGTTCCTCGAGGTCTTCGCGCTTCTCGTTGTAAAGCTTGACATACTGGGCAACGAAGTCCAGGAAGTGGCGTGGCGTAAGGTACATCTTCCTGTTTTGTGTCTTCTGCAACTTCGCGTTCTTGCTGCGTAGTGAGTGATGTACAGCGACCATGGCATTGACAACGCTCTCGCGATGAGATGGCGGAAGAGTAAGTCCGCGATAAGCGACTGGGATGCTATCAGGCGCGACATAGTTCGCGCGGTCGAGGTCGACAGACTGTGTAAGCTCGGAGCTGACTTGGTACAGAGCTTGGTCAGACCAGTCTCCGAACCAGTTGAGCACGCAACGGTTGAAGAGGGCAGGACTGGTTGCCGCCTTCGATGAGAGACCTTCCTCGGGTGGGTTCATGGTGAACACCACATGCAGGTTCTTGACAATCTGCTCAGTGAACCACTTGTACAACTCTTCCTGTGAGTCGAGAATGATGCCTTGTCGCTGTGCACCCTCCTTGATGGCAGTAAGCAGAGAAGCATACTCGTCACCCTCGAACAGACCAGGAACCTCCGCATTGGCCAGGAGGGTGTTCATGCGTTCGAGGAAACCAGAGTCGAGAACATTGGCTTCGTCCATGATGAAGCAGATCTTCTCGCCCTTGCAACCGCATCGTCGAAGAACAGTACGCAAGTCTTCATCGAAGTCCTCACCAGAGTACTTTCCGTGGACCTTGATCTGGTAGACGCTCAGACCGTTCATCCAAGCGACGAAGCGGGACAGCGTTGTTTTTCCGGAGCCGCTAACACCGATGAGAATGAGATGACCTTGTGGTTGACGGAACACACGGTCGATACGAAGTACATGCTCGAGCACGTCGTTAAACAGGATGAGTGGCACATCCACCTCTTCTTCGCAGAAAGTTCGAAGACGGGCCTTGACGAACTCTCGGAGTTGTTCGCGCTCGACCGGCACGTAGTTCTTGGACAGCCAGTTGGAGAAGAGGATAGGGCCACCGAGAGCCTTCTCCTCATCGATAGTAGGGAAGTGCTCAGCCGCAATACGGTGGACACATTCTTCAGTCCATTGCCTCTCTTCTTCTGCGATAAGACGATCCTGGAACAAGCGTAGAGCCTCGTGTGCCCAGATACGGACAAGACCTTCAATCGGCAAGCTCTCAAGTGGTCGTAAGGCCTCATAGATACCACGTACCCATCGAGTAAGTTCACGGGGAGAGTAAACGTAATGCGGTTGGATGTCTGGCGTGAAGCGCTTTTGAGACTCTGCATAGAGCTGCACCATGGCCCTGGTGAGAGCATCTGCATATCCCCGTAGGGTCGGGATGATCTTGAGCACGGCAGTGTTGAAGGTACCGTAAATTTGCAGAAGCGACTGCTGTCCAGGGTAGTCGACCATGATGAGTGGAGCATGACGCAAAAACCTCAGTCCCATAGGCGTACGTCCGGCATCTGTGGGGGGGTTACAAGCACCAACAAACTGGATGCGATCGAGCGTAACCCAAGTCTTATCAGACGTCCTCCAGAAACCGTTGTGCTCAACCAGCTGTCGCAAGAAGGAGATGGCTCGCTGAGTACCGTACTTATCGGGTGCAGGCAAATTGATCTCGTCACAGAATATGACTAACCAGCGACCAACTTGAGTAGGCGTGAGCTGAACACCGTTGAGGGTCTTCTTGTACTCGCAGTATTGCTCGAACGTCTTGATGAGAAGGTCCGGTGTAGTCGCACTGGAGAAGTTGAGACCGACGACCTGCATGTTCGGTAGTTTTCGAAGTGCGCTGAACAGAGTCATGGTCTTTCCAGAACCTGGAGGACCACAAAGCAGCAAAGGCTTGTGTTCTGCAAGCCAAGAGTAGAGAACATCCTCGTGGCGGACTGTGTCCAACGTGGGAATAACCACATCAGTTTGAGTGACAGAGTGGGTGTTGACCTCAACATTCGGCACCTGACTTTGCCAAGTATCCCACTCTGGTTTGTCAGGCTTGACGTCGTAATCGATGAGTGAGGTAGACTCGTTAAGGGTGGGGAGCTCAACGTCGGTAAGGCCAGCGATAAGGTCTCCGAATTGCTTGCGCTCCATTAGAGGGCAATCGCCGACTAAAGCCCACACCAAAGCAACAAGCATCTTCTTCGCGAGATAAGTCTCCATCTTATCATCTTCCAGAGAGAAGTCTGGGTGCTGTACATTGTACTCCAGGACGTTGCGGCATGCTTTGTTGAGCAGAGAAAACAGCGTGTTGAGCGCACGAATGTCCGTATACTCCATGATATGCTTGAACTTCCTAGCCATGCTGAGGGCCTTCTCAATGAATCGATCTTGGGTGAGCTTGATATGCAGGAAATCGGCGATGAGTCCCTGAGTGGTCATTGTCTTCTGTGACATCTGACCTGGAGCAACCGAGTCGTCTTCAATGTCCTCGAAAGGCGTGGTCTTGAGGTGTTCAATGTAGTTCTTGATCATCATGTCCACCTCCACGGTGTCGTCGCTGAACCAGACCATACCACAACGGGAGACAGTAGCGAGAGTGGCGTACTTCAAAGTCTCAACTTCGAACATGATGCGAACGTTAGATGGTAAGTTGAGACGCTCTCCGTTTGGTAGGGTAAGCAGCTTGTTGTCGTCAAGCACAGAGTTCAAGTTCTCGACCCACTCAGGGTCAACATCTCCGTCGAACACAATCCAGTGACGCTTGGTGTCTTCACCACGAAGGTTGTCAACGATCTTGCGCAGTATACTCGTGAAGAGACCGTCAGTCCACTCGCGTGTGGTGCTATCAAGAGTTCCGTAAAGCTGTTCCTTTGACATGACCTTGGGGTCGATGACGTGACAGACGCCCTCTACACCCTCGACGGCTTGAAGAGCAGAAAGAAGCGTTCTCCAGGCAGCAGACTTTCCGGATCCGGAAGACCCGACCATCATTACACCGTGGTGCAGCTTCTGGATCTGATAAAGTTGGATGATCTTAGTCATCCAAGAATCGCTCACCACGAACTTCGACTCAGCGGCGCACTTGTGAATAGCCTCAGTCAACTTGTTAAGAGGCGCAGGGATGTATTCGACACCAGGGAATGACTCTTCTTGAATGGCCATCATGAGTTCGACATCAGAGCGAATGAGCTTGGGTGCCATAGTCTCGCGTAAACTCTGGATAATGATCTGAGGCTCCATGCTCGCTTCATCCAGGGTCTGGGAGTCTTGTTGAGCGGCGATACGAGCTCGCTTCAGACCACCGGAGCTGACGAGCACACTCTTCAGCGCACGAAGTCCGAAATCGTAGTGAGCTTGCTTGGAAAGGCCCGCCGAGCACCTGTCGAAGAATGGTACAACCTGTTTCGATAGCTCCTTTGCCTGAGAGAAACCCTGGGAGTAAAGCATGACTTCCGCAATGAGCTCCTTGTCGGGCTTGGACATGGCAACACTTCGGAAGAGCTTCTTGAGATTGTCGGGCAAGTTCGATCGACCCGCGTAACCAGGGTTCATGGTAATGAAGACTCCAGTGTTGCCGTTGACCTTCAATTGACGACCAATGAGCTCGATCTGAGACTTCTCGTCCTCAGCACCCTTCTTGAGACCCAACTGAATGTTTTGGATCTGTTGGGACACGGCCGAGAGGATACGCTCTTCAAGACGGTTGAACTCGTCAAAACAACCCCAAGCTCCGACCTGGCAGATACCGAGGAAGATGCGACCCATAGCCTGGAAGTCGAATGTGTCGTCACAACAGAAGACAAGGGTAAATCGTCCAAGCTGTACACCGAGAGCTTTGACGGATTCAGTCTTACCAGTACCAGCGGGACCATATGGTGAACCACCAAGTCGTTGGCAGAGCGCCTGGGTAAGGGTGAGGAAGCAGCGGTCAGTAAGAGGTGTGCGTACGAGGCGGTCAGCAACACCCAGGTACTCAAAGCCGTAGTCGAGGACTGCATTTGCCATCTTGATCCTCAGTCGCTGCAGGAGATCATTGCCGGGCTCGTATACATATCGCATGCACAGTAGCCACATGTGGTGGGTAGGCGAGCGCGCGCCGACCTTCTCAAGCTTATGGATAACATCTCGCTGGTGAACGAACTCAGTGATGAGGTCCTCGCATTTGCGGCGTTGAATGGGATCAAGGTCACCCAGAACGGCAGTAGCAAGTAGCTTCAAGACGTTGACCTGCTTTTCGTACAACTGAGGCAAGGTCGTGCCCTCTTCCGCCAGAGACTTCTCCACAGCATGTGTCCAGGCAATCTGCGTTCCAAGGACGACCACCTGGGTTGGGTACTTGGCGATATAATCGGTGAAGGCCTGAGGATCCATCGCATCTGGTTCGATGAGTTGAGCAAATTCTTCGTAAGCTTCGAAAGTCAACTCAGCCAGTGTAGTCTTCATGTTGGCCTCTAATGCACCAAGCCACTCGTTAATTCTGGGCGTCTTGACGAGTGAGATCTCTTTGCGAAGCGTAACCTCTTCTCCTTCCTTGGACGTGAAACCTTGAATGACTCCGTCTTCATCAGTAATAAGTCCTGAGACACCAGCAAACATCTTCCGCAAATGCTTAGCGATACGGAGAACGTCGTTGCTATTACCAATAATCTCCAGCAGATCCTCATCACCAACGAAGTAAAAGCGAGGGAAAGATACACGCTCGCGCTCCAGGTATTCTCCGAGCGCCTTCTGAATCTTGTTCAAGAGTTCAGCGAGGCGCTCCAGCGACTTCTGTACGCCAGAGATGTTGAGGACTTCGAGGACGAAAGGTTGTCGCGAGACCTTCTTCATGACGGACAAGAACTCGGAGTTGATGTTCTGGAAACGGGCAGACTCCATGGGGAGCAGGTGCTTGATGTCAGCGTTGCCGGTAAACACACCCTCGAGGTAAACCCATTGGCGCTGTACGTCGATCCATACGTCGAACAGAACGTGCACACGATTGAGCTTATCCTCCCAGGACGATGCCTCCTCCTCAAACTCCTTGTAGTAAGGCGAGTGACGCATAGCCTGCAGTGAGTTGAGGTTCTCGCTGCACTTGGCGAAGAGGTCATCCCATCCCCTAATAAGGCGGCATTTGTTCTGGTAGTTGACAAGTTCCAAAGCGTAATTCTGCCAGGTTTCGCGAACCTGCTTGAGAAACTCTTCAAGTGCCATCTCGCCGGCTGCCTGGGTGATGACTTCTCGAATGATCTTCTCACTAGGGCCAAGCTTGAGATCCCAAACATCACCTAGGGTCATGGAGATGGCCGAGTATCGCTTGTGCGGCCTCAAGTTCTTGAATATCCTAACCCAATGGCGTTCCTTGACAGCATCAGAACGCAGCTCAGCGAGGATCGTGTTCTCCTTGAGAAGTTGCTTCAGTGTAGTCTGGACATATTCGAAAGCTTGGTATTGTCGCATCCGGCTAGGCATATCCTTGGTCATCTTGAGCAAGTTGTCAAGATTCTGTCGCAGCTTGCGAGGCTGAATGCTGGTCCACAATACCTCACGGAGGTCGTCGATGCTGGCCCAGATCGTGCCAAGCGCAGACCAGACGGACTTAAAGTCTTGCACTTCCTCCAGCAGCGTCTCGAGTGCGTTCTCCGGCGATGGTGGCAATCCAAGTGCTTCCTTGGCTTTAGAGATATTGCTGGACTCATTCTGCAACTGGCTGAGCTTCTGGTCGAATTTGGTTAGGATGGCTGAGGCATCAGCTGGAGCCAGGTTGCCTGCGACAGGCTTGTCTTCTGCCCACTCTCCGGTAATGTTCACGATCTTCTGGTTGACGACCTTGTCTTCTGCAGCGATCTTAGCGCGCAAAGCGTCCGCCTGGTCATTCGCAATCTTGGTCTTCCTCTCCAAGACCTCGTTCAGGGTCTGCCATTCATGGTCGATCTGCTCCATCTGCAGCCAGTCGGAAGGGAACTGATAACGCTGGCGCGCCAGAGTCGCCTGACCTTGACGGAATGTGGACATCTCCGGTTCCCACTCAAGGACCTTCCTCTTGCATTGCTGCACTGTGGTAATGAAGGAGACAGCCTGAGCAGTTGATGAGGCCTCTAGTGTCTGCATCTCAAGGTCCTTGCGCGCCTTCTCGATCTGCACATACACGTCATTCATGCGCTGACCAAGCCTGCTAGCAAATTTGGTAAGGATTTCTTGCTGCCACTGGTCGTACTTGGCATTGACTTTGACCTGCACTTGATCATAGTCCACAGTGACGTATCCGAATTGGCGACTAATGTCGGAGTTGTCGAACGTAGCGCGAGTCTTGCGAATCTCCTGAAGAAGCTGCAACCATCGGGAGAGATCTTCGCCAAGGATGTCATAGACATGGTCGGACTGAAGATCCCATAGAGACTGGAACTGGAGCCACTCGTCAACATACGATGAGATATCACGAAGTTTGCCCTCTACGGCGCCGTACACCTCGATCAATGAATCAGTGCATCGGCTTGGCAGGTCGGAGAATTGGCTGACAGAGGTGTCGTTGGTCGCTTCAAGTCGGATCTCGTATCGTGAAGCCTTGATCTTCTGAAGAGTACAGATAATGGCGAGCCATTGCTGGAGTTGCTCAAGCCAGCTTGCTCGAGCGTATTCCACTGGCGGGCTGAGGTAGATCACCTGGTTCCGCATAGTGATCTCAAGAGTCAATCGTGCAAGAGTCGGCTTGACTTCAGGTACCTCTGTCGACACTACTTCACTAACTGGACGACGGTTTCCATCTTCTTCATTCACATTGTTGAAGACTTCGATCCACAAAGTGATAGCTCGGCTGAGACGAACCAATAAGATGGACTCAATGCGCGCATTCATGTCAGATACCCAAGAAGCAAGGTTGGCGTAGCTCTCGAGGTTAAGCTGGTCAATGGACTTCTGAATGGTCTCTAGGTTCTGTTGGAAGGCCTCCTTGGTGTATGGGCAAGTCTCCAGATCCTTCAGCGACTTCTCGACGGCAGCGTTGATGTTAACAAGTGTTACGACCTTGAGCTGGAGCAGTGATGTCGTAGCTGCAAAATCGCGGACGAACTGGACATGTTTGCTCTCACTACGAACGCTGCCACCTCCCACAGGAAAGCCGGATTGTCGGACGTGGAGGTCGTAGGCGTGAACAAAAGACTCCCACTTGAGAGGAACACCTTTGCCGACCAGCGCTTGGACCTCGTTAATGTAGTTGTTGAGCAAAAGAGCGACTCCACCCATCTCAGAGATTGAGCGCAGGGTCTGAGTGTAAGTGCGGACGCTTTCCATGAGACTAACAGCATAAGGGTACACGCGCTTGGCCTCCTTCGAGATGTTGTTGATGCCGTGGGGTACTTGGTAGCCGCGCCATGTCAGGTTCCGAACTTCCTTGAATAGGGCAATAACTTGCGCGTCAAAGTTGACGTTCAACTCCAAGATGTTTCCTGCGGCACGGTTCCTGTTGACAAGGAACAGACGTCCGGAGATCTGGAGTTTCCTCCTAGCCACCTCTTGAAGCCACGACTCGAAGATCGGTCGGGTGTCGAGCTTCTTCTTGAACATGCTGCTCTCAGCCTGGAGTTTCTGACCTTCCGCATGAAGCGCCCAGTCCTTACCCAGGATATCCTCGACCTTACCCATGTAGCTCTCCAGCTGTGTTTCAATCTGTCGAGCCCAGATAACAGCGCCAGAAACTGGAGGAAAGTCACGGAGCTGCGCCATGGCATGGGCTTCAGAGTTGCCATACTGACGCTTGAAGCGCTCATGAAGTGCCAAGATATCCTGCTTGACGTTCTCGATGAGCTGCGTTTGGTATTCGGAGATGGCGCCTCGAATCTTTGGTCGCACGAAAAGTGGGTTGAACTTGGAGAAGACGCGGAACATCTCGCTGGCGGTCTTGGCGGTACCAAGACGATCTCGCAATCTAGCGATGATGGAGTTCTCAACACGAGAAGTACGCTCATTGTACTTTTGCTCTGCTTGTTCGAAGAGGCGTGTGCCTTCAGGTGAGACATCCAGCACATCGACATCTTTGAGGACATCGTAAGCTTCCTTGACTTCCTTTACGGCATCCACATCACCAATCTCTTCAATGATGACCGCCTCCTTGGCTGGGGCACTTTCGGACAAAGAAGATTGCGAGCCGAGGACGTTGACGATGGTTCGCTGGAGCTGCTCGTGGTTCTTGCGGAATGTCGTAATGTAGCGAATACGCTCCTCCGTCTCTTTATGCCTAGCCGCAATCTTGATCGGGATAAACTTCTCGTTCCTTCGCCTAGTCACTTCACGCGCAACGTTGGTGAACTCCTTGACGTTCTCCTCCCACGTACGCCAAATGCTCTCTGCTACAGCCATGATGGCCTGGAACTCGGGGTAATCCATGTGCATAAGTGTTTTCCCATGTAAGAGATTGTGGAGTTGCTTGTCGAGGTCGCCGGATATAGCTTCAACGAGAGGAAGCGCTCGGCGGACGGGGTAGGGGCAGATCCGAAGCTTCTTGTTCATGTGGCTGAAGATGGATTGTACGGCTTCCTGCACTGCTTGTAGCGAGGTTGAAGATAACAGCTGGTCGAGAGGAAATTCGCGCATGAGCTGGTTGTACTTCTGTACCAGATCTGTGCTCTCCTTGAGTCCCGTATCTGCGCTGAAGCTCACAGTCGCTTGGAAACGTTTCGCATTCTTCAACACGTCCAAAGTGAGCCTAACACCGGGACTACCCAACTGCGTCTCAATGTCTTGCAGCCTTGACTCCATGGAAATCCAGAAGTTGATCTCTTGCGCCGCAGTTCCAGTCGACACATCTCGAGATGTTTTAGTGATTGTCTGTATCGATTTGATCCATCCATTGACTGTCGATTGCAGTCCGTTGAGAAAGCTGCTGTCTTGTACGATTGCAGCAGGAATGAGCTCCGGAGAGGGCTTCACGCCACGCTGGCTAGCATCATCCAACGCACTCTGAATGAGCGGGTGGAGAGGCAAAAGCAGCTCCGGAATCTCCACGTTCTGCTCCAGATTGCTGAAACTGACTGCCAGTTCTGCAATCTTCTTCCTTGTCGCTGAAATACCCGTCCTAGCATCATTATCGCCCTTACTGTATTTCCCCGCCAGATCGCGTTGGCTCTTGGTGTAGGTGTCAAAGTACGGCTCGACCGCAGACTGAATGAGGGAGCGAAGAAACTCATAGGGAGTGCCGTCGGGCGAAGAGGCGTTATTAGAAAGTATAAAACCGGGCAGCGTCTGAATAAGGACCTGCTGGCTAAGGGGTATCGCGGGGTCTATGGGTATCGGTCGCTTCGAAATAACAACAAATGCTGCGCAAGTAGGAGAAGCCGTAAGCTCAGTCGAAATGGTATAAGTAAAGCGCTGGGTCGCCCCTGCTACTTTTGTCAGTCTAGACGCTCCTTCCTCGTCAGAATAGTACCTGCCGTTTGTGCCATCCATGCCATCCATGCGGAGTTCGTCTGCTCGATCCTTCACAACGTACAGCGCTGACTGCCCCTCGGAGGCAAAGCGAGCGCATCGTTGCAGCGTGTCCTGTAGCTTAGCGCTTGATAGCAGACTACCGGGAGCGAACAAATCCTCTTTCGAGGCTCCCAAACTGACATCAAGCACCTTTTCCAGGTGGTCGACGATGATTTGGGGGTCTATCGAGGGAGGTGAGGGACTGGGTGTGCGTATGCTGCCATTGGGCGCCCCTGGGTTCAAGGGTCCCTCCATGTTGATTGTTTATCGCGTATGTTGCTATGAAGACATGTGGTGTGCGCTTCCAGCGGAGTAGAGAGGGACGGGAGTCGGAGTGGTTGCTAGTTGTAAAGAGGGTCTTGGTGCGCCGGACGGTGATAGTGGTGCCTTCCTCAGTATATTTCTCGAGTAGGTGTACGCGAAGTAGACGCGCACGGCCGTCACACGCTTATCCTGACTAGTGGCAGCGGCAGGGGAAGCGGAGTGATTGTCGTCTAATTGGTCCCTTGAATTTAGGACGTCTGCAGTGCTACTCAAGGCGTGGGAATTGGTGTAATCGTCAAATCGAGTTGCACGCGGACACTGTTGCTGTGGTTACTTTTTGCACGTCTAGCAGCAGCACTTTCCCACACAAAGAGCGGCGAATACCGACAGGCAATGACAGCTCACCACGTGCAAAGTAAGCTAACGTAGGCTCCACTTTCTAAGCTAACCCACCCGCTCTTTCATCTCAGGTTCGCAGGGCTGGCACGGAGACCTGAGGAGAGCAATCCACATCAACGGGCGGCGCATGCGCCGGAATTTGATTCGAGAACAAAAGTACTATCTATCTCTCCCTCTATCTTCCAACTCAACATCCCTACTTCTTCCAACTTCATCATCATCATCGTCGTCTCCGACAGCAAATGCTCCATCTACCCTATCATCGTGACCACCACTTTCCCTTCTTGCACCTCTCGCGTCCCCAGCAGTCGCAGTCGTAGGGCTGGCTAACCTAACCTCTCCCACCTCCGTCAGCCCAACTCTCCTCCTCCCCCAGTTGACCACCGCCCTCCCCACCCCGCTAATTTCTCCATCCCCTCATCGCCATTCCCCGTTCCACCAGCACCATGTCCTCCAGCCTCAACTTTAAATTGGTACTTGAGACAATCTTTGATGGTAACGAGACCGGTTAGACGGCCGCGGTACTCAATCAAGATAACCCGTGGGCCCATTTTCTTGAAGAGCTCCATGACGGTTTCGAGGGGAAGGCGGGGGTGTACTGAGAGTGGCGTTGGGTCGATATAGCGAGTAAAGTCTAATGAGGTTTGAGAAGAAGTGGTAGGTATAAATTCGAATGTCGTGTTCGGTGCTGATGCAGCTGTGCCGCTAGTGGCCCGGGAGCTGGGGGCACTGGTGGTGGAGGAGGAGGATGTGAAGTAGCATTTTGCGTGGCCTGGGGCTTGTTGTTCGATCTTCGCGCGATCGATGGCGTACCGGAGTTCTGTACGGCCAATATAGCCGACTAGGGTTTTCGTCTTGATATCCTCGACGATAGGGTAGCCCTGGTAAGCATTTTCGTTCATTATGCGTTCCATTTGTCGGAGTTCCATGCCTGTGGCTTGTAAACAGACAACGCGGCTGGCCATGACTTGGCTTACAGGGACACCAAACGTATGCTCTTCTTTGCTGTCGAGAAACGGGTAGCCGTTTAGGTAGATCATGCGGTCTGCAATGCCACCGTGACCGAAACGTTCGCTTACTGCTTTTGTGACTCCAACGACTATCATCGTAGGGAGAATATATGTCAATGCGCCTGTGATCTCGAACATGATGACCACGACGCTGACAGTAATATGCATGATGCCACTCAGAGCTGCGGCTGCTCCGAGGAAGGCGTAGGTACCTGGTGTGATACATGCTCCATCGGGACCGCAAGCCGAAAAGAAAGCAGAACTAGGGAAAGACTCGTGTAGAGCCTGGACGCAGATACCTACCATACGACCGAAAGCGGCGCCGATGGCCATGCTAGGTACGAAGATACCAGCCGGCACCTTACACCCAAACGATATGACAACCAAAAGCGTACGCAGAACGGTCGCAATAGCAAGCGTCCAAACATTATGCCAGCGATGATTTGCATCACAAAGCCGGTCATAGCCTTTGTCGCCCTCACATTCTTGAAACAAAATCTCCATACTCTCCGTCATATCAATCCTTAGGAACATGTTCGGGTAGCAAATCACACCGGTGATGACAGCAAGCGTGACAGCCTCGGTGATGGGGTAAGCAGAGAGGTACTTCTTACGAAAGACCTGCATCTTGAGATTCCACTTGATGACGAAGGCGCCGTAGAGACCACCAAAGACACCGATAATGAGGTAGAAAAGGACCTCGAAGAAGTGCCAGGAGCGGTCGTAGGAGACGTTGAACATGACGAGTTGACCTGTTCGGAAGGGATTCATAGCCTAACATCGGTTAGCATCCACATACGCCTGATACCTGTAGTAACAGAACGTACAGCAAGGACAGCCGTGGCAACGAGCGCACAGAAATAACTCCTCCAAAGCGTCTTGAGTGGAAATTGATTGCTCATCTCCTCGAGAGAGAAAAGCACGCCTCCAATCGGACTTCCAAACGCTACACCTACGCCCGCCGCCGCACTCGCACATAAAATCTCCCTCGTCTTGGCCGCATTCCTCCTGTATTTGTCGAAGAACCTACTAATCACATTGCCCGTACATACGGCATAATGCACACTAGGTCCTTCCTTACCCACCGACAGCCCCGATGCAATGGCAAGCGGCAAGCCAATCGACTTGATGAACAGCGTGGTAAAGCCCAAAAAGCCTTTCATAACGAACCCTGCGATAATGCATTTCATCTCTGAGATACCTGATCCAGCTGCATACGGCGCAAAGCTCTTTACCAGCCTCGCCGCCGTGAAAGAGAACAGCGCTGCGAAGAGGATGTAAAGGATATAGTTCGCAGGCCAAAACCCACTCCAACGTTTCCATTCTGGACAACCTCCTTCCGCGCCCCAGCAACAAAAATTCTCGTTGAGATAGAAAGCCGTGGTGCAATGTCCCAGCTTGATGTCACTCAGCCACTCAGTGACGATGTTGAGAAACGCAGCGTTGAGTCCTATTGCCGCTCCGACAAGCGTAACAACAATCCACGCTTGGCCTGCATCGTATGCTTCGGCAATCTTCCTCCTCCATTTTCCTTGTCCTCTGCCTAGGAACACTTTCGCTGTCCTGCCATCGTTCCGTACACCAATGCTATCTCTTTCGCGCCGGCGCGCTTTCCGTCGAAGTTGCTCGCGGGCAGCATCTTGTACCCAGTCTATGGTTGTAAAGTCTTCGTAGCGCTTGATCTCTGCTATTTCTTCGACAATTGCAGCGTCGGTATGTGTGGTTTCTGCAGCCTCTGGGTCGTCATGATCGGGGTCGAGGGATAGGAGCGATTGACCTGTTGTGCGCCGCCGGAGAGAGGGCGCGAAGGATGTGGAGCGTGAGGGTTGGCTGAGGCGCGAGGATGGGCGCCGCGTGGACTGGGGACGGAGGGGTGTAGGTTGTTGGGAGGGTTGGCGGGCGCGTGAGCCCGAGGATGAGGAACGATTCATCGCATCGTTATAGTAGGTGGTTTCTTCGCGTGGGAAGGGCGTGAAGTATGCTGGCTTCCAAGTTTGGAGTTTGGCGTGGTTGCGTATCTGGGGAGCTATCTCATGCAAGGGTCTCACCCGTCCCAGCTCCAGACCGACGTCTCGGGAGTCCGATCATTGCACCGCCACACTTGCGAAGACGTTAACCAAGAAAGCTCGTTGTATCTAGCTTGTACCTATAATGTACCCTGAGGGTCTTCGCCGAGTTCCACATTCTCTTGTAATTCCATAAAATACATTGAATACCTCTAGGGTCCAATTTTCCTAGGTACAGCTTAAGAAAGTTTCCTCCTCGAAGTTTGTATACAGAAACAAATGACTACTCCACAAGAAAATTCGTAACTCAACACCACAACGTGCGAGGAAGCTTACGTTTTTCAAACTGTATTTGCATGTTATCCTAAAGGTATACAGCATGTTTTGCATAGCTGAGTTTCACGGTAAGACCTAGCGAATACCTTTAGGGTGCTTTTTGGTGTAGTACACATTTCAGATAACACGATCTTCTTCACAGCAGCATTCTTCACACAGCAGTTCGGCAGCACTTCGGTATTGAATTGGAAAGTTGTATTTCACTTCATCGTGACTTATACAGGGGTATCATATGTCTAAAAACCTTCAGATATAAATCTGGTTTGCCTACTACATCTACTTCGTGCACCCAGACACGCGTCAGTCCTCCGGTATGTCTACTCCATCTCGATAGTACCCGGGGGCTTGCTGGTGACTAGACAATGTCAGTGTTTGCCTCAAGGAGATCGCATTTGTCAGACTTACTATCGTATACCACACGGCAAACTCCATTCACCTCGTTCACAATCCTCCTGCTGACCCTCTTAAGGAATTCGCCATCGAAGGGGTACCAATCCGCTGTCATGAAGTCGCTCGTCTCAACAGCCCTCAATGCGATAACCTGGTCGTGAACACGCTTGTCACCCATAACACCAACCGCCTTGACGGGCAGGAGTGCAGCGAACGCCTGGCTAATCTTCTTGTACAAGCCGGCGGCCTTGATCTCTTCGATGAAGATGTTGTCGGCTTCGCGCGCAATACGGACTTGTTCCCGCGTGACCTCGCCCAGGATGCGGATAGCGATACCTGGACCGGGGAAGGGGTGGCGCCAGACGAGATCTTCTGGGATACCAAGCTCTTTGCCTAGTTCACGGACTTCATCCTTGAACAACTCACGGAGAGGCTCGATGACCTTGAGCTTCATGTCTTTTGGTAGACCGCCAACATTGTGGTGGGTCTTGATGGTCTGGGAGGGACCCTTGAAGGAAAGGGATTCGATGACGTCGGGATAGAGGGTGCCCTGGAGGAGCCACTCGATCTCACCGGCGTTGGCAGATTCATGGGCTTCTGCCTTGATCTTCTCGGCTTGCTTCTGGAAGACCTCGATGAAAGTGTTGCCGATGATCTTGCGCTTCTTCTCGGGGTCATCGGTAACACCCTTTAGGCGGTCGAGGAAGAGGTCGGACGCATCAATGACAGTGAGGTTGATGCCCAGGCCCTCATCGAGCGTCTTCTTGACTTGAACGGCCTCGTTGAGTCGGAGGACGCCGTTGTCGACCATGACGGCGTGGAAGCGGTCGCCAATTGCCTCCTTCATCAGTTTCGCAGCAACAGTCGAGTCGACACCACCGCTGACGGCACCAATGACCTGTCCCTTGTCGCCCACCAACTTCCTGATGCGCGTAATCTCCTGATCGACGAACTTGCTCATAGTCCAGTTGGTGTTGGCCTCGCAGATGTCGACGGCGAAGTTCTTCAACAGGACCTTGCCCTCCTTTGTGTGTGTAACCTCGGGGTGGAACTGAATGCCGTAGTACTTGCTCGTCTTATGCGCAATACCCGCGAACGGCGCATTGGTAGTTGTCGCAACCGTCTCAAAGCCCTCGGGCATATGGCTCAGCTTGTCGCCGTGACTCATCCAGACCTCCAGATCATTGCTCAGATCTTTGAACAGCTGGTCCATGTGTCCACCGTGGCTCTCAACCTTCAGGTTCGCGCGTCCGTATTCCCTCTTCTCGCCAGCAGCTACGCCAGCGTTCTTTCCAAAGTGCCAGGCCATCTCTTGTAGTCCGTAGCATATTCCCAGGATCGGTACGCCAAGATCGAAGACGGCGTGGTCGACGTGTGGTGCGCCTTCCTCGTAGACAGAGTATGGACCGCCAGAGAGAATGACTCCCTTGGGCGTGAAGGGCAGATCGGCGATCTTAGTAGTGCATGGCAGCATCTCAGAGTAGACATTGAGTTCGCGGAGGCGGCGCGTAATCAGATGCGTGTACTGCGAGCCGAAGTCGAGAACCAAGATGGTATCGAACGTCTTGTGGGGGGGAATGGGGTCGGAACCGTCGGTCGCCATTTTGAAGTATAAGAATTGATGTGATAGAAGTAAAGAAGGAAGGAAGAAGTGAAAGGAAAGAGAAAGGAAAAAGAAAGACGGGTATCTGGGGAAGAGAGGTATAATAGTGGGAGGGTTCCTGACTCTCACAAAATTTTGGCGGGGCTAAAAAAATCCCTTATCGATAATATGCATCTTCATTCTCTGGTACGAGGAAGAGTGCCGCCTGGGTTCCAAAGATTATACCTAATACTCGCATCGTAGCCTGAAGGTATACACTCTTGATATCATGCAAGTGTCATGCTGGGAATCATAGCGAGTCCTTCGAGGGTACCCTTTCCCAGCATGAGGTACTTCTCGGGAAAAGCTAGCCTCTTTGTACAAGTACTTCGTCCACTTACCGGGAAAACCTCCAATTAACTAGCTGTCGCCTTTGATTCATAGAACAGATGTGCAGCCATGGAATGGCTCGTGACTGACCATGCTCACCCAGGGCGGGGCTCTTTAATTTTCACTACCGGTATCGATAACGAGCGTAGCTGCATCGCGCAAAGTCGCGTTGACCTCTCTCAACCCAGCATCCCAACCACCACACATACACACGATGGCGAAACGAAAGTCTGAGAGAGATCCCGAAGAGCTCCCCGATGTGTCGGACAAGCGCAAGCAAAACGATGACGACGAGTCTGGCAGCGACGAGGTATGCGCCTTCCGCTTTTCCTTCTCACATGCGCCTGCTCACAAATTATTTAGGACATGGATATGGTGAATGTCGACTTCGAGTGGTTCGATCCGCAGCCAGCAGTCGATTTCCATGGTCTGAAAAACCTCCTGCGCCAACTCCTCGATGTTGACTCGCAATTGTTCAACCTGTCAGAACTCGCCGACATCATATTATCGCAGCCACTACTCGGCAGCACCGTCAAGGTCGATGGCAATGAGACAGATCCCTACGCCTTCCTTACCGTCCTGAACCTGGAGACACACAAGGTAGGGCCTCTCCACCCATACTTTGTCTACATACATGCTAACGGCAAATAGGACAAAAAAGTAATCCAAGACTTAACAACCTACCTATCCAAAAAGTCCGCGCCAATCCCCACACTCCCACCCCTCCTAACACCCACGTCTCCCGCGCAGATCGGCCTCATCCTAACCGAGCGCTTTATAAATATGCCCCACGAGATTGTACCGCCAATGTACACGATGCTTCTGGAAGAGATCCAGTGGGCGGTTGAGGAGAAGGAGCCTTACACATTCACCCATTACCTCGTTCTGTCCAAGTGCTATTCGGAGATACAAAGCCAGTTGCCGAGTGAAGACGCGCCGCCAAGCAAGAAGAAGAACAAGAAGGCGGATGTGGGTGAGGAGACATTCTATTTTCATCCCGAGGATGAGGTGCTGCACAAACATGCTGTGGGGTACACGAGTTTTGAGTACGATACGCCGGTGGATGAGGGCGCGAGTGACAGTAAGCGGGCGTTCCAGGAGTTGGGGGTTAAGCCCAAGGGACATATGGTGTTGATTGAGGCGGACAAGTTCAAGGGTGCTGTGGAGGCTGTCAAGGCGTTTTTGAGCGGACAGTAAATATACACCAGATAATAGAACCCAAGATGGCGAAGATTGACTCTAACTGGTGTTACATTGCAAGGACACAAGCTGAATCTATGTGAATCAAACCGTAGGAAATTGATGCTCGCTCCTATGCACAAGTCGACATCGCCGTCATGCCCCCTCCACCACTGAAGAATTGCCCTGCTTAACCAATGACAACCTTGCCTTCCTCAGGGAAGTCGTATGCGGGAATCTCCAGGTTGAGCGGGGCAGGTCCCTTTCTTATACGGCCAGAGATGTCGTAGTGGGAACCGTGGCAAGGGCAGAACCAGCCTCCAAAGTCACCGGCCTCACCGATGGGAACACATCCCAGATGGGTGCAGACACCTAGTGTTGTTAGTCTACATTTGTTGCATGAAGTACATGTGCGTGTGACGTACCCAACATGATCAACCACTCGGGCTTCTGGACACGGTCTTTGTCGGGCTGAGGGTCACGGAGAGACTCCCACTTGGTGTCGTCGGCCTCCTTGATCTCGGATTCGGTACGGTGTCGGATGAAGACGGGCTTGCCTCGCCACTTGATAATGACCTGCTTTCATCAGCTCCACTGTCCGGGTATTCCATGTCGAAATGCGAAACATACGTTCTTGCCCTCGGGAATGGCAGCGAGGTCGATTTCTACCTTGGCCTGGGCCAAAACGTCGGCAGAGGCGGACATGTTGACGAGGAAGTCTGTTGGGCGCAGTCGTTAGCCGTCCAGTCTTCATCAATTCGCGACCCAAACCATCCCAAAAATAGCCAATTGCTCTCCTCCAGCTCCAAACATGCAGTATCGGTTGTTTCCAGTATTTTCCACACCTCCGCCGGGCTATCGCATTGCTGGGGACCTACCCTGGACAGTCGCCTTCGCGCCAAGCGCACTCAGCGCACCCATTGTTCCGACCATGAAGTACTGGAAGACCTTGGGACCTGTCTCGCCTCCTTTATTCCTGTACGCAGCGAATGAGGGGATCTTGGTCGTGTCTGGGCCGCCCTTGAAGGGGCTGTCGAACGAGGAAGCCGAGGCGTTGCGGGTCTGCAGAGCGGTGGTACCGGCCGCCCGAGCGACGGGCATCTGGTGAGCGGTCCATGAGCGTGCAATGGCACGGGTTGTGTTGGCGAGGGCGGGCATCGTGGACGCGGGTGGGCGGGAGTCGGTGTCGTTGATGGGGAGGAGCTTGGGTTGAGGATGTCGAAGTTTTGGCGGTTTGGCAAGGAGCGTTATGTCAGGTGTCGTGTGATTGGTCCACCGCCCGTGCGACCATCGCTGGACAGATCATTTGCAGCGTCATCGGCGAACATTACCACGAGAACTACGCAACGTGGGATTTGATCTCACACTTGTTCCATTCATTATAACAGTCATGAAACTATACTGCATCATGTCTACGGTCGTCGCAAAAGCGAACAACCACGTCTCTTCAGCGTCCACTGTTGGATCATGGCTCAAGACCAGCATCAACGATCCAGGATTGTCGCATGAGACCGATCCTCTTCCTCTATCTAGACGCTGGAAGTACTGTCCTAGGTAAAACGGTTTGTAGTTTGGGTAAGTACCCTTACTTGATTGTCTTGGCGACTGCCTGAATGTCGCTACCGTCTTATTCCTCTTTGGCTGTATACGGAAGTCTTCTACATTTACTTCCTCTCACTTCGAGTAGCCTCACCTTTCAAATTAAGAGCCTCACCACAACGAAGCTTTATGTTCGACATACAACACCATGCCTCCCAAAGGCCCTAACATCACATCCTACTTTGCGCCCACGGAAGGAATTAAAACCATGACGAAAGCCAAAGAAGCCGTGAAGAGTACGACTGACGAGCCGCAAATGACCACTTCTTCATCCCAAGAAAACAAGGGTAAAGGCAAGAGAACATCATCAAGATCCCCAACCCCAATACCCGGGAAGCGACAAGATACAAAATCCTCAGACACTACCACACCACCGCGCCATCTCTCACACAAAGACCTTTCCTCACACCAGCTCTCCCCATCACCTCTCTCATCTGAAATACCTAACATCACCCTAACTCTCACCCACCACACCGGCAACATCTTCGCTGCGCCACCACAAACTCTCTTAATACACGCTTGCAACGTCCAAGGCGCCTGGGGTAGCGGAATAGCCAAAGCCTTCAAAGACACTTACCCGAAAGCCTACACAATATACCACGCCTTTTGCACCAAAGAACACCTCTTGAAATCTCGACCTGTACCTACTGGCAGCGCTCTCCTCATCCCGCCTGTCGATGCTGGGAAGGAACATTGGATTGGCTGCTTATTCACCAGTGCAAAGTACGGGAAGGGCAAGGATAAGCCAGATGTTATCGTCGGAAACACGAAGCCGGCTATGGAGATGTTGCTCGAGTTGGTGAGCATGGCTGGTGGAATTGAAGGGGTCAGGATGTGTAAGATCAATAGTGGAAAGTTTGGAGTCGAGTGGGAGAGGACGAGGGGTGTGCTGGAAGATATTGTGATTAGGGAGGGGTGGATGGGGAGTGTTGAGGTTTGGAATCCAGAGATGAGTTAAAGGGCTGGAAGGCTGGAGACAGATTTAAAGCGAATAAGACACGCAGGCGAGCGGAAGGAGAGAAATATCTAGTAATGTATGTGACGATCTTGGAATAGCTCATCTTGGACAAAAGAAATGTATACAACTATACATTTATCACATTTTGAGTCCACATTCTATAGTATCAGATGACAAAACCCTGATGCAGATCACTGTTCAAACAGCCCGGCGCCGTTCCCATGATATACCCAGCTAACGCCATTGTGCAATGCAAGATGACCTTCTTCCACATCGTCCTCTGTCCCTGCTCTCCTTGTCCTAGCAGATTCACCTTTGGCCATTAATCGCAGTAAATCCACCAGTCGACCGCCTGGCTTCTGGACTCTTCCTTACACTCGCCGTGGGTTGACGGGGCGGGCCACGCATTTCCATCTCGATTTGCATAGCTGCAGCGTCCTCTTCTGGTTCGCTGTCCTCTACACGCTGGACCTCTTGGTCGACTTCCATGGCATCAGGCGTCTCGAGTGGTTTCGCTGGTGTAGGCGAGGCTGTTGCACCGCCGTTGGTATGCGTGTCCTTGTCCTTGTCCGCATCATCCTCAGCCGTCTCAATAGGACCATCCAACGTCTTCTGTCCGTTCACCGCTCCGTCCTTCTTGCCATCCTTCTCCTTCTTCTTCGCGTCCTCCTTCTCTTTCTCTTCCAACTTCTTCTTCACGGTTCCCCATGTGCTCGTCTTAGGCGCGACATCGACCAGGAACTCGAGGTTATCCGTCTTCGCTATCGCACTACTGACATCGCGGTATTGAATATTGCGGCGCGGCTTGCGTTCGGCTTTGACGACGTTGTGTGTGGTTTGTGCGAGGTGTTGAATAAACATTTCCGTGGCCAATGCGATGGCGAAGGCAGCATTCTTGGAGGTTGTGATGCGTTCGGGGTCCGCTTGAATTATCTTTTGCACACGTGCGACTGGGGGATGTGTTAGACTAATGGTCCACTATGAGGACAAGTGGGAGCACTAGGGATGGGGGGAGTCAAAGACATTGCGCTCCCTGCATGCACGAAGGTGAAGGAGAGGTTATGAGATCACCGCAGGCGCAATTGGCAGTGGCTATTTGGGCAGTAGGGTAGTCTTCAGGAAGCAACCCGAGAATCGAGGCAAGGAGTGAGGCAGAGATGAGATTAAATCGTTACTTACGAGGAAGTGACACATGACCTGTGATTTCCTTGTTTGGCGCTATCGGCGTGTTGTTGTAAGGCATGGCGAAAGAAGGAGCGACTGCTCGTTTTGAATGCGCACAGGGTCGATGGGTTATTTCTGGGTTATGCTTGATCCTAGGTATTGTCCGGAATGTCGATAGCAGCTCGTATGTATGAAAGGTATGGTTTGACGCGGTTTGATCGCGCAGAATAGTCAGGGCGAGAGTAAAGTCGCGTGTGGTAGTGGTGGTGAAGATGTTCGCGGAGCCAAATGGTCGCACCCCTGTTCGATCGCCGCGGGCCTCTCCAACCGAGGACGACGGGGTGTCATCAAGCGCCAGTTACCCTACCCTTTATAAGGAACCAACCTCCTCTCCCTCTTACCTCTCTCATGCCTCCTTCGTGATACTCAGACCCCTGATACCTGTTTGTGATATCCTTAGCTTGTGTTGCCTCTGTTGAATCGTGTTCGGGTGCCTTTCGTCTCGTGTTGAACAACACCATCACCGCCCATCAGGGTACACCTACCAACGATGAAGCTCTCTATTTTTAGTCTGCTCGCCGCGACTGCAACATCCTTATTTTCGCAAGTACCGTTTCAGGAGAAACCAGAAGTAGAAGGCTTCCAGATCTACCAAAGCCAGTTCTCAGAGCATCACTCTATCCGCATTAAGCAGCAACAAAACAACACCCTCTGTGATGCACGCTCCAAACAGTACACTGGCTGGTTAGACATCGGCTCAAAGCATATCTTTTTCTGGTACTTCGAGTCTCAAGACAGGCCCTCTGAAGATCCGCTCCTGCTATGGCTGACAGGAGGACCAGGTGGCTCAGGCATGATTGGATTGCTGGGCGAGCTGGGGCCTTGCCTGATCAACGAGTCTGGGAATGGTACCGTGTACAACGAATATGGATGGAGCAAGAACGCCAACATTATCTTCGTTGATCAGCCCGCTGGTGTCGGTTTCAGCTACGTCGATGAGGGAATCCCGCTTCCTGCTACAAGCTTCACGGCTGCAGAGGATATGCATTACTTTCTGCAGCTTTTCACAAGCGATGTCTTCCCAGATCTTCGCAATCGAGACTTCCACATCACGGGAGAGAGCTATGCTGTAAGTCTATGTTGCTGTTACCCTCTACAAAACACGAAACTTATCACGAACAGGGCCATTACGTCCCAACACTTGGTGCCGAGATCGTTTCGAAGAATCTAGCCTATCCTAAGCGGCCCCAGGTTAACCTCAAGTCAACCTTCACCGGCAACGCATTTGTCTCACCTAGAGATACCAACTTTGGTTACTGGGAAACGCTGTGTACCACAAACCCCGGTGTCGACAAGCCCATATTCAACCAGACCCGCTGCGACATCATGGCTACTAACCTACCTCGTTGTATGGAGCTTATCAATGTGTGTTACAACCACCCAGACCCAGCCATATGCCTGGCGGCCGAAACAATGTGCATGGAAGGTGTAGTCCTCTACTACGACGGCGAGTCAGGAGCAGGAGGTCGTAATCGATTTGATATCACGGATGGTTGCGAGACGAAAGACGAATTATGCTACCCTGAGATGCAAAGAATACAGGACTACATGAACATGCCAGATGTCTGGAACGCGCTCAGTGTGCCCAAGGCTGTAGCCAACTTTACAGGGCTCTCGTACGATATTGCATGGGCTTTCGCCCTCACCGGTGATGGCGTCTTGAGCACGCAACCACAAGTCTTGTATCTTCTTGAGCATGGCATCGATGTGCTTTTCTATCAGGGTAATTTAGATCTTGCTTGCAACACGGCAGGTAATCTGCAATGGGCTAGCACGATGCAATGGAAGGGTCAACCTGCGTTTGTCGCGCAGCCGAAGAAAACATGGAAGCACGAGGGTAAAGAGGTGGGGTGGTTCAAGGAAGTCAAGACACCGACTACAAGTGGAAGAGAGACGACATTTGCATTTGCAACGGTGGACGGAGCAGGCCACATGGTGCCGATGAACAAGCCCAAGGAGGCGCTGGCTTTGGTTGATAGATGGCTCAGGAAGAGGAGTTACGCGTAAATATCGCGTGATTGTTGTAGATCGCGTTCTGTGTGAAGGCTGCACTTAGCTCATCCCAGGCGCTCGATGATCGCAATATACAAGTTTAAATCAGCCCCAGGCACCACATCGGCCTAATGCATGTCATCAGCCCTCTCGTGTTTGGTGTCCGAAACATTCATGAGTGGTGTTCGATTTCCCCACCATGATGTAATTGCGACCAGCTACGTCATCATGGGTCCTAGCCTCTGCGCAAACTTCAGAACCTTAATAAAGAGGGGAGAAGACACTCACACGACAATAAATAACAATCAATTGCCATTTCTCACTTCAAACCACACTCTACAAACCTTCTACTACTTCCCACTTTCACCCATACACACACATACAACATGTCTGGAACTTCCAACGTCGGTAACAGCGCGGTGTACGAGTCTCAGGACCAAGTCACCCGCTCTGACGCCGAGATCCAGCAGGAGAAGAAGGAGAACCGCTTCCACGAGGGCAAGGAAAACTCTCACAAGGCACAAGACTCCAGTAAGTTCCTCCCATCCATGCATCCATTGCCCTTCGTTGTTATGAGGCATCACCTGACATCTCTTCACTATACCGTTTACTAACGACCATTGACAGAGGACGAGCGATCCATCGCCAACAAGCTCGAGCGCGAGGAGAAGCGTGAGCAGGAGGGCGAGGAGAAGTCTCTTGAGGACCGTCAGCGCGAGCAAGATGCCACCCTTCCCGCACGCGCACACGGCAACGAGCCCTCCAAGGGAGCCAAGATCGACCAGGAGTTGAGGGAAGAGGACGAGGCCATGCTCAAGAAGAAGGGCGCCAACTAAAGTCGTCGTGATATATGACGATTTCGATACCCCGTACACAGACACAGTGTGCTAGGAGTTGGAGGAGGAAGATAATGACTTGGATTGACGATGAAACGTCTCCATGAAGCCGGCCTGAGACATGGCCAAGGCATGAATGAAATAATTTCAACTCACATTTCTCTTTCGCTGTATGCCATTGTGCGATGGTGCGGATCAAGTGGTTGATGGCGACACAAGAGCTCCCCACATTGTCGTGCTTACCCCTCGGTGCTGCATGTCTGACTCGTGCAGCCTCGGAGATACGCCGATAGCTAACCTCGTAACCACCCGCGGGCATCTCTAAATCACCAATTGCCCTCCCCCACGTCCTGCAAACCTCAATCGCTGTATTACAAAGCATTGCGACGTACATGCCTAATCACTCGTCATCTCGCCAATTCTTCCGTACTGCTTCCATCTTCGCCAAAGCTTCATTACGACCCCGCATTGCGCCTGCGAGTACACAGCTAGCGAGCATCCTCCAACAACATACCGCAAACATGTCGACGAAGATGGCAGAGCGCCTAAAGGGCAAGACTATCGTCATTACCGGTGCATCATCTGGTATTGGCAAATCCACAGCCATTGAGTTTGCGCGGACACAGCCCGATGACCTGAAGCTTATCTTGACTGCTCGGCGAGAGGACACATTGAAGGAGGTAGCACAAGAAATCCAGGGTTTCGCAAAGGGCGTGAAGGTTCTACCCGTCAAGCTTGATGTCAGCAAGCCAGATGAAGTTCAGAACTTTGTTGGCAACCTACCACAAGAGTACAAGGACATTGATGTGCTTGTCAACAATGCGTATGTCGCCGCATTCCCATGTACCCGCTTCTCTTACTAACACCTACTCCAGCGGCCTTGTGAAGGGCGTCGCCCAAGCCCCCGATATCTCGCCTGCCGACATCGACACCATGTTTAGCACAAACGTAACCGGTCTAATCAATATGACGCAAGCAATCCTCCCCATCTTCAAAGCGCGCTCCACACCCTCAGGTGACATCATAAACATCGGCAGTATCGCAGGTCGGGAGCCTTACCAAGGTGGTTCCATCTATTGCGCTACAAAGGCAGCCGTGCGCTCTTTCACAGACGCTATGCGCAAAGAGCTCATCGCGACAAGAATACGCGTTATTGAGATTGACCCAGGGCAGGTCGAGACGGAGTTTAGTGTTGTAAGATTTGGAGGTGATAAAGAGAAGGCGAAGAAGGTGTACGAGGGCGTTGAACCGTTGACACCGGAGGATATCGCTGAGGTTGTGGTGTTTGCTGCGGGACGGAGGGAGAATGTTGTGCTGGCTGACAGTTTGATCTTCCCGAACCACCAGGTATGTACAAGCGTAGGCGGAGAATTCGGGGATGATTTGCTGACATTAGATAGGCGGCTGCGACGGTTATGCATCGGAAACCCACTGGTCAGTAGATGTGATGATCGACGTGTATATAGTGATTGCTTATCTGCACATCAGCGACGGAGCAGGTATCCCGAATCCGACCTTCGTTGTAGAAGATTTGTTTGCTGTGGACAACATAGCAGTAAATTCAGATCTGCTGCTTTCTCTGCTTCCCTTCTCTCTTTGCGCTTTCCCTGATTCACCCCTCTCAAATCTTGCGTGAAGCCCACTTTGTAACGAGTGAAAGATGAAAGTATAGTCTATGCGCCACCACGACTCTGGAAGAGGAACCTAAGCAAACAAAATCGCCGTTGCCGTGGTGAGCGCTGGTCAAAGGTAGGCCCTCATCTGGAAAGCTAAAGCATTCAAGGCATTTGCGCATATTGACTTCATTCGCATTTGACTTTGGTGTTGAGCTATTCTACTCCACCTTTCGTCTCATACCACCCCGAAACTCTACTGCAGTGGTTAACCATCATGCACACCTCACACCTTTGAGTGATACGATATTCAGAAGTGTCAACCAAAGCTTACTCAAGGATCACGATACTGATACGGACGACATGGCTCGACTTCGAGTTCCTGCGTCGCCAGTCAAGGCTCGCCCAGCGCCTTCTGCTTATGCAGCAGTCAGTAACGAGACAGTCGACCGTCCTGACCATTCTGGCATAGAGACTGAGCCTCAAGTCGCTGTTGATACGCACTCTGCGCGCCCCAAACGCAATACCTTCCGCTCCACCTTCGATTACCAGTCCCAATATCCTATCAAAGGCGCTGTGAAGACCCTGGATCCAATAAGCCGGACTACAACGCAGAATATACAAGGGTACATTGTGGGACAGTACAAGGCTGTCGAAAAGGTGGGCCACGAGTATATCAACCGGACTGGTACCAAGGCTATCCTCTTCCTTGGGCGAGAAGGGGAGGAGGACGAGCGAGAGGAAGAAACTGAGCCACTGGACGAAGCCATGAAGGCCGACTTGGATACGTACGTGAATGAAGAGCAAGATGCAGATCGGTCATGGCGTGGGGTGCGCGACTTCTTGCAGAAGGATATGACGCTCAAGACTGGGGCGTCCGCAGATACAAGGGCGCCCTCCCTCGCTCGATTTGTCGAGAACGCAGTCGTCGATGACCCTGATTCAGGCTTCGACTCAGATTCAGAAGACGATGAAATCGGTCTCAGCCAGAAGATCGAGCGTGCCATCTCAACCTTTGCTAAGAGAATTGAGGAAAATGAGAATGATCTGGAAGATACAATCACTATAATAACGACCAACAACCATGTCGGCCACCGGCCAACTTTGCTATTACCTCTTGAGGCGGTTGAAATCCCCTATCCTTGTAAACCCATGCAGAATTCTGGACTCCGTCGACATAGCGGCGGCAGGTCACTTGCGTTCCTCATTGCTCACGCTAGCGATATCTCATCTTCCCGTGATGAAGACGAGCGCTCGCCTTCTCGGTCGCTGACCTTGTCCCCTTCGCCTTCTTCATCGCCATTTGTGTCATCCAACGCAGGTACCTGGGGCTTGTCAGCGGATGACGCACTGGATATGCTGCGCCAGCGCTTCCGGATGGTACACTATGCTGGTGGTGGCACGAGTTGCTATTTTCGGGATTGGCTAGATGCAAAATTCGACTTGAGGTGTAGCATGGTTTATGGCCCATCGCTGTTGCGATTCGCAACGAACTGCTATGAGGATGAGGAGCTGGAACACTCCAAGGATGCGAATGATATCATACACGCCAATCAACGCGATGTCCGTGTCCGCACTTCGCCCTCCAAGGATACATTGAATACCAAACCGTCCATTCGGACGTCACTGTTCTCGAAATGTACTTCTGCAACATCCATGTCATCATACCGGAACAGCCGTCCGCAGTCCACACAGACTGAGAATGAACAGTGCATCCTGAGCCTAACTATTCTTCCCACAAAAGACTGGTATGGTGAGCTGCGAGTAAAAGAGATTGCGCAGTCAGGTGTATCGCTTCCGACATCTGCTAAGGATTCCGGAGATATGTCGCATTTGACCATGGCCGACGACATGTGTGACGTTCAGCTAGAGTGTGACGAGACGGTCGAGTTCTATAACGATATCTCCACTGATTCTGGTTACGATTCGGAATCTACAATTGCGGCCTGCAACACACCTAAGCGTTTATATCATAAGCGGGCGAGCATGGTGAAACATAGTTTTCAAATGATTCCAAAGAAGACAAAGCAGGCTATACGCAACTGTGTTAAAGCTACAAAGAAATTTTCGCGCACAGCTTGGACCTTCGTACTAGCTGCGTTATCGAGCCGACAACCGTTCCAGAAGATCGGCAGCATTATCTAAGCGGTCGGCCAGGGAACTATTTGGAGTTGATACGATTAGTCTCACGGACCGTTACGCCGACTCCGCATTTCACCCAGAACGATGGGTCGGCGAACGTTTGGGCCCACCTCAGACCGGAACATATGTTGGGAATATGGCAATGCGTTGCGTTTGATCGAAAATCCTCCGCGGGAGACGTTTCATTGGGCAACACAGACATATTTTGTAGAGCGTCTTTGCTTTTGTTATTTCTCTTTTGGCGCACTAGGAAAACCCGGATCAAGATGTTCATCTGCATACAGGACTAGCATCTCACCTGTGAATATAAACCCTTATGTCTACCCTCGAAGGTCTTCAAGCATTTTGTGCGAAAGCCAAAGTGTGTTTGTAAATGACTAAGCCCACAAGGAGTGAACCCTGGTTTGATCGAGGGTCATCATCCACAGTCGCGACGTCAGTACACAACACTTTCACTTACCAAAATGTCTTCAGTCTTTCGTTCTTTACATAATTTTCTATCAGTCCTGCCCGTCGTTTCACTCTTTACGAACGACTGCGCACACACCATCATCACGAAAACGTCAGGAGCCAAGAGTGTTTGAACTCTCACTGTCACACTCTCGCGACTGTATCTGCAACTTTCTGGTTCAAGAAACACCCCGAACCACTCTTTTCTTACAAACTCTTCTCAGCTCAACTCCGCCAAAACCTTGTGCGCCGTTGCGAAAGTTGACACAACGACCAACCTCAACCTTTCGACCATCACTCCCTACTACCACATCAACACAATCACACAAGTAAAATGGCTTGCGAGACTATTGCTGCTGATAGCCGCAAGTTTGACTGGGCCGAAGATGACAACGATGATTTCGACTTGGAAAGCTGGAATGCTACCGCCGACACTTCCGCACCAACCGCTGATGAGTTGGGCCCTCTTCAAGTTCCTCCCACTGGAAATGTGACGAAGGATGAAGAAGAGGCTTACACTTTCTCGCGTATTTCCAACGAGCGCGTTTATCCGGATCCGCCCGTCGCAAAAGAGTCACCAGACGCCGAACTCACCCAGGGGCCAGATCCCATCGCTCAATTGCCAGCCGAATACTGGTATCTTGCAGTCTTGAACTGCCGTGCAGAACACCAGGTCATTTCTGCGCGGTTCGATCGTATTACCCGGGCTATCGGCTTTCGCTACGATGGCAAAGAGGATCCCGAGGCGCCTGCATATCCGGAGTTGAGCAACAGCAAGGCATACCGGTCTAGTTACATGAAAGGGTTCCAAAAGTGGAAAATGGAACATAGATCGCTCTCCTGTTCGAAAGTGTATCGAAGTTCACCTTTGAAGATCTTCACTTCCATTGAGAACGCGCATGAAATCGATGACATCGTCGATCGCACAGATGAGGAGGTTGAAGAGATTTTCGATGAGGATGAACACACGCAGATCTTCCCCTTTGAACAAGAAGAGCAGGTTCAGACTTCCGTCTCCGACCAATTTGAGCGTGGCCGAGATGCTGATCGCGAAATGAATGAAGAAATCGATCGCATGCTTGTGGATCAAAGCAAGAACAACGTTGACATATCGAAGCGATTTTCCAGGAAAGAGCTCGAGGGTTTGTATCACCATTACAAAGCTCTGCAGCTGGAGGCCGATAAGAGCGATGCTGAAGAGCTATACGATAAGGTCAGGCTCGATGTGATTGAGGAAGAGGATACCACTTCGATCGATAGTTGGGAGGCTTGCAGCTGGGACGAAGAGCTTTTCGAGCCTTACCACCCTTGCGCCGAGGATGACGGAATGTCATTTTCGGTTATTGGCTCGATGGACGACGATAAAACCTTATCCTCGATTAAATACCCGTTCGACGCCGCAGCAACGGAAGAGGAGCTGGATTTCAATGATGTGGTCTTTGGATTCGGGGACGACGCCAGAGATCACAAGGCGGAAACTAAGTCCGAAACCGATTCTGAGCCTAGTGACGAGGGCTACGCATCCTCTTCACCACCCATCACTCCCACGCTCGAAAATTTTAGAACCATTGGCAAAAGGCATACAAAAGACGACTTTATACCAGCCGAGATGCGATTGAGTTCGTCTTCTATGCGCCGTAAGACCAATGGTCGGACTGACTCCATGGATGCGCTCAACGCGTTTAGACAGGCCGCCAGAAATGAGCAGCCTGTCGACGACGCCTTCGAGGAAGAAGAAAACGATGAAGTGGCAGAAAGTATCCGAAAAGAAAAAATCTCATACGATGAGCTGGGAGAGCCATTCGGGGCCAATGGGGGCTCTGGCTTTGCCCTTATCGTTGTGCCACCGGAAGAAGAGAACAGGACTAAGGTCTGCCCGCTCAGCGATTTGGCGCTGGCCTTGATTGAGCAAGCCAACAGTGTTGGACCGATTGAAGAGGATGATCAAGTTCACTATATTAACAATGAAGGACGCGGCATCCTCGATTTATCTTTCGTCTTCCCAGGCCCGTTTGCCGATCATACCTCATCCGCAACCAAAAGCACTGTTGCTACCAGCACTACCATATCACCCCATATTCCCGCCTCCAAATCCTCTTCTCGTCGCTGGGGCGATCCTCTGAGATACGTTCCCGGTCCTGCATCAGCCTTGCCATCCTCCGCTACCCGGCACAAGAAGCAGAACTCCTTGTCGCTGGATTATCTAGCTAGCGCAGTGACAAAAAGCAGGCTTTACATGTGTGAGGTGCCTTGGACGCAGGTGGGCATCATGACGGCTGGAGTGGTCGCTGGTGGGTTGCTGAGTATGGTGCGTTGTCATTAGATTGGATCTACAAGACACTGCTCATTTGGGCTTAAGAGGAACAAAGACCTACGGTAGCTAATATTGCCAGGTCAACCAGAGCAACAGCACACATCAGAGAGACCTTGGATGGCTCGTTTTCTTTCTTTTACTCTTCGAATCGGTTTGCATAGTGAGCATAGTCGTGTTAACAGCTGTCATGGCGTCATATACCCGGTGTGCTTTCATGTGCACACCATCATAAAAACAGGAAACAACATTAATCAAGCGATGGAAGGTAATAGTAATTCGCATCTTGCAAGCTTAATGACATGTCTTTCAAGTGCACAAACAAATTGCGAGCTTTCGTAACGTGAATACAATACAGATCCTATTCATGCCATTGTCAAGTTGCATGTGAGCTCTGTTGCACAAGTGAATATGGGTTAATAGTTGTAGGTTGCATACAATTTTGGCTACCGTAGCCGTGTTGATCACAATAACCATTCCAAGCAATACACGCAAGCCTTTTACCTTCTCAGACAGGATGGGCAACCTTGGCTGTCAGAAGGTTCCGGATATTCCCAACAAAGAAGCTCAAGATGAAGCAAGCACCACCAAAAGCAATCGAGATCCAGTATGGCCACCTATACGCCAACGAGAAAGCCTCTTGCGAAGCTGCCAAGATGACTGGGAATGAGTCTCTCTTTAGGACTTGCGGGTTTGTAGCAAGAATTTCCCTAACTTCGTCGAACCTCGCGTTACCCATGAGGTTGGTAACATGTGAGATGACGACGAGCCCATCCTCTGATAGAGGGTTGATGATGGCACCATATGCCAGTGTCTTGGTGGCGACGATTTCGGTTAAGTGTAGGGTGACCTTGCGGAAGAAGAGGTTGGAGTATACTGCGAAACCGATTGCGCCACCCAGATAGCGGATACTAAGTGTAATGGCGGTGATAGTTGCGATGAGTTCGTCTGGGCAGGCGATCTGCGCAATGATTGAGGACGGTATGATGACTCCACCCACTCCAACGGATGCTAGTGTGGCGAGAGCGTATACCACATTGAGGTTGTCGGGTCGCGCAACGCACATGGCTCCTGTACCGGCCGTCATCATAGCCGTGAAGACTAAATGTGGGTTCACGAAGTCAGTATATGTCTCACATGCAGTTCGTACAGTGACGCTTACAGATCATCAACTCGCGGACGCGGCCTTTGGTGATGGGTATGAGGACAAGGCAGACGACTGCGCCGCCGATGATACCGAAGCCGATGGGAAGAGAGCGGATACCGACGCCGATTGGGTCGTCACCTACTCTCATATCAGCATGATTGCGGTGCGTAAAATCGCTGTGGGATACACTCACCGTAGACATTGTACACCTGGGTCGGCCAGAAGAGTAGCATGACGAAGTAGTTACCACCACTGAGGAAAGTGATGAGAAGGATGACGATCATGGTCTGCTTCGCCTTGTGGAAGAGCGCTCTCGGAACCATGGGGTATGGAGCATACACCTCCCACACGAAAAAGGCGATGATGAGCACGAGACCTAGGACGAAAGGCACCACATTGTGCGGGCTTCCCCATTCATACTACAAAATGTTAGCATTATTGTATGTTTGCTTCGAGATAGTCTACTGACCTGTGACGCGCCCCATTGTAACCCCATCATGAACAGAGTGATACCGACTGTACTTAGAATACCACCAATGTAGTCAACCTGGCGGAGGACATGACGGGCGGTGTATTCCTCGGTCAAGCGAGACGGATCCTTGTAGCAGAAGATACATAGTATCAAACCGATGAAGTTCCATACTCCCACTAAGATACCATTGTAGCGCCAGTTGCTTTGTTGAGCAATCAACTGAGCCCACAATACTGAGGGGCAAAAGGGGAGGATGGTAATCACGACAAGACCGACGTACTTGCCACGGTCCTTGACAGGCACAACTTCTGCTGTGCCGGCAAGGGCGATGAGCTCGTTCAAGCCGGCGCCGATGCCCGAGAAGACCTGGCCAGCTAGAGTTCGTTAGTTTGTGATGTTTCATACAAAGTTGCGGCACTTACCGATGGCAATGTTCATGGTATTTGCTGTCGCAGTTATGATCGGCCCGATGATGAGTGCAACCTGACCCACGATGGCCACCTTCTGACGCCCAAAAAGATCTGACAAGGCGCCTACAAATGGACAGAGGGCTGCATTGGGAATGAGGTATCCGATTACAAACCAAACGTATCGATCAACTCCACCAATATCTTGGTATATCAAAGGAAGGACAGAGCCGAAGAGGTAGAGCGGGATCTGAGAGCCAATCCAGAGAAATGACATACACAGAAGAGTCATGAACAACCTTGCGTTCATCTAGATATTGTCACAGTCAGACCTGGATCAGACTGTGGAGTGTTTGCACTCACCTTCTCATGCACTTCTGGGCCTCTACTCATGACAGGCGCCAGCTGCTGTTTCTCGGGCTCGCTCGGCGGAGTGCGAGTAGCCACCATCTCGAGATGGCTTTGTTCATTTTTATCGAAATCGTGAGAGCGGTTTTCTGATCTCGCTGCTTCCTGCATCTTGACAATGGTAAGGCTGAGAGAGCGTACAGTCAGGAAGAAAAAGAAAGTTCAAGACGTTCAAATAGTTCAAGTAGTTCGATTGTTCTCTTACCCTAGTAAGAGGGACTATCGATACGTAGTCCTAGCTTATGATTCAGCCCTCATATCTGTCGCAAGGTAGTAAAATAGATAGCCTGAATCGACACTAACTTCACACGAGCCGCGGTAACACAGCGCTGTAAGCGGGGCTGACAGACCCAACAACAAGGCCAAGACACCTCTCCGCTAACAAGGCGCCGTCAACCATGCCGTATTGCCCGTTTGACGACTTGTAGATCATAGTGGAGTGTGTGGCGGACCGATTAGTGCGGGGGCCCCGCACGCTTGCTTGCTAGCTGCACTAGCGTCCGGAGCAGAAAGCTTGCCTCATTGGTGCAACGTGCACTTTTCTTCCTCTCTACATGAGGCTTACCTCTTGGTTTCGTCTTCTTATGGGATGCTTAGAGCGAGGTTAGCCAGTTTCGTTCCGAAGGGCTCTCCTTCGAATCATGGTCTGTTTTGCTTTGTGTTTAATCGTAGAATCGTTGTAATCGTCTCAAGTTTTGACGCGGCTAAAGGACTTGAGCCGTCACGTGTGAACCTTGAAGATACTAAGAAGGACGTCATTGGAATGTTCGCACGGACTCAGCGAGGGCGACCCTTAAGCGCTTGCAATATGCCTAGGTTGTGACCAGTCCAATGGGTGCTGTCGATCTCTTCTGGATGTTGGCTACCTAAAGCCACAGCACTGGAATCCATGGTATTTGGAAAGTTACCGAGGGACATTGAGTTGCTGCATGTGCCTGCTATACAATCCAGACTAGCATGAGCATTGCTCGTGGGTGCGTACGGGAACCACTGGACGCCTCGACTACGCCCCCAATGGCTTTGGATCGGGCCGATATTTGTCACGCATCTTGCTACCGATGTTTTGACTACACCATTCCTGAGTATGTGTAACACAGGATGGCAGAGGCTGAGCGAGGGGGACGATTATGGTCCCAACATGTTTGCTTCTCTCGCGTGCGCCTCGGCCTCTGAACCTGCTTATAATCTGCGCTCCGTGCATTAGGAGATGGGCAAGAATTATTCTCACGACCTCCCCACCTAGTGTAGTAATACAGAGCTTTCCCCCACTATTCTCTTGTAGTGTGAAGCAAATATTATTGCCTATAACTACCCCTCACAGTATGCGATGAGAAAACGGTTGTCTGGGGATATTTGAGTAAAGTGAGCATGAAGAACAAGACACAAAGGTGTTCTTCGTGCTGCATCACGGCATTATTTTGGCTGTTCTCCACTCTAAGGACAATCAAATACAAAGTTGGTCGACATTTCGCGTCTATAATCACAATGCAGGAAGCCATGAAAAGCGTCAAGGGTGCTTTCATCGGGTAGGGCGAAATCAAGCTGGAACATCAACTCATTGATGCCGTCAGCTGGAAGTGATACTCACTGCGTTATTTTGGCGATAACATCTTGCCGCCGGAAACGGCGGCCTTCAAATTCCAGGGTAACTACTCGAATGATGAGCTATGGTTTGAATGGATCAAAAGAGGCCTAACGCTTCTCTGTTCGGCAGTATTGGCGCATGCCAGTCAGTAGATTGGCAAACAGAATTCCTCTCGCGCGTGCCTTCATTCGATACTTTTGCCGCGGCACACAATACGCGTGACGCTTCGGATCTACCATGTTTAGAGATGCATTGATCGGGTCCATTCGGGTAGAAGTGCGTCGCAGGCTCCGAGTTTCTATTTGTAGCAGCTTGTTGCATGCAGTAGCAGGAGCACATTCACCTTCCCAACAATAATTGCTACTGATAGCCTGGCTTCGGCTCCCTTCAAGCAGACAGCGACGAACAACGATAACGTCAAACTTGATGTTTACGTCTCCAAGGTAGTCAAGGCTTGATAACGGGTATAACTGGCGACCACCGAGGGTTCTCGACTTTGCGAAACTGTTTGTGATGTGCGAACATGACGATAATGCGAATCAAGAAACCGAAATTGGGATGACAACCCACTCAAATCTGTTGTAGCGTAGAACAACGGCACTACGAACCAGCATTGTGTAAATAATTGCACTACAACCTGTGCTACTAGTAGTGGATGCAGACATGTAGAAAGAAACCGGGCACGCACGACTGACCTATTTTCTTCTTTGGATCCATATACAAAACGTCGTAGGAGGCAGGTTTTTCACACTCACTCCTGTACCGTAAGAGTGAACGAGTACAGTGTGTAGTGTACAAGCTTTCTTCTTGGAGAAGGATGAAGTATGTGGTTGATCAATTCTGCAGGTAGCATGTCGGCAGGTCGTCAGATCCACAGAGACATTGCGCCGAGCGCCGGTGCTTGGGCTTCTGCTTGTACAACTTTATGGCGGGCCTTCCACAAAGCTTCGGAGGCCTTCCTATTCTCTCAAGAGCAGATTGAAACATATGGCATATCTGCAGCGAGCAGTCTTGCAAAGACACTCATTTTCGATTGATCGCTGGGATGGTGCGTCACATTGGTAGATGCCGACACCATGCCGATGGCTAGGAACAAAGGGGGGATCTACCCTCAGTGTCTTGACGTCACCCCCTCTTCTAGCAAGTGTCTTTGAACGCCTCCAGAGCTGCATCACACTTTGATTGAATACCAACAAATAATCTATCCCAGTGTCTCTCCATATATGTGCAGGTTCCAGCCGATCTGGCCTGTTAGTTTCATTGGCATTGACGGATTCCTGGTTCCAATCTTCCGCCCGTTCGCGCATATTCTCTGTCATGTTCTCCGATTTCGATACAGGGTAACAGGATCACTCCTGCAGAAAGTGCCCCCTATTCAACAGGTCTGGGTGATACGAACTGCTCCAGATGACCTGCATACAATCGGAAAGCCTCTCGCGGAAGGCCGTCTGCACGCCAGGATGTCTCATTGTGATCATGAATTCTTACGAAGCTGGACGGCTTGGGTCAACTCGGCTGAAGAGCAAATCTGGTAAAGACCTGCAAGTTCGGGAACATCGTGCGCGATATCCTCTTCACAATATGATCCAACACTATCGCCGTGAAAATACACTCTACATGTTCATTGTGGTAATACCGATACGCTGTAAAGCTCCGCTTTTATAGCACGCCGTGAGACTCTGTCTAACGTAACTCAGCAGCTCTTCCCTTTCGGAATCGAAACATTCAAGATTCGCCACCCAATCACAATCTTTACCACTATCAACTTGATACTCACGCTGCTGCATTATCATCAACACTGGTGTTCTTTATGTTTGCGGTATCCCTTGTTTGTGAGTACTTTAATACTGGACGTAAGATGCCCTCGAGCAACTTCTCAAAAAACGCAGATTTCGGCAGTATATTTGACATCGATTTCGTTGACCCGACATGTATCATATGGGCTGTATTAGCACTAGCCCGTCTCAATGAGAAGCTGCCTTCGGACTTCGACAGTCTATATGCCGTTCGGCTTCGCAACGCACTTGACGATGCTATCGGAGCTTTCTGTGATGATCGCATGGAAGCGACTTGGTCTACGTTATACTGTGATCGAGCATGGCAAATTGTAAGTACCCTCAAGAGGACTGCGGCTGATTACTACGGAAATACCGAGGGTGTTCAAAACCCTGACATGGAGCTCGAATACCTGCTTGAGATTCTCAATGCGTTCTACATTCATGTACACCGTCAAGAAGATAGGGATTACACCGAAGCCTATGGTGCTCTGGGAATGCTGAATGCCGTGGCGATCGAGATGACGAGCGTCCTTGGCCCAAAAATCACAGACGCCTTCGATATGTTTAACAATATCTCTGCCGAAAGCGTACCACAAGATATTATTGACGACTGCATGAAGGAGCAGATCGATATTCTATGCGCAGCCATCGAGCAGTTTGTGCGCGAGCAGCTTGGAACGAGCGGCGTCTACAATTCAGCATCGGAAGCGCGAGATATTGTGGGCCAATCCTTTGTTCATATAATCCATGACCCTTTGCGACAACATGTCGAAAGTGCCTTTAAGATGTTGATCAATGACTTGGCCTTCTGCAACAGTTATGCTGTCGACAAGAATCAAGCTGATAATAAAGCGAGAGTAGCCGTGTTCTATCGACAAGTCGGTAGGTTCTTCTCATACTCTTCGCCGCTACTGAACGCGTTCTTCATTCCAGACGTCTCAGACGACGAGGATGAAGTCGACGAGTACGAAGACTACCAAGAGCACGTACCTGAACACGTGGCGAACCACGACTTTGACCAGTACGACGACTTCGATTGGCATACCCGTGAGTACGAACTCTTCGATGTTCAAGACGTGCTTCGTGGTCCGGAACACGCAGAGTTGGATAGTGTCTCTATAGTACTAAGCTCGGCCGATTCATCCTGTCCTCTTTGCGCCGATGCAGGTGTTGAGATGCGAAAGTTGAATGTTTGTGGCCATGAGCTTTGCACTACATGTTTAGACTTGCAGCTTAACATCAAGCATGAGTGTAGGTACAGGTGCGCAGTCTGCCGGGCTGAGTTCTTTCCCGATTCAGCAATGTTAACCTACCATGATGCATTATCTCTTCCATTCTTTGTTACTCCATCGACAAAGTACTTATAGTACTTCCAGTATCTCTCGAAATACTTTTCGATAGTGTCGTGTCATTGATAGAGAGTTCTGGTACTCAAAAGCTCTGTGGCAAAAGTGAGCGTGATGGCGTGCGAACTTAGGGGTCCCCGTTGGCGCAGTGACTGATGACAAAGCAGTCGATTTGCAACCGCCCACGGGCGTTGGACTCTCACGAACTCTCACCGCCCTGATCTTTGCGACAACAACTGCTTTACCAGCATCAAACATCACCTTACTAATGTAGAACAGACCGTCATTCAGTTCACATCCCACCTGGCGTTGCCACTCATAACCCCAATATTGATCTTCACAGTGGGCCAAAACATGACGGTAGCACGTTATTCCTGTAGTGTAAGAAATGCGCAATCAAATCTTGGTTGGGGTCTGGAACAATGCAACATGAACATGTTCGTGCTACCTGTGTTCTCTCGCAAGCACCGTTGATCTTCGTTGGTCCCCGTGCCATCATGGCAGGTACATAGAATCCTAGACTGTTAGGTCTGGTGACAGGACTGGACACATGCTAGCAGGTCTCATAACGTCGTCAAGGTTGACATCATGTACAGCAGAAGATGTGTTGGAGTAGAGCGACGTGGTTATGCGGTATTGGTAGCTGACGTTTACACATCATAAAGCAGAAAAATTCAAACTTATACCCAAAAGGAATTCCTGATTAGTGCACCGCGCTCGGTCCCGCTGCGCTGCTCCAATCACCGTGGTGCCATATCAGGACTCTTATCTATCACCTTATCTCTCGGCACACTACCACAACTCACTATAACACCGAATGCACTCGAATGATACAACTTCTTTAACATTCTGAAACTTGTTCAAAATACAGGCTGAGTTTCGCACACCGACCCCTCACCGTGTGTGCGCTATGGATCACTACTACCATCAGCCAATCTGGCCGTTACTGGAAGGCGCTTTCGATTACACAATGAATCTGGCAGGCGAACTTTGGACAATGATCTGGAGACCAGTTGAGCAACCGCGTATGCAGCCAATTAGCACAACGGCCACCCAAGGTTTAGAGAGAGACGAGGAACCAATGACTGCTTGCTCAGATGCAAAGTGGTTTGGAAAAGCCATGAAAGCTTCCCCAGATGAGGGCCCCAAAGGTGAAAGATGAGGGCCCCAAAGGTGAAAGATGAGGGCCTATGCAAACAAGTCTGCGGAGAGAATAAATTCTGGGTACAGTAACCAATAGCATCTACTTTACCAGACCATAAGCTAACAACACACTCAGACAAGCTTAATGCCAAGGTTATGGCGATGCGGATGGTTAATGTTAGCTGGTGATAATTAGGAGTTAAAAGTGAGTCAATGCGGAAATCGTGAGCATATGACGGCCGATATACTGACCAGTCTGGAGGACACTAAACTCGACATCCTATGCGAATGCGAACTAGGTTACTCATATAGCTAGAGGCGCGCTGCTACAAAGCGGAGGTGCAGATGGCGTTACCTATGCTCGACCTCAAGAGGTGCGCCATTGTGTTGGGTATACGTGAAGGTGCGAGACGAGATGTTGACATTACACGGGAAGGACGATCTTTCCTAGGACTGCAGCGCTTGCCAAAAGGAAGATACTCAATACATTCACAGTGCCCATGACATTGGTATTCCTCAACCGTGGTTATAAAATGAAGGAGCGACGACATGTATACCGCACATTCAGTTGTATCTTATTTATACTCACGACCCGAGTCTCCGACGGGTTCTAGGTAATCCACGTCATCCGAGAAAACAACCACTTTACACAACAAACAAGCCGACACATTCGAAACACAGACCACCCCGGGTACAATTAGCCTCGACTTACAAGATCTCAGATAGGATAGGCTCTAGAGCTTGAACGGTGAGCTGGACGAAGCGCTAAAAGCAGCATTGCCTGACCTTGAGTTGCCTGATCTTCGACATTCAGGCAGGCAGTAGGTCGGCTCCTTAGGGCTGTCGTCGCCATGAACAGCAGCTGTGTGGAAGGAGGTGGGAAACACTTTACGAAGCAGAACTTTGTCATTGCCTTGGCAGGACTTTCCAAGGAAGCCGCTGACAATGACTAATAGATACGAATTGGTCATTGACAAGGAATATATCGCAGAAGACGAGGATAGCCACGATGGAGTGCAGATTGGTACAGGACGACACCAAAGACGGGCCGCATCGCTGAATGGTCTGGGTTCTTCATCCAATATAGAAAGAAGGCAGGATCATTTGCACTGCAATTGGACTCCGAATCTGAGCTCAATTTTTGTATTTGGCGAAGTGCATATTGAAAATTCCTTGCGTGGTTGATTATCCGTGGAACAGAGTCGTTGCCGAAAATATGCGCAATCTCGAAAGGTTTGTAAGTGGTGGAGCGACCTAATCAGTACTCGGGTCAACGTGGATTTCGGTCTATGGCGTCAGGATTGGGGAAGGTGCAGCGGCGTGCAAAGTGTAAGTGTTGTAGCTCACTAATATAAGAGAGACACAAAAGGAAGTGCACTGACTGGATCATGTGATGGCTCAAGTAAGGTTTGCGCAATTGATGAGGTCTGCTGGAAGGCCAATGGACAAAGGGCAGATTGCCGCAACCCTGACGTAATTAGCGTGCTACTCGTGTTTCAGACCTGTGCAGCCTTACACCTTGCCCATCACCACCACCGGCAAGCATCGCGCATTCGTCCAGCCAGTTGTGAGAAGAGACCTCCAGAATACACGACATCTGATGCGGCAGCTACTGGTTGTTTGATGGTCTGTTCGTAATGTTTGATTGTTCATGATGACGCCTGTATTGATGAAGCGCGGTAATCTTCGCGCGTGACCAACCCAGTACAGCAACAGTCGTGCAGAGTGCCTATGACCGGACTTCTGGCTCTTGTATGGTAATACCGTTGTTTTCGTGGGTGACTTCCATTTAAGCAGGGTAGCATGAGTCATGTCAATTATGTAAGGCGTCCACTCCGCCTGCCTGATCATTTCGAATAGAGGATAAGACCTTCTCCCACTCTGATGCTTGACAAGGTACAGAAAACCTACATATTGCGCCATGGCAAGTCATCCCTCTACTGGCGCGGAAAGCGTTTCCCACACGACGGAGATTGCGACCGCGCTTCGAAATATCAACCTCACCTCGTCCCAAAATTCCCATACTTTATCACCTGCTAAGTCGAAAGTGACATCTGCACTCAAGACAAAGCAAGAAATGCGCAAATTCCGCGGAACGACTACGCCCGACCCAGCACTAGGAATTGATATGGACGAATACACATCTTTTACCCAGTACCTGCAGTCATCGAAGCGCATCTTGGCTCTCATAGGTGCTGGCTTGTCAGTTTCCTCGGGACTTTCAACATTTCGCGGCGAAGACAGAAGATGGAGAGGCATCGAGCCACAAGAACTGTCGAACATCGAGGCCCTGTCCGATGACCCAGTGAGGGTATGGTGGTTCTTCAGCGACCGTATGAAGCGTGCGCAAGAGGCGAAGCCAAACCGGGGACACATTGCACTTTCGAAACTCGCAAAAGAGAAAGACGGGTTCTTTGCAATCAATCAAAATATCGATGGTAAGCATATATCCAGACTTCATTTTGGGAATAAGTATGCTAATACTTGTAGGCTTATGTCAAAGAGCGGGCTTTCCGGATGAGCAGATAGCACAAATACACGGCACTTTGTTTGAGATGAAATGCAGCAAGTACGATCCAGGCTGTACTGCCCACTGCGATTACAGTGTGCCAATCTCTTATCCCGCCAACGAGGCGCTCACAATCACGACCGATATCAGCGATGCGTCCGTCCCTCTACCTCCTTTAGACCATACCCAACTACCTCATTGCCCAAGATGCAACAACCTCATGAGACCGAGTGTGGTACTCTTCGGCGAGAGCCTGTCAAGCACCCTCAATGGAATCGTATACTCCTTCGTGTCTTCTGAACCTCTCGACCTATTGCTTGTGATTGGAACGAGTGCCGTTGTCCTTCCAGCTGCAATGTATATACCCCGGGCTCGGAGCGCTGGTGCGCGAGTTGCTTATTTCAACATGGAAGAGTACTACGACGAGCCAGGATGTGTTTGGACAGGTGACTGGATGTTCAAGGGCGATGCGGCGAAGACGGTCCCTGAGTGTCTGAAGGGTATTATCGGGAACGTCGGACGCGTGTGATGGGAATTGTTTGCGCCTTGTATGTCGAGCAGTTCCAGAATTGACTGAGGTGTGCTGGCTCTTGGACTGAGCAGAATGGTAGGGAAGAAGGACCATTAACAGCAGCGAGTTGAAAAGTGTGGAAGTCGCGCAACGCCGTTCATGCTGTTTTCCACGTCGATGCCACTTCTATAATAATTTACTGCTTTTGGGAAATGGGCCCTCGCATGTGGGCTCTTTTCCTTCGATTTGTTTGTCGCTGACGCACATGCCCTTTACGACTTCCTCCTTGGACCACGCGCTTCTCTTGCTCTTGCTCCGCGAAGCCATCGATCATATCTGCTCGACATTCTGTTCTGATCCCCGCTGTTTCCTTTCTTCGCATGAAACCGTGGACGCAACTCAAATCTCGACAAGCGACAAGCGACAAGCGCATTTGAGCAACTCTCACAGTGAGTGTACCAAGTGCAGGCGTGCTGCAATGCGCTTGTGACAGCAACTGCGACGGCTCCTACGCTTTCCGGAGGTCTCGGCTAACCTTTAGTAAGGTTTCTGTGATGGCTTCAGTGCACCAGACAGCGCAACGCGCTTGGATGTTACCACTGGCGGCGTCGAACACCACCAGACCACTCGCTGTCGCTGTCGCTACATATCCAATACAGGAGGTAGGCATATAGTATTTATCCACATACATAGCTCGCGATACTGATACGAAGCTACAGGCGCTGATCTCGTTCTTGACACCCGACGACCTTGTCACCCTTACCCTGATCTCTCAGACTCTCCATGGTCACATTCGCATGGACAACGCGAACTCGAAGGCCAATCTTCTTTCTAAAACTCTTTGTCCCGTACTTGGCGTCTGCGTTCGGACTGTCACTCATTGCCCCTGCCCAGCAAAGACGTTCGACGCCATAATCGGCTGCGCTAGGTTTGGTTTCTCGACAGAGTCACGCCCGTGCGTGGAGTGCGGTGTCAACACTTGCGATGAATGCCGTATACATGCCCTCTACAACCCTCTCACGGAAGACTGCGGGTTTGATCAGCGTCGCTGGTGGGCAGGTTTCTACTTTCTCGAACCCACAGTCGTTGCGGTGTATCCACCCAAGGACTCGGAATGCAGCGTCTGGAATCTGCCTATCGAGGACATGAAGCCTCTCCACGACCAAGGCCGCTTCCACATCCCTCTAAACGTCAATGCTATAGGCGATCCTGAGCCGATACAGCGTATTGTCGACCTGGACTTGGGCACCCACCGGTCCATCAATCCTGTTGGACGCACACAATATCCGTATTCTGGCCATCAGATTGTCTCATTCCTCAACATGATAACCAACAAGCGCAAGGATCTAACTTGCCTTTCCTGTTACCAAGAACGTCGAAAGGAACGCCTAGCGTGATGTTCCTGTACCCTACGCAAGCGTTTCCTAGACCGGTGGCTATGTGCAAGTTGCTATATTAAAGAAGACACTGCTGGTGAAGATCTGCGCTGCCACATCCCGGTAGCAGATGAGGTCGGAGAAGGCCACAGTCATGTATGTCACTGTGGAGCGGAGTTCACACCCGAAGTCGCAGCAAAGGTTATGTGCAACTGGTGCAAAGGAGAGATTGAGGGGCCTCAGCAAGGCGACGAGAACAATGTCATTGGTGGAAACAGCGAAGGCATCGACGAAGATGAAGAACAAGAGGAGGAATTCCATGAGGAAGACCATTCGGCTGCAGACTTTGCGAATCTACCCCAGGACGAATTTGGCTTCGCCGAGAACCACGACGAATCTCTGTCGGTATACGTGAACGGAGAGTGCATCCGCGGAGAACGTCTTGGTCGATCCATAGTTCGCCAATGGATGATGACAATCCAGGGCAAGCTTGCTGAGTGTGTTTGCTGTGTATGCAATAGTCGGAACTCTCATCATACTCACGCGGGGGATGGGGAAGAAGACAGGAATGATGAGGAAGACGACGATAGCAGTGATGACCAAGATTTACCCGACCTGGAGGAAGTCGGGTCAGCGGCTGGCTTCGAAGATCAGTGGGGACTAGACTGAGCCAACAACACGCTTATACAAGTTCAGACCACGCAGAGTATCACCGGTGAATGCGTGAACTTATTCGCGCCTGGCTGGATAGATACCGGCACGACTGTCGCATGCCATGTGCAGTTGGTGCCGCATTTGTCGCAGGAGTTACTCGTGACCGCTCTTCCTATTCAGGGATATGTAGCTTGTCCCTATACGCAGCACCACTCCAACGAAAGAAAGAAAGAACACAGCGATATTTCCAAAAAAGTAAAGCTAGCAATAGCTTTTTCTATCACCCGTAGTCTGTGATGAACTCCAGAATGAAAAACGAGGAAATGCGTTGGACCTCCCCGCAGTCCGCACAACCTCTTGCCCGAAGTGGGCCCCTGAAGCGTGCGTTGAAAGCTTGGCACTGACACATTGATCTCGCTCGGACGTTGGCTGATCGCTTCGTCGCCGCATCCCATCGTCAGCTGCACCTCTCAACGACTCAAGATCATCCAATCGCGGCTTTGCCTTACCGACTTCCGTCTGCCAAGATGTGATCGAGCAACCTGCGGGCATCGCGAGACCTGTTGGCAAGGCGATTGCTACCTGAGTGTCCGTCATGAGTAGAACGTGACTGCAAGGCTCAAACAATTCGAACCCGTCAAACGCGACTTGAGAGTACCATAGCCGATCAGGGCCACTAAATCACGGTCTTTCACCATCTGAGTACTTACTACGTGAAGCTCCCAGACGGGGAAGGACGGCGGTGAGTCGCAGTATCTTATCGGCGCGACCACGCCAAGACCTCTCGCCCGAAGACTTCGGGCCATCGGTAAAATGCTCCAAGCACAGCGCATGACAGTGCGTCAGATTCAATGGAGAACACGTCCCAATTACTACAGAAACGTTCGTTCCGTTTAATCATTACTTTGTGATTTCCTCTTCCTTTGTGCAAATACTTTCCAATGTCGTAGTATTAGATTCACCACCACCCACACCGACGTACGAAGTTTGACCGGACGCAACTACCACAACTCTCGTTCTTCTAACGTCACTTGGAATCGGTGTACACGCACTTTCCAGCTTAATAGTGCTATCCGGATCTGGTGTAAAGCCCTGACATAACCCTGGATATCAACAACGGAATAATGAAATTGTTACCTACCCTTTCGGAAGACCACAGCGCGCGGACGACGTCACTAAAGGACATAGCGCATGTCACAATCGGCGAAACATACATCGAGGAGGACCCGTCGGTAGCAGAATGGTTCCGCGAATGTATTCCGACTTCACATGGCGCCGCAGAATACGTACGCGAGTTGTTCCCGAGTGCACGGTGGCTGAGACGATATAATCTACATTGGCTGGCTGGAGATGCTATCGCTGGTATGTATAAGGATCTTACCGGCTTTTCCTTATAAATTGTTAACCCAAGGAAGGTATCACGGTCGGCCTTGTAGTGGTTCCGCAAGCCATGGCATATGCGTCGCTCGCTCGACTGTCACCTGCCTTCGGCCTGTACACAACGTTCACAGGCGCATGTATATACTGGATCTTTGGAACATCCAGAGACATCGTGATAGGTGTAAGCTACTCCTGCAAATAAGTCATACTCGGCTAATCCATGAACAGACGACAGCAGTTGGGTCGCTACTGATCGGAAGCGCAGTCAGCAAAGTTGAAGCCGAGCACCCCGGCGTATATCAGCCCCAGGAGATAGCACATGCGATAAGCTTCCTTGCTGGCAGCATTCTTCTAGTCTTCGGTATCCTTCGTTTTGGATTCATCATTGAGTTCATTCCATATATTCCCATCTCCGCCTTCGTCACATCCGCCAGCATCACCATCATCTCGACACAGTTGCCGACCTTGATGGGTGTAACAGGGATCAACACACGTGAGTCTCCGTACAAGGTGTACGTCAACTTCTTGAAGGGCCTACCCAGGGCAAGACTTGATGCGGCTATTGGTATCACATCCATTGTGCTCCTATACCTGATCAAGAACCTGTGCGCTAAGATGGAGGTACGACAACCACGAAAGAAGAAAATGTGGTCTTTGATCTCTTCACTACGCCTCACGTTCACCATTCTGCTCTACACCCTTGTTAGCTGGCTCGTACACCGAACAACTCCTGCCGGCCAAGAAAAGTTTCGAATAGTAGGCCACATCGAGAAGGGCTTCAGTCACGCTGGCGTGCTTTCAATGGACGGAAAGCTCTTCGGCTTGGTGGCATCAGAGCTCCCGGCGATTATCATCATCCTCATCGTTGAACACATTGCCATCGCCAAAAACTTCGGTCGCAGGCACAATTATACCGTTATTCCTTCGCAGGAGATGATTGCACAAGGTGCCGCCAACATACTGAGTCCTTTTGTTGGTGGCTACGTATGCACAGGCTCTTTTGGTGCTTCTGCTGTCCTCTCCAAGGCTGCGGTACGCACCCCGCTATCCGGCGTCTTCAGTGCATTGGTCCTGGTGCTGGCATTGTATGCGCTTACAGCTGTCTTCTACTACATACCAAATGCAGCGCTCGCTGGTCTGATCATACACTCCACCGTCGATCTGATCAAGGGACCTAAGGACTTGCACAAGTACTACCAACTGTCACCGTTCGAACTCTTCATTTGGGTTTGCGGCGTTGTCATTGCATTCTTTACAGATCTCGAGACTGCAATCTACATCACTGTGGGATTATCTTTTGCAATGCTTCTCGTTCGAATGGCGAAGAGCCCGGGCAAGTTCCGAGGTACCGCTGAGGTGACGCGCATAGTGCGCAACGATCGCCTCTGCAATCAATCCATGTCGACAACAAATACATCGCTGCCTCTACAGACAAATGGCGAACACGAGGATACCACTGGAGCTGCAGAAAATGTTCGACAAGTCTACATGCCTTACGACGTCACAGACAACCACAACCCAAACATTACTGTGGAGCCGGCATATCCCGGCGTCTTCATCTATCGGTTCAGCGAGAACTTCAACTACATTAACCAGGCCTACCACGTTGACTACCTTACCTCTTACATCACGTCACACACGCGCCGAACCCAAGCCGATGACGGTATCCGCGCTTGTGATCGCTTGTGGTGCGACACGCCACCTACCGAGAAGCTTATTGAAGCGTCTTCTTCTCTTCCAGTTCTACGAGCCGTTGTTCTTGACTTCTCCACTGTCAACATCCTCGACATTACAAGCATTGACGGACTAAAGAGCTTACGCGATACGCTCGATCGTCATGCTGCGCCTGGATTGGTAGAGTGGCATTTTGCTGGCGTGCACAACCGGTGGACACGCAAAGCGCTCGCTTTCGCAGGTTTTGGCTTTCCTGCGATGATCACTGCCGGCTATACGGGGAACTGGTGTCCAGCTTACACCGTCACGACCAGTTTTGCAGGTGCGACAGATGATGAGCGCAAAGAGATAGAGGCTTCACAGCAGCATATACAGAGCAGAGACGAAGAGCAGGGCAAGGAGTCGATTGACACACATGCTCTTGAAATGCAGTCGACTTCCACGAGCGAGAAGAGAAGGTTCTATCCGACTCACGGAGTCGATAGGCCGTTCTTCCACCTCGATCTTCATGATGCCGTTGATGCCGCGGTTCGTGATGCGAAGAAGGCTGATCAACTTGAGGCGCGCACGAGCTGTGTGTTGACTGCATGGTCACAGCCACCTAAGCAGCGAGGAGAGGCATAGAAGCTCGTTTCATCATCACGATATCAATTAATCTTCGGTCATGTTTGCGCAAGGGCATTTTAGCGTTTTTGGTATTTGTGTCTGGCATTGCATTAGCATTCGCATCATCGGCGTTCAAGAATGGCTAGAGCTTCAGAAGCATAGGATTTTCGTATCTATAATGTTCGTACTATCAAATCATATTTCCGCTCAATCGCTATACACTATCAGACCCACTCCACGTGCAAGTAAAGTCTCGGATGAGCGCAATTCATAATTGCTTACGCTCGTCCAGAACCCACTTGCTTTCTATTCATCACCACCATTTCCACCCAGATCCATGTCTGTCATACAAAGAAGATACTTCTTTATACTGAATGCTGAATGTGCTCAATTAGGTCAGCGATTGACACGAAGCTGTCTCGCGGAGTTCCGATATAAAGTAATAGTGTTTGCTACGGTATGGATACTGCGAATCTAGCTGTTTCCGGGATCATCTATTATGTGAATTGGAGTGTTTATTTGGAGCTCTAGAAAATGTGCTATACGTAGCCTACAGCGAGAATTACGATGTAAGTCCAAACGTGAGCAAGCCAATGATAGTTTCAGGGTTAGATACTATCCTACGTCGCATTACAAAGACATGCTTGAACAGCCTCAATGAGTTACGAACCAGCAGAGATCACTGAGTGGAGTGTTTGAAGACAGCAACTACATGCTGAGTAACTACCGCGGCGACGGCTGCGACATTGAGACGGATGGATGACGATGCAGCGCAGTAAAAGCGCAATCAAAGGGTACCACTAGTTTCATACTGCAGCGAATCTCTCGCTTCTGGTGACGATTCCTGTGTGCCGGTGGACTTTCCTGGCCTGTGAATTTCACTGTCTGCACCAACTCGGTCATGGCGAGCCCGACGTAGGGTCCGAGCACACTTCCCCAATACTTCGTGTTCGAGCTTGTCCTTAGTATGCGCAACATCAGCGATCACCTCTTTGAAAATGATCGAATCAACAGAGTTACTGGACTACGAAGAACCTGATGAGATCTCAGAAGAAGACCATAAATCCGAGTCTGATTACGGAAAGTCTCACAAGAGAAAAGGCAAGCGCATACATGACCGGCCAAAGACGAAACCCACCGAGCAAGCCAGAATCGTCGCCGCCTTGGAGGTCAGGCGAAAGAGAATGCGCCTGAATCACGGCACACCCAGTAGTAATGACAAGAACCCAAAGCGTCACCTCTTCGGCCCACTAGCTGAGTCGCGAGACCTCAGTGAGACGGTTTCGCCGACTCCTTCGAAACCGGCCAGGCGCAACAACGATATAAGGAAGGTCGGCACAGCAACATCTTCGCACTCCCTAGTTCCCGGAAGGGTAAATCGCGGACAGCTCGTTATGGTATGCACGCCGTTTCCTCATGTTGCTCAATCAAACTGACAAACAAACTGCAGACCGAGAGCACCCCAAGCAGACACTCCATCTACACACCACATTTCTTGCATGATAGTGTAAGTCTTGCCACCCAACCCAGTCTAATCGTCAAACTCAAGGCCCGGAGGCCATCTGTGCCAACACCAGCTCCCAAACGCCGTCCCGGCGGACCTCTGAAGAAAGACAAAGGTGGTCACAAGAGTGCGGTAGTCGTGGAGTCAGAGGAAGAGACCACAGAAAAAATTTCTACCGAAACTCCTGAAGTGAATATGCGCGGGAAGCGCAAGGCGACGGGAAAGCAAACAACAATCAAGGATGACGATGTTGGAGAAGAAAGAGCGACTAGCACTTTCAGGATCAGGCAACATGCTACGCTGCGCCAACGGCGTAGGGCTGTACCAGCACTCAAAGCGCACCTCGACGCCCCGACACGTAAACCTCTCTCACAACCCCTGCCGTCGTCGCCAAATACCAACACGCCAATCTCGAAGCCTTCAACACCACTTGGGCCGGCATCCACTTCAACGTTTGCACCTTATCCGCTCATGTCAACCCGCTCCGTGTCTCCCTTCACACGTGGGGCACGTATCGCACTCGAAAATATCCTGGCAGATCACCAATCTGATCCGCTAGTTAGTTTGATCGATTTGATTGAGGAACTAGATGATACGAGGCCCATAGTGAACGACTGGGAGCACGCTACTGTGATGAAGGGCGGTAGCTGGGTCTATCAGGTCATGAGAGATGTTTGGGAGGAGAATGCGGGAGAGATAGATGAGGAGGATGGCGAGATAAGCGATGAGGATATCAATATTGAGGCTGTCGTGGAGAAGGTTGGGGGATGGGTCGATAGGGAAATGGGGAGGTTAGGTAGTGGACAGGAATGAGATTGAAAACTCATGAGTAAAGCAGGAGACATGCGGGGGACTAAGACTAGGGCAACAACGAATAGAAGCACGCGTCATACTGAATGGAACGATACAAAGACTGATCCAGGTTGTGTTGTGTTGTGTTTGAAGATTGTTCAGACCAGCCGAATACCCCTCGCATATTGTGTAGTCGCTTCCGAGACTTTCTTGTGAATTGTTTCCCTTATATTTCCATGCTCCGTGAAGCTGATCTCATACTTTCAGACATGGACCTCATATCTGCCATCCCACTTTGCTCATTGGTGAGGTTAATATGTAACTTCTTGGCTATCCATGCTCGAGCTTTCGTGGTGCGGGTGCTGAAAGTGTTCGGAAGTCTTTGTCTTCTTACGCAGTCATATACGTTCATCCCTTTTTGATGTTCTTATGCCGAAGCCAATCGTTTTCCTGCCATGGGCCGATCCAGACATGCTGTATGTGCTCGGGCGAAGGTGTGTTGGGTGCATGGACCACCCGAAGCGTTCAAGGATCCCTGGGACAAGAATGTGAATCTGGACCCGCGGAGGCTTTTCCGTTGTAATCGATAACAATGCGCGATCCAGCCGCCACCGGATAAACCTACAAGACGGGATCGACATGATCGACATGCCAAAAACTTTCGGATGCGAAAGCCAAGCCGGAAAATGATGATTCCAGTGAAACGAAGGATGCGCCAGATCTTCGCGGATCGAAATTTCCGCCTGCCGGGACGTCATCGGCTCCGCATCGCATCGCATTCGTATTCGTACGCCATGGCAGATGGGACAGTGAATGGTATATGGTATTTGGTTCTCGATGAGCGCACGTTGCTTGAGATATCTCAGTATGTTTGCTGTAGTTGTGGTGGACGGAAGAGTTGGTGACTCTGTTCAATCATCATCTCGATCTTCTTCGCCTCGTTCATCTCGAAATCATGCATCAACTCCATTTGTTGTTGCTGGTTCAGCCCGGTTCCTCTAGCATCCTGACTCCATGCCGGGTTGAGATAGTCGGCCATTTCGTAGCCTTGATTTGCCGCGTAAGCTTCATTGTAGAATGGCGATGAAGCCATTTGCATATTCGTCATGTTGTAGTTGTCTTGGGGTGGCATCGTGAATGTCGGGTTCCATTGAGGTAGCTCCGCAAATGTTGTGGGTAGGGGCGCGAATTGGGTTGTAGGAGCATAACTGTATGACGGAATGCTGGTATCCATCGACGTCTTTGGGCTTAGCTCATTGTATATCAATGGTGGGGGTTGTTGAGGTGACGTCTGCAATCCAGCCTGTTGCGAGCTCGGCGCACTTGAGAATGGATTAGGTGGGTTCGACAGGCCGTTTCCAAAGTTAAAGAGTTGCTGATTGTGTTCAGGTAGGTAGCCAAAAGGTCCTGGTGCCTTTTCCGAAGGCGTGCGCACCGATGCAGTAGACGCCGTTGCTGGGCTTGTAGTTCTTGATCGATTGATGCCATCTACAATATTGCCAGTACCGACGGACGCAGTATCGGATGGAGAACTGGCCGAAATGGGAACATCGCCATCCTTGTCGAAGATCTTCATGCAAGCAGAGATCAGGTTATAGTAAAGGCCGATAGCAGACTGTACTCCAGGCCATCGTTCTGAGGCCTGCCTAATCGACTCCATCGCCACTTTCAGATGGCCTTCTACTTCTTCGCGGCTATGACGTCGTCGCACCTCCGAGTACGACAGAGTCCAGAGCATGGTGTTGATACACATGAAGATGGCTTGCGTAAAGATCCATGTGACGTCGACGCTCTTAGTCTCAATCTGCTTCATAGTCATGTAGATGTTGTATTGGCACGCATCGTAACAGCGGATGGCGGCGTCCAGAGATGGGCGAGGTACTTGTGGAGACGGACGGTACATGAATACGACCATAGTGTTGTATCGACCGATGAACCTGGAGAGATTAGTTCATGTACCACAAATTAGAGCATCATTACTTACCAGACCTTGTTAAGCCCCGATCCGCCGTCCATTTCAGGACTTGTGTCGCGCCACGCCTCGATCTTGGACTGCATCTGAGCGAACCAGGGGTGTTGATCATCCTTGGGTTCAGGCTTCTTCCTCTGGTATAGCATCTTGCGTATCTCGAGTTGCAGCAAGCGCATTTTGTAGAAGTGTATGCCAATCCATTTCTTAAGCGATGCTTGAGGTGCAGGCTTGATGCCATCCCTAGTAATGTAGACATCGTCGACAAGCTCGCCGAAGTTGACATCGATGTGTTCCCGTCGTGTCGCGAAGTGGGCGGGTCTTCCGAGGCTATGCGACAAGCCGTAATCCATAGTAAGTATACTCCAGAACAAGCGGCGACGCATATCGATCTCGAGGGGGTCTGCAGAACGTCCACCAGGGCCCATGCTGATTGTCTTCTCCTCGTGTAGGCCGAGGGCTTGACACAGTCGTACACCAAGGCCGATAATGTAGTAGACGGCTGTCCTCGTTGGCGTCAGGAGTGAGTAGCCTGCGACGAGACCGAAACACTGCAGGGTCTTGAGATTCATCGGCTTGATGGCGGCTTCGAAGTATTTCAAGGCTGCGAGATAGTAACTGTCGGCGAGACCTGCGTACTGTGTATCCATCTTCTGCAGGCTGATAGCAATGACCATGCGCAGACAGTAATTCTGGTAAGGGTCTGTGGAGCCATTGTAAACTTCATCGACGTCTTTGGTGAAAGTTGGCTCATGGAAGATGGGGTACATAGGGTGCACTAATCAAGTCAGTTCATGTATAGTCATTGCTGGGACAGCCTAACGCGCCTTTGCAGTAAAACAGTTCGACCAGTAAATTGGTAAGATCTCTGTTGGGAAGCTCTTCAGCAGCAACGTCGCTGACCATGGGGTAGATCTTGGAGGTAGGTCGCTGGTCTTCCTGGGCGAAGGTGTCCTTGATATTCTTTGCTTCGGAATGTGGCACAATCTCAGAAATGCTCTTCGACTCGGTAAACTGCTTTGCCAGCTGCATCACGAGACGGGTGATGGTGATTCCACTTGAAGGCCCCAGGAATTTGGACTCGTCGGAATCCTGGACACGCACTGTAGCCGCCCCACGCATCACATCTTCAGGGTCTGGCTCGACATCGTCCCGTTCGAGATCAGCCAGCTGCTTCTCGAGATCGCGCACCTTTTGCTGCAGGTGCACAACGTAATTCCGGGGTATCTTGCGTCCCTTGGTGGGGTCGTAGTATTCGCAGTGGGAATTGGTACGCTCGCATGGCCCGCATCGAGGGAGTCCGGGGTCACATCTTGTCTTGCGCTGGGCGAAGGTCAGTGGATAATTACGTAGCCAGCCTGACCCGGGATGATGCTTACCGTCCGGCAACGACAACAAGCTGTAAGAGTGTGGGCGATGCGACTCTGGCCTGTGGTGGTTCCTTCCTCAGGCGGGTGCGGGGCCCCTTCCGTGTTGGTGTGTGTCGCAGTCGCGACTTCCATCGCTCGTCGCTCACCAGACGGGCAGACGAGGACGAGGGAGCTGGCTTATGATGCTCGGCCTGGGATGTGGGGGAGATCGACGCGCACGTCCATGCCCGAGAGGTTTGTCGCGCCGGCGAGGTTTGGTCCTGTGCTCTCAGTCCGGAGAGAGGTGACGAGATGGAGATGTGGTATACGACAGCGGCACCTAGTCTACGGAATGGCCAAGCAGTACCTTCGGAGTGTCGACCGGTGGGAACTCTTTAACCAAAAGAACAAAGCGCGTCGTCGTAAGGGCCACAAAAAAACGCCTGCGCATTACCGAGCGACCCCAATCAGGCGGCGCAAAAAGGAAGACGAAGCATGACACGCCCCGTAGTTGGTGCGGCGTAGGCTGATGGTGACAGGTCGAGAACGTGTCCAAACTCTGGGAGCCGAGAGAAACAAGTGCAGCGTGGGCATCAAGCGCGACGAGGCCCTGATAGGCTGCCCCTTCTCCAACACCCACTCTACCACCTGCCTATCCTCATCTCATCGCTCGTAACAGCGTCACAGCTGTCCCTTTCAGCGTTGCCTTCTTTCTGGCCGACTCAGCGCGGCAAGACCGCCGCCCGCCGTCTCTCGATTTGGCTATAGAGCCGCGGCACTGCGAAGTTCAAGGGTTCAGCGAGCTTGCTACGCCACCCGTCAACCCGCTCAACACCACGAGAGAGCCGAACCACCATATCCATCGCCTGTCGCACCGCCTTTTCGGCAAGCCTGTCCGCGGAACTCACTTTCCGCATCGACGCGCTATACCTACAACGTGCACTCGACCGAGCCTGGTAAGTGCCGTCCCGTCTCGTATCAGTCGTAAGGCAATGAACTCTTCCACTTCACTACCGCCTTCAGCATGTAGTTCACATCGATATCCATACATTGTGCTCGTTACTATCTTCCTTTGTTTTCTGGGTCCCTTTTTTTTAAATGCCATCTGCTATCCGAGTACTTCCCGGATGGTAGTCCACCCAGCGTCAGGTGATCGTGCGATGCATACTTACATGTCCAAAGACCGGAAGAAGATGGTGCTCGAAACGCCGTTGCTACGGGTAAGCAGGCCAGTAGCCGCTTGTTCGCGATGTCGAGCAGCAAAAGTCAAGTGTGACGGTAAACTGCCCGCATGCACAGCATGTGAAAAGTCCAACCGGGCCTCGGAGTGCTCAAGCACCAACGACCAGTTTGCGAGAGGCAAAGAGAGAAGCTATGTCGCAACCTTGGAGTCCAGAGTCGAGAAACTAGAGAAGAAGATACATGAAGCCCGGGCGAGGCGGAAATCTTCTGGCGTTCTCATGTTGGACATGTCTGAGAACTCGGACCCACGTAGAGCATCCGTTGATACCGTTAAGGCGACCAGACCTATCAGCAAAAGAGCTGCACGACGGAAGGAAGCCTCGGAAATCGATGATCTGGTTTCAGATTTTGGTCTTCTGTGAGTGTCTTCCATCAATCATGTTGTGCCACACTAATTGTCCGAGTGCCGTGAATGCTACAGCGAGAGATTTCTATGGCTTCACGACAGAGATGTCTTACGCCCGCCTGATCCGATCAGCAAGTGCAAAGGAACCACTCCCCACAGGCTTGATCAAAGCATTGCCTCCAAAATATGCAGCAACGCCACTGATTCAACACTACTTGAACAACATCTTTACCCTTTGGCCTGTCTTCGAGGAGGCTACTCTTTACTCCTCCGTAGAGGCCGTCTACTCACAAGGCGACGACGCAAAACCCTGGGATCGCTGGAGCGTGCGTATGGTTTTAGCCATCGCGTGTCTCTCCCAATCTGAATCGAGAGGTGATACCCACTACTCCGATGCTGTTGGCCATATGAATGCAGCTCTTGAGAATGCCGAAGATGTACTACATCCCGGTTACGTCTCCAGCATCCAAGCTCTGGTACTCTGGATCATCTATGCCACTATGGACCCTCATCATTTCGATAGTTGGACGCTAGTTGGCGCAGCTTCTAGAGCGATGGTTGATCTCGGCATACATCAAGATCCTTCTAAGAATGTTGCCATGCCACGGCCAAAGCTAGAGATTAGGAGAAGAGTATATTGGTGCGTATACTCACTGGATAGGTAAGGCCATGTTGCGTCGTGCTCCCTTCTCCGTGCTAAATATACGGTAGATCGACATCGCTCGTCCAGACTCGCGCCTTCTCATTCTCGGATGAGGCTGCGAACGTCGGCTTTCCATTCTACAATTCTTCCGTCTCACCCAAGTTTGCCTCGCCTACATCTCAAGTCTTCCAGCAGTCTTTTGATACAGCTGTTGATCTCTTCAAGATACGAGAAATTCAATCTGAGTGGTACATGGATCTATTCCAGTCAGGGAGAGAGCCTTGGCAAGAGCCCTATCAATACATCTGGAAGCAGTATGCCAGAATGTCGGAGTGGTTTCAGGACATGCCGCAGAGTACTCTCCCTGCCGTCAAGTCATTCTTCGAGCTTGAGCTTCTCTACAGCTACGTCTACATTCTCTCACCAAGCCCACGGATACCTCATATTCACGAGTATGCTCAACGTTTGATCTTCGAGCATTGCATCGCGTACGCTACTAATCTACTCGCCATACTGGACAAGCCTTCAAACACGGTCAAGCCTCCAGTAACCTTTTATGATGCCATGCGCGCTTACATGACCGGTCGTCAGTTTGTGGATGTTTTGTCACGCAACATGGAGATGATCCTGGACCCAAGGCCACCAGTATCTCTAACGCCACTGGCTGCTCAAACAGAATCTGAAGATCCGCTTGCACCACCCGCGCAGGTCAGCGCACCACCCTTTCCATCACCACTACTTCCTGAAGGACAAATGCTGCCGTTGGACCCCACCACTCGCGCCATCAACGCTCTCCACGACTTCACGTCAGTACTTTCCAAGTTTGGTCTAAGGTTCGGTTTCACCCACTGGCGTGATCGCTTCCAAAGAGAGTCAGCTGCTCTCTCTGCACAACTCTACCAACGCCAACAAACATCACCACACACTTCGCCTCCAGTACAACAGATCCCGCCACCTGTTACCTACCCTCCACAATGGGTACCGATGCCATCGATATCTCCGCAGGCGCCACATTTGATGTACCCAGGAGGTCCAACAACACCGCCAAGTCTGTTTCCGCAATCCAGTCCTTTTGCTAGCTCGTTGTCCTATAATGGCACTTCGTACGATGGATCTGGTCACAGTCCGCAACCGCATGGTATGAACTTCGATGCGAGCCCTGGCCAACAGACATGGGCCACTCCGTCGCCTCAACCGGTACCTGAGTTGCCACAGCCTTCGGGTGGCCAGAAGAGAAGAGCAATGGTATATGGTCCAGGACTCCCGGCACCGCATCCCGGGCAGGGTCATAGCCCTGGCGCATCCTCAATATCAGGGCAGGATAGCAGTCCCTGGCCGTCACAGGAGCAACAGCAACAAGATCACAACGGCTACTTCCAAGCGCCGCCGTCCATGCCGCAACAGCATAGCAATTCGTGGACCCAAGATTCATCGCAAGGAAACTGGGGATGAATGACGCTTGCGAGGTTGGTATTCTAGAACATGTAACGCAATACTATGTCTCACCAACGATTTACCACCAATGGCCTTCGCGATAATAGGAGATGTTTGCTTTAACTCCTACTCTCCACCTCCACTTGATCCACAGGAGTGGCGACTGAACAGATTCCATGGTAGTCGGCAGGATTCGTATCGCAAAAAGCGTTCTTTGTTGACACAAGCCATGTGCGTACCACTTGACCACCATTTGCAGCCTCCAAAAATTGCGTACTTTGCCAATTAATGCCTTTTAAATGCACTGCACTATGTTCGATACGCATATGCTCCAGGAATTGAATTTTACTAGTAAATATCCGCTGGGTACAGGCCCGTAAGTCGTGAGATTCTGCGTGGCTTTGCAGGGCATGCAAGCAGTCCGAGTCTACCTCTTCGAGTAGGTATGAGGAAGCCTGGAAAGTACAAAGGTTGCACCTCATAGCGTTAGAAAGCGTACTAGTACTAGTATCCGTTTCTTTTTCGATTTCGAATAGAGAATGCCAGTCATGAAGATAGCGGCATGAGTAGGTCGAGCATACTGCGTGTTGTTGAAGAGCCACCTGGATGCTTGGGTATGTCTTACAACAAGTAGAACATGTATAGGAGCCAGTACTACCGCAGCGTCAGCAAAGAAAGGAGTGTGTATGCTCATAAATCACCTTGGAATGCGTGTTGGGATAATTGGTAGTCGTCCTGGCCACCAAGCCAATTTACACATATTGTCCTGAAGATGACTGAACACATGATTCTGCCGTTGTGACCAAGTATCATATACCATACCGCAGAACCCGCAGTTAAGAGCCGATCTTGGCAATGCAGGGTTATCTCTCTTCCATGCTGAAAGAAGGTCTTTGGGTATAAGGACCTTGTCATCCTTGTTATCGACGTGGACCCCCTTGATATGTTGTGAAAGTTGGTCTTCTCGCAAGAATGTTCGACTCTCTTCCGATCTCTCCGCACAGCTGTCAAAGTGACATTCCGAAAAGTGGCTCAAAAGAATGTCGCGTTCACCACAAATAAAGCAGTGTGGCAGTCTCATGGTAGTGTTTACATCCAAACAACATGTCCAGTGGTAGGGATAATGATGAACTGCTTCTTCGTGCCTCGCCCAGTCAAAACGATATCGAAAAGACTTGTTGCACTCAGGCGATGTACAGAGATATCGGGGTTGAGGTTTCTCTTTCGATTTCTCTGGCGATACTGACTAGAATGAAATTAGCATATTAGATAGCATAGGATTAGCCTATAGATCGAGCAACCACATCCCCCAAAGATTCAGAAGCCCGAAAAGAAGACTCACTTTGATGCTAGGTTTTCTTGAGAACGAAGACCTCTGTCGCACACCTGGAAGTGGTAATGGTACTCGTCTCTGTCGAATAGCTGGAGGTGGTGTTGGTGCTCGTCTCCAACGCTTACGCCCTCGACGGGAAGCCCTTGAGTTGACAGAAATTAGGCTCATATGGCTGTTGTTGGAGCAGGCAGAGCTGTCGGAGCCTTTCCACCCGAAGCCTCTCATTGGCGATGGTTGCCTCGAGTTTGTGTCCCATGGCACAGTCATGGCCGACTCCTCCCAGGGCATGACATGCTCATCTTGAAAACCCCAGATTGGGTGATTTGGAGGTATAGCGAAATCGTCCTGCAATGTAGCTTCGATAGTTGCGGTTGGAATGGCATCTTCCTTTGTCGAGGCGGCTAGATATCTTTCAAGCGAACTCGTGCTGGGTGTAGGGGAACACCGACCAGGGTCTACGGAGTCGTCGCAAGAGATGCGATTTGGGGGCGATACGTCTTGTGCATAGCTACCTATGTCGTTCTGTTGGCGGAAATGATGGTCAATATTGAGACCCTCATCCAACGCCTGTTTGCGTGACCTTGCGTTCATAAACCATCTTTTGATCACCGGTATAAGCAGCCCAGACTTTCCGGATAACAGTGTAAGCTCACCATCTGTCGGATAAGGGTTGACGATGAAGTGTGCGTCTAACACAGCGCGGATTTGGTTCGAGATTTTGGTTCTCTTAAATTTTGTTTTATCGGATGCTAAACGCTTTGTGGAGCTTCGTGAAGCCGATCTTCTCGAAGCGGGTGTTTTGCTAGGATTGAGTAAAGCCTCATCCACTGTAGAAGAACATACACAGATTGCTGGCTCAACTTTTGCGTCTTCCTTTTCCACAGCTATTTGGTTCACTCTTTCCAGAATCTCGGTATTTAACGGGTTTGGTGGAAAATCTGACTGGTCGAGTGACGGTCCATTGGGATCCAAGCTGTCCAGGGTTGTGCTGGCGAAGTCGACATCGGGATAGCAACCAGTGTTGAAGTCGTGTGGAGCGAAGTCAGCACCGAGCCACATATGGTCATCGTTGAGAGCCATGCGCGCTATCAAATGCAAAAGAACCGTTGAGGGAACCTAATTCGTCTGACACATTCCAGTCTTGAGACATGGGTTATGGAGCTTCGGAATTGGAGGGTCTTGGTCAGATGAACAGGTAGACCAACTTCGCTGTATACGTGGATGGAAAGTTTAGGAGGCATGTTGGAAACTACTGGAATGTAGCAATTACATATGCTGAGGCTGAGAAACAAGGTGAGCGGGTTGAGTTTCGAGGTTAAGAGAGGCGCAACAGCGGTGTCGCTGCTGCCCAATCGGCTGAGGCCACCGCATCAATCCAAGCATTGCAGAGAACTAGGGCGAGAGCACATCGCTCGCATGTAACAGAATACGTCTAGTGAGTATTGGTATGGCATATCATTTGTGAAAGTCTTGAGATGAACCGGAGAGGATGATGATGACGACGATGCGTGTCTGGTGCGAGGATCGACAGTGCATCCATCGACAGACAGGGACGACCCCCACTTGACGCGGGGCACCCGCCGCTATCTCTGCGCAACGCCCATGAACCAATCTCACACGCGACAAAATGTCTGACAACACCCTTGCGCACCCTTCGCAACATAGTGCAAACTCTCTACAACTTCCGCAACCTCCCTGAACCACCATCACCATAACCACAACCATGTCGACACCCCTAGAACGCGCCCTATCCGCCATCGACGCAGCCCACGCGCTCGACCCGAACAAAGTAACCATCAACAACGAAGAAGTGCCTTACGAACTGCATTACGCGCAAAAATGTACTTCCTACCTCGAGAAACGCGCCCCTGATGCCTCCGAACCCCTCCGCATAGCAATCCGCGCCCAGCACTTCCGCCGCTGGGAAGTGCCTCGAGCCAGCTACCCAATGACACGCCCGGGCTACCACGCCTGGCGCACCTACCTCAAGAAACGCCAAGCCGAGCTCGTTGAGCAAATATGCCTGGATTCTGGATACAGTAAAGAGGATAGCGAGACAGTGGGAAGTTTGATACGGAAGGAAGACTTGAAGGCCAATGAGGAGACAATGGTGTTGGAGGATGTGGCATGTCTCGTTTTCTTGGACGATCAGTTTGAGGCTTTTGAGAAGGAACATGATGAGGATAAGATTGTGAGGATATTGCAGAAGACGTGGGGGAAGATGACGGATCAAGGGCATGAGTTGGCGTTGAAGATTCCAATGGGGGAGAGGCCCATGGAGTTAGTGAAGAAGGCGCTGGCAGGATAATAACGTTTTGAATTGAATGTTAAGTGAAGTGGTGATTTGTGTGAATTGTTTGTGATGAGATTTATTCGGGTATCATTTTGAGCCTGTGATGCATCTTTCTCTCCTCTTATGACCAGCATGTTGAAGCCTAAGCTCCACCCTCCCTCTTAGCGTACTCCTCCTCCATCGCCTCCTCGTACCTCCTCTCAGCTTCCTTCTCCTGCTCAGTTTTTTCACTGTGGGTTGCGCTCGCTAGGGCTTGCGTGGCCGCGTTCTGTACGTTGTGCGCCGTCTGCGCCGCAGCTGAAGACTGCGTCGCAGAGGTGGATTGTGAGGTACTGGAGGGCATTGGGACAGGCATCTCGGTTGTTGGTGTTTGTTGGTGGTGGATGTGTTGTTGGGGTGTAAAACTCGAGCTTTTCTTGACGAATTGAATGGCTTGGAGGAGTGTTTGTGATGACGAAAGGAATTGGAGGAGCGCGTGATGGGTACTATATAGGCAGACGGTGATGCGTCATTGTGGCGGTGCAGCTGTGGCTGGAAGCTTCTAGGAGATGTGATTCGCCACTGATTTTCGACAGCCAACTTTTGCATGTGAAGACAGTTTGCACATTGATGATGCATGTTCATCCAGGAAATCTTTTATACACATACGTGATGGGGGATTCATTCAATGAGACCTTGGGAGAGTTGACGTGGTGGTGCGCATAGACATGTCTTGCGATCAGTGCATGTTGAAAACTTCAGGACATATCCTCCTGATACTCTCGAACTTGCCATGCTGCTCTATACGACTAAAACGATGTTACCTATCGTGTCGCGTACATCGCTAATCCACACTACCACAGCCTTTACAAAGTCCCATCACAAGCCGACGCTAACGCCACTGCATCCCCATGCGTCCTGTAGTATATCCACAACCAGAAATCTGCCTTCGGTCAACATCAAACACGGTTACCCTATCCACACGTCTATCTTCTCAAGCTGGGCTCTCGAGCCGACCTCACCTGTGTCTTCTCCTCCATCCCAGTGCCCACATCTCCAAACCGCATGCGGCACTATAGGATGTTACGATCCAGAAATGGGGAAGTGCTGCGAGAACGAGCAAAATATTTGCAAACTCACCGATAGCTGCGTTGAATTTCAGCTACACAACGGCACCATCGCGGCAGGATGCTGTCTTCATGGTACATTGGCCTACAACAATACATGCTTCTACACAACCACCCTCAAGTGTTGTGCTGTGCCGGGCGGTGTGCATGGACTCTGCTCCGCGGATCAAGACTGCTACGGAAACATGTGCTGCGATGAAGGTGCGATTTGCGCGGGTGGCTTTGGAGGTCCCATGTGTTGGCAGAGACAGGACAACAGTACTGGTAAGACTGAGGACTTTCGCAATCTGTCAGCGACAACTGCTACCCCGAGCGCGCAAAAGAGTGGCAGCATCAGAACTGCTGCCCCTATGCTGTTTCGCCTCCTTTCGTTTTTCATCCGATTTGCGGCTAGTGTTTCCGAACAGGGCTTTCCCGCGACACACCTCCAATCGCTACCAACACCGCACAGCACCGAAAGGTCTAATATAAGCAACTCAACTTCACTTCTGAACAAGCGCTGGTCTTGTCAGACGCCAATGGAACCGTGTGGTGACGGCTGTCATGATCCAGCGACAACCCGGTGCTGCCAACAAGATGCTACTACCTACGGAACATGCCATGCAGGCGATGTATGCTGCCAAGACTACTGTTGTCCCTCGGATAAAAATTGTATCGTCGCGACCGGTACGCAAAGTTCTGGGCCGTGGTGCTGGCCTGTAGGCATACCGACCGTACCAGAGAATTTGCCATACGATGGGAAGCCTTGGCCTTCGAAGGCGAGCGTGACAGGTTTAAAGAACACTCGGATTAAGAATGGCTCGTCTAGAACGAGACCATCTACTCTGATCAACATCGTTCTCTTATTGCTATCACTCATGGCCGCGACCTCTGCTTTGCAATTGATATCGATGAATCCTGCTGCAACGAACGTGTACGACGATTCAACGATGACTATTACCATGTCTATGCCGCCACATACGCCGACTGGAATAACAGTTGACATTGATCTGCCTGAAAAAAAAAGGTGGCGGGGGTCATGGTTCTGGCGGCTCCGGAGGCCATAACGGTGTACGACCTGGCGGAAGCGCACCTGGCGGGCCCAAAAGCACCAGTGCACGGTTCGCCGTTCCAATGTTCTTTCAATCTTCCGTTTGGATAGTACTTCTCGGGGTTGCTGCTATGCTTTGGAGGTAGCAGTATGTGTCAATCAAATCGCCTGACAGTCGATCCATTTTGATCTGTCAAGACCTCAGTTTCTAAACGGTCGACCGGGAACGGTGAGGTGATAATGGGGCGATGAGCAGAGTGTCGTTTTATTATCTTCTTTCTTAATCATATTTAGGGCAGAATGAGATCACACATAATGCAAATATCAGGCTATAGTCATACGAACATGACTAGTTCTAGTGGTGTGGGTACTGTCCGTTATGTTAGTATAAGCATAGTAAAGTATACAAGACAACGTAATGATGATAACAAGGCTCAGACTTGCCTTTTATAAACACGAATCAGTGACACCAAGTGCTTAGAGGCTTAACCCATCTATCACTAGATAGGATAGCCCGAGGAAATACACCGGTGTCTCAATCGTTTGCTCGGTTTGTAATCATTGCCAAAGGGAAACAAAAACACAAGGATGACTGACCTTATTGACTTAGAACATGCGTGCCCTTCGTCCTGCCTGTCTCCATTTTAGCCGTGCGAGCGCCGAATTGAATTGCACGCTTTTTCTCGGCAGCTACCCTTTGCATGCCTAATTGCCAGGCCAGCAATCGAAGAGCCCGCTTCCCAGGCTCGAGAAGCTGTGCAGGATCTCTACTATCGATGACTTGCGCTAGGCCGAAATCGCACTTGGCTGTCACTGGAAGACTGAGCGCCAATGCGATGAAGTCTTCGTCAAGGAACGGAAACCGGACCTCCCTACTGCTGTTACTGATGACTCGATCGTCCCGACCCAGATTTCTCTTTCCCAGTCGACTGAAGTCGAGTTCCAGCTCTTCGATCAGGCCAGGATATCCGTGCCGAGCGAAGGCCACGGCATGTCGTTGGTACCCACCAAAAAGCTCATCAGCGCCGAGCCCAGATAGGAGGACGTGTGCGTTGGTGGTATATGGCTCAGCGCTAGCCTCGTCCGGAAGGTGCGCCAGACCAATCCCACGCGAGGCGAAGTAAAGCGCGTACGATATGGAGAGGTCCATTTCCGTGTTGTGAGGATGCATCAACGCCATGACAGTGCCGCGGTGGGCTTGCGTCTCGGTGTAGGGTACATTGACCTCGACGAAGCGCCACTCACGTCCTGGGCAGACTTCCATCAGCTCGGCGTGGGATGATCGTCCAGTAATACGGTCCGGACAAAGCTCGTAGGGGCTGGTGCCTGATTCGAGGTTGGAATGAATTCGAGGGTTCTCAAAAGCGACATTGAGTAGGTCGATAGATTCACTAAGTGGCAAGAGGTCGTGACACATGCGTGCGAGGATTGTGCAGTCAAGGCCGCCAGAAAAAAGGATACCAACTTGTGCGTCTTTCGGAGCTCCCAGCTTCGCACCGTCAGGCACTGCTTCTCGTATATGCTGGGTGCGTAGTTGAAGTGACCTTTGCAATGACACTTTCAACTGACCAGTAGCGCTGGTGTTCTGTCCTGCAGATTCGGTTTCTACAGTGGGATTCATAGTGGGAAACGGCAGAGTCTGAGTCCGTTAGCAGGAGTTGCGCACCAGATGACCTACCTACGAAACACAGTCCAGAGTCCTCTTTCGGGTCTGAGCGGCGGTGTGGAATCTTTGTAACTGTCAACGAGTTTGACGTGGGGTCTGCGAGGTTCACGTCTAAGACATAGATGCCGTCGGCTTCCACCTCGGTCCAGGAATCACCAGAAGCATTATCGCAAACGCTAGACAAGACGAGTGTGCCGTCCGGAGTTGACTTTTGGAGCAGCGATCGCCTTCCCAGACAGTCGCGTCCATAGTAGATGCGCTTGTTGGATGCATCGTAAAAAACAAGCGCATAAGGGCCCCGCACGGCAGACAGCAGCTCAATGACGCTTTTCATGGATGCCTCGCTTGTACCAGTGCATGCATTCAAAAGCTTAGTAAAGATAAGCTGAGAGTCATTACCATCAATGGCATGTCCAGCAATGCTCCATGCTTCGCCGTTCCAACAAAGAAGAGAGCCAGTCGCGTTGTCTTTGAGAGGCTGCTCAACTACGTCGTTGCCGCGTAAAGCAAGAACTGTTGACAGGAAAGTCGCGTGAAGACGCGTTGAAGATCCTTGGGTGCTGGATTCGATGATAGTCTCGTGCTGTCCTGTGCTATCTGGTCCTCTATTCTGGAGGAGCCGCTGAGTATTCGTGTCAGGCGTCACATGTCCAGCTCGGCTGAGCGAGAAGAAGATACCGCACATGATATGGCTGGTGAATTCGCGGTTGGGGATTCGTGTTGGCAACTGCACGTCTGCGATTGCTCGACGCGCTAGTGGGGGCCGCTCGGAGACTCGGCTTCTAGATGCCGAGAGACCATGCGGACGATTCGCAGATGGATGCGCAGCAGACCTCGACCACTGAGACACTTGACATAGATGCACCTTTGCTAGAGCTATTTTGAGCTCCATAGAAGACCCATGGACACTTGATCAACCACCTATCGCCTTTCCATAACCTCCAGTCCAAGTCGGTCTATGTCTCCCCCGAACTCCACTCCGCAACACGATGCAGCCCACGACAGCAACGCCGAAGCGAAGCTAGAGAAGGTCGACGACCATCAGGATGTAGCCACGATGAACGAGAGCGCGCCTCTACTAGGACTGGCTACAGAGCCTAAGACTACGGCAGATGACGCGAATGCCACCAATAAGGCGGGGCAGCCTGTTCAGATCGAAGCCCAAGACGAGGGGCATGTAGCGAAAGAAGAGTCGAGAGAGGAGGTGGGGAAAGCACGCAGTACTTTGGAGGAGCCAAATGCGGCACTCACTGGCTCAGAGACGGTCCAAGAAGAAGACGCGAAGGCTTCGCAGCCATCATCTGGCGCGCCAACAGAGGAGCCCACGACCAAAACGGAGAACACAGGGACGGACCGAGCATCAACACCACCACCCGAGCCTAGCGAGAAATCGGCAGGCAAAGCGCCCATACGATCACCTTCACCTCCTCCTCCGCCGCCCAAAGACGACAAATACCTTACGACAAGTAACGTACCCAGCCGAACTACGTCCCCGATGTCGCAAGGACGATCGAGTGGAAGGAACTCCGAAGACGCTGCGGCTGACGACTATGCTGCGAACCATGACGGTACAGGAGACGCGGTGGACAACTCGCAGGAGGAGATACAAAGCATTATGGATCAGTTCGAGGGGGATGGCGGGCCGGACGAGACTGAGATCATGTCCCCCAGATTGGAAATAGCGAGCCCTATGTTGGAATCACCGTCAACCCCGTACCCACCACGAAGATCAAGTCTCGTGCCGCTCGACAAGCCCCTACCCATTCCGACCGACGATGCGGCTTCGACAATCCCACTGCAGTCTCCACCTCCTCGTACATCCTCTCTACACCGCGTCAGCACTGCTACCTCCTTCGCAGAACCCACGTCGCCTAGTGCACATGCCTCCAAGTACAAGCCAGTACAGCCAGCACCAGAGCCCGAACCAGACCTACCCTTCGACTTCCACCGTTTCCTCGAGCAGCTACGCCACCGGACGGCCGACCCTGTCGCCAAGTTCTTGCGCTCTTTTCTTCTCGAGTTTGGGAAGAAGCAATGGATGGTACACGAGCAGGTCAAAATCATCGGCGACTTCCTCGAGTTCATCAGCAAGAAGATGGCACAATGCGAGGTATGGCGGACTGTATCGGACGCCGAATTCGATAATGCAAGAGAAGGCATGGAGAAGTTAGTCATGAATCGATTATACACCCAAACTTTCTCGCCCGCAATCCCGCCTCCAGAACCCGCATCACCACGCAAAGGTCGACGGAGACAAGAGCCACCGGGACCAGGTCGGAGGGGTCAGCATCAAGAGGACGTAGAACGAGATGAGGTCTTAGCGCAGAAGGTGCGCATATACAAGTGGGTCAGTGAAGAGCACCTGGATATCAAGCCGGTAGGCGACAAGGGCAAGAAGTTTCTACATCTGGCCCAACAGGAGCTGTTGAAGATCAAAAGCTACCGAGCGCCTAGAGACAAGATCATCTGCATCTTGAACTGCTGCAAAGTCATCTTCGGGTTCTTGCGGACGTCCAACTCCGATCAGTCTGCCGATGCCTTTGTACCACTTCTCATCTACACGGTACTGCAAGCGAACCCCGATCATCTCGTCTCGAACGTACAATACATTCTGCGGTTCCGGAACCAGGACAAGCTTGGTGGGGAAGCAGGCTACTACATATCGTCTTTGATGGGCGCCATCCAATTCATTGAGGGTCTTGACAAGACGTCATTAACAGTGACGGATGAGGAATTCGAGAAGAACGTCGAAGCGGCCGTCTCAGCCATCGCTGAACGTCACGCAGCTGAAGAGGCCGAGTCTTCATCTTCATCTGCGCTATTACATCCTACTGCGCCTAACCATAAGCGTATGCCTTCACCGCACTATCATCACATAGCGGAAAAGACGACACCACTGCGACCAGAACTTACGCAAAGGAATTCAATGGAGGCAGAGACCGCAGGGCCGCGACGGTCAACCAGTCTGAAAGATCGCAAGTCCGAGGCGGAGCAGCCAGAAGAAGAGAATGCCGCTGTCGCAGGGCTATTGCGGACAATACAACGGCCACTTAGCACTATTGGTCGCATCTTCTCGGACAACGATACACACCATCCATCTGGACCTGCAGCAGCCCAGAAACCGCATTTACCGCCACGTGCGTCAACAGAGTATCCTGGTCAGGTTCCTCAGTCTAACATGAGTGAGAAGCAACGGCCGTCGCATGAAGAAGACCGACAAAGGCAGAGGTTGGCGGCAGAAGATGTCGCAGCGCGACAGGCGTCTGCCGAAGCGGAGGAAGCGAGGCGCATACAGCGACAGGAACACAAGGTCGTAGTCGAGACGCTGACGGGCATGTTTCCCCAGCTGGACCGGGATGTCATCGACGACGTAGTGCGGCAGAAGGAGGGCCGGTAAGTCCTTGTTCATCTCACTCTGACCGTATGACGGATACTAACAAACATCTAGGGTCGGTCTTGCAGTTGACGCATGTTTAGCGCTAGCGAATCCTTGATACTCTTATTCGTCTTCTTGGTCGAGTATTGATAGATTCCTGACCCTCTCAAATGAAGCAAGAGTTACATCTCAAGCCATGCTACTTGTTCAAATCCTGAGATACGACGATAAGCAACCGTACAATTGTTTTGGCTAACATATTGTGAAATAGGTTCACCGACAATGGACTATCGTTACAGCCTCTAACGCCGTATTCTTAAGTTAGTATTGAGTATAACTGCAAAGACTTGTTAACCCTTCTTAAATCGGTGTTTGGTCATCAAGATACAAGTCACTTAGAGGAACAATGTTTTAAAAAAAGTTGAATTAAAAGTCGTATATCGAATCTTATCGTCGTCCAATCAGGGGTCCAGATAGTAAAGCATTCATGCTACTTCAACTGAAGCAGCTTAAGCATCGTAGGTTCCGTTGCCTCCAGCTCCAGCGCCGGCACCAGCACCAGCACCGGCACCAGCGTGGCCACCGGCACCTGCTCCTCCACCGACTGAACCACCAACACCGGCACCAGCTCCAGCGTGGCCACCGACACCAGCACCACCACCAACAGAGCCTCCGACACCAGCACCACCACCAACAGAGCCTCCGACACCAGCGCCACCGCCAACAGTACCGCCAACACCGGCACCAGCTCCCGCGTGGCCACCGACACCAGCACCACCGCCAACAGTACCGCCAACACCAGCTCCAGCTCCAGCGTGGCCGCCGACACCAGCACCACCGCCGACAGAGCCTCCGACACCAGCTCCAGCGTGGCCGCCGACACCAGCACCACCACCGACAGAGCCGCCGACACCAGCTCCAGCTCCAGCGTGGCCACCGACACCGGCACCACCACCAACAGAGCCTCCGACACCAGCGCCACCGCCAACAGTACCGCCAACACCGGCACCAGCTCCCGCGTGGCCACCGACACCAGCACCACCGCCAACAGTACCGCCAACACCAGCTCCAGCTCCAGCGTGGCCGCCGACACCAGCTCCGACGCCACCGTTGGCGCCACCTCCTACTCCAGCGTTGGCACCACCACCCACAGATCCGGATCCGCCAACTCCAGCTCCGCCGTTGGCACCACCGTTAGCGCCTGCGCCAAGACCTCCGCCGAGGAGACCTCCAAGACCGCCTTTGCCAGCGCCACCGAGTCCGCCCAGAAGACCTCCTAGGCCACCAAGGCCACCTTTTGCGCCGCCTCCTGCACCACCGAGGCCAGGAAGATCAAGACCACCGGAGAGACCAGGAAGTTTGCCAGCGCCGCTGCCGGAAAGACCGGGAAGCTTTCCTCCACCGAGTCCGCCAGTAAGACCACCCATGAGTCCTCCAAGGCCTCCGAGACCTCCCTTGCCTCCTGCACCACCGAGACCGGGGAGACCGGCACCTCCACCGAGGCCAGGAAGGTTGAGACCTCCCTTGCCAGAGCTGGGAGTCTTAGAACCCTCAGAGTCAGAAGAGCCAGAAGATCCAGAAGATCCAGAGTCGTAGCTGGGGCCTGAGCTAGCGCCACCTGATCCGTAGCTGGGACCTGAGCCAGCGCCACCTGATCCGTAGCTAGGACCAGATACACCGGTGGTGAGAGGAGCACTCGGCTGAGAGTAGGAACCCGAGTTGTAGGTAGGGTGAGGAAGGGCAGTGGCGATGCTGGCCAAAGCGAGAACCTGAGCAGTGTAGAACTTCATGTTGACGATTGTTCGTTCGTTTGAGATTGATTAAGTGAATTGAAAGTTGGTATCGAATGGATACGATGTGTGATCAATGGAAATAGTAAATAAGTTAAGTGCTCTGCACAAACGAAAGACTTGAGACTGAAAAGTCGAGTAAAGTAGTAGCGAAAGTAAGTGTTGTTGGTTGCTAAAAGCGAAAGTGTTGAATGTAGACGAGATCAAAGCTGATGCCTTTTTACTTTTTGCGCTGGGAACTGGTTCTCTTATACTCGAAGACTTCGAGTCGCATAGTAGGTCTCCGTAGTCAGTCGGCATCGGTAGTCAGTGACTGGCCCCTGAGCATCATCGTGGCGAGCCTCACGGTAGCTTCGTTTCGAAACATGGCGACTCTATTGAAAGACGTGATATGATGAAAGGGTTGTCTAGACCGTCTTGTTTCACGCTATTCTTTGCGGGATCGACGGCAAGTGTACGGGAGATGCCTGAATTGCGCAGGGTAGGTTGAGGTTAAGCAGGTTAAGGTTACGGGAGATGCCCCGATGTGCGCAGGGAAGGAATGCTAGCCTACTTTCTCCGCACCGTGCAGTTTTGCAGCCTTGCGGCCTTGAAACTAAAGTGGGGGGAGCTTTGGTAGTTCGAGGGGAAAATAGTAGCGTTAGCGTGGCCTTATTCGTGATATTTCTGAGTCGTGGCGCAAGCAGGAGTTTGCCAGGTCGGCTATTTTGACTCTCAATCGAGTTGGGTGGCGGAAACCGCCGTTCCGAGGTTGTTTAGCGGGAACTGCTAGGCTTGTTTCAGCCACCGCAATTGACGTTTGTCACCCTCACCTTCTCCTAGCCGACTATTCATCAAGAATTGCAACAACAGACAGGTGTGATCATCAAGATAATACACATAGTGTCTTTTCTCTGTCCCTTCATAGATACTGTGACCACCGGGTAAACGATACAGGCCTGTGCGACATAGAGTTTCAAGCAGTATCTAAGCTCCCTGGCCGAGGTCTTTGGCCTAGGACTCCCCGACTATTCAAGCTTTGATTGCGCAAGAGGCTCTTCCTTACTAGCCCCATAGGTAACATTTACATCGTCGTTTCTGGTGCGCCCCTTCGGGATTCGGAGACCGTTCTGTCCGTCGTGCATATCGGAATAAGTTTATGCTACGGCAGTCGATCAAGGAGATCTACTATGATACCAGGGTATAGTGGTGCTTGAGGGTTTTGCTAACGGCATCGCAAGTGTCTAAAATGATGCTGATGGTACAAGACAGGTACCGATGACCAGGAGTGTGACGTGATGAGCCTGACAGTCTATCGAATACGGCATTTCCCTTCTCACGCGATCTTGCACTCGCATCGTAGGTGTCCCCTATACTCGGCATGACTCGACTCGCAGCTCCGCCGCCGCAACGAAGAAGACCATTCCATGTATTCAAGCGGTGCCGAATGGATCCACAGTAACACCGGCCCATCGCTATCGTGAATCAAGCTAGCAACACGAGCTCGCCTGACAGCTTGGAGCCGCGCTTGCCAGTACTCGTCAAGAAGAGGACAATCATTCCCAATGTTCTAGCCACTGCGCTGGCTATGCAAACAGATATGCACGATATTGTTATTGTTGGCCGCCAGTGCTCGCTATACGCATTCCAGAAATAAGGCCGCCCACTACTGCAACATCCAGCACAACAGAATATTGATCACATGATCGATAGGAGTGATTCAACGGGGTATATCCTCACGACCTAGGGTGAAGGTGTTACGTCCAGCCTTGCGCGCTAGCATCTCTCAGTAAATGTCACCCGAAGATCCCGACCGGATGTCGCACTAGTCCGAACACATACCGATACTCTGATCGTCGCCATGGTCAGTGTCTCAGAATTGCAGGCATTGGACTATCGAATTATGAATATCTAATTACCAGTGTGTGCTATCAAAGTCCAAGATCATCTCAAAGGTATCGAAATACCAACTCTCTGCTGACGCCATCGCAAACCTACAGCGAGAAATCTCTACCTCGTTCTTTCTGCTTGGCATCCTTGATCCCTCTCATGGATCAAGGACTTAGAGCTCTGCATCGCGTCTAGCCCCAATTTGTGTACCTACTGTCGCGAAGGTTGGTTCCCTGAATATACGATGTGCTTCCACGTGCTGCCGTGGCCTTCCTCTGCTAGGTGCTCTCGATGATAGCCTTTTTCACGCAAAAGGAGGGCGTCGTAACTGCTCGAGCGCTTGAAGGCGCAACCGCGGGCTTCTTGGACGGACGTGGTAGAACCAGTCAGACTGCGCATTGAATGAGTCGCGCTTACAGTTCCGGCGCATTGTCTTCTCGACCCGCAATTGCGCCTGTTTCTTGCGCGCATTGGCCGCGAGACCGAGGCTATGAATAATGCATGTCTTCTACCCAGGGATCATTCACTCAAAGTTTTCGTACTCACCGAGAGGCTTGTAGCAGTCGGCCTTGCTGTTCTCAGTAAGGAAGTGCCACCCGCAAACACAGTTGGGATTCATGTATCACTGTCCAGTGTTAATGTGACTTAAGTCACGCATGTAATATCTCCAGACCATGTAAAGAAGCCGTATATTAATATTGCAGCCTGTGATTCGCCGGCTATCAGTTGGACCCCCTCAGACCTAGATCGTCCATGTGGCCGTCTAAACACAATACAAGCTGTCGCAAAAGATACCTTAAAGGCTGTATAATCTTCAGATGTACATTCGGGCGCGGAAGTTGTGTTGGCCACCTTCTCGCAGTCGTGATCGAGTTAATTTTAGCCCTCTTTGTTTCGCGTTGATTGCTCTCCTACCCGTCTAGCCTCTTGATTCGCATCCAGCTATCTCTTACACCTCATGATCTTGTATGCAATGCGTATCTAAAATTATAATCTACCAATGGACCAATCTTTATTCTAGCATACCCAGCATTGCCTCCCAAGGCCTCAACTCTAGCCTTCCAATTTTCGCCTTCTCGTCCAACTGTCTCTCGTCGTAGTTGCCAGCAACCCATTTCTTCACCTTCAGATCTCTCATCTTCTCCCACGTTACTTGCTCGCCGCTAAAGTTCAACACGGTGATAAAAGCGTTCTTTTCACTCCACCGCTGATACGCAACGACCTTTTGATCTTCCATGTCAAGCATTTCAAAATCACCGTACACGAAGACATCCTTGTTCTCCTTGCGACAGTCTAGGCCACGCTTCCAGAATGCGTGTACAGAAAGCATGCCGGGTGAGGGTTCGGGATTTGTGAGTTGAGCTGCGGCGTTGATGCTAGGATAGTCATCGTTGACGCGCATCCAGGGCTTTCCATTAGTAAATCCTGCCTGGGAAGACGAGTCCCACTGCATCGGCGTTCTAGCGCTGTCGCGAGCTTTGCGTTGCATGATCTTAGCTGCCAAAGCCTGTTTTTCAGCGTTGCCAGGGTAGAGGTCGCGGTATCTGTAGCTGTTAGCGAGGTGAGAAGGTCAGGAGAAGGAGACACTTACTTTTTGAAGAAGTTGATACTCTCGATATCTTTGTACTCTTCGGGCTTCCAGTCCTTGGGCACGTTGCGCATGCCGATCTCCTCACCTTGGTAGACATATAGTGTCCCGGCCAAGGTAGTCTGCATCAAGCACAACAGCTTCGCACCGTATTCGCGCCACTGATCACTGTCGTCCGTGTACCTGCTGACGCTTCGAGGCTGATCATGATTCTCGACGTAGAGTGAGTTCCAGCCATCGCGCTCGAGCATCAAACGCTGCAGTCGGTTCACAATCTTTTTGAGATCCCGCGCATCCCAGGGGTGCAGTGTGTACTTAAAGTCGCCGGGTACGTTGTCGATGTCGACCAAGTCAAAAGCAAAGATCATGTTCAGCTCTTCATTTTCAGCACCGACAACTTTGATGACCTCGTTTTCATCACGAACAAATGGCATTTCTCCAACGGTGAGGGTGTCGTATTTTGAGAGTACGTCGCGTCGAAGTTCCTTCAGCCACTCGTGTAGTCTCGGGCCGTTTGCGTAGTACTTGTGGCCCGGTTGGTACTTGTTGTCTTTGACCGAGATATCCGCATCAGGAAATGTTTGCACCTTCGAGATCAAGTTGATGACATCCATACGAAATCCGGACACGCCTCGGTCAAGCCAGAAGCGAAGGATATTGTGTACAGCTGCACGGACATCGGGATTTTCCCAGTTAAGATCCGGTTGCTCGGGTGTGAAGAGAGAAAGATAGTACTCTTGAGTGGTCTCGTCCCACGTCCATGCGGAGTTTGCCTCACCCAGGATTTGCGCCCAGTTGTTCGGAGGCTGGCGATTCCCTTCAGCATCGTATTTGGCGGGCTTCCAGATGTACCAATCGCGTTTCGACGATTTCTTCGATGATCGTGAGTCCAGGAACCACGCATGCTCTTCCGAAGTATGGTTGACAACGAGGTCCATGACCAACTTCATATCACGTTTCTTGATTTCTTTGATAAGATTGTCAACATCAGCCAGGGTGCCATAGCTAGGATCGATATCCTCGTAGTCCGCAATGTCATACCCCATGTCAGCGATAAAGAAGTCAGTTTTTATATTACATGCATTTCTTGTGTCGAAAACTTACCTTGTGGGCTCTTGTAAATTGGTGATACCCATATTACATCGACGCCAAGGTCCTTCAAGTAATCCAATTTTTGCGTGATGCCAGGAACATCGCCCCAACCATCACCATTGCTGTCCAAAAATGAAGCAGGGTAAATCTTATACCTGTGTTAACGCTTCCTTAGTAAGTTGGATGGATTTATATACCTGATATACCACCGCCTCTTTCCACCACCGATGCCTGTCTGTTCCGACATAGAAGTCTTTCTTCTGCGCGACGGATGACATGTTTGGAGATACCTAGATATGCTTGGTCACAAGGTGCGTTGTATCGTGAAGTGTCGTTGTAGTTAGCATCGAGACATGTTGTTTATAACGGTTCACGTCATAGCCGTATGTTGACCAGTCTCGGCGGCTCTATAGAGGCAGTGCATCTCAACGCGTGGGTACGTGGGGCGCCGAGGAGCCTTGCGGCGACCACTCTTCCGACATCTGGCCACTCAGCATCAATCCTCGACCTTCTCCCGCCATCCTGCATTTCGATCCATCTCATGGTGTGCTTCCAGCAGCAACGTGCATTGTACTCGAGTTTTATTCGCGCGATATGGTAGATACTGCGAAGATCGCGTGGGCTGGCAAGGCTCACGCGCCAACGTGCGTCATTGAGCAGCTGCACGGCTAAGCACGCGACCTTTTACCCTCCACAGAAACCGGATGATTGCTACCGCGCAACATATACCTACAACCACACCCCCATCGTATCTCTAGGTTCTGAAATCTTCGGAAAATCTTCCAGGGTCCGGTCCGACAACAGCCAGCGACCAGTTTACCGTAAAACCAAAGTATTCCAGGAAATCATGACGTACGACAACGATGTCGAGGATAGAGGCACGTCCGGCTCGCGAACACCGCTCCTGGGAAGCTCATCGCACCAGAGAATAGGACAAGAGAGCGAAGGTCATATATGGAGTTTAATAACGGTGTTGCAATTCTTCGGCGGAGGTATCTATGCTCCTGACCCGACGACGTACGACCCTCTGGAGATCATTCTCAATACTGAAGATCAGGACGAGCGAGACGACCTTACTGTGCGATGGAGAGACAACAAGCTTAGTGAGCTCAATTTTGTTGGTGTTGTGGTAAGTATTCGAAAATATTTTCCTATATGGTCATACGTTCGCAATCATGCTCGCCAGATACCACCCGCTTCTTGTCGAATGAGGGTACCACTGAGACGGGCACAATCCTGCATCCTCTTCTTCTCCTGATGGCTTCCGACGCTTTATGTAGCCTTCTGTATGCTGATATGTAACAGGCTGCCCTTTTGGCAGGCGTTCTTACCTCTACCGGGAGCTGGCCTAACATCTTACCAAACGGAAAAGAGTCGCCATGGTCTGTGCGCACTTCGTGGTACTGTGGTATCATACTGTCGCTTTTCAGCATCCTTACAGCTGCTGATCAGACTGTACGATTGCACCGCCTTTCATCACATCGCGATGGACTGAGCAACATCCGCAAGTTACTTTCCAAGACGAATGGCGAAAAGAGCCACTCATCCAAGACTGGCCGTCGGACGCCTAGCCTGCTCCAAATTATCACATGGCAGATGCCGGTGATGTTTCTGACATCGGCTACTCTCTGCATGATTATTGGGATGTTCCTTCACGTCTGGTCGGCGACTACGCACTTGCACCATCCGACAATGTGGGACGATAATACCAAGGTATGTTCATGCGGCTGCCGTTTCATATAGTGTTCTAACTTACCACAAAGGTTGCGATCACGTATAGTACTGTAGCAATCGTCGCAGTCACGCTATTCTTCGTCGGACAAGTCTCGCTTTACTCGCCGGTTCGACGATAAAGGCAAGTATAAGAGCGAATGCGTTGACAGCTCTGGGGACGTGTAGGGCGACTCAAATCTGCTCGACCTGAACAGCGACTGTGTCATCTTTACCCATTGCCACTATGATCCCAAATTAATCTCGATAATGTTCAAGTCGCCCTCAAGGACGGTTTCCATACTCATTCGTTCATCATTCGGTGTCCTCTCGATTGTCGCGCTTGCGACGCGCTGCAAGATTTTGTTTGCTGTAGGTTTCCAGTACTTTGTCCGCCTGACCTGATTGCACAACTTATATAAAGCCATAAGACAGTGAAAGTGCCTTTCCTTTTTTGGAGATTTCCCACTCGGCTAGTCACTTCCATTAGGGAAATGTACCAAGTGACGCTCCTGATCGTAGGTGTCGCGATTTAGCGAGCCGTGCTACTCCCTTGCGGACTTTCCCTTTCTTTAGTCAACGGGCGTTATATGAGTCCTCGCACAACTTATATCGAGCCACCCACTAGCTCTCCCTGCTTGTCCTCTAAGTTCTATTGGTACTCAACTACATTCCATATTCCATTACACTTTACCCCATCACAACTGCCAATAACTGCTCACGATTTTATACGATCTTTTCCTGCCTACTCTTATAGACTTCGTTCCTTCAACCAACAAGCCATGGCGACCGTGTCGGTAGCAGGTTCGTACGAGCAGTACAAGCTCGACACTAGCCGCTTCATCTTCTGGCTTGTCGTCACTGCGCGCGACAAGGAGTACGAGATTGATAACCCATCTGTGCCCCAGAACATGACCACACAGCAGCCTTCAAAGCGACTGAAAGGTAAAGAGAGGAAGCAAGCTAAACAAGCGGCTGCCAGCAAAGCTATCTCATCAAATGCAGCCTCGACCGCTTCGAAGGGCAAGTACTCCATTTCGACCGAGACAATTCTCAAGTTGGCAAGACATATCGCGAAGAAAGAGAGGACTTCGATAATGCCTAAGTTTGTCTGGTATTCCTACAAGCGGGCCGTGAAAACACGTCAGGCGTACGCCGATCGATATGCCCAGGAAGAACTATCGGAGAGGACTTCGGACAATGGTCATATTTACTTCCTGTGGTTGTTGAAATACTGCCACGAGATTCTGGAAAAGAAGGTCAAGGTACAGTCGGTTGCTCGACCTGTTACCGCCAACCCCCCAGACCTTCGATATAGCATTGCGATTGCGCCCATGTCAGCGCCAACACCCCACCCAGCGTCTACATCTACGCTACAAGTCGTTGGTAACGACCGGGATATCGTGACCGAGGAAGCTGCGGCTGCTGAAGCAGAGCGGGAGGCCATCGGTCATGAGCTGGACGAGCTCGCTCGCAACCTCGAGCTCGACTTGGAGACCGAGAACGAAAAGGAGATGGAGGCCAAGAGTAAAGAAGAGTTGGAGACCAAGCGCAAAGAAGAGTGGAAGACTAGGACCAAAGAAGAGTTGGCCTTGAGGAAGTCTTGTCTGACGGACGACATGCGTGTGGCCGTCATACAGCTAGAGCGTGACTGGGAGGACACACACAAGGACTTCGGCGTTGAGGATCACTTGGACGAAGTTCGAGCTATGCTCATGACAGAAGCTGCGTTCGGCCTTATACGCCACGAGGAGGAGGCTTTAGTGCTAGCAGCTTATGAGAAAGGGCTACCGGCGTTTGATCCTTCTCTCAATGCGGATGAGTTCTTCGGCAAGACTGCGAGGTCTCTCGAAAAGATTGAAGCAGAGCGGAGAAGGTTTGGCCCAAATTACTTATTCCTAGCACCGCACCTGGGCGCTCACGATGTTTCCGCACGGCTACATTCCAAAGAAGATTACGAATTTCTCGTTCATTATTTACACGAATCAGGATTAGAACATGTAAGCTCTTCCGATCCTATGTGAGCATCCACTTCTTTACCAGAAACTGATTGGATATCTAGGAAGTTAGAACGCGACATGAAAAGGGCTTCAGGATGCCATTGCTGAAAGGGGCATTCGACGCGCCTTCCAGAATTTACGGCTCCCTCGGTATCTGGGAAAAGGTTTCGATGGTTACCACGTTCGCTGCCGAGTTGGCGATCAGGATCCGATCGAAAGACAAAGCCCACTCGCTGAAGCAATATACCCCGATCCTAACTAGGGCGGCGAAAGAGGAGATGCAGTTCGCATCCTGGCAGAACCAGGGAATCAACTTCCATAGAAATAGCTGGGAAGTCACAGAATCCGCACGTACACACCGATCCTTTATCATAGGTCGACCATTTTCTCGAATTCGGTATGTCGAGATGCGACTGTTGAAGTCTACGCACCCGCTCTACGGCTTACAGTACGACTACCCGAAGCCAACATTCAGGACTACAGAAGCCCGGGATGAGCTCATGGAGGGTCTTGAGAACGAAGGTATTGAGGATAACGCAGGCGACACGCTTATGCGACAGAGCTATGCTGCTCAGTATATACTTCCGCCCAGAGACGGTGACTTTCTGCGGATGACGATCCCGACATTAAGAGCAAAGCTTTCCTTAACCCATCTTCTATTGCGCGAAGAAATGGGACTCAGTTTTGCGAATGCCAGCCCACAAATATTTGCGCTTTGTCACTTGTACAACTGCTTCCTCAAGCGGGGCTTGATCAACGGCGGTTGGCCGGAGATTGAGTTGGTGATGGAGTGGCATGTGAAAGAGATATTTCTCAAGGAAGTTCCCGTCAAGTCTGGAGATTTTTTCTCGCGACTGCTACTTGCGACGGGGTTTTCGTCAAAGTTGATTAAGGAAGCTCGAAGTCTAAACAAGAACCCTGACCGTTATCTCGACTTCGGGAAACCCACACACAAGACGAGCGAGCTCGTACCACTTCCGATGACAAACATTCTCCGCGACTATGTCCATGAGAGAGACAAAACATTACGCACATGGCATCGTATGGATGAAGAGATGACCAAACATTCTGGACGCTCTTCACGGGGGCAAGACCCCGACGATCTGAACATATTGTCTTTCATCAGAGACTTCCGCAACTCTGGACAGCTTTTTCAACTTCTTTCCCGGCTCGAGTTTGACTACATTAGCCTAACGCTACAGTGCAACGAGCTTTGTCACAAGATCGACGTTGAACACAAGAAGCTTTCTAGGAACACGGAACCACACGACGAGGCTGATTGGAAGTCGCCTATCGACCGTGGTTTCTCGATTGTGTCAACGCTTCTTGGAGATCTCGACCGCGCCTTCCTTTTGAAAGAGAGGGGACGCAAGCAAGATAAGGGCATCGCAGAAACGACTCCCATCGTTGATATAGCTGTGCGGGTGTTACAGGAATTTCTGGATGGACTGAATAACTTAAAAACCCTATCGGTGGGTAGAGGAAGGGATTAGGGATTGCAAGAAGCACCGCAATGGCTGCTTGTATCTCAGCACACGCCGAGGTGTATGTAGCTAAGCGATTGACATGCGTAAAATTGGTCTTAAATAATCTGTTTTCCAAATGCGTCAGATGGATTCGCGACCGAATGGTCTCCCAAGCAGCAATGAAGGGTTGCGTCTAACCTACGTTCAATTCTGACTGTGACAACGTTCTGGACTGATCAACTGCAGCTCAATCAGTCCGGCTCCCCGCTTTTGCAACAACAAGCTCATCTGAGCTGTTGTGTAAACCTTACTATGCATCTCTGCTACCCGGTTGAGGTTCCAATATCCATGTCAGCCAATCACGTTGAAGCACACCAGCTGCGGCTGACTGAAACCTCGGAACCATGACGCCACAAATGAAGCATCGTATCTGCAATCCGCTTTCTTCGTGCTCATTATACCACGTGCTGTTTTGCTATGCTTGCTCAACATGGGGAACCAGGAATGTCGAAAAAGTTTAAAATGACTCTAGAGTCACATTCGGTGGTGCCAGTTGACAACTAGATCTTTAGACTTCTGCGAGATGGGTCTTCTTACATTTTATTCTACGGCCTTGTTCTTGTTCGGTGTGGTATCTGCACAAGGCTACTCAAGTAACTTATGTGAAGACCTAGCCTTGGTACTCCCAAACAACACCTTCTTCCCCGCAGCCCCAACCTACAACGCATCCATCCAATCCTATCCGTTCCTTCAACTTCGACTGCACCCATCGTGTATCGTCCGCCCGAGCTCCGCAAAGGATGTATCAAATGCCATTATCGTTCTAGGGCAGAGTAACAGCACCAAGTTCGCGATCAAAAGTGGTGGTCATAATGCCAATGCCGGCTTTAATAACATCGATGACGGCGTCACAATCGATATGCAAAGCATGAAGAAGGTCGAAGTAGCGAGAGGAGATCATGTTGTGAGGGTCGGCGCCGGCGCGCTGTGGCAAGACGTGTACGACGAGACTGAAAAGCGTAATTTAACGGCGCTCGGCGGCCGCATCGGGGTCGTAGGAACTGCTGGCTTCTTGACTGGAGGTAAGTATACCCTTCTTCTAACAAACTAGTCAAGACAGACGACTGATGAACGTCTTTCAGGTGGAATATCCTTCTTTAGTCCAGAGCGTGGATGGGCGTGTGACGGCGTCATCAACTTCGAAGTCGTACTCGCAAGCGGGAAGATCATTAACGCAAATGCGACATCGAATTCCGATCTCTTCGCAGCGCTCAAAGGAGGGCAAAACAACTTTGGTGTTGTGACACGCTTTGACTTGAAAGCCTTCTCTGCCGGTCCCATCTATGGTGGAAGAATCGTTTTCGGAGCCAATGCTACCACGCCTCTACTTTCGGCATATACAGAGCTCAAACTAGGAGCATATGATCCGTATGTAGCGGGCTGGGTCACAGTGCGATACAACCACACTGCAGCGACGTTCAATCCAGTCAGCATCATGTGGTACACACGGCCAGCTCAGAAGTTGGGAGCGTTGAGGACTATCACCGAAGTGAAGCCGCAGGTTATGAACGGTATGATAGAAGCGCCTATAAGTGAACATACCAGAAATGCATCTAGACAAGTGGCCGCGATTCCTCAACGGACTATTTGGGCGACAACATCATTTTCGATCTCGCCGACCATTATACATCGCATCCACAACCTTTGGAGAGACCTTGTGCCTGAAATCGCAGCACAGTATGCCTACGCCAAACCAGTGGCAGAGATAACCTTTCAAGCTCTTCCTGCACCACCTCGCAACGGCACATCTCCTAATAGCTTAGGCTTCAGGCCAGACGAGACGCCAGAGAAGGATCTTGTGTTCTTGCAGATAATCTTCACTTTTGAAGATGCTCTCGCTACTGATGGATTCGAAGAGGCTTTGAAGGATTTGGTGAAGCTGGTCGAGGGGCTAACGAAGGAAGAGGGTGTTTTCCATCGGTACAAGTATCTCAACTTTGCGGCATCGTTTCAGGACCCGTTGGCAAGCTACGGCGAGGTTGCGTTGGGAAGGATGAAGAAAGTGGCAAGGAAGTATGATCCGACGGGTGTGTTTCAGACACAGGTGCCCGGAGGGTTCAAGTTGTTCTAATCTTGAATATTGCGTCCTTTATTTGTCCCGATCCATACCGTTACTGCTGGCGACGATGACACGAGTAATGAGAGAGGCTGGAAGAGTTGGCGCGTGCACTTCGCAGCCCCTTTTGTATCTAGCTACGTCATCGTACCGGTGAGCCCCAACCACCACCACCACCATCGCTCTCTCAACAGCCTGTATCCTGGTTTTGTTTAAAGCATTCATCGTTAATGTAAATTCTACGTGATGGATCAATGCGGCCATTCATGAACGTTTTAGAACATACGCGCTGTTAAGGTCGTCCGCAAACCCGCACGCGAAGCAAGCGATTCATGGTACAAGAGCAATCACGCAAAACTGTTGGAATCCAGGGTAGGGAAATAAGGACGGAAATAACTGCACGATAACCATCTCTAATGAAGATTGTAATAGTAGTGGCGCTGGATTCTGATCAACCTTGAAAGCGTCAAATCGTGCGCCTTCCTTTGATGGCACCATGGATATCAGGGACAACACAATTCCTTCTTCCCAAGCGATACTATCTATATGACCACCCATTAGGATTAATCAATATCCGATCTAAGGTTCGTTTACTACAGGAGAAATAGGTGAGGTGAAGGAATAATTCATGGAAGTGCAACGCCCATCACACCCTCGGAGTCACATTCACTGCCTCTGCAATCGCTAGCGAATTCCCCATGACTAGATGGCGGTAACATGGCCACGATAACCATTCGTACTCAATAGAAAGCAGTCAACTTAAGCGACCGTATCAACCCTTAACCCTTGAAGAATACTTACTCTCACAATTATCTAGGCTAGTAACGTGTAAGTATCTCACATCGCAGACAATATTTCAGCAGCCAACTCACTAGTAATACGGCTATACGTTTATACCTGCGACCTCTGATCAATCCGTCGCTACTTCGACACCTGCAACGAGCTCACGACGGCCGACATACACCACCGCTCGACATCCTCTGTCACACTACCACGGCACATACCAATTGTCTCACAATGCATCCTGCGCTCGTTACTGCCATGGTTCTGGGAGCAATCTTAGAGATTTGGCTGGTCTTCGCACTTACATACGCCGCGCTGCAGAGGTACAATGGACGCAACTACCGTGATAGGACCAAGGACGCTTTGCGACTTCGGTTGTAGTCAACAGAGTCAAACGCAGTAGACGCATGCACTTGATGGGGTGAAGCTCTCTGAAGATGACCGAGTGCTACTGGGGTTAAAGTGCAGTCATCGTATTGAGGTACAACGCAGCGTTATCAGACCTCGAGCTGAAAGCGTCGCGATATCGTATTTTTTGTGTACTCTAGAGCTCTAGCTCATTGATCATTTGCTCTCCCATCAATCCTGCAAGCAAGTTCTTTACACTTTCAGTGGCCATCTGCTCCCTCGTTTCGATTGTGGCGCTCCCAATATGCGGGACGAGAACAGCTCTCGGCTGCTTCAGGATGGGATGATCAGCTGTGATGTTCGGTTCGTTCTCAATCACATCCAAACCAGCACCAAATATCTGCTCTTGGTCCAGCGCCTTGACCAGGGCATCAGTGTCAATGATGGGACCTCGCGCGATGTTGACGATGACAGCAAGCTTCTTCATCTTGGCGAAGAAATCTGTGCTTACGAGATGTTTCGTTTCTGGTGTGAGGGCACATCCGACAACGACTACATCGCTCTCTTTTGCGAGTTGGTCGGTGCTGCTCGCTGGCTCAATAGGAATAGTAGCGTTCTGGATCAGGCCGAAGTGGTCTTCCTTTACGGGCTTTCCAGGCTTGGACGTAAGGTAGACAACTCTTTTAATACCGAATGGAAGTAGTCTTTGCAGAGAAGCCTGAGCAATCCGTCCAAATCCCAAGAAACCGATAGTCGATCCACGGATTTGGGGGCCAGTCATAAGCAGAGGATGCCACGGCATCTGAGGCCATTCACCCTTGGCGACTTTTGACATGGACTCTCCACCTCTTCTCTGAGCCATGAGTATGAGCATGATGATGAGGTCCGCTACGGCATCGGTGAGACATGTTGGTGTATAGCCGAGGCGTACATTGCGTTTCTTGAGGGCATTTCGATCAACATGATCAGTACCGACCGAGAATGAAGCGATGGCCTTGAGTTGTGATCCAGCCGTTTCCAAAAGCTCTTCGTCGACTTTATCTGTGAGCATAACTAGGATTCCGCTTGCACCTTTGGCGTTCTCGAGCAGCCAGGAGCGGGGGCATGGCTGCATGCATCTCATCAGCAACGCAGGTCTCTATCGCCAATGGTGAACACGCACCTTCTCAGATTGCCATTGCACAACTTCCAAGTCCTCCTTCTTTGCATCGAGTAATCTTTGCGCTTCGTCAATCAATTGTCGCGTTACAACAACTTTAGTCTTCGCCATGTTGGTGTTGGTGCGTGTAGTTGAGGGTTGTCCGCGATCGGCGTCAGGTGGGAATGGCGGGGTAGAGCTGGACTTCGTCTCAATGACACCGTCACGAGTGTTATGTGAAAGATGCAATGAAACTTGCGATAGCCTTTGCATTGGATCCAGTTAGGTGCCAAATTGTTACCTTCTGGACACGTTCATTTTCATAAGTTTGCTACCGGACCTCTTTGGCCCGAATCATCCGCCAATGAGCGTTGATATGACCAGGGCGAACGATCCACTTGGATGGTTTGTCTCTTTATACCCTTCTTCACTATTATCTACTAGGCGAACGATATTCGTCTGGCTGCCGTTGTGTGTTTCAAAATTCAGAAAGAACGGACGTTTGGACAATCAATACCCTGTCACTATCGCATAGTAGACAGTGACACCCCCGAAGTAGCATGTACAGCCGACGCACACCCCACTTTTACAGTATCACCTGCTCTCCGCCTGCCTCTATCATGATCATGTTTTACTCAGGTCCAAGAATCCTTACGTGTTCTAGAAAGACCCTTCCATCTTTCTATCTTGCAAAGCGTAGAAAGCCATTATCAATTTGAGGACATTATGGAAGAACGAGCACGCATCCCTGTCGCGCTACCCATCACCACACCACTGCCTTCATACTGGCACAATCCCAAGTCACCTCTTGCAAATGTTATCGAGCCTGAGGCTGATAACGGTACGCAAGTCTACGATTATGCCATTATCGGGTCCGGTATCTCTGGCACAGCAATCGCCCACCACATTCTCAAAACTTGGCCTAATGCGCGCGTGGTGATGTTGGAAGCACGTGAGATCTGCTCAGGCGCGACGGGGCGGAATGGTGGACACACCAAAGCGGCAAGCTATCGCAGCTACATGCATCATATCCAAAAACTTGGCAAAGAGGAGGCACTGAAGATTGCGAGATTGGAGTATGCTAACATAGTCGAGACGCATCGCATGGCGGAAGATCTGGGTTTGAACTGCGAAAGTATGTTGTGTAATACAGTGGATCTCATCTACGATAAACACACCTTCGAAGCGGGAAAGTTAGCAATCCAGTTGTTGCAAGCCGATGCAGAAGAGCATGAGAAGGAAGTAGGCAACACTGCATGGTATCAAATTCACAACAATATCAAGGACATCCAGCGCAAGTTCTCCGTTGCAGCAAGGAACAGAAATCCAACAGTATCACCAGAAGAGGAGTTGGCGGGCGCTTTCGAATATATAGCCGGCCGAATACATGCATACCGTTTCGCAACAGGATTACTATCAGAGTGCGTCAAGAAAGGATTGCAATTATGCACAAATACGCCAGTCGACGATATCCGCCCGTCGGCAAAACCGAACAACGATACTGGTACTAATTGGGACGTTTTCAGCCAACACAACACTATCATAGCGAGAAACGTCATCATTGCAACCAATGGTTACACAGCGCAGATTATGAAAGAGCTTCAAGGCGCCATCGTACCGATGCGCGGACAGATCACCGCCCAGCGACCAGGAACCTCGACGAAGCTACCGACTCCATTGCCGACAACCTACTCGTTCATCTATCGCGACGGCTATGAGTACATGATTCCTCGGCCATTACCAGACGGAGGGCAGCACATCGTTATTGGCGGTGGTCTGGGTCGCCTCCCTGCAGCTGGCCCCAGTGAGTATGGAACAGTTGACGATAGTGCTTTGAACCCAGATATTTCCAAATACCTCTATGAGAGCTTGACTGGGTATTTTGGCGCCGAGAACTGGGGTGAAGCATCTGGAGAAGAGGCAGCGCGCCGTGTGGTACAGGAGTGGACAGGTATAATGGGTGCGACGGCAGATGGACGACCCTTCGTGGGAGAGGTACCGGACAAGAAGGGTATGTGGATATCTGCGGGCTTTAATGGTCATGGGATGGTGCTATGTTTGAAGTCTGCGGAGGCGTTGGTGGAGATGATGGGAGGTGGAGATACCAAAGGAAAGCCAGAGTGGTTCCCTGAAAGCTTTTTGATCACAAAAGATCGGCTAGAGAAGTGTAGGTTCCAAGGTCGTACCGACATGCAAGTACCTGAATAGAGAATATCTGATTGATCGCCAAATACATACAGTTGAAAAGGGTTACTGTTCTAGACATGGCAGCGATGATTATGATTTTCGGGTCTCAACTCGAACAGCTGTAGTGTAGGACCGTGTATTCATGCGGTCGAGACATTAGGGATACCTGCAAGGAAACGCATATCAGACGCCTGGTTAGATTCCGGAGTAGTGGATGCAAGAAGGCTGCGCCAAGAGCCGTTGTATTCACATGAGTGCATCGCCGTATCATCGATTGCGAATACCGTGACGAAAGCCTTCTTCGTGGTCCAATGAACACAGTAGTGAGTTTGTCGTGGCAGAGCTGGGATGGGGTGAATGCTAGAGAGGAGGGGGGTCGTGGGCGACTTGGTTGATGGAGCCCCACTTGGCGCGAAACGTCATCAGTGGCGGCGGAACATTCCAAGCCACGAGCACTGCGCGGCATTCACGAGTCCAGAGCTTCAGCAATCGCGACTGGGCTTCTACAAACACCAACAACCTCGACATAGACCTACTACACCGAACAATACAAGCAAAATGTCTGAGAAGACTAGCACTGAAAAGGTACGTAGAAAAAGGTTCCAGGAGGAAGCTCCCCACTAATAGCTGCAGCCTCCAGAGAGCCCAACGACGGCGCGTGAGCTCGACTTCGACGATGACAATGACACTTCGGCTATCTCGACCCAAGATCGTGCCAAATCACCGTCCCCAGCCTCAAAATCGCCCAAGCCCGGTGTGCGCTTCAATGAAGAGGCCACCGAGATTCCTCCCCAGAAGCCCCCGCGACCAGTCGACCCCCAAGTGCAGGCGCAGAACACGCTGATTGAAGCATTCCCCGACGTCGACCCCAATATTGTCAAGGCCGTTCTAGTTGCCAGCGGAGGCAAGGTCGAGCCTGCCTTCAACGCGCTATTGAGTACGTGACTGCCTATTTGTAGCATGTGGATGAGGGGTATAGCTAACCAGCGCAGGCATGTCGGATCCCAACTTCAAGGCCGAGGAAGCTCCCCCACCGCAACCACCGCGACCGCAGCCCCGTAGTCAGCTCGAGCAGGACGAGATATACGCGCGGCAACTGGCTCAGCACTATCAGAGTCAAGGCGGTCCCGAGGGCCAGGGCGGCTATGCATCGCGTGGCCAAGGGCAGCGACAACGGCCTGGCGAACCCGACCGTGAACACAGCTTCTTCGATGGTATGGTCAGGTGACATCGATATTCATGTAATCGCTAATGCTGACGCAGACGACCTGCCCGAGATTCGCAAGAACATCGAACAAGGATTCAAGGAGACGCAGAAGACCGTCACAAATTGGATCAGCAATTTCACCAAGAAGCTTGACGGCGGTGAGATGGAGGAATACGACAGATACGGCAACGTACAATACACAGGACGACAACCACCACCACAGCAGAGGCAGAACTTTGGCCCATCGCAGTCAGAACAGATGTATGGCATCCGCAAGTCGGCTGAACAGCGACGGTCGGCAGACCACAACCGCTACGACGCCGACAACCGAGTCATTGGCGACGATTTTGCAAAGCTCGCGCTGAGAGACAATGAGGGTATGCTACACACACGATGCATGTGAAAACGCCGCTAACAAGTTGCAGGACGTGGCCAGCGATCGTCAAGTCGCCCGCATGCAAACCCTGACCTCTTCAAGCCTACACCGGTATCCCCGCCCCAGAGTGGCCCCGTTGATGAAGTCGATGCCCTTTACCGCAACCCATCACCAAACAACCAGGGCAGCCAGAGTAAATCGAGCGGCAAGAAATGGCAGCCTCTCACCTCCGTCGCGCCCAACCCAGAGCCCGATGACCACGACCCCTTTTCTCTTGGCGACAGCGATGACGAGGAGAAGGACCTGAAGAAACAGGACACAAACCCCGACGATACCGAGAGGCTGAAGAACGCTGCACAAAATAGCGAAGGCCCAACAACTGGCAAGCTCAAGCCGGCGGAGCGAAGTGGAAGCGTCAGTCAGAAGGACGCCACCATGGAGGCGTTACTGAAGGAAGCCAAATAAGGAGCTACCTTCGATTGCTTGATGGGGGATATGATGCGGCAATACCAAGTGGATCTGGAACTCCAGCACACCTCTCGTCTGCTGCGTACTAGTAGGTAGGATGAGTCTTAGCTTTACTTGATCTATCGGAAACACCACTTCATGGTTGCAGTTTCGTCCCATCTTGTCTCTTTTCGTTGATCTTCTTTGATTTTGCAGGATGTAACACGTTTAGCGCTTTCCAAACCAACAACAGTTTCCCAGCAGCATATCCAACATCAGGAGATCAGATGAGGTGAAAGGCCGATTTACGGATTGGACCGAGTGAAACCGGTGGCGGACCGAGGTGCATCTGCCTTGAACAGCTTTCCTTGCTGCATATCTGGGCGGGCGGCGAAGAGCATCTTCGGAACAAGGGCTCAATGATACATTGACCCACGTGCGCATCCGGCTGAGGTGAGCTGTGATGTTAGGCCAGGTATATGTGTTCAGAGTTCAGATACACCGCCTCTTGACTTGCTACTGTGAAAGCTGGACAAGGTTCGGGCGTATTGCCATTTCTCGTCTGGTACGTCACGCTTCCGCAGCATTTGACCTCTACTGCCTTTTACAGGTTGGGGTGATTGTATTAATATGTCGTTCCGATGGCATTTGGGTGTGCCAGGCAAGCTTGTCTCAGCCCTATCGCTGAACATCTTATGGTCATCACGACCTGAGTCCTACCACTCCGGTCTCGTCTACCGTTATCTGCTCTTCCAACCTTCAGAAACTCCAATACGACCATGTGATGGGATTGGAACGTGTTCGTATCGATTTCAAACCAGCGGGGTCCGAAACACTGCCACCGACGGCTTACCTCGGGCACACCATAGCCCAACGATAAGTCAATAGGCTCCAAGGTCACAGTGTACACCCTGGGTTATTTACTGCTCAAGAATTCATCTAGCTACATGGATCTCGCAATGTGGATGTATTGGATAAGAGGCTGTGAGGCTGGATCGGGACCCCTTGTCAGCTGAAAGGTACGTCAGATCTGACCACCAACTGCTCGCTGCAGGGCATTCCAGCCTCTCAGTAACGCGCCGATCAGCAATCTTACTCGTCACATGTAGTTCGCACGAAGTACGATCCTCCCGCGAATGGATCCTTACGGGAGGGCTTTTTTAAGTCTTGGCAGTATCTCCACTCCACGGCAATGGTCCTCCACACCGCTATGAAACGGGTGCGGCTTACATGTTGCCTTCCTATCTGCCTCGATATGGCGAACTTCACGTCGTGATGAACGTTCACCTGATGGTAAGCCGGGTTATTCTAGGAGAAAAACACATGCTGGGGGTATGGACAAGTGTTGACAGCGCTGAGGAAGCCTGGAATTGTTGGGTATAAAGTATCGGGTTCTTGCTCTTGTCATCCCAACTACAACCTCACCACTCATCAAATACTTGCACAGGAATACAGTCACCATGGCAGCTTTCACTCCTATTCCGCTTCCTCAGATTGAGGAACCGGCCGAGTACAACTCCAACTACATCCTCTACTGGCATCATATCGGCTTAGAACTTAATCGTGTCACACACACCGTAGGAGGTCCTCAGACTGGTCCACCTATCTCTGCCAGAGCTCTAGGCATGCTTCAATTGGCTGTACACGATGCCTACTTCGCCATCAAGCCCTCTACTAGCTTCTCAACCTTTTTGACATCCGGTGCCGACAACGTTGCATACGCTCTCCCAGACCTGAACGGCGCGGACGATGCTCGCCAGGCAGTGGCTGGTGCATCTATCACTATGCTGTCTATGCTCTACATGAAGCCTCCCACCAATCCCAACCCCAACCCTGGCGCCGGCATTTCCGACAACGCCTATGCACAGCTTCAGTATGTCATTGATCAATCAGCAATTGACGCACCCGGTGGTGTCGACGCCGCGTCCAACAGCTTCAACTTCGGTAAGGCAGTAGCCACTGTCTTCTTCAACCTCCTCTTCCACGCGCCAGGTGCCTCGCAAGCTGGCTACCACCCCACGCCTGGTCCTTATAAGTTCGACGATGAGCCCACTCACCCTGTCGTCCTCGTCCCCGTCGACGCCAACAACCCTGATGGTCCCAAGAAGCCCTTCCGTCAATACCACGGCCCCTTCTATGGCAAAACAGCTAAGCGTTTTGCTACACAGACTGAGCATATGATCGCTGACCCACCAGCCATCCGTTCTGCCGCTAGTGAGCAGGCCGAATACGACGATGCCGTTCGTCAAATTATTGCCATGGGTGGAGCTACCGCTCTCAACTCCACCAAGCGTTCTCCTCACCAGACAACTCAAGGCATGTTCTGGGCCTATGATGGCTCGAACTTGGTCGGCACGCCACCTAGGTTTTACAATCAAATCGTCCGCCGCATCGCAGTGACATACAAGAAGGAAGAGGGCTTGGCGAACAGTGAAATCAACAACGCCGATTTCGTCCGTCTCCTCGCCCTCGTCAACGTGGCTTGTGCAGACGCAGGAATCTTCTCCTGGAAAGAGAAGTGGGAATTCGAATTCTGGCGCCCACTGTCTGGTGTCCGCGATGACAACTTCCGCGACCCCGATCGCCCAGACCGAGGCGACCCCTTCTGGCTCACACTCGGCGCTCCAGCCACAAACACAAACGACATCCCGTTCAAACCCCCCTTCCCCGCTTACCCTTCCGGCCACGCCACATTCGGCGGAGCCGTCTTCCAAATGGTCCGCCGCTACTACAACGGGCGAGTTGGAAACTGGAAGGATGATGAAGTAGACAACATCGCCATCGACATGATGGTATCCGAGGAACTAAACGGACTGAGCCGCGACCTCCGCCAACCCTACGACCCCAAAGCGCCCATCACTGACCAGCCCGGTATTGTGCGCACACGCGTCCCCCGTCACTTTTCCTCCGTCTGGGAAATGATGTTTGAAAACGCCATCTCGCGTATCTTCCTCGGTGTACACTGGCGCTTCGACGCTGCCTCCGCCAAGGATATTTTGATCCCTACGACGACCAAGGATGTTTACGCTGTAGACAACAATGGCGCGTCTCTGTTTCAGAACGTCGAGGATATTCGTTATACGACTATGGGTACGAGGGAAGGCCATGATGGTTTGTTGCCAATTGGTGGTGTGCCGCTTGGTATTGGGATTGCGAATGAGATCTTTGAGAATGGACTCAAGCCTACGCCGCCAGAGAAGCAGCCGATTCCGCAGCCCCCGGTTAATCAGGGGCCACCACGGAAGGAGGAGTGGGTCGAAGCGGGAGACAAGGAGCAGGTGCCTATGATGGACGTTGCGCCTTAGAAGGGTGGAAGTGAGTGCTGAGAAGTCGGGCGTATTCTCTTTGGTTTGCTAGACGAGTTCGGGGCAGTTGGTAAATCGAGCTTTCCTATTTGGCATATTAATTTATAGAATTCAATTTACTGCAATGTGTCGACATAGTCTTTGAATTTGGGAAGTAGCATGATTCTTTTGACTTGTACGTGACACAGGTACGTTTAGAGGACACAATGTATGTTGAGCACGACTTGAGAAAGGAAATTGGTTGTACAAGAGCGACGCACAAGTTGCTGGACATTCACACAATCGTGAAGTATTGTAGTTTCGCACCGTCTTTGAAGGCCTCGCCATCCATCATGTCCTGGATGTACGCAGTACCGATAAATGTATAGTTGCCAGTTTGTAACGGGCGAAGAACGTATAAAACAGGCCCGCCACCCAATGCGACTATGACATCGCCTGGCTCACAATTCTGATGGGCGAAGCCAAAATACTCATTGTCTAGCAACACGAAACAACGATTTGCTAAGGCGAACCTTAGGAAAACGTAAATCTCATTACTGGCCATCGTCTCTCCGGACTCTGACGTATTCTGAAGACTTTCTGGTAGAAATAGGGTTTCCCATGCTTCAAATGGCGCTGGATCTGTGATGTCGTATACACGGACGAAGGCATTTGTTGAGAAGTTATAAGTGCGGCCTCCTATGATCGACAAACGGCAAGCGTCTAGGACAGATCTGCTTGTTTTTGCGTAGATATGCGTGCCGTTTTCCCTAGCTCCGGAAATTTCGTATGCGACATTCAACCTTTTCTTTGTAAAGTCGGGGTTGCAGAGTTGAGGGTCATCGTCAGAAAGCTCGGTACGTTGCGATATGGTGCTTATGATGGTTCCACGGGCGATCATACTATCGTCTGGATTAAACCCCACGCTCGATTTCTGTGCACCACAAGCTTTATAGTCGTTCTCGAACATAGTAACGCTTGCTTGCAATGGGCTATGACATGCATCCCAGTCGGGTATCCATGACGGCAGTTTAGAGCTCGAGTGCGCATAACAATAACTCAGGAAATATAGCTCTTCGCCGTGAAGAAAGGCAACAAGAGCAATACGCCTATACAGTTCCCTTACGGAGATCGAGTAGTCGACAGGTACATATGGCAACCAGCTTGGAGGTATCAAGCTCAAAAGGCCAAACAGTTTGTCACGCGAGTCAGTAGCGGCGCGATGTCGAAATCGTTCCAGGACGTCCATCGGAGGCTGTGGTGCGTCTCCACTGAGTCTGGGGGTTGCATGTAGCAGTAGCCATTCGTTTATCAAATTTAGAAGCAACATGCTAGTGTTGTGATAGCAGTGGAGGTGCTTGAACATCATTGACTTGCACATGTCGTGGATGAGTGCTCCTGGGATGAAATGGCGCCCATAGTAAACAAGAACATCTTTTGCACACATAAACTCTTGTACAGTCCACACTCGACTCAGCCATGGAGGATCGAGCAACGTACACAAGTAACCTTGGAGCTTCCGGGAGTCCAACCCCATCCCATCGACATTCAATCCAGGCTCCATGGAACTCGAGGAGTGCGGACTCTCGTCACTTGCTAGCTGACGAATAGCTTCCATAGCGAGCTCGCATCCTTCGAAGTGGTCGCCGAGATAAGCCAGCACGCGCTCCGCCTGCCTGTAAATCTGGCCCATCAGTGTGACCTGAGCAGCTCTTTCATCGAGATCTTCCTGATTGATGACAAGTGCGTCTACCCATAGTATACGCGGTCGATCTGGTAGGCGCAAGCTACGCAAGACCGATTGTAGGCTTTTCGTTATTGATACATGCTCTTCGAACAGGGCAATGGAGATATGACCAAGATCTTCCAATGGCCCCCATACGTACGATACAGCTTCATATTTTGGATCGTCGTCAAGTGACGCAACGCTGAGCGCACAACGCAACTCAGCCTCATCGTTGCCAGGAAACAAATGCAGAAGTCGTATCTCTTTATTCGATTCAACTAGCGGCTTGTACGTCGTCCATCGAAAGCTGCAACGTTCGAAAAGTGTTGATTGAAACCATCCAGTAAATTTTGAGATGAAGTGACTGACGAGGCTCTGTTGTGAAGGCCAAACGTAGTAGGACAGACGAGACAGGTGCTTCCAGACCGCCTGCACGGCTCTATGGACAAGAATGCTCATTTGCGCATACAAAGCGCATTTTTATATGTGTCGAACTGTTATGGATGGACCGGTACATATGTGGTCGCACGATCAATGAGGCTTGGTGTCTTGAGTGTAGCCTCGGGCACGTCGAAGATGCACGAGCGGGGCTACCTAGACAACTAGACCAATCCAGGCGTAACTATCAGCATCACTTAATGATACGAGCTTTCCCGATTATGTACAGAAACTCTCGTTTTCCTACCCTCTGAACCTGTTTTTCTAAGCGAGCCTCGTAAAGCGTGCGCATTAACGTACAAACCACCACCTGACTACAACCTATTCTCTAGTCCACATAGTGGTAGGTTGCTTTCGCCACGCTGCAAGACTCGCAAGGAGAGCCACACCACTGACGACAGAGCAAACGACAAGAGTCTCGTTGAATGCATCCGTGTATGCTTGGCGAATGGCCAAGACTTTCTCTGGCGAGAGAGTCCGTATAGACCCGGCAAGTGACTCCAATTGCGCAGCACTGACAACCATCGGATCCAGCAGCTGCTGACGTTGTTTGACACCCAGGATAGCTGTTGATGCAGCGATACCGATGCTTCCTCCTAGCACGCGCACCTGAGCCATGACGCCTTGCGCGACACTTCGATCGCGCAGCTCAGCCTCAAGAATAGCAAGCAAAGTTGAGTTACTAACTGTTAAGCCAAACCCAAAGCCGAGGAAAACCTGTAACCCATAGGCTCGAGCTTGTGGGGCCACAGTATTGTCTAGTGTGGACAGAGATGCTGTTCCAACCAGCATAAGGGCAGCTCCAATGACGTTGATAGCAAACGTGTTGTTCTTCTTACTCGAAGCCGCACCAGCGATAGTCGTCCCAACAGCAGAAGCACCAAGCATTGGTAGTAGAGCTATACCTGACGCAATAGCACTTTTCCCGTTAACCACCTGGAACCGCGTTGGCAGCGAATATACGATGAAGAAATAAGGAAACCCTGTCAACATCGTTGCTGTGACTGCAGACATGTAGACTCTGTTTTTAGCTAGTCGCATTGGGAAGAGTGCGCCTATTGTGTCCGGCCAACGCCTTGCAACGAACCATTCCCAGGCGAAAAGTGCGACGAAGCACAGCACTCCAACGACTAGCGGGGCGACAAAGAGGGCAGACTTCCAGATGGAACTGTCCAGAAGGACGTGGATTCCGGCTTGCTGGAAAGCAATCACGAAAGGCACTGAAGAGGCAATCAAGAGAAGGAAACCTAGAATATCGATCTGCTTAAATCCGCGGCGCTGAAAGCCTCGGATTTGAGTCTTGTCGGGCCACACAGTGATGAAAAGTATTAACGGGATGATGCCAACGGGAGCGTTTAACCAGAAAATCCATCGCCAGGTCGTGTAGTTGGTTATGACACCACCTAGTACAGGACCCAAGATGCCGGATATCGCGATAATGGCTCCTGCCAAAGCGCCAATCATCCGAGACATACGCGGCGAGGCAGTCTCAGTAAGGACGACGAAGCCCACTGAATACAGGCCCGAGCCGCCCACTCCCTGTAGCGCACGCATAGCTATGAGCTGGTCGAGATTCTGAGCAAAGCCACAGCCGAGTGAGAAAGCCAGGAAGATCACAAAGGCGGCGACGTAGGCATTGCGACGACCAACCACGTCTGAAAGGCTTGCGAAGATGGCAGTACAGCCAACGTACGCAAGGGTGTAGGACAAGGCGATCCAGTTGGCCTTGGATAGGGAGTGGAATTCGACCCCGATGGTGTAGATGGCAGTTGCGATAATCGATGTGTCCAGGAACGATAGGAATAGGCCGATGCAAATACTGGGCGATGAAGCGTCAGCTCAAAGGCCATAATATACAGTTCTGGTGACTTTACCTGCTATATAACGACACGAGTTTCCATGTTGCAATGCTAGGCGCTGTAGTAGGCCCTACTATAGTGGTACCAGACTCAGTGTTCGTCCGAGCCTGCTCGTCGTCACCAATAGCGATGCTGACTGGGGTCAAGGTAGTTTGGGCACTGGAAGCTTTCTCGATATCCATATTTGGGCTGTGTGGGTAGCTCGCGCTGAATTCGTTATGGTTGAAGTGGTCGTGTGGGCCAAATGCTCTTTCCCATACATTTCTTGATATGAAGAAAGCCTCCAAATGACTAGACACAGCCACAGACAAGAATCAACCATAGGATCCCTAGTAATCCTGTAGCCTTTAAGGCTTTCACTTCAGAGAGTCTCCTTCTTGTTTCGTCATTGCGGCGCAGTAGTGGAAGGATCCTGTGCGGCGTTGCAGCAATTGATCTGCTGGGTCTGAGATGCATGGACTATCATTACGGCCGTAGCTGGACTCAAAAAAGCATTTGTGTCGTTTAGACACCTCCCCGCGGCTGGAAACGCCAAGACCGGGCGTACGCCTTGCATCCAACATTATCCATGTGTGTCCCTTACTGGCCTACCAACGTCGCACAGCTTATACGTTAGCAACCTTGGGATCTCGTCAGCGCGCCAGTATTCGCTGGGTGGTCAGACAGGTGGCATATCTGCTTGTCGGTCTTGGGTCGCTGCGAGTGACTTTGCGGGGTAACGATGATGTTGATTCGTTGCTCGGTATCCGAAAGATGTTCGATATGAAAGTACGCGCACTGGCGGCCCGTAAGCCATAACCTCGCTAAAACGGCCTGGAAATTCCAATATCATGTATGTTGTATTTGTCAACGCTCTTGTTCTCGCCTCCACTTCAGATATGGGATGAGCTCCTTGTCCATCGGTACAACTCTTTTCCATTCAGGCTCAACATCATCCGTAGGCTCGATCCCTCTCAACCGGTCGCGACAGAAAATGCGATAACTATCCAGTGCATACGCGCCCATACCTGGCAGATGCGCGATCTCCCAGCCTTCTCTTCCGTCATCAGGCCCTAGGATTTCCCCAGGCTTGACATCGACACCGCAACCACGATTTGGGTAATGTAACTTCCTGTACCTTCGTTCCCTACACGGAGGAGCAGAGAGCCAGGTCTTCGCTAGTGCTATAAGGCGTGCTGCTCGAATACGGTGAAGGCCTATCGGTTGTAGCATCGTGGTTAGATCCTCGAGAGATGCGGTAGAGAGCTCATTTGGTGAAGGGTAGGCTGTGAGTATCTTAAATAGAACTGGGCGTGCCATCCGGCCATGAGTTTGGTTCCATAAGATCACTTGGACTACTAATGCATATAGGCTGTCGCATATACGCTCCTGAATGAGGCCATACTTTGCAGGCTGAAGCTTGAACGGGAGGTTTGGCGGTTCTATTATGACTTCCGGGTGGTCTTCGGTATCTATCCGGGTGGATGTCCTTGCTGGAGTTTTGCGCGCCTTAGGCGCGACCTTAGTCTTTCGCTTCTCTTGTTGAGCGCAGGCTGTTGTTCGGCGGCTTCGCAAAGTGACTGGCATAATTAAGCGTTCGATATAATCGTCGTGTAGAGATTACTGAGCAAATTCCAATGTGCGTCTCAACCAGCGCACTGCTGCCAGGTTCCTATACGGAAAGCTTGCAGCCAGTTCCATGACGCTAATGGGAAGTCGATGATGTAACGCGTTATTGAAACGCGCCATCAAGACAGACGATCCTATCCGGCTAGAACCCAGAGCATGCTTCTAGGAAGAGTGTTTCAAATGATTCGAGATCTACTGTCGAAAATGAAACATAGCTTCCCCAACCGAAAACGAGGCTCCTCTGACATAACCCTCGATGTTCGATGCCGCCCCACCCATTCCCGATCCACTCGGCAAGAACCCGGCAACAGTCTTACAAACCTCTATTCAATGTTGCATTCCACAACCCTAACAACAGACAAACATGTCGTTCGACTTAGACGATGATGACACGCTCATATCGAGTCCACGCATCGATAGATATGAAGGCGAAGATACCAGTCCCACCACCGACCGCGAATTGAAAGCTTGGTATGCTTATCCAATTGCGGCCGAAGTCTTCGCTGTGGTCGCAGTAGGTACGTCATAGCCCATTCCTTCACCTAACCCACCACACATGTTATTTATTACTCTATACTCACGAATATTAAGGGGCCTTCCTCCCCGTCATCCTCGAGCAGCTCGCGCGAGAAAATGGCGTTTTCTTCTCCGATCATTCCAAACCGTGTGTTGATCATTCCGCATCCGGAAGACTCCGGATACGCGACGATGCAGGCCAGAAAGCTGGAGGGGGAGACTCTGAGCAATGCATGGTAAGGTACCTGGGGAGAGACATGTCGACGAGCAGTTTTGCCATGTATACTTTCTCTACGGCTGTGTTGCTCCAGGCTGTAGTCTTGATATGTTTTAGTTCCTTCGCCGATCACGGTAAGTAACATCGTCTATAGTGTTCAATAATTTGACAACGACTGACAACATTTCAAGGCCCATACCGCAAGAAGATGCTCATGTTCACATCATACATGGGCGCCCTGGCAAGCTGTCTGTTCATCTTCATCTCCCCATCACTTTACTACCTGGCTCCAGTCCTAGTACTTGTTGGAGTTTCAAGTCTAGGCTGTTCATTTGTCCTGCTAAACGCTTTCTTACCACTACTCGTCGCCAACCATCCAGACAACAACACAGCCGGGAAATCGCTTTCGTCCGACTCAGCCTCAGACGTCGAGCTAGAATCCCTAAACCCCATCAACGGACCTTCTTCGTCTGCCCACCACCATTTCGATCCGGATCGATTGAAGCGAGATCTAGAACGAAGCGCGCAAATCTCAAGTAAAGGCGTGGGGTATGGTTACATGTCCGCTGTTTTCGTCCAGGTAGTGGCCATTTTGATCATCTACCTTTTCAGCAAAACCAGCCTTTCGAAAACCTCTCCTAGTCTCTCCATTCGGGTAATCCTCTTCATGGTCGGCTTGTGGTGGGCCATCTTCTCCATCCCGACGCTATTGTGGCTACGTCCGAGACCAGGTCCACCATTACCCACACAGGATAACCAGGGTTTTGCCGGAAGGAAGTCATCATCAAGGCTGAGAACGTTCTTGTTCTACACGTCCTTCTCTTTACGTAGCTTCTACAGGACACTTAAGAGAGCGATCAAATTACGACAGACGCTACTTTTTCTGATATCATGGTTCCTGCTGTCAGATGCTGTGGCAACGATATCCGGGACTGCTGTTCTCTTCGCACGTACGGAGTTGCATATGGGCACCATCGCTATCGCGCTGCTCTCCATAACATCCATCGGATCTGGCATCGTAGGCGCATTTGCATGGCCTCGTGTACAGCGGCACTATGGTCTACAGCCCAAGACTGTACTACTGTGTTGTGTAGCGGGCATGGAAATCATCCCTTTGTACGGGTTACTCGGGTTCATCCCTGCGTTCAAGAGCTTGGGATTCATTGGTCTACAGAAAGCATGGGAGATTTATCCCATCGCTGTCATCCATGGGATAGTCATGGGTGGAATATCGTCGTATGCGCGATCGGTCTACGCTCCCTTGATACCCGAGGGCAGTGAGGCCGCGTTCTTTGCGCTATATGCTGTTACAGACAAGGGTAGCAGTGCGTTTGGGCCAGCTCTTGTAGGTTGGATTGTTGATCAGGCGGGTACAATACGCCCGGCTTTCATCTTCCTGTCGGTCCTGGTACTCCTGCCTGCACCATTGTTGTGGCGTTTAGATGTAGAGAAGGGGAGGGACGATGCGCGTGCCATGGCAGACGGAGATATGAAGGGACGGGGGATGTACGAGAGAGTTCGTGAAGAATAATGAGCCGACGATCAGAGTCGGTGGGTATGATATTCATGTTCGTAGATGATAGTACGCCGCCCAATGCTGTAAACGCCAAACCAACGATATGCCTCAAACTCTTCCTTCCATCTTCGGCCGCTTGCTATCCCGGTCGTGGTCATCCCCAAATCTCTTCCTCTCACCAAGTGGCTTTGCATTTGCACCTGAAGGGCCCTCTCTGTCCCGATCTCTTCCACCATAAGCATCAGGCCTAAACCTCTCATCGACACCGAAGTCGCCCTTGTCTCTTCGCGGCCGGTCATCACCGAAGTCACCCCATTTGCCCGTGTCTTCGGTCTTCATGTCCCTGTACCGTGTCCGACCTTTCTTTCCCAGTTTTGTCATGTCCCTGATTTGCATATACTCGGGCAGGATCTCTCGATTGGTCTCGTCTTCAAATCGCGCGTTCATGAGGTTCCTTCGATCCACGCCCAGCTCCTTGAGCTCATCCGTGAAAAAGGCGCCCTTGTGGAAGTACTTCTGCATGTACTGCATTTGACCGCGATCGCCCTTTTCTTCCTGCTGTTTCTCGATGAAAGCGCGATCTTCGGCATCGCGTTCGGCGGCCGATAGGTTTCGGCGGCGCTCGATCTCTGCGCGCTCAGCTTCGGCTTCTTCGATCGCGAGACGTTCGCGCTTGATGCGCTTGAGCTCGCGCAGCTTCCATGCGGCATACTCGGCGTCGGGATCGACACCGTCAGTGTCATCGATGGCGTTGATGTCGGCCTCTTCGACGTCATCATCCCAGTCTTTCTTGCCCGCTGCCTTCTCTGCTATGCGCTGCTCGACCTGCTCTTGAACGAGTGCCCTGTTCTGCTCCTGCCGCCGCGCCTCTTCTTCTGCTGCTATATCCTCTGCTGATTTGACGGGTGCCACTTTATTCCGCTCGTTCTTCTTTAGAAATACTGGTCGCAGCAGTTTCTTCGGTGCCTCTTCTTCGCTACTTGATTCTTCCTCCTCTGAAGATTCTTCCTCACTGCCGCTTCCACTCTCGCTTTCACTGCCATCTCCGCCGTCTTCATCCTCGCTCTCTGTCTCGAACTCGTCTTCTATCGCTTTGCGCTCCGCCTCGGATTTCTGCCGCGATGCAAGTTTCGATTTGAGCGCTGACTTGGGAAACGAGGATGCGATTGGCGCGGGCTTTGGTTTTGCGAAAGGTTTTGGCTTTGGCTGTTCCTCTTCCGATTCTGATTCCGAGCTCGAGCGTTCTTCTTCGGGTTCAGGCGCTCTTGGTTTGCCGGCGAACTGGCGCGTTCGCACGGGTTGCGCGGTGAGCTTTTTGGACTTTGGTGGCGGCATGGTGACGATTTTCGGAATTGAAATGATGTATAGAGGAAGTGCGCAAACTTGGGGTGAATCGTGAACGCGCTGCCGCGGCTCTTGCAAGCGGCTTGGCGCGCGTAGGGCTGTACGAAAGCCCTTGTATCATCCGCGTGAATATCTAAATACTACCTTACTCGACTTCTGGACAACGACCAGATAGTTATTGAGATCAAATACAGGAATAATAATTGCGAGGGTGCAAACTCCAGAATGACCAACTTGGGTATTACCGATCGCAGAAATGTCAATCGCGGCAATCTCGATTGACGAACATTCATCTTAACCGCACATGTTGCCTATATTCCGAAAACCGATACATGGGGCTCTCCAGAAACATGCCCACAGTATTTGCAGATTACAAGCTTATCCGGGTCTGCATATGTAGCACAATGCAAGAAGAGAGTGTGTTCCGGCAAATAAATTGTTGAGCAAGCTCCCAATTAAACTCACATGCAGCTGGCTCTACCAAGTGCCTGCTATAAAGGAAAGTATTGACTGTCCTGTTCTAAATGTTACTAATAAAACTTGTCGAGGCCTTGATCTTCACAAGATGCGATCAGCGAGCGCACGCAAGCGCACCTCGGTGAGAACAATACGCTTATTCGGTGAGAAGAGAATGGCCCCAATCTCGACTAATATGTGCTTGTTAGCATGCGAATGGTATCACAGGCTATATAGTATCCAATGTCTGAAGCTAGGCCTATGCTGCAAGGACAGCCGAAACCAACATCAATACTTCTGTGCAAAGTCGGATGCTTTCGTGACGATGAGCGGGCGCTCATGTTTGTTGGCCATTTCTCTCAAGGCATGGGGATGGATCGCATCGCTTCGTCATATTGCGGAGAGTTAAACAGATGGTATAAAGTGATTTTGCTTTGATTTTGGTTATCTACCCTATGAGGGTTTCTGCTATTCTGGTTCAGTAGTGCTTGGCACAGGGCGATTCCTGGTAACCCAAGCCAAGGCACTCTCGCCATCCTTGAAACGCCAATCATAACAAAGCCCGTCCTAGGGAGACCTAGAGTGTCGACCAGGCAGAATATTATATGTACAATAACGCCTATAGATGCAGTGGCAATGTAAAGAAAGTGATGATCAAATCTATTGACCGACAAAATGCGCACTGAAAGAACCACCCAATGCAATGCACGCTCGAACGCAGCAAATATCGTGTCCTCTGGACTAATGATGGGCAATAAATCTAAGCCCAGAAAGTTCATAAAGTTGTTACATGAAAGTAAGCGGTAGCCGATTACCGGAAGATGGGTTGTTGGGGAACGGGAAGTTGGTTAAACTGATTCGTCTCGGGCCATGCACTACGGTCCATGTACGGCAGGAGGCCAGAGCGGCGATCAGTCATAGGTCGGCCCAAAGGCTGATATTGCATCTGATCGTATCCGATGTTCCTCGCTGGATTATGGATCGAGGTCGAAGGCGGAGGCACAAGTAGTGTCTGCACACTGCGGACTGGTCGATAAGGAGACTGGCGCTGGTTAAGGAAATGCGATGGCGACAATTGTCTCGAACCTGTTGCCGGATAATTGCCCACGGGTGAGGACCCAGCTGACTGGGGATATGGACTAATCTGTCGGGACTGATCGGTAGAAGGTGTGTAATTGTGGGTATAAGGAGGGGGGCCTGATGAAGTTGGTGTGTTATTCGGTTGCTGCCACTGGACTGGTGGAGGGTAGACCATGGCCATGGATCGTCCACCAGGGACTGGTAAGGGAAGGTCGGACCAGTTCTTCAACTGGGTAGGTGGCATCTGCTGGGGTGGAGGTATCGAGAGACTTGGCAGAGGGGGGAGTCGGTTTACAGATGGTGGTGGCTCGAATGACCTATTGATAGGCGTCTGCAACGTTGGGATCAAAGGTGCATTGCTGTAAGGACCAGGTGCAAATCCATGGGCCTGTCGCTTCATTGGGGGCTCGATGCTGTAATCAGCACTGCGTTTGCGCTGAATGGGACCTAGCTCCGGAAGAGCGCCAATAGGAGAAACAGTGGCGGACGTGGCCTGTGGTTGCAAAAGAGGGGTATTGGAAAATGACATGTGGGTTGGAGAGTACATCATCGAAGTCGGTGGAGACGTTTGCTGCTGGGTCGGTGGTGACGGAGCATAGCTTTGTGGTAGGCCGAGCACGTTCTGGGGACCGACTGGGCTTACAGCACCGGAGGCTGGAATTTTGGATGCTCGATCGAAAAAGGTGCCAAATTTGCCCAGAATGCCGTGCCACTCATTCCACTTCTCCTTTGATGTGAACAGGCTGTATCGCATGTTGCTAAGGAATTCGACCTCCATGATGTGTACCTCTTGCACCGAAATACCCGAGACCTCGGCCCATGTTTTGTTCGTGTATGTGTTGTCATCGAGGAATTTGTTACCGAGCATAAGGGCGACCGTCAGTAGGCGGTATTCGCTACCAGGCTTCCCCTTGACCGTGGGGTTGGCCAGCTTCAACCTGTAGATGAAAAGCAATGCCAAAAGAATGACGTTCTGAGCAACCTGCGTAGTCGTCAAGATAGTTGCTACCCATTTCCGGAATCCAGTCGTGGGATGTGCGTCGGGGACGAGAGGTTGCATGGGCTGACGTGGCGAGGCAGTCTCGAGTACCTGCTTGAGCGTTGTGGAGCTTTCGAACCAGAAGAGACATGTCACCTGAAAAGTCAGTTTCAGAATGTGGGCTGAAAGTATGTATAGTTACCTCTGCTGCTAGCTGAGGAAGGCCCTCTTGTGGTGTGCTGATAGTTGGTGGTATCTTGAGATTTGGCGATATCGAATACTTCTTCCTTGGTGTTTGAGCCATCTCTTGTGCTTGTGGTTGTTGCCTTGGCGGACTGGGACTTCTTGGTGCTGCCACTGATCTGGAGTTGCCAATAGCAGGCAACTGGTAGCCGTACTGATGCCCAGCACCCTGGTTTGGCGGTAGCGAGACTACCCTCACTGCTGAGCCCGGGAGGTCCGGGGGTGTGAGAGGAGCTCTTGGGGCTGTCCGTAGCGGGTCGTGCTCATAGTTGTTGGAGATGCTTGGGTAGGGAAGGTGCATCGTGGAGTCGAGCTTGGAGGAGCTGCGAGGTGCCGTGGCATACAGGTTGAAGGGAGGCTCCCGGGGCAGGGCGTGAGGCATTGGGCGAGGGAGCTGTAGCTCGAGCATAGGGACGGCAGGAGACGACGTGGAGAAGATGAGGTGAGGTAAGGTGACGTTTAGGCGGCGACGTCAACGGCAACAGGCGGTCATGTCCGGGCAGCTATTGTTTGCACGCTACTATCTTCACTCAACCTTGGTTTGGAAGGATGGTGTTGACGACTTGCACGTATAGATGAGGAGCAAGAGCAAGAGCAAGACGAGCTAGGCCAATCAACGCCAGGCAGAATCCGGGACACGGCAACGACGCTTGCAGCTAGACTTGTAGGAGGAGAGGGTTTGGCAGAGGAGGGTGCAGAGGGACACAATAAAGAGACGTCAGGCCCGGTGAGCGTCCTCTGCGAGCGGTGCTATGCCGGGAGTGGCTTGGTGTTGGGTGGGTAGTGGTGGTAGTAGTTAGTGATTGATTGTGTGTGATTGTAGGGAGGCGGATTGTCGGGGCCCGCACGCTGGCATGGCAGACATGGCTTGGGGCCGTTGGATTTGAATAAAACATAGGTAATTCACACACACGGAGTCGTGAAGGCTCGGAAGGTTCCAGGCAGGAGCGAGCAGGGTAGGAGGAACGCCCCAAGAGGCTGATCCAGGACCCAGAAGGAGAAGCCGCGCTCTGACATCAACCGCGCCTGGAATGAGCTAGGGGCGCACGGCCGCCAGCACAAAGCAACCGCGACCGGGGGTTCGCCGCGAGGACAGGAGCGACCGACACTGCTAGCAGCCAAGCCGCGCGGGCTAATTACTACTACAACAAGTACAGCACGAGCGACGTGAAGAATCAATCCCTGCGCCAAACCACCCCAGCACCAGCTGCGCCGCGCGATACAGCCTCAGCACTCCCGACCCGTCTGATTGGCGCCCCCCCCATTCGCAGGCGATGCATGGTGCGCGTCCAGAGGGGCTTCAGCCATCATTCACCCCACCACACACGACCTTCCCAGTGCACACTGCGACAGTGGGACACCATCCGGCCACAGACGAAGAAACGATAGCGCTGGTGGGCCTCATCAACCACCTGCAGCCTACATGGTAGGCCTGCTGCCTCCCCGGAGCGCTGCCGTCTCAGACACGACGACTGATCAGACATTGTGAGATCCCTTACGCATCGCGGCCACCTGCACCAGCCAAGGCGGAGCATACACCACGAATGAAGACTGCCGTCTGCCACATTCAAACTTTGCCAGCAGCAAGAATTGCCGTAAGCGGCAGCCATCCATGTATAATCACCCTCCATCAGCGCCAGGCGGTCTGGAAGGGCACTTTACGCGTGCAGCGTCCCGCCCATGCCGTGTTTGACTACCTGCTTGCCGCCCTCAGGCATCTAAAAAGCATACAGTAACGCTGATGCAAGCGCAAGCATAGCGAACTGGCTGGACTACCAGACGACGGCGCTGTGCTGCCAGACGAGGAAGCGACACGAACCAGTCGCCCAGCCAGCCCGCCCTAGCCAAATCGCCGTCTTACCTTTCCCTAAGCATGCTCTATATCCGAGCCCGAACCCTGTCCACCGTGAAGCTCCCCATGCTGAAGTTTGAGCGAGTGCTGCTGATCTTCAATCCTCTTTTTTTTTCGCAGATGATTTTGCTTCGTGACTTCCAATCATGTGGATCCTGACCGCTGCAGCCCTCGGTTCCGATGCTTCCGGCGAATGGCAAGTATGATGCACCCCCGACGCTAGACGAACTGTTGTTATTGAGGCCGGCCAGCCAGGTGTTGCGTGCAATCCAAGTTGAGGCAATCTGCACTGCAGAACCGCTATTTGCAACGCCCCTGACGAAACACGAATTGGGGTATTGCGCGCGCCTCAGTTGCTGCATTCTGCATTCCATCACCTTGCCCGTCAATCAGGCCGGCCATGGGTGCTGCTCGGGCATGCGGCTTGCTTGGGGCATTCACTTGTCCCGGATGCCTATGTTGCAACTCTTGCAAATCTTGCAAACCACATCCAGTTCCAAGGTTGCGATTGCTGACCCGTCCAACTAGCACCGGCGTCGTGAAGCATGGTTGCTTATCGAGTCGCTTGCTTGGCCAGCAGCGCTAACCGTGAAACCGTGACGGAAATATGGCCAGTGAAGCAAGGGATACGCAGGCCGTAATCTATCGATAGCGCTGAGCAGAGTCTGTGCCGCCGGTGATCCTGCTTCGCAATGCAATGAGGTTGTTGTTGGAACGGTGGAGCTTAGCAGAGCGAGCGCCGTCATACGTACATGTGCAGGGGTGCCCGTCGCGCTTTCCTCGGTCCGTCACTCACTGCAAAAACAGAGCTGCCCACGTAATCAGCTCTACACAACACATGGATGGCAAACGCTTGCAACCACCAAAGCATGGATGCATTCCAGATGCTTGTTAGTCCTCCTCCACCACCCGTAAAACTATAGCATCGGTACGATGTCGGTGTGAGGGGCGACATCTCAAACACGCCCCTTCGCTCCATGCCAACGGGAGGCTCGGGATGCCTGGACATCTCGGCTGGCGATTCGCTGATACGCGTGATACGACCGCCCATGGTCGTCCACCGCGCTGCAATAGTCATGGCTCTATTCAAACTAACTTCGCCGCTGTGCATCATCGCCTGCAGTGCCAGTACCTTCGTACATGTTCAATAGCGATCCCGTCTGACCGAGCGTCTTGACCGTCGTGTGGAGATTGATGGTGACTATTTTGGCGCAGAAAGGGCAATAGCTCCTTCCACGGTTGGCTGGGGGGCGTGGTACGGAGGGGACGGACGATACTCGGCACCGCTTTCCTCACCAGTACACGAATATACGAGCCCCAACGACTCGTTTCCGTCTGGCCCAGTCTATACCATGAACGGCACATCTATTAGCTCCGTCATGGCGCGCTGAGACGTACCGCGCTTCCACGACGCGTACATTACACCATGCATCTATCGTCGATTGACTCCATCGTCTGCCTTCAACAATCGACCCTGCCGGGCAGCAGCTCCATGGATGTGCGTTTAGTGCATTTCATCATGTGCAGCAACCTAGCCACAAGACGTTTGCGAAAACCACTCAGCCGAGACCATCGTATATGGTTGGCGCCAGCGATGAGCACGCAAGCCCTTGGCCGGCGCGCGATATGGGTGGATTTTTCACCGTCCTCTTACGACACTGTGTCTAAAAACGTTCGCCATCGAGAAGTGCGATGCATCTTGGCTACGGCTGTTTAATTCCGCTCTGCCACTGCTGTCTTAGCGGCCCAGCTGCAAAAGCAGAACGCGATAGACGCACACACTGCAACAAGTCTCATGCCGACTCAGGATCTTGTACTTCTTTGCCACACGAGTCGCTGGGTCGAGTTTAGCCTTTTTGCACGGCTTGCGGCGTCCTCAGATCCATATCCAGTTCCCCGCTCTATGGCGCTGAAAGAAGTAGGTCAGACGGTTCCCGACGAATGAGCAATGCGCAACCCCACGCTCTAGAGCGAGTACGCCCTAATCATTCAGCGACCCAACCTCAAGGCCTCCATACCCAGTATGATGGATCCCTTTACTATGCTTAGATGTGATCCTTTGCGCAGTGTATCAAGGTATAGTGTGACGCAACCACATTGCACTTGGGCTGCAAGACCGCTCGTCTAATAGTATTACAGCATACTAACCAGCCAAGCCATAACGCGGGAGGATAGGCTTCATCTAAGGGGTACCGATACTTGCTACTTCTCACCGGAGATTGAATGTGAATATGTACAAGGGCATTGGTACCGATCCACGAGGTCATGCTAGCCTGCCCGATGCACAGCTGACCCGTATCATCTATCCCGCGGCTGACACTGTCATGGAGGACGACAAGTCCCGTATGCGTTACGCCACAAGCTTCATTAGCACACTAGCGAAGCCACTCACGCGTCAGTCAGCCAACCAACTTTGTGTGACCAAGTTGCACCTTGTTATTATACCCCATGCGTACCAAGTATCATGCATGAGGCTCCATCTATTTGCGCCAAAGACAATGCTCCCGACGTCGGTAAACCCTTCGCTATTTTTTCCAAATACAATACATCCTGTTAGCCTGCCAAGTTCAGATTCTTCTTTACTTTATTGCCGGGCGAGACTCCTTGAAGGGCTACACAACAAACGACTTGCAATTCGTTGGTTGCCTAGCGCTCGATCCGAACAATGATGTTCCAGCTTGGACACCTGGCGGTGCTTTCGACGCGCGCGGCGAGTCATCGTGCCACCATCATGCAACAACCAACAAAGACGACCGGCTAACATCACTCCACACCTCCTCCGGTGCTCAGAAGCAACTCTGGATTGTCGTTCGAGGGGCCGATTGCAGCTAACCTAGCTAGACAACACAAATGCACCCTGTGTACAGACGTTGCACCTGCCGGAACAGACTCAGGCCGCGCTCGCCCCTCTGGGAGCCGCAGTACATCGCTCAGCACATCCGGTTCAGCTGTATGAGGACAGCGACGCATCACTCTCTCACCTGAACGCGAGACAGCCTTCGCACCACGTGTATGTCACCAAACGGATCAGGGTACGTTGGCTTGCGCCACCATGTGCATACACAGATAATCTTGTCGATACGCGTCCCCATCGTCAATATTCAGCCTTGTGCAGCGACAAAGAGATATGAGGCATGCAAGAACGCCGCCGGCAGCCGTCAATCCAAAGGATCTGTAAGACGTGCAGACAGTCTCACCGGCTCGCACAAGCGGAGCGCCGACCAACTAGATGCTATGCTGACTCCTACGGACACGTCGCGACAGTTAACCACCGGCACGACGGCTTTCGTGTGCATCATCATCTTCCACCGCTTGTCTCTCACTGCAGCTAATAGTTTTGTGGCATGTTCCAAAGGAGTATCTTTTTTCAAGTGTACTGCCTAACAGGTCCGGACTCCGCATAGCTAGAATCCCGGTCAGCGTCCATTGATCCCATGTGATGTTCTCAT